AATGGACTTCCAGAACGAATTAAGTACTTAACCCAAGGTACCACTGTATAAACTTTACGTAGGAGTAAGTCTCTTTGAACTAAATGGGAATTGACTAAATAGATATGCCAAGGATTGTCTGTGAGCCAGTCAATAAGGTAAGGAAATGTTAAAAATAATCAATGGGGATTTGAGGCTGGTCAACTTGGTCAACCTTGCCCTGGCCTAAACCCACAAATCTCCATTGCACACTCTGGCTTGCCTGTGCATAGGGGCAAATCTTGGTTCACTGAGTGGCTTTGAGCAGCTCTTAATCTTTTAGTCTAACCTACCTCACAGGCTTGTTGTGAGGATAAATTGACACGATGCCCCATGAGTACTCTGAGCTCTTTGGAAGAAAGGTAGGATACAGTGGTACCTCGGGTTACATGCGCTTCAGGTTACAGACTCCGCTAACCCAGAAATATTGCCTCAGGTTAAGAACTTTGCTTCAGGATGAGAACAGAAATCGTGCTCCGGCGGCGTGGCAGTAGCAGGAGGCCCCATTAGCTAAAGTGGTGCTTCAGGTTAAGAACAGTTTCAGGTTAAGAATGGACCTCCGGAACGAATTAAGTACTTAACCCGAGGCACCACTGTACAGATGAAGCGTTGATAACTTAAAATGTCACCACTACCTGGTGCTAACAAGTAGTTTAGTTGTGTAATTCCTCCACTGACAATTAATCATGCTTGGCAGTGAAATTGTAGGCAGGTCTACTAAGAAATAAGTGCCACTAATTTCAGTGGGGCTTACTCCTAGAAAAGGGTTCGATTCCAGGAAAGTGGGGAGTTCTGCAGCTGAAATCAACAGAGTGCTTTCAGAAGCAGCCACTAGAGGGAGATTGGATAAGTACAGTACAAAACACTGAGTTTGTAAGAAATACTACATCTCAACGTTTTAAACAAAGTAGCTTCTCTTACACACTGCATATTGGTGAAATTTAATAGAAGCAATGCAACAAAAACAAAAACAAAACTAGGTAAATGAAGTTTGGCGGCTGACCCATCTATAAAGAGGGCAACTTTTTTTTTCAAATCAATCCCACGGTTTTATTTTTATTTTTTTGTTTGCCGAGATCAGAGAATTAAAACTACAAGATCCTGATTTCCCGATACTTCATAAATTGGAAGCCTGCCCAAGAACATTTTAATTGAATTCATTTAATAAAGAAATAGAAGGTTCTAAGGTCACCTTTTCCCAGTATGTATTACTTTAAAAAGTTAAATATAGCATTCAGAAATGCTGAAACGGCATACATACATATATATATATATATATATATATATATATATATATATATATATGTATATGTATAGCAGTTTATCAACTTAAACACTGAAAATCAATAGATCTAATTAAAGTAAAAGCTTGCCATGGATGTGATGAGAGCTTTTTGGCATGACAGCACCATCAGTGGCATAAATTTTTACTGCTCTTTCCTTCTCCTTCTGTTTCCATTATATTTATTGCACTTTTGTACTGACTGTTCTGTACTGTTCTTTGACTATCTAGCTAAAATCCCTGTCAGGCTGTTCTTGTACTTCCACAGAGGTCAACCTGTGCTCAGAATAGCACTGTCAGAGATCCACGGTGCCAGAGCCTGTTAGTGAATGGTAGAAATTACGGTAATAAATGGTAGTATTTAGATAAATTTGGGATATGAGGGGGAAATACAAGCGGCAGAACTGAGCCAGACAATAAATTTCTAGGTTAGCTTGTGTTAGCTATGTTTACATTGTTGAAGCCTTCTGCTATATTTACTGCGATAAAACTGAAAAAAGGAGATACTAGATGACAGACTGAAAATCTTCTACAGAAAATGGAAGAATTTAAATTCATTTTCATGCTTCACATTTAGACACATTTGCTAGTCGCATTTCTTAAAGTTGGCAAGGCACTCCAAAGTTCACAACTTTCATTAAGCACATGTGCAAATATTTACATCTCACTATTGCAGCTCGTATCGAACACTCAGGTTAATTTTAATGAAATTGAACAGCAAGCAAAATTTATTTAGGGTATAAAACTGTCAAAAGAAAGCAGAGAGTATGAAAAAAACAAAACAATAATAAGACAGGAACTGAGGCCATAGACAAACTTTCTCCAAGAGACAAATTTAAGGTAAATTCATTTATCCCTGTCATGGATATTCTTGCAGCCAACCTAGACAGAAAAGCAACAGCATATAGAAGTGTTGTTGGCAATTTGTCTTTTTGGTGAACCTGCAAGCAACCAAGGAACAGATTCACAATGGTGTCAAGATGTTGATGCAAGAGTTATCCAAAGGATGTTGAGCTTAGTTTGGTTGATGAACTTTTGCACTTCCACCTGTATGTCAAACAAGCTCACCCCAAAAAAGAAAATTTCAGCCACCAACATATGTATCAAATAATATTCCAGGAGAAAATTCAGATAACTTTTTCAAATGTGGACACAATTTTCAGATTGTCCTTGTGTTTAATGGTTACAAACGGTTTAATGGTTACAAACTGTTCCTGTGTTTAATAGTTACAAACTGTACTGATGAAAGATCATTTTTCTAGACTAAAAAGGATAAAGAAGAAGAAGAAGAAGAAGAAGAGTTTGGATTTGATATCCCGCCTTTCACTCCCCTTCAGGAGTCTCAAAGCGGCTAACATTCTCCTTTCCCTTCCTCCCCCACAACAAACACTCTGTGAGGTGAGTGGGGCTGAGAGACTTCAGAGAAGTGTGACTGGCCCAAGGTCACCCAGCAGCTGCATGTGGAGGAGCGGAGACGTGAACCCGGTTCCCCAGATTACAAGACTACCGCTCTCAACCACTACACCACACTGACCGTAGAATAAAGAATGTTCTACGGTCAACAATGTCCCAAGATTGATTGTCTTTATCTAAGCATTCTCAGCACAGAAAATGATTAACTGTGACTTACTGATTTTAATGATATAATTGATAAGTTCACATCCAAAAAGAGTCCAAAAGAAACTGTTCTGACTTTGTATTCAGTCATACCTTGGAAGTCGACTTCCAAAGCGTTTGTCTTCCAAAGCACAGCTTCTGATTGGCTACAGGAAGCTCCTGCAGCCAATCAGAAGCCACGGAAGCCCCGTCGGATGTTCAGCTTCTGAAAGAACATTCAAAAACCGGAACAGTCACTTCCAGGTTTCAATTGTTCAGGAGACAAAATGTTCGAGAACTAGGCTGTTTGAAAACCAAGGTAAGACTCTGTATAGTGAATGTTATAAGATAGCTATGATTCTCCTGTGAATGATCTCTGTGAATATCTTCATTAATTCCATACTTTTGTAAACTTATTAAAGGTTATAAATTTATAAACAATCTTTTTATCAATGCTAAAAATTCATCAATGTCATACAGTGGTACCTCGGGTTACAGACGCTTCAGGTTACAGACTTCGCTAACCCAGAAATAGTACCTCGGGTTAAGAACTTTGCTTCAGGATAAGAACAGAAATCATGCAGCAGCGGCAGCGGGAGGCCCCATTAGCTAAAGTGGTACCTCAGGTTAAGAACAGTTTCAGGTTAAGAACGGACCTCCAGAACGAATTAAGTTCTTAACCCGAGGTACCACTGTACTTTCACTGAGAAGATAAAAAATAGAATGAGGCTTTCTTTCTCGTGATCAGGTGCTATCAAGTCTGGGCTTCCCAAAGTCTCCTAGCTCAGGGTTTCCATTTGCCTTAATCCAGACCTGCTCCCAGGGTATGTGGCATCTGGTGTGCCTTTCCTCAACAATGAGCAAACAAGGATATCAAACATCATCTTTCTCTTATATTCACACATTTCCATTCTGTTTAAACTAGGGATTAACGTATTATCTTGATGGTTGCATAACCAAGTATTGGATTTCCTCTTGAAGGTTCCAGGTAGAGAGAGGCAGACTGGCATGTAAAGAGGAAAGGTTTTGTGAAGAAGCAAAATCTGTTTCACCTATAGCACTGGCATTTCATTAGCACAAATCCTATTTAACTCAATGGAGCTTCATGCTTATTATTCTCTCTCCTCTTTACCCCAGTTCCTTCCCTAATACCTTGGATATCTAACTAACTCTCCATTAGTTAATCATTACACTGTGTGAACACTTTATTTGAGCACAGTATTTTGGTTATCCAGATTAAGTGTTAGGTAAGCAATATCCAGCCAAATGCTGGAGGTCAATATTCACTGAAAATCTTGACAACTTTCTGAACGGAAGGCTCTTAGAGGAACTCTTATACTGAAATGAGATCTTTTTGCTCAAAATGTTTGTGTGTGTGGAGTTTCTAAGGGTGCTTCCTCACAATGGTTTATTGAAGCTTGGTGCCACTCATACATGCAGTAGCCCACAGAAATTGTATTTTCTGCCCAATCATAACCAGTTTAACTCGAGAAGTTTTGCCACATTCAGTGGGACTTACAGTACAATCCAGCCAAACATAATAATTTTTAAATGGCATTAATTTCAGAGGAAAAATTCTGCACGTGCTTAAATCTCCCTTGCTGAAATCAACCAAACATTAAGGCTGCAGTCCTGATCTCCCTTATTGGTTAGTTCAGACCATTTAACTTATTGGGATGTCTGAATGAATATTGCTTAGGATTTTGCTGCACAGTGATTGACTTTTGCTGCATCATGCTCTAACTGCCTGCTAAGCAGATTTAGGGTTGCCGTTTTTAGTTAAGAGCACATAAGTTTAAGATCAGTAGTTATATGCTTAAGATGAGAGTGTAAGTTAATTTGAAATTTGCAGTATTAGCAATAATTCAATTTGAAATGAAATACTGGAAAGAAATGGAGAGGAGTCTGAAATATGTGTGAAATATTTGTGTGAAATATTTTCATTTGGGGCATTAACCCATGAAGATGAGGTAAAGAACAAGGTTCAAAAAGCTACAGCACACGACATCTCTGTTGCTATTGGCTCTTTCTGAAACACCTTCTTCTCCACCTCCTGTTCCACCTCCTTTTATTTCCCCATTCGCAAGAGAAATTTAAGTTCTATCCAAAGCCTCACACTACTCCTGTGTCCCTGTTGGGAGGGAAGAGTACTCCATCCCACAGTTGTGCCACCAACAGGCAGTTTCCAAGGACGTGGATTTTTCTTGTAGCTCCAAGGTTCAGAGCAATACCTCGCTTTGAGAAGAAGACTACATCCCCTTTACAGTGCCAAGACATCCAGCTGAGAGGAAAGTGTACAAGGTATTTAAGAGAAACTCCCAATCCCTATTCCAATTTGTGTCGTGAGTATCTGGCTGTGGCAGAGATGAGGGGCCATAACACAGTGTCTTGTGTGCAGAATGTTTGCTAGGTTCAATATTTGGCATCTCCAGTTAAAGGGATTAAATACTAGATGATGGGAGAGATGCACTGTCTCATTCTCTGGAGGGATGCTGCCAGTCAGATCAGGAAATGCTGGGTTCAATGGACCAACAGTTTGGTGTAAGGCAGTTTCATATATTGTATTTATGTTGTTTCTACCTATGAGGGGAACTCATCTTCAACATACTATTTCCGTTGCTCCATCAACGCAACCATTTCTGCTTTCCAGGTGGAACAGTCCACCTCTCCTCCCCTTGTGTGTTGTTCTGAAGGTTTTTCCAGCCCCCCAGAGTGAATAAGAGGGTAGCACTGGGAGGTTAAAGGCCCCATTGCACTAACAGGAGGCATTGGATTGGCTTCACCTAGCACACTGGTTTAGTTGAATCTAGCCCAATGCCTCTGAGTTCTGTGAAGAAACAAACAATGCTCTATATCCAATACCAGAAATAGTCTATTTGATTGGAAAATTAAAAGCGTGGTGCTTTGAGGCCCTGTGTATGGCTTGAACTTAGTTGGTGTGGTCTTGGGCAATTTACTTGAGCCTTAGCATTATTCTGCAAAAGTGATGTTATACTGCAGTATCAGATGCAGGTGCAAAGGAGTAATTCAGGGGATAAGATCCATATGTCTCCACATTAGCCAACCAATTGACTCAAGCAAAGCTCAAAGGCCTGGCCCTGCGCTTTGTCCCCAGCATCTGGTACTCAGCAATATGTTACCTCAGAGCATGGAGCTCCATTTAATGATCATGGAGGACAGGTGGGGCTTTGAGGCACAGAATGGCAAGGAGCAAGCAGGAGGAGCTTTGAAGGAGTGGAGCTACAGACAGGTGGAGCTACAGACAGGCTAAATAAGGATGGATGGATGGATGGATGGTATTGTAGGAGGAGGTTAAGTGAGGAAGTTGATGCAGCCACACTTCTTGGTGGTGTTGGCTGCCACTTCAGCTGGTTCGTGGCCCAGGTCCCAGGTTTAAAGTAATATTCTTTTTTAAAGGAAAGGAAAGCAATTGCTGAAGTGTGCCTTCTCCATGCCCTTGGAAAAGATGGAAGAACTGAAGCTGGACTGGGTTGTGAAACGATCTGAAGTTGGTGAGGTGGAAGGGATTCCTCTTACAAAGGAGATCTGTGAAAAGTGGCATAAAATCTGGGCTTTCCAAGCCAAGCCTGATGACCTGCTTATAGCAACCTATGCAAAGGCAGGTGAGTATGCAAGCAGGAAAGATAGGGGGTGCTACTTAGGCACCTTTGACTTACCAGGCACATAATGTGACCCAAGACTTGCAGTTGTTTCCACTAGACCTTTGCATCGATTGGATTCAACACACCAGAAAATTATCTTGCTCAAGAAGACCCATAAACATTTTCAAGGAGTTCAGAACCTTCTGGTGGATTGTTCCCATTGTACCATATTTTAAAATCTCTGTTAATGCATTTGTGACTCATGGATTTGCAAACAGGACCTATTGTTTATAACGAATGTGGATGTTGCCCATGAAATACCTGCTTTCAGTAGATGGTAGTATGATTCATAGTGATACGCCTTGTGATTGCTTGTCACTGAAAGCACATAACATTGGACCAACAAAGGGTTCAAAAGATAACATTTAATGACCCAGACAAATTCAGGCTGAACATGAAAGAGTTGAGGGTCTGTAAGCCAATGCATAATGCGGAAGCTTTCAAACTTTATAGCCTATACTATTTTTGCAAATGCATGTTTCAAATCCCAAAAAAATCTTCCTCTGCTGCTTTTCCTCCCTCCATCCCATAACCTCTCCCATATAACCTTTTCAACTTTAAAAGGGGGATATCATGAAGGATATGTCTACATTACGTGGACAATATACACAGGAAAATAGCCAGAACTGGATACCAGTGGCCGCTACAAGCAGCAGGCATGTGAGGAAGGTCACGCCTTCCTGGTGGTAGGTCATAAGGTTCATAAGGCTTTTCTTGCATTATAAGGTGGGGGACATAGCTTTAAAGTTATACATATATTCGTTATGCATTCTGCACTCTCAGTTGACAAATGTATCCTTGATGCCCCCCAATTTATATTTATCTAAAAGCAACATTTGTTGTTATTTGCTCAACAAAGGTCCATATAGTTAAAGCTATGGTTTTCCCAGTAGTGATGTATGGAAGTGAGAGCTGGACCATAAAGAAGGCTGATTGCCAAAGAACTGATGCTTTTGAATTATGGTGCTGGAGGAGACTCTTGAGAGTCCCATGGACTGCAAGAAGATCATAGCTATCCATTCTGAAGGAAATCAGCCCTGAGTGCTCACTGGAAGGACAGATCCTGAAGCTGCGGCTCCAATACTTTGGCCCCCCCATGAGAAGAGAAGACTCCCTGGAAAAGACCCTGATGTTGGGAAAGATGGAGGGTACAAGGAGAAGGGGACGACAGAGGACGAGATGGTTGGACAGTGTTCTTGAAGCTACCAGCATGAGTTTGACCAAACTGCGGGAGGCAGTGGAAGACAGGAGTGGCTGGCATGAACTGGTCCATGGGGTCACGAAGAGTCGGACACGACTAAACGACTAAACAACAACAACAACCAACATTGAGCTAGCCAAACCATCCGTTGCTTTTAGATAGGAGATGTGTGTAATGTGGACTCTAATATTTTCTGGCTCCAGTCCATGAAAAATTATGAACTCGTAAATCTTTTGCCACAAGACCAAACTCTTCTTTTGTTTCTTATTATCAGGTACAACATGGACACAGGAGATTGTAGACATGATCCAATGTGACGGCGACATTGAGAAATGCCAGCGTGCTTCCACTTATGATCGGCAACCTTTTATCGAATGGGTGCTGCACAAGAATTTGCCCACTGGTAAGCTACAGATCTGCAGGTTAACTTGTGTAAAGTTATCAGATAAAATATTGCTAAGAAATTCAAAATGATATCCATATTATGAAAGTGTTCCTAAAGAAAATGGAGAGGCTAATACGACCCAGGATTATTTGCTGGAATGTCATATTTCATTCTGAAAGAGGCAAAGTGAGTGTCAGAAAAGGACTGTTAGGAAGTCAATGCTTATTTTTTCTTGTCACTCGTCTTAACTGCCAAAAGCAGAAAATGGCTCCATCTTCTCCTTCCCAAAGCCGTACTGTTGTTTTTTTGCCTTGAAAAAAATTATCAAAAAACAAAATCACCTAAAATATATCAGAAATAGAATAAAGATATGAATGAAAAGAGAAAAATAGAAAAGCATTGAACAAATTGTCCTAAGAGGAGGGTCAAATTAGCCGTGAAGTCATCAGTGGCTAGGATGACTCTGAATGTTCCAGACAACATTCTGAGACTAGATGAAGATATGAGATCATTTTTTTTCAAAGCCCCTGAAGGCAAAGCCCCAAGGACACTGAAAGGAGATAAACATTTATGTTTTCCACTAGGCTAAGATCTAGCAACACATTAGCATTGCACGTGGGTCTTGGAAAGTCTGGTCTGCAGCCCTACAAAATGGTATTGGATGGATAATGTTAAGGCATACTGTTGACTAACAACGGCTTGTTTCTCAGGCTTGGATAAAGCTGAAGCCATGCCCTCACCAAGAACACTGAAAACTCATCTTCCTGTACAACTGGTGCCTCCGTCGTTCTGGGAACAAAACTGTAAGGTAATGGGTTGGGCAGGAAGCTTGGCAAGCAGGTTAGCGTCATACTAGGATTGGGTTCAGAGATCTCCACACAGTCATGACACTTACTGAGTGACCTTGGGGGGCAGCTACTGTATCTCAGCCTAACTTACCTCCACAGGGTTGTGTGAGGATAAAATGGAGGAAGAACCACAGATGTCTCCTTGACTTCCCTGGAATTGCAGTGTCCAGTTGAATTGCAGCTGAATAGAATACTGGCAGGTTTCTAGAATATTGTATCCCAATCTATGAGTAGGGAGAGCTTTCAGGGATTCCAGTGCATGCCCTGGAGTCGGTTTCCTTTGAATGAAATCACTGGACACTGATGGCGTTTCTGTAAAATCAGAATTTATTTACAGATATATACAGAGGCTGAGCATAATTAACACTCCAACATATCCTACTTCTCTATTAGGTTTTCCAGTACGGCTCCCCAATGCCATAGCACTGGATTCTCATAGAGAGCAGGTCAGGTCTCTGTGTCCCTTTCCGTCTCAGTGCTATTGTCCTCTTTTCCTTTCTTTCTTTTTCTTTCTCACATACCCTCCAACATTTCTCCAATGAAAACAGGGTTGCCCTATTCAATAACAGCAACAATAACAAGAATAATATTATTTATACCCTGCGCCTCTGACTGGGTTGCCCCAGCCATTCTGGGCAGCTTTCAACATACAGTGGTACCTCAGGTTACAAACGCTTCTGGTTACAAACGCTTCAAGTTACAGACTCCGCTAACCCAGAAGTAGTACCTCGGGTTAAGAACTTTACCTCAGGATGAGAACAGAAATTGTGTGGCAGCGGCGCAGCAGCAGTGGGAGGCCCCATTAGCTAAAGTGGTACCTCAGGTTAAGAACGGACCTCTGGAATGAATTAAGTTCTTAACCAGAGGTACCACTGTATATAAAACATAATTAAGCATTTTTTAAAAATAAACTTGCCTATACAGGGCTGCCTTCAGATGTCTTCTAAAGGTTGTATAGTTACTTATCCCCTTGGCTCGGAGGCTGCATAACTGCATACCCTCTGATGAAAATAGGGATGTCCTGAGGAAAAGCGGGACATTCCAGGACCAAATAAGAAATTGGGATGGCTTCTGTAAATCCAGAACTATCCCTGGAAAATAGGGACACTTGGAGGCAATATAGGGGAACATGAGACAGATACCAGTAAAATGATGTAATTCATGTTTAAGAACATAAGAAGAGCCATGTTGGATCAAACCAAAGGCCTGTCTGGTACAGCATCCTGTTCTCATCCAGATGCCTATAGAAGCCCAAGAACAGGAAATAATAACAATAGTCCTCTCCTGCTGTTGTTCCCCAGAGACAAGTATTCAGAGACATACAGCCTCTAATATGGGATACCATCCTGACTAGTAGCCATTGATAGCCTAAACCTCAATGAATTTGTCTAGACCCCTTTTAAAGTTGTCAAAGCTGGCGGCCATCACTGCATCTGGTGGGAGCAACTGCCATCATTTAACTATGCACGGTTGTGAAGAGGCATTTTCTTCTGCCTGTCCTCCTGAGTCTTCCAAAATCGAACTTCACTGGACGGTCCTGTGTTCTAGTATTATGAAAGTGCACTTGCACTTTCTCCACTGGTGAATAATGGTCTCTTCTCACTTCTATACCCACCGCAGGTCATCTACGTGGCAAGAAATGCCAAAGACAATCTAGTGTCTTTTTATCACTTCCACAGAATGAATCAAATGATGCCTGAGCCAGGAACATGGGAGGAATTTTTTCAGAAATACATGGATGGAAAAGGTGAACGGAATGCTTTGTGCCATGATTTCTACATTTCTTTTTTTAAAGAACTCAATCATTTATCTATGTATTTTAAATTCAAGGAGCAAACTGATAATGGGAAGTTAAAAACTTTTTGCCAAACACTGCACATGGCTCCTTTCTAGTTAGAAGGGGGAAAACAGACTCAAGCTTCATTCAGACAAGATGCAACTGCTGCTGCATATAAGAACAGCTTCTGATCTGGGAATAAGAGCGCAATCTGTTTTAGATGGGATTGATTTATGAGCCAAGGGAAGAAGCTGGGATGAGTGGAGCATAAGGCATCCTGTTTAGGAAATCTCCTGCCTGTTCCTCATTCCGGAAGGGAATGTGCCCCTCGGTCCATTTTACTACAGTCTTGATGTTCAGGAAATTATCTTTTTTATTCAGGAAATTATCTTTTTTATTTAGGAAAAAGTTGCCAAGCTTGAGCACGCTAAATGTTCTGAGTTTGGGTGTGATTTGACAGTTGTTCCATCATAACAAACTCTGATCATAGCAGTTATCCAGCTTAGTCCCCTGAATTGGTGTTGTCTAACCAAGACCTGGGAATAAATTAACTATTTTTTATTTATTTATTTTAAATTGTCTTTCCTGTCATTGTAGACATGGAACTGTTTGGCTCCAGTGAATTTTCTTCTGTCGTGAACAAGCTGACATATATTTTGTAAATCCGTGACATGTCCTTGTTTAAGTTTATTGTCTCTTTAGTCTGTGATATGAAATTCTTCCTTAAGCTGTTTAATTCATTTTTATCCCTTAGTGCTCTGGGGTTCCTGGTATGATCATGTAAAAGGCTGGTGGGAGGCGAAAAATAAGTACCGGATTCTTTACCTCTTCTATGAAGATATAAAAGAAGTGAGTGTTTATTTTTAGGCTTCAGACCACAAACGAGTTAACACCAAACTACAGGGATTTAAAGCTAAGATTGACTTAGTATAGTAAACATGTGCAGGATTGCATTGTTGGTTAACAATCGGTTTATTTTCCTATTCCTGGTTAATTCCTGGATTTAATTCCCTCCCTTTCCACAGAATCCCAAGTGTGAAATTCAGAAGATCCTGAACTTCCTGGAGAAGGACCTGGAAAAGGAGGTTCTAGATAAAATAATCCATTACACACAATTCGAAGTCATGAAAAATAATCCCATGGCAAACTACACCTTTTTGCCTCCAGAGATCCTGGACCATTCAATCTCCCCATTCATGAGAAAAGGTGCTACTGGGGGCAGGGGCCATTGTTTTTTCTACAGGGGTGCCGCTCAGGGAGCAGAAGGCCTGAGTCTTTTGCACTATGGTCCTGATCTCCTGCCCTTTCCCCTCCTTTTGAAAAACCTTTTGTGGAACTCTTGTCTGGGTGCAATTCAGTGGGACTCCAATCACAGGTCAGCCTTATCTGTTCTCTAGTGGTGTGTTGATCTGTGCTTGCTGGATATTGTGTGTACAGGCAATCCTCTTTTTGCAGGGGGCTTCTGTTCCAGACCCTAGCACACATCAGCAGAGCATGCGTAAGCCGGTTCCGCCATGCTCCAACCTGTTCTGCCCCTTTTAATTACATCTTTCTGACGTTTGGGGGATACTTTCAGGTTTGGTGCCGTGCGTGTGTGCGTGATCGCCCATCATTTGGACACACCTAAATTGAGAGTTTCCTGTGCTGATGGTATTGAATGGGGACAGAAGACTTGTAAGCACATGCAATAGTAGCTAGATGGTGTGGGGAGGCAGAACTGCACCTGAGAGAGAGGAGCTGTATTAAATGTCTAACAAGACTTGCTTTAGTTTTAATATGTACATAAGCAGCAGTTCTCTCCAAGCATATGAAGATGTGTGTTGGGGACTGTGCCCCGAGTTTTTTAAAGGCCTAGTAATACTCCTGTTTTCCAGGATTAAATCATTTTTCCTATGTGGCGCTGTGGTCTAAACCACTGAACCTAGGGCTTGCCGATCAGAAGGTCAGCGGTTCCAATCCCCGCGACAGGGTGAGCTCCCATTGCTCAGTCCCTGCTCCTGCCAACCTAGCAGTTCGAAAGCATGTCAAAGTGCAAGTAGATAAATAGGTACCGCTCCAGCGGGAAGGCAAACAGTGTTTCCGTGTGCTGCTCTGGTTTTTCCACATAACCCGGAAAAACTGTCTGTGGACAAACACCGGCTCCCTCGGCCAGTAAAGCGAGATGAGCGCTGCAACCCCAGAGTCATTCGAGACTGGACTTAACTGTCAGGGGACCTTTACCTTTACCTTTAATGGTAGTTTGTTCCCAATAGTTGTGGGGTTTTTTGCTAGTATCTTTCAAATTTGTGACCTTTGAACAGTAGAATTAATTTTTTTAAGTGAAACTGAATATTCTCTGTCTTTGGCTTTCTCTGCTCTAGGAACTGTTGGGGACTGGAAGAACCATTTTACTGTGGCACAAAATGAGAAATTTGATGCAGAGTATAAAAAGAACATGGCAGGAACTTCTCTGACTTTCCGCATGGAACTTTAAGCAGGAACAGTGTAAACTCTATTATCCTCTTAGTACGTTACATTATTAAAAACACAACCTTATAGAATACACATTTGCCTGAGAACAAGCCTGATTAAACTCGGTATAGCTTAATTCTGAGAAGACATGCATAGGATTGCACCGCAAAAGTCTTAATCCATCACACTTTCTTGTACAATTCCTTTTATACTTGCTGGTCTTCATTATCTTCTTCAATATAAAGTATATTGTGGCAATCATTTCAACCTAAAATGTGAATTGAAGATGGAGCTATGCTGATTGACACCCCACCCCACCCTCTCAGTCTCTAACACAAAATTTGGAGAGTAAATTGTGCATGTGTGTAACGCAGAAGTTTGGAAAGGTTTGTCCTTGGGGTGAAAAGAGGATCCTTTCATCCCTTCATTCTTTTTCATATTCAAAGCGATTTCTTGTGCCAATTCCTAGGGTTCCCAACTGGTTTATTTCAGGGGAGAGCAGGTGGGGGACTGTCCTGGAGGCAGAATGAAAAACAACGCTGGAATGGGATTGAGAGTTTCCCAATCCAGCATTTTCTTCTCTTCTGCCTCTGAGGCAGCCCCACCTCACCCGTTTCTCCTTGAAATGATCCATTCACTCTCCACTCCACTTCAATGAAATACAGTGGTACCTCAGATTACATACGCTTCAGGTTACAGACTCCACTAACCCAGAAATAATACCCTGGGTTAAGAACTTTGCTTCAGGATGAGAACAGAAATTGCGCAGCGACGGTGCGGCGACGGTGGGAGGCCCCATTAGCTAAAGTGGTGCTTCAGGTTAAGAACAATTTCAGGTTAAGAACGGACCTCCGGAACAAATTAAGTACGTAACCTGAGGTACCACTGTAAATATATCCTATGTCCAGTATTCACTCCTGTCTCTCAGCACCCCTGTCTCCCTTGGTCAGTTTTTGTCCTCTCCTCTTCGGACTCGCTCAGGAAGAACAAAAGGTCATACAGGAGTTGCTCCTTGTGACAGAGATGGCAGGACATGCTCTGTCTGCTCACTTCTGCAGCCCCACATCTTGTGCCAGGTGCGCATGCACACTCATAACCCCCTCTCCTCTTGAACCCCGTCCAGTTCTTTCCCTTTATCTGCACTCCCAACACTGAACCCTAGAGATGGAGGTTAAATAGAAGAGGGGAGAACACCCACCACCACCAGTGTCTACACTAAGGTTACCAGATTTTTTTCAATGAATCTGGGGACACTTTTCAACTTCAATGGATTTTGTATGGGGACTGATTTGTAATTCCGGGGACTGTCCCCAGGAAACGGGGACATCTTGTAACCTTAGTCTACACAAACATTTGCTGAGACAGGTGCAGGAGAGGGGAGCTCGACAGGCACATTTGCAGGACATTGTGGGAACCAGGACATTTGCCGGCACCAGGTCGGCAAAGCCTAGGGGTAGGCAATGCTGAGCTAGGGTACCCCAAAGGTGTGATGAGGTGTGAGGCAGCATCCTGCATTCCTGGCACAAGGTAGCAGGTTTTATCATCATCAAAAATCAATACATGGAAGAGAAGATATGCTTAGGATGCGAGCAAGCATTAATGTTATAAGGTAAAGGTAAAGGGACCCCTGACCATTAGGTCCAGTCGTGACCGACTCTGGGGTTGCGGCGCTCATCTTGCTTTATTGGCCAAGGGAGCCGACATACCGCTTCCGGGTCATGTGGCCAGCATGACTAAGCCACTTCTGGCGAACTAGATCAGCACACGGAAACGCTGTTTACCTTCCCGCCGGAGCGATACCTATTTATCTACTTGCACTTTGACGTGCTTTCGAACTGCTAGGTTGGCAGGAGCAGAGACTGAGAAACAGGAGTGCACCCCGTCGAGGGGATTCGAACCACCAACCTTCTGATCAGCAAGTCATAGGCTCTGTGGTTTAACCCACAGCACCACCCGCATCCCTAATAATATATTATAATATTATACAGTACTGTGGGGCAAAGCTCCTTGTAAAACTTAGAGCTGCGCTTTGACCCTTCTGTGGTCCCATATCCCGCCCCCCGCCCATTATACGCTTTTTAATCTACTGTGCTGTACACTTAACGTGGACTTTTTTTTGTTAAGGCGATCATTGCTCCACCTTGTTCCACGGTATGACTGCAACAGCTCATTGTTTATTTTCTACCCGCTTTTATCTAAAGAGCAAGCACAGCCACCGCACATGTGAACGAACTGCGGGAAAGACTCTAGGAGACGAAAGATTTCCCCCACTTTCCCCCACTTATTTGTTTGTTTTGCAGCACAGGAAAATCTTTACTAAAAGCTTAATAAATTAATTAAAAAGTGTGTTCGCGGTCTGATCCATTCCAAGAATCAAAAGGACTTTGAAATAAGCAAATATGAGCAACTGAAGAGGTTGGTGGGAGATTTATTTATTCTTTTAAAAACTATACAGCCAAGTCTTTCAGGGACGGTGTTGATGCAGCCTTTCTGGCCGCCCTCCTCCTCTCCCCCTGGTATTTCCTCTCCAATGTCATGAAAGAGAAAAAGAACTCGCGGGGGAAGGGGGCGTGGCTTGCGGGCCGGTTGCCACGGCGACCCAAGAAGAGGCGGGGAGCCGTCACTCTGGTCAAGCCCTTCCTAGTTTCGCTGACGTCAGAGGTGCGCGCGGTGGGAGAGCCGGTGACGAAGGCGGAAGTGCTGCCAGCTGAGGCGCTGAGGGAGCAAACGAGCCTCGCTTTCCCTCCGCCGCAATGGAGGTAAACCGGGGAGAGGGACTCGAGGGGTGGGGGGAAACGGCGGACGTGGGCCCTGGGCTTCCCCCTGCTCAGCCCTCAGTCATAGAGGGGCCTCCGCCTCCGCCACTTGCGGGTTCTCCCCGTTTCCCAAGTGGAGGGTTAGCGAGGGGATGAGGCTAACCCGGGGTTTGTGGTGAGGGCTTCCTGGTTTGGCTTCGTCTCCTGTTTTTTCCAGGGGCATGGAATCTCATAGAACCGTAGAATTGGAAGGGACACCCGAGGGTCATCTAGTCCAACCCGCCTCAACTAGATCTCAGCTAGATCATGCATGATAGGTGGGCATCTTCCCCAAACCATCCCTGTTCAGACGGGTCTCTCCCCCCCCCCAAACACAGGAGTTGCATTAATACAGTGGTACCTCTAGATACAAACGGGATCCGTTCCAGAGCCCCATTCGCATCTAGAAGCAAACATAACTAGCGAAGGCACGTCTGCGCACACGCACGTTGCTTTACACCACTTCTGCGCATGTGCGTGACATCATTTTGAGTGTCTGCTCTTGCGCGAACGGCGAAACCCGGAAGTAACGTGCTCCGTTACTTCCAGGTTGCCACGGAGCGCAACTCGAACACGTGCAACTCGCAGCGTATTCAACCCGAGGTATGACTGTAATAATAATTTATTTATACCTCGCCCATCTGGTTGGGTTTCCCCAGCCGCTCTGGGCGACTCCCAACAGAATATTAAAAACACGATCAAACATTAAAAACTTCCCTAAACAGGGTTGCCTTCAGATGTCTTCAAAAAGTCAGGTACAGTGGACACTCGGGTTGCCAACGTGATCCGTGCGGGAAGCACGTTCGCAACCCGCAGCACCGCGTCTGTGCATGCACCGGTCGTGATTTGGCGCTTACGCGCAAAGCGCAATTTAGTGCTTCTGCGCATGTGCAAGTGCCGAAACCCAGAAGTAACCCGTTCCAGTACTTCTGAGTTCGGCGTGCTGCGCAACCCGAAGCATCTGTAACCCGAGGTATGACTGTAGTTGTTTATTTCCTTGACATCTAATGGGAAGGCGTTCCACAGGGCGGGCGCCACTACCAAGAAGGCCCTGTGCCTGGTTCCCTGTAACCTCACTTCTCGCAGTGAGGGAACTGCCAGAAGGTCCTCAGAGCTGGACCTCCAAAAGTTAATAATATTGGTCGGATGCTAGGACTGGAATCCTGGGAATTCCAGTAATAAGTTCTATTGAACTGCATGAGACTTACCTCTAAGCACACCTGAGTAGAGTTGCACCTCTTAATCAGGTTTGACTCCCTCCCCCAAATGTGGTATATGTAAGGCTATGAACTTCGTATTGGCCTCTGCTGCTTCGCTTTTAAAGCAGCAGCCTGATATACGCGGAAGTCAAATCCGTCAAACTGTTACCTGTATGGTACAGCGTCTCAGAGAGTGCAAGTAGAGGAACTTGGTTTAGTGTGTGGTGGGTTTTAAAAATTATTTTGAACCTTAGGTGATTTTAGGTAAGTGTAAAGGCTCTCTTAGCAACAAACAAACACACTCCTATAGATCCACAGTATGGAGAAAAGATTACTGAGGAGATGTGTATGAAGCACAGTGAACACCATAAAGCACTGTATGGATGCTGAGTGTAATTCCCATCACTTTATGTCTGTGCTAGGAACATTTATTTGGTAAGTCTCAGTGTGCCAGACTGCTGTTAAAAGACACAGAATGAGGGCTGAAAAGAGATGGCAGCCCTAAACCAGTGTTGGAAAGTGAGATATGAAGCTTAAACCTAGGTTATGGGCACAGCAATGGAATGTCTAGGCGTGCTTTTTTATAACAAGAATACAAAGCTGAAAATGAATGAACTGCAGCTGAAAAATTATGTTCATTTTCCACATAGTCTCGTCCTTCCCCTGCCCACCCCCCTAATATTCTTAAGAGGGTCTCTTCTCCAGTCTTCAGAGAATAGCTGGAAGTGGGGAGGCAGAAAAAGTTCCTTTCCTTCCACTCCGCAGTTTTAGTCTGAACTCTTAGGCTCAGAAACTGCTTGCACCAATTAAATTCCCTGTTGCAAAATGCACCTAGAACAATGGGAGTTTCGAACATTGTCCTAAACATCTGCTGGCACTATGAATTCAGCTTTCGAACACTGGAATGAAGCAGGGTGGATAAACCACATCTTCCTTTAGCAAAGGTAGCTTTGTAATTGTAGTGACTAGGCCTTGGAAACATTTTTATTCTTCGCGTTGTCGTGAAGTATTAGAAATATGAATGCCATGTTTATATACTGAATGGTTGTTAGTGGTTAGCATAAACATACAACTATCTGTTCATTCCTGAGATTACAGTGGTACCTCGCAAGACGAATGCCTCGCAAGACAAAAAACTCGCTAGACGAAAGGGTTTTTTGTTTTTTGAGCTGCTTCGCAAGACGATTTTCGCTATGGGCTTGCTTTGCAAGACGGAAACGTCTTGCAAGTTTGTTTCCTTTTTCTTAACACCGTTAATACAGTTGCGACTTGACTTCGAGGAGCAACTCATAGAACACGGTGTGGTAGCCTTTTTTGAGGTTTTTAAAGACTTTGGTGATTTTTGAAGCTTTTCCAAAACTTTCCCGACACCGTGCTTCGCAAGACGAAAAAAATCGCAAGACAACAAAACTCGCGGAACGAATTAATTTCGTCTTGCGAGGCACCACTGTACAAATAAAAAGTATCCCTTTGTGCATGCAAAAATGGATGTTTGTATGTTTTGGAAACAACAATGGTGCTGATTACAAGGTAACAAGATTGGGTGGCGATGAAAGTGGATTAAAACTAGTAGAAGGTTGAGAAGGTGATCAAAGAAGAATGAAGTGGTAACATCAGGAATGTAATGGACATATGCTTGCAACAGGAGTGGGAAACTTAATTATTTTTTGAAAAAAATGTATTAAATTTAAACAACTTGGATGAATTTGTTAAAATTTGAAAACTAATAAAAATTAATATTAAAAAAAGAAATAAAAAGTATCCCTTTAGATTAAGTTGTAAACTATTCTACACATTTTTTCTAATAATTCCAAGCTGTTTAACGTGAACATGAAGTCCTGTGTTATTAGTCATCTGGCAATTTAGGGTGGTGTTCCATTAACATACTTTTGACACCCACCCAACTCGCCTCCTTTTTGCTTGATCCAGGTTAGGCAGAATACCATACTCCCTGTCATCTAGCCTGTCATCAAGAGACGCCTGTCATCTAGCCAATAGCTTATCAGGTCCCAGAAAACTACTAAACACTTAGAAAGGAGTAAGCTCCACTGAAGACTTAATACTTAACGAATTAAGGTATTGAATTGCTCTTTAGGCAATTCTGTGTGTGCTAACCTGGGATTGTGCAGTAGTGGCCTTTTTATTTGCCTATTATGTTGTGCTATTTTTTTTTATTAATAGCCATTGTATCTGCTTTAATAGTGTTATTGATTTAAATGGTCTCTTTATTGCTGTAAGTTTCTTTGAATACACTTTGGGGTGGAATAGTAGTGTAGGGATGGAGAAACAAATAACAAAATGGTCTGCATGCATCAGGCTTTTATCTGTAATTTTGTTTGTTTCAGCTGCAAGATAGCGGTCAAGAAATGGCAGCTTCGCCTGCCACATCCACAACAGGCAAGTCAAAGGTAAGGTTTCCTTATAAATATAATTTGTTCCAGTAGTAATAGATCAACAAAAGGAGGTCTGTCTGTAGGTGGCATTAAAAAACGTTGAATTTTCAAATGTAAGAACTGGCTCTGCTTTATTTGCAGGAAGTGAAGTCATTGCAGCCATTAAAAAGTAATCTTTGTATGCAGCAAAGGTTTATTTAGCAAGTACAGCTGGCAGCTATTGCAGGAAACAAATGTACCTACCAGCCCTCTGAAAAATGCTTCAAATATTTGGTTTTCATTTCCTCCTTATTGCTTATTTATGTAACAAACCTTTTTAAAGGTTTGTGCTTTCTATAGTGTTCAGCAATTTAGTCTATAGTTCCTCCTGAGCTTCATCTGTTTGGCAAGCCTAATATTTTGGTGTGTCTGAAGATGGTCAGCCATTTTTTTATTTGGCATGCCTCCAATATGTTTATATGTAGACTCCTTTTGAAATTACTTCAGATAAACTGAAAATGTGTTTGGAAATCATTGTTCTGCAGTAATTCAGGTTGCGTCTTCCTAACCTTGAGCCTATGAGAGCTGGCATCTCCCCTTGGCTAAAGTGGACTAGTTTTTTTCTTAGCAAATGAGTGCAGGTGATTCTATTGTCACTGCTTTTCGAGCTGTAAAAAGCCGGAATAGTAATTTGAGATACCATCTTTACAGAATAACATAGCAAGTGCACAGTTATTGTGATACTGTAGGCTGTGTTGCCTAGTGCTTTTCAGGGCTGAGTGCCTAATTCTCTTTTACTGCTTCTGTTCTGAAAGGGTTATCCCACTTTGTAGGTCTGGTGGAGACAAATACATTCAGCCCCTGCTAACGTTGAATCAAACATTTGCAGGATGCTTTGCAAACTGCAGCATATTTCTCCAGAGTTCTTTGTGAAGCTTCGTCTGGTGGAATGAAATAGGGCAAGCATTAAAAGTTAGCTTGATGTTCTGAAGTTCAATACCCTTAACTGCTATTTAGAACATTATTTATTAATTTTGCAGCTGGATTCTTTACCCAGAGAAGATCTTATCAAATTTGCAAAGAAGCAAATGATGCATGTACAGAAAGTGAAATCCCGATGTTCAGGTACCTCCCTACTGATGTTGGTTTTCATTTTCATTTATTTTAAAACAGCATAGCAGACTGCATGAAGCATATAGTCCAAAAAAAGGCCCACCAGTACCATTAGCTTCAACAAATAAGAGTCATGAGACCAAAAAAAAGCTTTCAGAAATCCTGGGGAAATGGCGTGAATATCTGCCGGGCTTGGATCTGTTCCTGCTGATGTTAGGCATAATAACGACCATGAATAAACCAAATTAGCTGTATAGAAGAAACTTTGGGGTTGCAGAAAAGTAGAATAGTATATGAAATGAATGAATTATCCTTATTCAGAGAAAACACTGTTTCCCCTTAGAACTGGAGAAAGAGATTGAAGAAATGAAAACAAAACCTGCTGCTGGAGGAACTGATGATATTCTTCAGGTGGGAACAAATAACTTACCAAACACTCTTGAGGCCGGTAGGGTGGCAGAACTGTTGCAGCTTCCCAAGCCCTGCCAGCTCACACCAGTTTGAGTGGAATATGGGGGCAGTTTATTGTAACTTTTCACTTAGCCAGCTCCAGGCTGGTGTAATTGGGGAGGAGGCTGAGGACCAGGGCCATTGGGGAATCTGCAGTGCTTTCGATCCTGGAAATGGAACACTTTCTTGGGGCTTTCCATTTTGCTACCACTGGCAGAAGGATCCCCAGCAGTAGCTTTCTGCGTGTTTGGGTGAAGCCAAGGCAGAGCCTCCATCGGCAGCAGAGAGACAACTACACACAGTTCTTAATGCCCCCAGCCATCAACACAGACTGGTGGTAGGATTATACTATTAACGCATCATATATTGTGCAAGGGCTTTTCGTTTCCAGTAAATGCATGTTTTGGTTAGAAGGAAATAAGCTCTGCCTGTGTCATACCACTGAGACTCCTTTTCTCAGCTGTCTGGGAGGTCATTGACCTACGAGTTAAAATGCAGGGCATTGTGTTTTATTGAAAATTATCCTTTTTTGGATTTCCTCCTAAAGTGGGCTGCTTCTCATCTCATGAGATTTGAAGATCAATTTGCTACAAGTGTTCCTCCAACTATAACTGCCTGTTGCAGCATTTACTGGTCATCTTAATGATAGTGAGCAACTGAAAGCTTGGTTTGATCGTAAGCTTAACTGTCAGGGTTTAGCATCACGTTCATAAGCCTTGGACATGCGCACTCCCATCTCCCCTAACCCACACCAGAGGAAATTGGAAGCTTTCCATTCCATTCCATTAACCACAGTTTAGTGCAGTGCTTGAAACCAAACTCTTTCAAGCTGCCTTATTTCAGTAAAGTACCGTTAAGATTAACCACAGTTTAGGGTTTGGACATACCACTAAACTGTAATTAGCTGAAAATGACAGTGAAAACTTTTAAGTCTTCTCGTGGTTACACCTGAGAAGAGGGGGAAATGGTAATCTGATGCTCAGTCACATGACTGTAAGCATTAAGCACAGCCAATAAGTAATTACATGATTGTTATGATAATCTCATACCCATGTCTGTTCCCCTCTCCTAGATCAGTGCAGTAAATTCATTAGTTAAGCTTCAGATAAAGGAAATTTCAGAGCATAGTTAGGTTAACCATGTTGTGTATTCAGATATGGATGTGTTTTCAAACAATGTTGTTATTAGATTTTACCAGACTTCTTAGTAGCCCCAGAACTGCCCCAGTCAGAGCCATGAGTATATCCCTGGTCAGGTTCTGATTGATTCAACAATGCTTTCTGTCTAAGGATGACTTTCTATATAAGAAATTATATCTCAGTTAACTTTAGAGTGAATATCTGTGTGGTTTTAATGTAAATGGAGCCTGAGGATCAAGCCCATGATTCTGACACATGATCAAACTCTGGGTTTGGTGCTGAAGCGGGTTAATAACTCAGCCCACTGAGTGCAGCTGAAGAACTCTCAGTCTCCATTTATTCTGTGGCACAGGAAGCAAATGTCAATTAAAAAATGAGACACCTTTCAGCATCTTAAAGAAATACAATTCCTCTTGTGTTTTTGTTTATAGTGAAGTGGGTTCTTCCTTCATGCTCTGTCCTTCTTAAAATTAGGCCCTCACAGAGAGGCTGGATGTTGTTCTTCTGGAGAAAGCTGAAGTCCAGCAGCAGTGTCTAGCTCTGAAAAAAGAAAATGTGAAAAGGCAACAAGAAGCAGAGGTACTCCCTAATTCTAGCTTATTTAATATATTTCTGTCAAAGAGAGCCTTTCCTGTCTTTTAATCCCTTTGGCTCTATTCCAAGTTCACAAGTGTCTCTATTCCAAGTTCACAAGTGCACTGCCCCTTTCCTTGATCCTAAACAGGGAGGCACAGCAGATACGAGTGTATTCTCTAGGGAAGAGATATTCAATAGACTGGGGATATCTAATGTGGTGCCCTCCAGACGTTGCAGGACTACAACACCCATCAGCCCCAGCCATCACAACCAGTGGCCAGGGATGATAAAGTTGTAGTCCAGCAACTGGAGAGCATCACATTAGCTATCTGTGGGCCAATGGTTCTGTTGCAGTAAGGCTTACTAATCTCTCAACCTTTTATTGGAAATTGCTTTAAACATCTTTTTTTAAAAAACAACAAAAAACCAGCGCTCTTGCCAGTGCCTAGACATGTGAGGTGGCACAAGTGTTATTCCCAGCAGATGGAGTATTAAGATATTGCCAAAACATTAAACAATTGAAACACTTCTCATTTATCTGGCCTTTCCCATTTTAGAAATCTCTCAGAAATATATCTTGCCACCAAGAACAAAATATGGTTTAAATTCTTTTCGTCTGTAAAATGTGTTCTGCTGCTTTTTCTGGTACGTATGTCAGTTAAGAGATGACAACTGCCATTAGATATAAGGCACACAGTTACTTAAGTTGGAAGTTGCATGCTCAGTTTTGTGAGTGGAATGGAGAGCAATAAAGTAGATTAAATATATATTATTTAAGAAGACTGAGAGTAAACCTTGGGCAACCTTTGAAATCCTATTTTGTAATAGGTCAGATTTGTATTTTGCCTTTAATTGAAGAAATGTGTTTTCAGCTTGGATGGGAAGGCAGATGTTGATGAATTAAGCCAGTTGTGCAGATCTCCTATACATGTTTTTGTGTCTGTCTTTATTCCTAGATTGTTCCCTCTGTCAGACGGGATTGGGGAGTGAGGATGGGTATTGGGTGGGTTTTGGTTTGATTTTGATATTTTAAGTGCTGTAAATTGGGTATGCACTTACAAAATGATTAAAATATGCATATATGCTCTGAATATTTTATCATTAGGCTGCTCTCGCTAAGGAAGGAGAATTGCAGAAGAAGTTTGCACAGTTGAACACTGACTACCTGAAAGAAATCGAAGGTCTTAAGAATGAAACCATAGCAACACAGTCCAAATATGATGAAACTATTGCCACGTTGCAAAAGGAACTGCTTGCAGAAAGGAGCAAACAAGAGCAGCTCACAGAACAGCTTAATTGTCAGAGTAATAACCAAGAAGAAATTAAAAGGCTACAGGAAGAGGTCCATCAGACTAAGGCTGCCTATGAGGAACAAATATTGAATCTGAAGAAACAGTTGGAAGCTTCCATTGAGGGTAAGAAGGAGGAAACTGCCAAACTGCAAGATGTCATTGAAAGTAATTCTCAGTGTTACCAAAGGGAAATGGATAGATTAGATGAAGAGCTAGGCAAACAGAGGACTGCTCACCAAAAGGAGGTGTCTGAGTTGACATGTCAGCTTGAAACCGCTGTCAAAGCATGTGAAGAGGAGCAAAATAAGGTAGATCAGCTAAAGCAGAACTTAATAGAGCAATACAGGGTAAAAGAGAAGGACATGCAGGATGAATTGCGTGCTTGTAAAGAGAAATATGAGCGTGAACTGGAATACATAAGGCAAACTCTAACGAAAGATGTAGACAGCCTAGAATCTGGAAATGTGCAGTTGGAAACGGAAATGGCAGAAAAGACCAGACATTTAGAAAATGCTTTAAAAGAACTGGAATCTCAACACAGTATATTACAAGATGAGTTAACCTACATGAACAATGTTAAGATGAAACTGGAAGTGGAAATCCAGCATGCACAGGATGAATTCTTCCACGAAAAAGAAGATCTGGAGTTCAAAATTAACGAACTGCAGCTTGCCAAAGAGGATCACTGTGGCGTAGTTGAAAAACTAAAATCGGAGTTGAAGGCAGTAACAGAACAACACGAGAAGACTATAAAAGAAAATAGTCTGGAAATTGAAGAACTGTTAGAAAAGCATAGAAGGGAAATTTGTGATCTTAAACAATCAGTATCATTAAGTTTAGAGAGAGAAAATCAGTCATTGGCTCTTCAGATAGTGGATCTTAAAGAACAATGTCAGAAGCACCTACAGGAGAAAGAAGATGCAATTGCTAGTTATGAGAGCTTGCGTGAAACGATGGAAACCTTTCAAACAGAATTGGGGGAATCAGCTGGGAAGATAAGCAGAGAATTTGCATCCATGAAGCAGCAGCAGGCTTCAGATGTTGATGAACTACAGAAAAAGCTTAGAGCTGCTTTCAGTGAAAAGGATGTTCTCCTTGAGACTGTAAATCAGCTCCGGGAACATACAGAACAACTTTCCTCCAAACTCGAGGAGCTGGAAGAACTAAGGCATAAAATAGGGACTCTCCAGGAAGAGAATGAGAAACTTGTTGCTTCTCTTCATCAAAGAGAGGCTGCAGTGAAAGAACTGGAAGAGAAGGAGAGTGAGCTTTCATCACAGAACGATAGCATCCTAGACAAACTGAAATGCTCTGCTGAAACGATAGAAAGCCTCCAGGGGAAATGCAAAGAGGAGAAGGCAGCGGCTGTGGAACATCAGCAACGGGTTGAGGCTCTTAGCCTTTGCAACAGTGAATTGGAGCAACAGGTAGAGGAGTTGATGGCGAAACTGAAAGTGGAAAAAGAAGAGAACCAACTAAAGCTGGGGGAATTGGAACAGCAGATTGAAGCTCTTCGGCAAGATAAAGTGCACCTCTCATCTGAAGTAGCGAGTCTACATGATGAAAATAACAAGCTCAAGGAAGACAGGGACCAAGCAGGGAAAGAGCTGGAAAGCATTGCATCTGAAAAGCGGGGCTGGATTGTGTCTCAAGAGAAAGCAGATAATTTAGAAACGAAATTGCAAACAGTCTGTGAAGAGAAAGACCATTTGACTAAGGTACTTGAGGAAGAAAAGGCTTTCAGATCTCTTGTCATGAGTCAGCTCTGTAGCCTCCTTGAGCAGATGGGCTCCACAAACCCAGAAGAAAATGAAGGCAAAGATGTACCCGGTCTGCTGCAAGCTGCGAATGAATTATTTGCAAAAATGAAGCAAGAGATACAAAGTCTGAACTCACAAAAGGATGAAAACGTTCTTTTACAGGAGGAAATGCAGAGGCTGCAGGAAGAAAATGTGGCTCGTTGCATGGAACTCAGATCTCTTTTGGACGATTATGAAAACGAAAAACTCCTGTTAAGAGAAGAGTTGGAAGGGGCTGTTTCTGAAAAAGAAGCCCTGCAGCTAGATATCCAGGAGCTGAAACACGCCAGTGAAAAACTCAGGAATGAGAACCAAGATATTTTAGTCTGTATGGAAGATCTATCTGAAAAGCATGCACTCTGTGAAAACAAAATAAAAGATCAAGAAGAGGAGCGGAAAAAATTAAGCTTGATCCTTGAGCAAAAAGAAACGGAAGTGAGAAATGTGCAGGCTGAGCTTTCTTTGCTAAAGGTTAGGGTTTTATTATTGAATTGCTCCCATTTATCCCCCAAGCCTCTTTAGAACAGAATTTGGGAAAGTAATGGGAATTGTGAAATTCTTTGGTTACAATCTTTTGCTCTTACATGCAAAAGATATACCACAAAACTTGAACTCTTCATATCTCTTGTGAGGTTGGTGAGGATGATTTCATACTTTGCGTGATAGACTTGTCTACTGCCTGTATAACAGTGTTGTGGTACATGCAGTAAACACAACTCTTGTGTGAAAGCGTGCTTCCTCCTTACATCCCCAGATATAAGCATTTATAGATTTGGAACCTGGGTTATGGGTTGGATTTGTGTTCTGAAGATTAATTATCCCTGAGTTCACAATAACTCTTGAAAACTATTATTTTAGAGTGGCTGTTAATTTGGTCTTGTTTGAGTGCCACTAAATGCATTTTAAGATTGTGTTAGGTAGTCAAGGGTGAAACTTCTATGTTCTTTATTGATTTCCCCCCAAAATTCTAGAAAATGAAAGTGAGCTAGGGTCTTCAAGACTTTTAGTATTCTTCACTTTGAGACACTTTAGAGGTGATAAAGCAATGAAGCTAGATGGTTGTTGCAAGTGAATAATGCTTCAGGGATGTTCTGTCATTGCCTTATCAAGAAGAAACTTGTTGCCCAAAGAGCTCTGCTCATAGGGCAGTAAAGAAATATTAATAGTAAATAAATAAAATAGCTAGTCTGAGGAGGAAAAGGATCAGAGAGAAACCAATGGTGCCATTTTTAATTAGAAAAGACATGTATCGCTGGATCTTAAAAGGTGATATCATTCTTACTGGAGCCTTTCCTAGTTTTATCTGCTTGTCTTTATCCTCTGGAAACAAATAGCAGATGTAACTAGGAACTCCTGTTAACACTTAGGAGTCCAGTGTTACACCGAGCAAAGCAGAATGAAGGAATCAGCCTCAACAGCTTCCATTGTGATGTCACAGTGACACCACAGGTCACTTTGCTTTGTCTCTGGGAACCCCACCACCAAGCAGCAGCAGACATCTGTGTCGCTGCTCTACTGTTTGGAGAGAAAATTGCATCAATAAGTGCTTCTCAGAGGGCATTTCTGGGACAAGCTCTGTCTCTCTTACTTTAGATGAGTTACATTCAGGGATAGGATCAAGCTATCCATCTAATTTATTGTGTTTGCAATGCAGGCTTCTGTCGAGGAGTCTTCTGCTAAAGATGACCAGCAGTTATCAGAAGCAGAAAAAATGGGTATATATATATTTCTTTACCAGGTTTGCTGCTGTGTAAATAATTACTGAGTATTTAATGTTTGTTTCCGTCTCATCTCTGCAACCTGCAGTAAGTTGCATCTTCTGGAGATACTTTGCTCTGATAAAGACAAAATAGGGTGTTCGGTCTGTGAGTCCTCTATTTCCAGGCTGCTTTTGAATCCTGAAATGTATGGCTTCCATTTTAAAAAAGAAAAGAAAACATATGAACGATGTGTGGGTTAATTTGCATGAGGTGGTGTGTAAATAGATCTTGCTATGGGATGTGACCATTTTTATTGTGATTTAAAAACATTTAATTGCTTAATGAATATAATGAAGCTGATACTTATTAATGAATTATTTCTTATTTCAGAAAGATGTTTTTGCCTTCACATTTTAAAATAGGTTTTGTTTGTTCATTCAGTGAATTTGGAAAGACAACTGAAAGAGAAAGAAGAAAAAGGAAATAAAATTAAAGCTGTTGCCATGAAATTAAGGAAAGAACTGGAATGCAGCAGGAAAGAGGTAACTGGAATCAAGTTCCATATGTTTTGTACCAATTCCTCGTGAGATGTTTGGTCATGTGTTTCTGGGGCCACACAGGTCTTTTTAGGCCTGCTTTTAAGTTGTTCCGAGTAGGATGGTTCCATAGTTTTCTCATTTGTGATTGTTAATGGGCTGGTGGCACTTTGGTAGCCTCCATTCTCATCTAACCACAGTCTTTAGTTTCAGTTTTGACAAAATGTCTGCCTACTTTAGAGGACTGGATGCATATGAGCCGGAGAAGATGGAAGTTAGAAAGACCTTGAAACCAGGGCAGGTAGATTCAGCGTTGACTTGAGAGGTTTTGGTCTTTGCCAAATGGCTGTTTCATACATCTCATTTTTTCCTGCGTGGCAGTACTGACATGGGGAAAAGGGAAATGGACACAATTCTACATGTGGAGTTGACATGCCTTTTACAGTGAATACTTAAGTTTGGAAGCCAATACAACCCACACATTTGGAATTTCTTGTCTGTTCAGGTCTTCCTTGAAAGATATTATTATTATTATTATTAGTAGTAGTAGTAGTAGTAGTAGTACCCCGCCCATCTGGCTGGGTTTCCCCAGCCACTCTGGGTGGCTTCCAACAAAGATTAAAAATACATTAAAATGTCACACATTAAAAACTTCCCTGAACAGGGCTGCTTTCAGATGTCTTCTGAATGTCAGGTAGTTGTTTATCTCTTTGACATCTGATGGGAGGGCATTCCACAGGGCGGGCGCCACTACCGAGAAGGCCCTCTGCCTGGTTCCCTGTAACCTTACTTCTCGCAATGAGGGAACCGCCAGAAGGCCCTCGGCGCTGGACCTCAGTGTCCGGACTGAACGATGGGGGTGGAGACTCTCCTTCAGGTATACTGGGCCAAGGCTGTTTAGGGCTTTAAAGGCCAGCACCAACACTTTGAATTGTGCTTGGAAACGTACTGGGAGCTGCAAGGAAGGTTGGATTTGCTGTTCCTCATTCTCTTTATGGCATGAATGACTAACCCATGACCTATGAGCTGCATCTTGTCTGCCAAGCCACAAGAAGTGGCCTGATTTGAGCCCCCGCTGCTTTATCTCCTGATCTAAGGGGGTTTTATCTCCTGAGATCTGTTCAGGATATAAACTACTCTGTCTGATCTCTAAAGAGCAGTGAGTATACATTTAAGAGTGAAAGGCAGCATTTTTTCCCTCACTCCAGGCTGTCTTTTGCCAGCACAGATCCTTCTGTGCGGAGTTAAAAAAACTAGCTTTTTCAGCCACCCCAACATGGGTCAGGAATGCTGGAAGTGCCGATTCTGTATACATGTGTGTGAAATAGTGTATCTATGACTAAGGAAATGAATGCTCAGTAACCGCCACTCTGATGTTTGTATATGGTAAACGTCCGTGTGTGGTGAGTGTATGTTTGTGTATTCATGCAGCAGCCATGCTCACTGCTGCCATATTGCCCTCAGGGGAGTGGCTGACTGAGGGTCAATATGTCAGGAGCTCAGCCTACACTTGAGTAGGACCCTGGCAGAGACACATGCCTGACTGGCATGTTCTCTTCCTCCTGGTCAATCGTTAGGGAGCTTCAAAGGCTTTCTTCAGCCCGAACATCACAGCGACCGATGCCAACTGACACCGGCACACTTAGGGATCCGCAGAGTTTGCGCATCATGCGTAACAGACCTCAGCAACTCAGCATTTTGGCTAATCTACCGTATTTTTCACACCATAGGGCGCACCGGACCATAGGGCGCACCCAGTTTTTAGGGGGGGAAATCAAGAAAAAAAATATTTTCCCCCTCAGCCCCAAAGAGCAGCGTACAGGCTGCGCACAGCCTCTCCCTGCCAGAGGGGTTGAGCGGGCCTATGGCACAAGCCAAGGCAGCGAGCGGGATGGATCCCGCTCGCTGTTTTGGCTTCCCCTTTAGCCCCGTGCAGCCTCTCCTTGCCAGAGACGCTGCGCAGGGCTTTCCTGGCTTTACTGGGAGGTGGGGGGATTCCCTCACCTCTCCCAAAAGCCCGCAGAAGCCGCGCAACCCCTTTACAGAGATCGCGGCTTCTCCTGGCTTTCCTGGGAAGTGGGAGAATTCCCCCACCTCCCGCAAAACCGGCAGAAGCCGCACACACTTCAAAAGGGCTGCACGGCTTCTCCTGGCTTTCCTGGGAGGTGGGGGAATTCCCTCACCTCTCGCAAAAGCCCGCAGAAGCCGCGCAACCCCTTTAAAGAGATCGCGGCTTCTCCTGGCTTTTCTGGGAGGTGGGAGAAGGGACTGATGCGGCCAGTCAGTCCCTTCTCCCACCTGTGGAAAAGCCCGCAAGAGCGCACAGAGCTTGTGTGCGGCTCTTGGGGGCTTTTCCCGCCTGCCTCCCCCCTGCATTCGCTCCATAGGACGCACACACATTTTCCCTTGCTTTTTAGGAGGGAAAAAGTGCGTCCTATGGTGCGAAAAATACGGTACTTTATTTACATATAAACACACACGGAGCACTGCAACATGGCTCCCTCTCTCTCTAGCATCAGACAGCAAAGAGAAAGAACAAAGGATAATAGTCCCACTTCACGGAACACAGTAACACAAACATCCTGTCTCTGTCACTTCTCACTCTGAAGTCAAAACATACACCATCATGTGAAAGACAACAATCCCATGACTGCAATCATGGAGCAGGAATTCTAACACAATATAGTCCTCATGCTGAATAGGGTTGGTCAATGCTTCTCTGGGACAAAGAGCTTCAAATCTACAGTACATGGAACTCAATAGCTTGCTATTGAGGGCTGGGATTTGGTGTCTGCTGAGCTCAGGGAGTGGGTCGCTCTTGGGTCCTGGCTTCACTGCACACTGTGAAAATATGCTCCAGAGGAAACAAGGTAGGAGGTAGCGTGGGAAGTTTCAGGGGAGGTGAGAGTTAGTGAAATCCCCCCCCTTTTTTTTTTCATTCACAGAAGGTTGTCTTCAGGTCCAATCACTGGTAGAAGTAACAAGGGTTCATATCTTTCTTTGCACTTAGGCACAGTCACTTAGAGAAGAGGTGAAGTTATTGCAGTCAGAGAGACAGCAGCTGTCAACGTCAATGGGAGACATCATTCAGACAGCAGAGAGCTATAAGGTAAAGGACAAGTACTTTATCTTCATCACTTCCTGCTGTGCTTGAAGCGCTTCGGGCTTCTCTGAGCTTGTGCCCACATTGTTCCCAAGCACCTGCATTTCAGCTGCCGGGGAGTTATAAGCAGGGGCTGTGTTTGCAGTGGACAGCACTGTGCCCAAAAACCCTCTGCTTACAGCTTTGTTAGTGTGGATTTTTCTAAGGTGTTTCGCTCTTACATCATTTATTTATTTTTACATATTTGTTTTCCCATTAAAAATGGCACAAAACTCACAGAAGGATCCTGCTGAACCTATTGTTGCTGTTTATAAGCAGGGCAGTTCAAAAATGGTCAGGATTTGTATCCCAAACTCCATTCTATCTAACGGAATGGAAAAAGCAGAGGCAAGGACTCAGTTATAGATCTGCCTTACCCATTGCATGGTAACCCTAGTTTCTGTGTGTGAATTGACTCAGATGTTAGTCCCCACGTGCTTTTGTGCTTTGTTTTACCAGCAACATTTTGCTCTTTTCGAAAAAGCTTTTAGAATATAAGTATGCATCTACTTCCATCTCTTGGATGTTAACCTATTACATCGAATACATAATTCCTTCTCAAATTTTGTTCAGATGTTCTTGTTTGACTCAGGAGGTCCATGTGATTTTGCTCAATAGGACCAACTCCCAAAATTTTATACACCATTCCTCAAATTAATGGAGTTTTTGCTTTGGTTCCCCCATTTGGCATATGTAAGGCACAGTAGTGACAGTGTATTACCCGGTAGATTCTCTTTATTTGAGAGAGTGGAGTCATTAAAATGCATTACTAAATAAACTCCTGGGTCAGACAGTATATTCACTTGCAGGATATTACGTATTACAGTGGTGCCCCGCAAGACGAATGCCTCGCAAGACGGAAAAACCGCTAGACGAAAGGGTTTTCCGTTTTGAAGTTGCTTCGCAGGACGAATTCCCCTATGGGCTTGCTTCGCAAGACGAAAATGTCTTGCGAGTCTTGAGATTTGTTTCGCTTTTCCCCCCCCTTTATCTCATCTGCTAAGCATTTAATTGCCTTGAATAGCCTTGTAGCGGCTAAGCCCCGAAGGCTTTAAGCCTTTAATAGCCGCTAAACAGCTGATAGCGCTAATAGCGCTAATCCGTCAATGGGCTTGCTTCGCAAGACGAAAAAACCGCTAGACGAAGACTCTTGCGGAACGGATTAATTTCGTCTTGCGAGGCACCACTGTACTGTTATTTTCCTCTAAAATCTTTTTATCTTCTGAAGAAACCACTAACAGTGATAAGAATCAGCCCTCTCTACCCCTGGCTTCCCACAAAGATCTGTCATCATCTTTATACATTTTAGCCAGCCTAATTGTACAGTGGCATCTAATATTTTAATAGTTTTCTAGTAAGTCGGCTGAAATGGCATATATTTGAATCTTTGACCAGGTATATATTTTTTTTAAAAAAAACCTTAAGTAGCAATTATTTCACTTTGCCTGTTTTTAAAGCAGTACGATTCCATGTTAAAACACAACTTCCCAGATATTTTCAGCAAGATGCTGAAGATTGGCTGCTTGTTGGGCCAGCCCAAGTTCATGACATGGAGATAAACGTAATGTGAACTTTTAATGCCTTCATCTAGTATGCCATTTTGCTTTGCGGTATATAACAGTATAGTTGCTGTCGGATGCAACAGTGCAGATCTTTCAGACAGGTATCCAGAAAGTAAAATCTTTATTTATTTCCATGTTAAGAAGTAGCTCTGTTTCCTGGTGCTACCCTGACAAAGAATGTGGCTGCTTATGCATACAGAACGTTGTGGGCTCATAAATAAAGGCTTAATAGAATGTGTATGTGCTCCAAGAATCTTTTAACAGAGTTTGACAAGCAAGCAGAGCAGCTGGACACTGAAAAAAAGCGAGCTCGTAAATTTGAACACCAGATAGATGACCTTACGAGACAACTGGAAAACTCTACTCAGCAGGTGCTGGTTATATAAAATCTATACAAATGGAATTTGTTCTTATTTGCGGGGAGGAGCAAAAGTGAGAATTAATGGGAGGAGATTGGGGAGTGAGCAGTCTTGAGACTAGAAAATGAATTTTGCTTTTGCAGGGCTTGAGCCCCTGTTTGTGATCTTGGGCACTTCACTTGTTTTCTAGTTGAGCACTGTTTCTTTCCAACAGTGGCCAGCCACATGACTCTGAGAAACCTACTGCAGGTCTTGAGGGTAACAGCATCCCCACTCTTCCCCCTGCCCACAGCATTTTTAGTTCACAGCAGTGCTGCCTGGAATGGAGGCTTTATTTCACTGTCATAGCTGATTGCTACCAATCCAAAAGACCGATTTTTTTTGAAATACAAAGGTAGAAAAAGTCTATAACGAAATCTGGCTCTTTATTTTCACAGAGGAACAGAAAGGTTTAATCTTGAGCTTCATTAAAAAAAATATTGTTTAGATAGTATTTAGTGCCTCTGAAGGTGGCACGGATTTATTTTTTAAAGTGGAAACAATAAGTTTTGTTAGAGACATGTGATTCTCCATCCCACCCCAATGTATTCTTAAATTATGCTGTTCTTTAAGTATATTGTATATAAGAAATGTATAAGTATATAAGAAATGAGACAACTTATATTAGATATCTTTGTCCTTCAGGGGGAACTATGAGAAAGTTGCTCTGATCATTAATATCTGTTCCAGCTGACGAAAATTTTATATCACGCAGGGTTGTCTGCAGTAGTTTTCTTGTGCTGTATCATTACCACTAGGGACCATTTGCAGAAAGGAACCAGTTAAATCATACATTTGCTTAGAATCAGGCATATTTAAGCTCTCCTGAGATCGATGTATCCAGGACTCAGGCCATTAAAGTAACAAAAGTGGGTTAAAAGCAATTAATATTTTTCAAGTATGTTTATGTTAGGGGGGTGTTTTTTGGTAAGAATTCCAGAGCAGTTCAATGTAGAAAATACCAGAATGGTGTATGCCGTAATACTGTAAAGCATATACAAAATAAAATACAGAAAAACAGTGTCATATGTTTAGTGGCATATAAAGTATGGCTGTTCACACTACTAGGAACGTCTGTGTGAACTGAAGGCTTTTAAGTAAGTTATTTTAAGCCTCACACTGGGGCGGGGGAGTCTGGCTTTTGAAAATGGTATCTGGGTGAAATCTCCAGTGTTTTAAGTGGTGTAGCTGAATATTTCCCATCCTGACTCTGCTAATGCTGCTACTATCCTTTTTAGCAAGACCAGTGGCGTTCTGCTAATGAAGACCTCCTGACTCGTGTTCAGACTTTGCAAACTAACACTAAGCTGCTAGAAACACAGCTACTGGAAACTCAGAGGGCCAAAGCAAAAGTCGATAAAGAACTCGAAGCTGAAAAGCTTCTAAAAGAACAAAAGATAAAGGTGAGTGACATGTGTTAGGAGAGCAGAAAATAGAACAGAATAAGATACCTATTTCTGAATGAGTAGCCCTTGCGCTATTTTCTTTGCAGGACCACACTAATGCTGCAAAAGAAGTTGAAGAACTTCAAACACAACTTCAGAAAGAAAAGAAGCATCTTCAGAAAATTCTAGAAGAGCTGGAGTTGGCAAAGAAGGTAGCCTGGTAGTTTATATCTACCTCTCTCCCCCCCCCCCCCTTGTCTTATCTTTGCATATTTACCATCTTTTCACTCAGAGCCAGTGTGGTGTAGTGGTTAAGAGTGGTAGACTCATAATCTGGTGAACCGGGTTCGCTTCCCTGCTCCTCCACGTGCAGCTGCTGGGTGACCTTGGGCCAGTCACACTTCTCTGAAGTCTCTCAGCCCCACTCACCTCACAGAGTGTTTGTTGTGGGGGAGGAAGGGAAAGAAGATTGTTAGCCGCTTTGAGACTCCTTAGGGTAGTGATAAAGTGGGATATCAAATCCAAACTCCTCTTCTTCAGAAGGTAGAATCCATAAAAGAGCATGCAGAACTACAGAATAGGTCTTTGCTGGGTTTTTCCCCTCCTCCAAGTCTCTTCTAAAGGCCAAGGGACCTTCTGATTCAGCATGGGGACTCCAGGCCAATTCACAAGTTGTTGGTGATTCATATACAGCAGGGATATCCAACCAGTCAATCGTGATTGACAGGTAGATCGCCACACGATCTTGGTCGATCGCAGACAAGTAATGTCCTCGCCTCCGTCTCCCGGCGCTAGTTTCCTGTGTTGGTGCCACAGCATTTGTGAACGTTTTGAAAAGCGGAATGCTAAAGCAAACTTATCTGTAGCACTTCGTGAAAAAAGCTGAACAACTCTGGCCGCCACCCCTAAAAAACGTTCAACAACTTTGGCTAACCCCCCCCCCCAAAAGCTCAACAGTGGGTAGATCACTGCCATTTATATTATACTGGGAGTAGATTGCAGTCTCTTTGGAGTTGGACGTGCCTGATATATAGAATCTTGTTTTTTATTTGGGTATTCCATGGCATGTTAAACGGGGCTAAAGAATAAATGTTTGGCAGGAATGTTAGGTCTTCGGGACCAGCCAAAGCAGCGGTAGAAGTTAAAACTTGCAGGTGCCGTGTGTTTGTACAGGATGCGCATAAGAGTACAGTGATGGACATGGAAATGGCTGATTATGAACGTTGTGTAAAAGAACTTAATCAAAAGATTACTGACAAAAGCAGCAGAATTGAAGACCTTGAGCAAGAGATTAAAATTCAGAAGCAGAAGCAAGAGACTCTGCAGGAAGAAATCAGTGAGTAGCGCACTAAACTCCTCCTTGGGTCTAAATACGTTTTTGTGGATGTTTCAGTACAGTAAGAGGGTTTTTTATAGGTATGCCTCAGAATAGCAGAGAAGCTACATCCTCCAAACAGAGGTCAATGGCCTCTTATCCAGTAGATAGGAATAACTTTGCAAGAAATTTATTTTGTAGGATTAACAAAGTGCCATAGTATTTAGAAATCATTGGCAGTATATGCCACTTCACAAATGTTTAAAGTTCAGTAGGTTGGAAAAGCCAACACTCCTTAGAAATATTTTTTCACGTCAATGATAAATCTTTATAGCTGTTCATTCACTCTATTTCTTCTAAAAGGATGTCTAGATTTTTAGTTGGGTTTAAAGCAGTTCTTGTCTGAAAATAGTATTTTAAAGTGAAGATTGTAACTTTCTGGTATAGTTTTAATTCTAGTAAAAAGTTTAAATCAAGGAGCAAGAAGGAAGCTTCATTTCTTCTTTCCAAGCCTTTATAGGAAAATCTGGAAGAATTTCATTGAAAGTTCTGCTGCTTGCTTTCTGAATAAATTACCTTCAACGTTTACTTTGTTCACTAGAATCATTCCAGAATACTGTACAAGAGTATGAGGGGAAAAACACGAAGATCAAACAGCTGCTGGTGAAAACGAAAAAGGAATTGGCTGACTCAAAGCAAGCAGTAAGTCCCTATGCTTTCTAATAATTTGTTCTCTCTTCTGACAAAGTAAAAATGATGCTGCTTCATTTCACTCTTCTGCAGCATAGTGCTAAATTATTCAAGATGCTCTTGTTTTGCAGGGAAATGAACTTCTGAGGCTTCAAGCATCTTTAAAAGGGGAGTTGGAAGCAAGTCAGCAGCAAGTCGAAGTTTATAAGGCAAGATCTCCCCCCCCCAATAAAAAGTAGTGAGATGCACAGTGTTGCACCTCCCCAGAGTGGTAGCTAAAGCTGTATGTTAAAAACCGTAACTGCAATCAATTGCTATCATACATGCTATCTCCCTGAAATACTACATTTTTCAAGATGATACTCTGCTGTTACGTATTTACATATAAGTTGCATTGAAATCCATAAAACCTTACTAGGTAAGGATGCACTCTTAGACTCAGTTTCCAGAATAAGTACCACTGAGTTCGGTGGTGTTACTTTGGAGTAAAGGTAAAGGGACCCCTGACCGTTAAGTCCAGTCGCGGATGACTCGGGGGTTGCATCGCTCATCTCGCTTTACTGGCGGAGGGAGCCGGTGTACAGCTTCCGGGTCATGTGGGCAGCATGACTAAGCCGCTTCTGGCAAACCAGAGCAGCACACGGAAACGCCGTTTACCTTCCCGCCGGAGTATTTATCTACTTGCACTTGATGTGCTTTCAAACTGCTAGGTTGGCAGGAGCAGGGACCGAGCAACGGGAGCTCACCCTGTCATGGGGATTCGAACCGCCGACCTTATGATCGGCAAGCCCTAGGCTCTGTGGTTTAGACCACAGCACCACCCGCGTCCCTTTACTTTGGAGTAGTTGTGTACATACTGCTATTACATGCTTTTGGATCTGGATGTCATTGTGGTCGTTTTCTGTACCCAGTCCCTCCCCAATGCCCAGGATAGATTTCAAGTCTGAGAATAAAGAAACTGGGCACAATCCAATCAAAACTGAGCCTTTTTAAGTCCTGTTGATTTCAGTGAAAAGAGTTAGGCGTGTGTGGACAACTCCTATTGAAATCAGTGTGGGGCCCCGAAATGCTTGACAGGATTGTTCCAAATATATTCCTTTTAATAAAATTAAAAGCAGCTTGTAAATTGGATTGCCAAGCTGCATCCGTTCTCCACTCATGCCACACCACTATGTTTTGTGGTCAATGTTATATTCATTTCACTTTTTTTCCTACATTAGTGCAGTGAGAAATATACAATGTCACATATGACTAAAGTCTTTGGCCAAAATGGTGTGTCTCATTTTTTCTCCACGTGAATACGTTTTTGGAAGCTGCAGGAATTCCAGGCTATAAATTCCATGACAAAAATTTCATACACAGTTTTTACGTGCAACTTTATGTGTAAGGATGTTTTTATATCAAGTAGCTCTTGGTTAATTGCAATTACTTGAATTCATCGCTTCATGCCACTTGTTAAACATTTGACCATTTACATATTTTCGAATTTAGCAACAAAACAGTATCCTCTTTTGCAACAACCAGACCTAAGCCGCTAAGTGGAGCACTTTTGCTATGGAAAAGAGTGAAAAAGCAAAGTAAAGGTATTCCTGTGCCACCAAAATTGTTCCAGAGGGTTCTTGGAAGCTTCAGATTTTGTCAATTTGATATTCCTTATTACTGTCCAATCCAAAATGGAAACTTGTAGCAATAACTTTTCATTTAATGAGAAAACACCATTGTCAACAGCTAAATTCAAATATTTTGGATCTGTGAATGTCCTTTTACAGATCCAGTTGGCCGATATAACCTCAGAAAAACACAGGATACAGGAACACCTGCGGACTTCACTAGAGCAACACCAGAGGGTGCAGAGTACTTATCAGCAGAAATTAGCAGCTCTTCAAGAGGAATGTAGTACAGCAAAGGTATTTTCTTGTGGGGGAGGGATTCCAGTTCCTAAGGAATGGCTCCTCTATGAAAACGTCCAGTAAGCATCTTAACAGTTGCTTAGAGGTTGGGAGATGCTGCCTGACATTCAGTACTTTTGAAAAATGAATTATTAAGTTTCCCAGCTTTGTGCACCTCTCAGATCTCTAAGGGGCTTGTGAAGAGCCAATGTTTTTATTAAAGTCAATCTTAGTTCTAAAGACCAAATGCTCACCATGGCGTGCAACAGTTCCTTTTAGGAGAATTAATTCGTCATCTTTCCCTATGAGCAAAACTGCTTGGCATCTTACTTTTCTTTTGATTTTGCCGTATATCCATGACTGGTAGACTTTCCTGGTGTTGCTATGTCTTAGATACAAATGCAGCATAAAAGAGAAAAGTCTGACTGGTTGCAAGGTTAAAGCTAGAGGTGCTAAGCACCACAATATGTATATAGATATTATTTTAGGCTTTGCGATATACAGGTTAAATTAATCTGATTGTATGGAAGGTAATTCAGCTGCATTTAGAACACCCGAACTGGCGAAAGTTGGGATTTGTACTTTGTAATAGATGGAGTGGAGTGGAAAAAGCTGTATTTCCCATAAGGATATTTTGGGGAGCAGGAAGGGGAATCAAGTTACAAAGAGTTTTCAATCAGTTGCAAAGAACGCTTGTACTGCTTGAACCTCCCACCCCTTTGTGTTTACTGCACAAAGATAAATGATTGCTGTTTTTGCTTTCTGGGCAGTGTTATTTTGCATGCTCTTCAGCAGACTTCCAAACTGAACATAGAATTATCTATCTTCTTGGTTGCTTTTACAAAGCAGAATGACTCAGAATCCGTGTCAGTTATAACTAGGCGTGTGATTAATGTGTGTGTAGGAGGGGACTGGCTTGTGATGGCAGGATGTGTCATGGAACAGAAGCGTAGCTTGTGAGGTTTCCACCCCTGGCTTGCATTGTAATTGTTATTGGTTGTCGTTGGCTACACTTAGATTACAAAATAGCATTGTACTTGGTCATGCATTAAATGTGTGCATTGAAGCTACAAATGATGTGCCTTTGAAACAAAGGTGTTTTGTTTTTTTACTGTCATCATTTAAGAACAGATTATCCTGTGAAGCTCAAGGGAGGGGTGTAATATTTCTCTAATTAAAAAAGGAAGTGTGGGAATGGATGTGTATATCTCTACATGTGCATCACAAGTAACTCTTTAGGTTTTGTTCCTTATGCAAATTGAAATAACCTTCTGCCCCCATATGACATTGCAGGCAGAATACTCCGCTGTAACCTCTGAATTTGAAAGCTACAAAGTCCGCGTTCATAATGTTTTAAAACAGAAAAATAAGTCTTCTCACTCTGAAGCGGATGTGACCAAGCAAGAAAGGTAAGTGTTGCACAGTTGGAAGGTTTTGGTGGATGCTGGTTTAAATCAAAATTCCATTCTCAGGGCATTTGTTAATATTAGGGCTCAAAGTTTCTCAGTTCACAGATTGCCTCAGTGGTATTTGCAAAGTAGATATAGAATCTTACTTAGTCCCAAGTGGAAATAGAGACGAAAAAGGTTCATAGTACACTTAAGATTTGTCTGATTCAGATGTAACACTAAAATATACCTCTATTTAACTTCCCTCTCCTCTGATGCAGTCATTGTGATCCTGCTTGTATTTCTCCAGTCCACTTTGCATGCAGCAGCCATACAATGTGGCAAACTTCCATGCTCTTGTTTGTGGAGTTCCGCTTGTTCCAAAGTACAAAAGTTTGATTTGATTTGGATGTGTATGATGAAATTCAGATCCATTCATCACTTCTTTCAGCCTTAAATTCTTCAATTCTGTTACGGATTTGGAACCGTGTAGATGCAGTCATGGAAGACTAACAAAGCACAGAAGAATTTCCATTTTTTTGTGATTTAGGAAGGTACACTTGAAGGTTCAGGAAAAGGTACACGCTTGCCGTGTTTAGTAGTGTGTTTTTCTTTTCTTTAGAGAACACATGGAAAATATAATAGACCAACTGAAGATCAAATTGCAAGACACTCAGCATAACTTACAAATGAATATAACCGAGCTTCAGTCACTGCAGACTGAACACGACACTCTGCTGGAAAGGCACAATAAAATTCTTCAGGAGACTGTGGCAAAGGAAGCAGAGCTCCGAGAAAAGTACGTTAATACACCTTGTAAATTACATTGTGCTGACGACTAGTGTTTCATCTTTGAATTTTGTGCCCAAGTGGACCTTTGGAGCTAAAAGCCTCCATGTCTTCGGTGTTCCTATGGTGGGAAGATGTTTCAATAAATCCTTGCTGTTCTCCACCCCCTTCCTAAGTTGAAACGTCTTTAACAGTTCCTTGTTTAACTAACATGGACATTCTTTGGCTGCGTGGAAATACCTTCCAGGCTCTGCACAATCCAGTCTGAAAACATGGTGATGAAGTCGGAGCACGCGCAGATTGTCAGCCAGCTGACAGCCCAGAATGAAGCTCTTCGCAACAGTTTCCGCGATCAAGTCCGGCACCTGCAAGAAGAGCACAGGAAGACTGTGGAGACCTTGCAGCAGCAGCTGTCCAAAGTAGAAGCCCAGCTTTTTCAACTCAAAAGCGAGCCAAACACCAAAAGTAAGTTATCCGATACTCACTGAAGGAATAATGCTGAGCTGAGCTCACCTAGCAACTGTTTCTGTGCTTGTCAAATAAACTCCGCTTAGGACTCTATTCCCCAGCTTCATTGCCAATTCTGTCACTGATTCGAGTCTCCTATTACATAATGTCCTGTGGCAGGACTAGTTTTCCTGTTAGGCAGGATGGTAGCAAAGGGTTTTTTTTGGGGGGTGCACCTCTGCAGAGCCAAGCAGTTTTACTCTTACTACTATCAGGGGCGGACTTTGATATTACGGCACCCTGAGCGAGTCCAAAATTTGCCCCTCCCCCAGGCCTCATGCTGTGCGGAGGTGTGAGGGCTCCCACCTCCTTCCTGTAGCTGAGCAAGTGCTTGCCGGAGCCTCCCTAAAACCACCTCTGTTACTGTTTTTATATCCAGGTGGGTAGGGATTAGATCATGAGGCTGGGGGCCAGATCCAGCCCAGTCGCCTTTTAAATCCAGCCCTTGGACGGTCCAGGAATCAGCGTGTTTTTACATGAGTAGAATGTGTCCTTTTATTTAAAATGCATCTCTGGGTGATTTGTGGGGCCTGCCGGCTGTTTTTACATGAGTAGAATGTATGCATCTCTGGGTTATTTGTGGGGCATAGGAATTCGTTCTCCCCCCCCCCCCCCCAAAAAAAAAAATATATATACAGTCCGGCCACACAAAGTCTGAGGGACAGTGGACTGGCCCCTTGCTGAAAACATTTGCTGACCCCTGTTCTGCTTCAGGAATGAATCAACAGTTATCCTGGGGCATTTCTATGTTGTACAGCAGTGTGTCTTTTGTTACTTTAAAAAAATATAGGCTGTTAACAATGTTTAGGTAATTCCCTTCCAAATGTTTTGTTTTGTTTTGTCTCGGAATTGCTTTATAATGGCTTATTTTTCCAGGTTCTGCTCCAGCCAACCTTCCAGCAAAGAACTTGCGAGAGCGGAGGAGCACTGACCTTCCTCTTCTTGATGTCCACACTATAACCAGGGAGGAGGGCGAAGGAATGGAAACCACTGACACAGAGTCTGTATCTTCTGCCAGTAATCACATGCCGTCGTTGGAACAGCTTCTTAATACCCCTGATGCAAAATTTGGTAAGGAAGGCTTGTTCATGCATTGATGCAGTTCGTATTTTAAAGTTTTGTTTTTGGCACAATACCGAACTTAGCACAAGTTGTACGACTTCTTTATTGTTGCATTGGACTTCTTTATTGTTGCATTGAGGTCTGTCATACTTTCTTCATGTTTAGCCCTCATCATGAGCCATGATGATGCACATATGGCCTAGGGAATGTCAAATTCAGCCTAGAGATGCACGTTCTTCAAGGCCTGTTGAAGATTCTGTGTATTGTGACAGGATCCCAGGGCAGCAGGTTTACGGAAAACGTACGTGCATGTTCTTCATGAAACCTGGCGAACATGCACCGTCACCCGTTGCCATGCACATAACCTGCTCAACCTGTATTCCCCTTAACATATACACACTTGCAGCTGTAAGAAATAGTAGAAGCATCAATCACATTTGAAACTGGCTTATTGTGAACCATTTTAGAAGCTCCACACTGGGAAGCTGAACTCACCAAAGAAGAGTTGGTGCAGAAGCTGAACACCACGTCGAAGAGCGCGGATCACTTAAATGGACTGCTGCGAGAATCGGAAGCCACCAACGTGATCCTCATGGAACAAATAAAGGTTAGCAGGCATACCCTTACCAAGCTCTGGTGAACTGCATGGTGCATCAGTTTCTGTTTGCAAAGTCTAAAAATCCTTTTGCGATTATGTGAACTCAGTGCTATTCTCGTTCCCACACCTTGACAGCTTCTCCCCATCAGCTCACAGAAATACTGTCTTCCCCACCTTTGTGATCGTGAGGACTAACAAATCCTCACAGAATGGAATCTCCTATTAAGGTTTTGGTTCTTCCCTAGGAAAAGGAGTCAGGCAATGTCAGGAAATGTAAATGAATGTGGGCTAATAGAGTGTTAAAAAGGCAGAATATGAAGTAGTAGGGAAGCCTCCCCAGAGGTCTAGGAAAATCAGGAACTGGAAATTAGCTGAATAGATTTTTTACGGCTAAGAATGTCAGTTGCCTGTCAGTGAGAATACAGTGAAATGTGAAGCAATTGGGACGAGGCGAGGAGACTCCATCACTGTCACCGGAGGAAAGCATTTTTACACAGTCAGTTTCCTGGTGCACAGTCCCATAAGTGATTAGAAAGAGTCGGAAATGGGGCGGGCTTGAGTCAAGCTCTCCTTGCAAGCAGAAGCTTGAGAGCTTCAGTGACTGCTATTGACTCAGTGGTGAGAAGTGTGAAAGACCAAAGAGGACCTTGTGGTCTCGCATGGGGGTGCATCACTGCATGGGAAAAAGTTAATCTGAAATAGGCTGTGCGCATTATTGCCACTGCTAGACAGCTAGACTGGTGACAGGGAGTGGCCGCTGAGACTATATAACACCTGAAAGACCTACATTGGCTCCCAGTACGTTTCTGAGCACAATTCAAAATGTTGGTGCTGACCTTTAAAGCCCTAAACAGCCTTGGTCCTGTATACCTGAAGGAGCATCTCCATCCCTGTTGTTCAGCCCAAACACTGAGGTCCAGCACCGAGGGTCTCCTCCCTCCCTGCGGTGGTTCCCTTCCTGCGAGAAGTGAGATTACAGGAAATCCAGGCAGAGGGCCTTCTCGGTAGTGGCATCCACCCTGTGGAATGCCCTCCCATCAGATGTCAAGGAAATAAAAAACTATCTGACTTTTTGAAGTATAAGGAAGTTTTTGATGTTTGATGTTTTATCGTGTTTTTAATATTCTGTTGGGAGCCGCCCAAATCCAGCCAGATGGGCAGAGTATAAATAATATGTTGTTGTTGTTGTATTATATAGACAAACATGCAGGGGTTGTTCACTCAACCACTTTGCAAGACCCAGTCTGTTTGTATTTATTGTGTTGGTTAGTTGCTTTTCTTAAGAATGTAACTCAAAGCAGATTTCATTGAACCAATTAAAAACGACAATAAAAACCTAAGAGTGCAACAGTTCAAATAAAATACTAGAAAGCACTGTTAATAAAAAGGCAGCTCTGCAAATCCCACCCAGCTAAGAGGCCACAGTATCCTTCAGTTCAAAGTCTAAAGGTGCAGGGTGGGGGAAGAGAAATTGTTGCTTCATGCCTAAAACTAAACAAGGATGGTGTCAGGCGTACCTCCTTGGGGAGAGCATTCCACTTGTGTTACCACCCTCCAAACCCCCTGTGGAGGGTGCACCAAATTAAGGGCCTCAGATGATGATCACAAGGCTCAGGGTGGTTCATAAGGTAAGGAAAGTTTATCCTTTCCTTCATTCACTGGTGTATCTGCATATGTGATCATGTTGAAGCAATTTAGCAGTGTGAACTGCTCAGTCTGCCCGGGAACTTGGACCTGTGCAGAAGTGTGCATACCTTTTCCTCGTGCCATTTGTCTTAACATTTGTCACGACGGAGCCCTGTTGGGCTTCTTCGCGTCTGCGTGTTGTTATCTTAAGAGATCTTTCTTTGATTTTGACCTCCAGCTTCTTAAAAGTGAAATAAGGCGATTGGAAAGGAACCAAGAGCGAGAGAAATCTGTTGCTAATCTGGAATATCTGAAGAATGTTCTGCTCCAGTTTATATTCCTAAAATCGGGCAGTGAAAGAGAGAGGCTTCTGCCAGTCATTGACACCATGCTGCAGCTGAGTCCAGAAGAAAAAGGAAGGCTTGTTGCGATAGCTCAAGGTACATGAAGCTTTTATTTTCATTTTGCTACTGGTGTTATCTGAGAAAGGGAAGTGGGACAGTTGCTGTTGGTGGTGAGCTTTGCAGCAAGATAGAAATTGAGAGAAATCTGGCTCTCTTCCCATCTGCAAGGGCATGCATAGAGTCAGAACTGCAAGGACAGAGAGTGGCTTTCTACAGTTTAAACTCCCAACATCTAAGAAAAAAGTTACCTGTGACAATTTTAATGTAAACTATAACATGTAACTATAAAATCTGAGTCATTTTTCTTCCCAGAGCAGGGGTTTTTTGGGGGGAGGGTGCATGTTCAGCAATGTGCTGAACGCGACTTTTGATCTGAAAATAATGCTAACATACATACATACTATACATGGCTGCGTTGGTAGAACATGAGACTCTTAATCTCAGGGTTGTGGGGTTGATTCCTGCATTCCCTTCCAACTCTACAATTCTGTGATTCTGCAGCTATGATTCTGTCATTCCTAGATCCTGCAAGAAAGTGTTCCATGGCCGATTCTTGCTTAACTTTACTTTTTGTACGGGTAGCTTCTGACTCAAGTCAGGTTCGATATCCATATTTTAAGGCACAATTAATATACTGGCCATTTGAATCATGCTTTTAGTTGTGCGATTGAAAACCTGTATTGGCTCGTATTTAAAGGATTTTTGTGTGTTTTTCTTAAGGTGAGGAAGAGAGCACATCGCAACCTTCAGGCTGGGCGTCGTACTTGCACAGCTGGTCAGGACTGCGATAAGACTGTGATAAGACTTCTCGTTTGTTCAAACATTCAGAGTTTGCAATTGCACTGGGAAGAATCTCAACACTGAAGAATGAAGCATATATATGTGTAACCCCAGGGTAGCTTGTGTCGTTTTCTCTTTTGGCCATTTTAAGCAGGTAACTTGATTTTTGACTAAGGATTGTAGAAGACATGTGGACAACGAATTCTGCTTTCAGGTTTGGGTCCCCTTTACTGCCTTTGGCTTCAGGTATGCGAGGTCTTGTACATCTGTTAAGCTCTCCAGTCTGAAAGAGCTACTCCACATGTGTGTGTGTGTGTGTGTCTGTCTGGAGCTGCCTTCTCCCATCACTTGGAGAAATATCTTATGTACGCTGGAACTCTGGTTTGGGGTGTCCAACTCATCAGACATCTTCATTTTTTATTTATCCAGAAAAAAATGCACTATACAAGTTGGTGAGTATCAGTAAGACTCAACTTGACAGGTCTGACCATGTGTTTTCCAGTTTTGTTGTTCAAATCGCCACCTCCTTATGACCAGCAGCATCAGAAGCATGCTTTTTCTCGTCAAAGTACTTTAAGACATAGCTTATGAATTGCTTATGTCTTTCAAAAGGAAAGAGGGGCATACAGAAATAAAATAAAAAAAAATCTGGCTGTCTGCCCTACATTCAATTTATTCAATTCTAGGAACCTTGCCAAACTCATTTAGTGATTTCTCAAGCTTAATAAGGTAATATCTAGTGTTTGGGATTTTGCTGTGTGTCATATACCCTCTTGAATTGTGCATTAAAGTCATTAGCTAATGAGCATCAAGAACGAGATGCTTTAGAAAGTGACATTACAAAAACGAAACGGAAAAAAACTTCGTTAAATTAAAAGATTGGGAAATGCATTGTACTGGTTCTTAAGTAGCCACTGACGTCGATGATTATGCTACTCACGAATTTACTGAGACGGAAGATCCTAAAATAGGATTGAGTTTGCTGAAGGTTGTGAATTCTAAATATAATTGTCAGTGGTCATCGAAGATGAGGGCTCTCTGGAAAGGGTCAGGTCTGTGTAATTTCTAGCTAGGCTGCTCTTCCAAGGAAAGGTGCATTTTTACCACTTAATAAGGGGTCCATACTTCACGTTGCCTTGTACATCTGCTTAACACAATTCTAGAAGCAGAACAATTACTTTCTAAAACTAGTCTAGGCAATTGTGAGAATTCGGGTAACTTGTTCTCCCACAGTGTTTCTACCCTTCTTCTTTTTTTTTTTTTTGCCTTTTTTATTATTGGCCTTCAAATGCTTTTGGCTATCACTGAAAACAAGGTTTCTTACAGAACAGCCATGCCAGTCTTTGGGGTCCATTTCTTGGTATGTGAGCCCTGCTTCATTATTCATCTGCTCAACCGTCCACTATATGCTACAAGTCCAGTTATTCCCTCTGCTACTAATAAGTGAGAGATGATTTGTGACTTAACTGTGGAAGGAGGTCTGGAGAAGGTTGCTGCATAAGTTCGTCTAAGTTCGTTTTCAACTGCTTTGATGTGTGTGCGAGGCATTCCATATTCATTGATTATGTGCCAACTCATTCAGGCACTACAAAGAATAGAAGCGGCTGACTTCAGCTAGCTGCTTCTCTCTCAAGTGTAATTGAAGTTAAAAGAAGACTTCCCGTTTTGTATTCCAGTCTACACAAAGGGAAATGTAAAGGGGCTGTGTGTGTGGACAAAAGACCCATCCATATTTCAGTTTGTTGAGCCAAGATATGGTTGCCCAAATGTTGTTATGTTCTGTAAAGATAGTAACATGCATTTTCAGACATAGGAGTAAAACAGATGAATGCACCTGTTCTTAAAGGGTAATATGAGAACACAGCTACTCTGCTTAGCTGAAGATATTTTACCACCTACACTGACTACCATCTGTAATTTAGAAAGCAGTTTGACGGCCAGCTCCGTTGTTAGGTATATGAAACACTCGAACCGCTTCTCACCAATAATTACACATAGTTTTCATTCACTATGGCTAATTAGAGATACCTTTGCACAGCTTTAGTAACAGTCTGTTTTCAGAGCACAGCCATGCCTTAATTTTTTACGTTTTAAATCTGTGGACGTTAATTTATTTCACTGCAGCAGTGTAAGTGGTACATCATTTCCCCCCTAATGTGAGCTCCTACAGCGATAGTTAAGAGTTGGATGTCTTGTTTTGCCGTGTACGTTCAGATATTTAAACTGAGCAGGAAATTGTCTCTGCATTTTCTGCACCGTTTTCACATTAGCTTGACTGAATGCTCGCTACTGATTGCAGGTAGGAATACAATTTTCAATGTTATTAACAGCTGTGACAAAACACTTTTCCTCTTTTTTGAAGTCATTTGAAATTCTGTTTTTATTGTTTCAGACTGTGAATAAATTATGCATATAGTTCATTATTTTTGAAAATTTCAATTGTATATTAATTAAAATGCTATACTCATGAATGTAACATACTGTTTTCCTGCTCTCAATGTATCAATGTAACCTTTTGCTACAAAGAAAGATTGTGGAGGGTGAATGCTGATTAAAATAAGAGTACAAAACATGACTTTTCAGTGTAAATGTGTGTAGTGATTTTATAACCCTTATACAGTTGTACCTTGGTTTTTGAACAGAATGCATTCTGGAAGTCCATTCAACTTCCGAAACGTTCAGAAACCAAGGCGCGGCTTCCGATTGGCTGCAGGAGTGTCCTGAAGCCAATCAGAAACCTCAGAAGCTGCACCGGACGTTCAGCTTCCAAGCCAAAGTTCGCAAACCAGAACGCCTACTTCCGGGTTTGTGAAGTTTGAGTTGTTCTTGAACTCAGCTGTTCGAAAAACAAGGTACAGTGGTACCTCGGGTTAAGAACTTAATTCATTCTGGAGGTCTGTTCTTAACCTGAAACTGTTCTTAACCCTGAGGTACCACTTTAGCTAATGGGGCCTCCTGCTGCCGCTGCGCTGCCACCGTGCAAGTTCTGTTCTCATCCTGAAGCAAAGTTCTTAACCGGAGGTACTATTTCTGGGTTAGTGGAGTCTGTAACCTGAAGTGTCTGTAATCTGAAGCATCTGTAACCCGAGGTACCACTGTATGACTGTATTTAAAGTCACTTCAAGAGAGGCGGGAATTAAAATTACATATTTTTATTAAATGCAACTTTTTCCTATTCCATTGTATTTCCTCTATGGCTAACTAGCAACATTTCTACATCATCTTCAGTAATAGTTACACTTCTAAAGCAAGATGTCGGAAATCTCTGGTCCTCTAAATGTTATTTGTTACAGTTAATTTGGCTGCTGGTACTGCTGGGTCATTCTACATATATGTATATTCCTGTTCTTCCTGCTGCAAGTGAGGAGGAAGCTATCCTTTATCTTCAAAAAAACCTTCAAAAGAGAATAAATATCACATGTTAAGTCAATGAGTGGTGTATCTAAACAAGATTTATTGCATGTTCTGGGTTCTTGCATAGAATATCTGGATATTTGCTAAAAGGATCCAGAACAATATCCTGATTCAGCAAGGAGACAAAATATTTCGTTGATGAAGGATGAAAGAAATTATGCATAGCCTGCTGGTCCTAGGTGGCTGCAATATCACTGAGGCTATCCTATAATCACTTATCTGAGAGTCCAATTGACCTCAGTAGTGCTTGCTTCTAGATATACAGTCATACCTCGGGTTGAAGTAGCTTCAGGTTAAGCATTTTCGGGTTGCGCTCCGCGGCAACCTGGAAGTAACAGCGCGTTACTTCCGGGTTTCTCCACTCGCGCATGCGCAGACGCTCAAAATGACGCCATGCAGGGAAGCGGCAAATCACGACCCGCAGACGCAGGTTGCATTCGCTTTAGGATGCGAATGGGGCTCCGGAACGGATCCCGTTCACATCCAGAGGTACCACTGTACATAGATATTGCATACAAAGATCACCAGTGTTGAAGCAATGATTCTTCAACATCAACTTCGTTGGACTAGTCATGTTGTGCGGATGCCTGATGATCGTCTTCCAAAGCAACTACTCTATTCCGAACTTAAAACTGGAAAATGTAATGCTGGTGGTCAACAAAAGAGGTTTAAAGACTGTCTCAAGGCAAATCTTAAAAAAAAAGTAGTATAAACACTGACAACTGGGAAACACTTGCCTGCGAGGGCTCCAATTGGAGTGCAGCCTTTACCAAAGTTGTCATGGGCTTTGACACTTGAACTCAGGACGCAAGGGAGAAACGTGCTAAGAGGAAGGCACGCTTGGCAAATCCACACCATGATCAACCCCTGCCCGGAAATCAATGTCCCAACTGTGGAAGGACGTGTGGATCCAGAATTGGCCTCCACAGTCACTTATGGACTCATGGTTAAAACTGTATTTATGAAAGACAATCTTACTCTGCTACGAGTGATGGCCAAAGAAAGAAAGAAAATATTGCACTGTTGGCTGTGAGTGGGAGATAGCTGCCAAAAAGGCAGTTCCTGGGTACATTAGGTGTAGCTCAGTTGGTATAGCTTGAGACTCAATCTCATGGTTGTAGGTTCAAGCCCCACCATAGCTGTCAATGTTTCCCTTTTCTTAAGGGAAATTCCCTTATTCCAAATAGGATTCCTCTCAAGAAAAGGGAAAAGTTGACAGCTATGGGCAAAAGATTCCTACATTGCATCGGGTTGGACTAGGTGATCCTAGTGGTCCCTTATGATTCCATGAATTCAGCTACAGCCATGGGAGTATTATACAAGGCTTTCACTGGAATGCTGTCTCCAGTTTCTAGTCACCAGCGATAAATCCAGAGTACAGCAGATGCAAAGAATATCAACTAGTGACTGCAGGAGCAGATAACTCATGAACTGTTCAGAGCCTTAAAAGGATTAGCTTTGTAGCTAAGAGGGAATGTAGCATTTCTACAGTTAGATCAGAGGATATAAACCCAGTAGAGAACAAGACTTGACTTGGGAGACAGTTGGGTACATAATGGTTTCAGGACAAAGATGACTTTATGAAATGGGCATTTTCTGCTCTGGTATGTCAGTGGTGAGCCATTGGGTGGAGGTTTCCTACACAATTTATTCTGAATTCATACCCAACACCGGAACATTGGAGGCTGCCATCAAGGGACAACTGCATAGCATTTATTTTTGCTTCCTGTACCAGTTTGCTGCCTTGAATAAATACTCTTAAAGCAAAAGTACTACATTGGAATAACAAAAGTGTTTTTTTGAGTATGAGGAATTTGCTGTGCTTTACATAGCACATGGTCAGCAAGATAGTAATGTGATTATTTAGACACTAACCCAGCATTTAAAACAATTTGTTTGAAAATGCGAGTACAGATGAGGGGGAAAACATAGAAGAATATTTAATTACCAGGCTACTTTGGAGGATTCAGTTTTCTGGATAAACACATAATTTGAATGCATAGATCAGTGGCATGATAAATCACATCTCTTATGTTCTGGCTATTTCTTAAGCCAGCTAGCTGAATTCAATACATAAGGTCGATCTCTAATAAGGATCAGACAGAACCTTGGCAATGAATCAAAAAGGAAGTCGAACAGATCACGGACATAACTCTTGTCAATATACTAAATGTAATCTTGCCCTATTTTTGTACAGCCCATGATAATAAATCATTCTTCAGTACATGGCTTTTATGAGAGCTATTTTTGGGAACTCGCAGATGAGTCTGTCTGAAGAAATCAGTTGGTACATATACAATGAGAGACATTACACTAAATGTAAATAATGGCATGTCGAAATTTATAGCTAATTCTCTGGAGGCTTAGGTGTTGTTTTCATGCTTTGCAAGGTTTTGCAGGAACCAGAAATGTACCAAATACATGCTGGAAATTTTTCCATATGATTAAAAAACTCTTTAAAATCAACGAGTGTGTCAGTATTCTAGAAATGGGATATGGATCATGCTCCAAATAAAATGGGTTTTTTCAAAGAAATATTGGAATCGTATATTTGTGGGGATGGGAGAAAATGATTTCTCCCCTCACCCTTTCAGGTTGGATTTTAATTTAAGCTGCAAAAGAGTTGAGGTGTCAGGACAAAAAAAAGAGAAAGCAGACAGCTACACAATGGTTTGTGTCTGATTTTAAAAAAAAAGCTGTCAAGGGAAATTCTTAAAACTTTATTCATAAGAAGAACTTGGGGCCTATTTCTGCTACAACTCCCCTAGAAAACCTGCCCCAACCACTTTTTATCAAATAGCATTTTTGTTACTGGATTTTCCTATGTCTGTTTCTGTTCCTCTGTATTTGTGTAACTGTTAGGCAAAGGACCCCTGGATGGTTAAGTCCAGTCAAAGGCGACTACGGGGTGCGGCGCTCATCTCACTTTTCAGACCAAGGAAGCCATTTGTCCACCGACAGCTTTCCGGGTCATGTGACCAGCATGACTAAACCACTGCCGGTGCAACGGGACACCATGACAAGTGCCAGATCGCACGGAAACACTGTTTACCTTCCTGTCGCAGCGGTACCTATTTATCTACTTGCACTGGTGTGCTTTTGAACTGCTAGGTTGGCAGGAGCTGGGATAGAGCAACGGTGGGGATCCGAACCGCTGACCTTCCAATCGGCAAGCCCAAGAGGCTCAGTGTAACTGTTTGGACCTACCATTTCAACTCTGTATCTGCACCAGAAATCTGAAGACTTCACTGGCAACTGCATTCACTAACATTACTCCTCATAACTTTTATCTGTGTGTCAGGATCATTAGTTTTGAACCCTGACAGTTTTATCGTGTATTTTGTATTTCTCATGTTGCATTTTTCTGTTGTGAACCACCTTGGGCTCTTCAGACAAAGAGCGGTATACAAATTTAATAAATAATAATAATAAACAAAAATAAGTACTGTATTTTTCACTCTATAGGACGCACCCGACCATAGGACGCACCTTGTTTTATTGGGGGAGAACAAGGGAAAAAAAATCTCCCCCTCTCTGCTCAGCATCCCTTCAGTGAAGCGGCAGGAGTAACGGAGCCCCTTCCATTTCTCCTCCCGCTTTGCTGAAGGGGCGTTGCGCAGCTCGCCCTCTCTGCTGAAGCCAGGAGAGTCTTGCTCTCCTGGCTTCACGTTGCTATCGCTGAAGCCAAGGAGCCTGTATTCGCTCCATAGGACGCACACACATTTCCCCTTCATTTTTGGAGGGGGAAAAGTGCGTCCTATAGAGCGAAAAATACGGTAAGTTGTGCCATCAGCCTCCCCTGGAATAGCTTCCTTTGCGGACGAGTGGCTTGGTTTCAGCTGAACCTTGCATAAACGCTAAGCATGAGTGAGCCAAAAACTCAGGCGTGGCCTAGCCTGTGCATGCCCTACTAGGAGGCACAGAAGGCTCCCATTGCAACACCCATCGCACAGGCATGCAATTGGCACGCTTCTGGTGCAGCAGGGAAACTCCATGTGTGGTGCAGCTCCTGGAAGCTGGTGGGAAATAGCCCTCAGGGTCCTGTTGTTTGTGTAGCAGTCTCTGCAAGCAGGACTGAGGTACGCAGTCATGCACATGGAGGCTACAAAAGTTTTAACTTGTAAATAATGCACACAGGAGCCTTTTGTGTGTTCGCACAGAGGAAAGCAAAACCTTCTAATATGACGGTCCTATTTTAAAGATTAACAAGTTCATGTGGCCCGCATGACTAAGCCGCTTCTGGCGAACCAGAGCAGCGCACGGAAACGCCGTTTACCTTCCCGCCAGAGCGGTACCTATTTATCTACTTGCACTTTGAGGTGCTTTCGAACTGCTAGGTGGGCAGGAGCAGGGACCGAGCAACGGGAGCTCACCCCGTCGCGGGGATTCGAACCGCCAACCTTCTGATCAGCAAGTCCTAGGCTTTGTGGTTTAACCCAGAGCCACCTGCATCCATGACCCGGAAGCTGTACGCCGGCTCCCTTGGCCAATAAAGCGAGATGAGCACCGCAACCCCAGAGTCGGCCACGACTGGACCTAATGGTCAGGGGTCCCTTTAACTTTAGGCGAATACGTGCAAAACCCAGTAGAGGAGAAAGAAAGGCTGGGAGGGAGAAGAACTTCACCCTCCTCGCCTTATGCTGAATGTCTCACATTTTGACCCTGCTACCACCCGTCTTTGTTCTTTGATGCCATCTCCATCGTCTGTTCTCCTGAACAGGAGAGCTGGTGACAGCCTGTATCTTTACACTTTGCCTGGCATCTCCTCTTATTGCCCCAAATATTAGCGAAATTTGACCATTTACAAAATCAAGAATTCATAGCGCTATTAAGGAGATGTGCTGGCTATGGGATAGGGTGGAAGCCCCAGTGTGCTTGCTGGTGGGACACCACTGCTGGTGCATCTGCTGTGTTGGTGAAAATGTATCAATGGGATGGCCAAAGTGGGGTGGAACAGCACAGCACAGGGGAGCGCATGATGCAGGAATGCTTGCTGGGTTGCATCTTGGGAGAACACAAAATACTCTCAAAATACTCCATGCTGCCTCTGTTTCCTGTCTGTTGTTGTGGCTGAGTGGCTAGGGAATTGCTCCGTATAGTATATGCCGTGTGGGTTTGAGTCCTGGGTGCTTCCTCTCTCCTCCTTGTCACATGGCTGTTTTTTTGGGCAGGCATGCAAAAGGTGAAAGAGGCCATTTCCTCCTTTTCCCTTGAGGCTGGAACTTGTATCTCCTACTTCCCAACCCTAGGCCCTTGTTTACACAGCAAAAAAAAGCATTACGGATTCTGACAAGCAAACTGCCTAAATCACTGCAAAGGCTGGTTTAGGAAGCTGTGAATGCATTTATCCCCAAACTAAGAAATGCAAATTAGTTTGTTTTGTGTTCTGGGAAAATGCAATTCTTTCTCCAGAGAGCAAATTCATTGTGGTTGCAATTTCTATGCAGTAAGCATCTTATGGTGATCTGGATTCTTTCCTGCTGCTGCATTGTTCTTGTTTTTTAATTTTTAAAATATTGTTCTTGTTTTGATGTGGTTTAAGTATGGATTTTATGTTTTTATATTTCTGTATCCTACCACCAACAATTTAATGTACTAAATGAAGAAAAAAAATGTAAAACATTTTGTTGCAGGAGTCATGCATATCCATTTGACATTAGCATGTGATTAGAGTGATGAGTGATTCAACTCCCTGACCAGATATCTTTCAGCATTTTTTGACAGGGCGTCTGACTTTCCACATTGTGCCAGGAAGTTTTCAGGCTCTGCAATCAGTGCTGCGTATTTTATATTAACCTTGCTAAAAGCTTCATTTTCAGTAAAAATGTGAGCATTTACCAGAACACTACACAGTTCGGGTCCAAGTTTTAATATGGGATACAAATGAATGAAACATTTTTGAATTCCAATTCCGTACTGAGTCTAAATGTAATCTAGTCCAATCCCTGCAATGCGGGAATTTCAACAAGAGGTTCCCCAATCAATTTGAAACCATATTAGACCCTGCTTAGCTTTGCAAATGTACAGCAGTTTTATTGCTGCACTACTAGTCGCAAAACATACACAGGTCATCCACTATTTATCCTCCCAATATTTTTAAAAAATGCAAAAATTATTACCGGTATGTAAAAAAATATTATGTTTCTTGCTTACACTGTTTTGCAATCTCTTTCTTAGCAAAGTCACAAAACAAATAAGAGTCGTACCTTGGTTCCCAAACACCTTGCAAGTTGAACGTTTTGGCTTCTGAACGCTGCAAACCCGGAAGTGAGTGTTCCAGTTTGCAAATGTTCTTTGGAACCTGAACGTCCGACGGGGCGTCTGTGGCAATCGGAAGCTGCGCCTTGGTTTCTGAATGTTTTGGTAGCCGAACTGACTTCTGGAATTTAACTTCCGAAGTACCACTGTACTAAAGAAAAAGAAGTTCCTTATTGCTTCTTGACCTTCGGGAAACAGCTCTGTGCATGTTCTGAACCAATGCATGCTCTTGAAAAGCTAATGCTGGCACATAGGGATGCTTTTGAAGCAGTCTTGAGTCCTCCCACATCTGTTATATGCTAGACAGACTTCATAACAACAGATGGAGTAGGAGATTTCCTCCTCGGTCTGACTTTCTGGCGTTCCAATCAGTCACATGGATTTTCGGCTAGGACACACAAGCGGGATCTCTTTGCTGTAGCTACACATTTGGATTAGGACTGGCCAAGTGGTGCAGAAAGCCGATTCACCGGAGGAGACTGACAAAAAAGTCTTCTGTAAATCCAAGCATAAAATGTGGAGGGGACAGGAAAGAGCACGTGGCTTTGAGATTTTGAGAACAATTTTTTTAAACTGCATTACGTTTTCAGAAGGTGGGCTGGAGCTCAGGAATCCACAGGGGTCAAGCCTGTCACAGTTAACAGGTCCAAAACCCAAACATAGTCCAGAATGAATGTGTGAATAATCTGGGCAAGTAACTCAGAACATCTACTGTCTTTGAAACACAGCTAAGAGGTAGGAAATGTGAACTGTAAAAGCAGTGGGGAGAGGGTCATTCTCCAAAGAACTAGAGCAGTGGTTCCCTATTTTGGGTCGCTACCCTGCTGGTTCCATAAATCCTATAAAGCGCATTATTCAGAGTAGCGGTTTGCATGACCCACTAAGGATGAATAACAGAATAACACTCAAAATAACAACAATGAATAATTGCACATTTACTCAAAATCCACTTAAAACGATTTAGTTTAATTCGGTGCTTTTTTTCGGGGGGGGGGGAAGGTTTAGGGGTACTCTCATTTTGACTCAAGAAAACCACCATTTTATAGTTCAAATGGGGAAAAATAAATACAGTAAATGGACAAAGTACAAAGATTCACAAAATGTTTAAGGGTATGCGTCCCCTCCCAGACAAAAGCACTGGTTTAACTGAGCCAACAAAACTGATGAGCCGTCTAGTGATACCAGCTTTTCAAAGTTTGGTAGTCATTTACATCTCCAGCGCCCCCTTGCCTTGCCCCCCTAGGTTATCCCACCCCCCACAAGAGATAGTACCGCCCACTTTGGGTAACACGGGACTAGAGAATTGATGGTCACAAGGGGAGGCTACAGAACGGGGGTCAAGCAGTTGAGGAAAGGGCGCCCTTGAAGCGAGGGTCCTGAGAAAAAAGTGGGGAGCGGGGGAGATTAGGACCAACCAACCTATGACGCAGGGGGAGACACAGGGGCAGCGTGATGCCCATGTAGATATCCCCCCCCCCGCGCGCGCCTTGTTTCTGATTTCAATTCCCCCTCACCTTTTCCTCCCTGGCAGGGAGCCATTCTGGGGTCCGCCTCAGGTGCCCAAATATATTGGGCCGGCCCTGAGGGGCGAGCAAAGTAAGGCGGCGGGATTGTCCTCCTCAGCGCTAGCCTACCTTTTTGTGTGTGGCCCGTTTCCAAAGCCATTCACCTCCCCCGTTTCTAAAAACTTCTGGACCACACGGCGACTTCCAGCTGTTGCCCGTTGGGCGGTGCGCTCGCTTTTTTATATATATATTTAAAAAGCACACGGCTAAAAAGGAGGGTCACGTTGCAAAAGAAACGGGGCTTTTGGAATCGGAGCCCCTGGAGAGCCGGAAGCCCTGGGAAGTGGGGCCGCCCGGCGCGCACCTCTCCCTCTGCTTCCCCGCGGCGGAGGGGGCTGGAGCAAAGGGTGCTTGGGCCGGTGACGCGCCATTGCCGCCGCCGCCGCCGCTGCCTGGCTCTCTGGCTCCCTCCCTTTCCCCCCGCGTGGCCTTCCTGTGCTGCCTTGCGGGGGCGGCCCCGCCTGCAGCTGCTGCTGCTGCGCGGAACTCGCCTGCGAGAAGAAGGCAAGGCGTGGAGAGGAGAGGAGAGACGCGGCGCGCTTTCTGCGGGGCTCGCTCGGGGACTCCCCTGCCTCCTGCTTGCCGCCGCGATGTTGGGGGTGGCGGCCGGCGTGACGAACAGGTAAGCCGCCGCTGACAGCCCGCGAGCGAGCGCTTTCCCCATTCATTAATGCAAAAGGCTGGGGGGCTCCGTGCGCCGCCCTCCCCAGTCTCCTTCCCGCTCTGCCTCCTCTCCCCGAGCAACTTCCCCGCAGGCGGGCAAAAGGCATCCCCGCGGGCAGGATGAGCCCGCCGCGCCCTCCTGCAGCAGCAGCGGCGGCGGCGTCGAGAGCGGGACTGTGCGCTCTCTCCAGAGGGCGCGCCGAGGTTGCGGTGGCGGCGGGCTGGCGGGCGCGATTTAAGGGACGGGAACTGGTCGGGGGGGGAGGGGGAGCCACGCGGGAAGAGATGCGGGGTGGGGTGGAGAAGAGGGGCTGCCTGGGAAAGAAGCCGCCTGGACTCCAGCGCATCTGGAAGGGAGCAGAGAAGAGAGTTCTGTTTTGTTTCTGGGCGCAAGGGATCATGGAGGAATGGCGGGATGTTGCAAACCGGGGCTGGCAGGACTTTTCCGCGCCGCGGTTGCAGGCGAGTCGAGGTGGGGGGGGAGGGGGACCCTTTTGCATTCGAAGAAGGAGCCTCCCGTCGGTCACACGGGGACTTTCTAAAGTTGAAAAGCAGTGAATAAGGAGTTCGGTTAAGGTAGCCTTATCCTGGGAAGTTAGGCGAGGCGTTTCTGGGCTTGTTCTCCCCTCTCCCAATTCTGCACGGATTGCAAGGCGACATCATTGAAGGCAGCCTTGCAAGCAACTCCCTTAAAACAAGGACTAGCCTGCAGAACTTTTTATCTGCTCACCTAAGCTGGGTGATGATGGTTGGCTTCTCAAGTGATTAGACTTGGAGCAAAGGAAGAAAGGAGGACATCTGACATGAGGACATTCCATCACAGACCTTCAGATTAGGGTTGGTGAACAACTGCACACTCATATCTTATCTTGGTGCTTTACCTTAAATTATACATATATTTTTCCAAATGTGACACTGAAAGAAGAAGTCCCAACTGCTTGAAGGGTGCCTCAAATAGTGTGCACCTCCCTCATAGATAATCTACTTCCAATATTTTTATTTTATTTATTACATTTATATGTCACCCATCCTGCCAAATTTCATTGGGTGTTTATCTAGACAATAAAATACAAGTAATAAGTCACAAACAGCCAAAAAGACCAGAAAAAATGGACATAAACTTCCCCTGCTTTCTGGTTAGTGTAGAGGCAGTTCCTTTTCAGGCAAGTGACTATTTACAAGCCTGTTTTTCTGCATGTTGCTGCTAAGAAGTGGAGAGTTTCACAAAGGGCTTTCTTGTGGAACTGTGGCATCTATTCCTTGAAATGTTCTGAAACAAGTGGGGTGTGTTGGAACTTGTGGGAAAGTTCATGGCTCGGTTGCTCTTTAAAATAAGGTCACCCTCACCCAGCAGACAGAGACTTCTGACAATCCGCTGCTTCACATTTTGTGTAGCACTCATGTTTGCTGTGGGCACACTGTCAGAAACATGGGTGCTCCCTGCTGCAAATGTACAACTTGTTAATGCCCACTGTATGTTCTTAAAACATTTGTATGTCGTGGCCTAATCAGGTCTCCTAAGCACCTGGTACTCAGGTTGTCTTGTCTTAATAGTTTTCCATCGTGAAAGTGTGTATGACCTGTCTCCCTTTCCTCACGAAGTTTACACTTCTGGAAGAATCTGAAAGGATTGCATACTTTGTGCATTTCTGGATTCCAAAGTTCCCAGGATCCTAAGTAACAGCATTTCCTCTTCTGCAGATGTCATCTGGTCAGGATACTTTCCCATAACATCTGTTCCTGCAGATAATAATAATAACCACAGCTGCTTGTGGTGCATGAAGAAACTCTAGACTGCATGGATAGGGTGTGAAAAGTAGCCTAAAGTTTTCAGTTCCCACTTTTGCCATTGCCCTGCACACATGCTCCGGGATTAACACACTAACTGGGTTGTTGCTGGTACAGATTACTACAAATTGCATTCTGTCTTGGTTCTGGCCTTCAGGGCATAATCCAAGATTCTAATTCTTGGATCCTACCAAATTCTAAACAGCTTTGGCCTCCTCCTCTAGGGGCCATAATCAGGGACACCAGTAAGTTTTAAAAGATTGGGGAATCAGTCCATAAACACATATATACGTAATATTTGCATGTGCAAATATCTACCTATAGATGCAGAGTTAAATGTCAAAGGAGGCAAGCCAATCAAGTTCCAATCCAAATCAGTACGGTTCAGTTCTTAAATTAGTTTGCAACCTACCGCAGATCAGCCCAAATCAGTAACCTTCCATTGAAACCCTCAGTTCATTTCCTAACAGATCTTACTCCAAATCAGTTGTCCTTCAGTTATCCCCATTCATTACTCTTCAGATATAGTTACCTTAAATTAACTTATACCTTCAAATTAATATCCTATCAGTAATCCCAATTCAACTTCCCTCAATTACATTTCACTCAAATACATTATGCTAACTATATTGTCAGATGATCCTTTTCCTGTTGCTTGCTGAGGTTGAAATCAAACTGTGTGGCAAAGGAATGCCCTTCAAAGCACCAGTGATCAGCTGATGCTTTGGTCATATGAAGCCCCTTGAAAAGTGCTCTTCAAGACCCAGTGACCATCTGACACATTAACCCCTTGCTCTTGTAATGCTGCGTGGTTCAGGTGCATAACAGGGAGTGGAGGAGACGGGTGGGGAGTATGCAATTCCATAGTCTTCTCTTGATCTCTTAGCTGGTCAAAATATTGCCCTTGTTATTTTGGTAATAGCCTACTGAATGGGAGATGCTGACTCCAGGGGCAATAATCTCAGTTTTAGTAACCCCAGAAGCTTGCTGCTGTGGAATCAGAACATTTTCTGAAAGGAGAAAGACAGGATCTTCCCAAATATTGTCCTTGGGAAATATTGGTGGACTAACTTGGTTCATTTTCAGAGTGTGAATGACCACTGAATTTGGTATTGGCAAGACATTTCCATCCTAGTCAAATTGCTTACTCTGGACGTGCAAGCTTGTTTCATTGCTGGAAGGATCAGTTACTCCTGCTATTGCATAGCACATCTACCATAGCAATTTTTTTTGCTCTGAATGATCTGTTGGTGACTGATCCAACATCTTGGATGTGCCAGGATGAGTCAGCTAGATTGCTTTTTGGTCTTCTAACATAGGGAGCTGCCTCGGATTCACATAATTGTAGAGTTGGAAGGGACCACGAGGATCATCTAGCTGCCCAAACTCCTACAACACAGGAATCTTTTGCCCAACGTGGGGCTTGAACACACAACCTGAAGAGTCTCATGATGTACCAACTGAACTATCCTAGCTATCTTAGTCACCTTATATGGAGTCACACCATTGGTCCATCTTGCTCAATGTTGTCAGTACTGACTGTCAGCTGCTCTCCAGGGTTTCGGACAGCAGGCTCTCCCAGACCCCTTACCTGGAGATGTTGAGCATTGAATCTGGGGGCCTTCTGCATGCAAGTAGATGCTTTATATTACTAATCTGTAGTCACATCCCTGTAATTCCTGGTGGAATTGCATTTCTCCAAGTGTGAGTACAATGGTTCTATACCGGCGCTGTGTAAGCATTCCTATAAAGTGATAATAGTAAAGGTTAATGAACCAGAGCCTGGGACACAGTGATTCATTCATACTCTCCAGCAGCTTGGGCCAGCATTCTAAATTGCATCCTTCACTACTGGTAGAAGCTTGCTTTCTTGTGAGGAGAAAAATCTGGCGTACGGGTACTATGCACATGTTTCGAATGTGAATTGGTTTGTTTAGAAATCGCTGTCCCTTGAACTGTCCAGTCAAGTCCAGACTTACCGTATTTTTCGCTCTAGAAGACGCACCAGACCACAAGACGCACCTAGTTTTTGGAGGAGGAAAACAAGAAAAAATATTCTGAATCTCAGAAGCCAGAACAGCAAGAGGGATCGCTGCACAGCGAAAGCAGAGATCCCTCTTGCTGTTCTGGCTTCTGGGATAGTTGCACAGCCTGCATTCACTCCATAAGACACACACACATTTCCCCTTACTTTTTAGGAGGGAAGAAGTGAGTCTTATAGAGCAAAAAATACGGTACTTCTGTTTCTCTCCCTTTAAAGTTAGATTGACTCATATGGGGGTGGGGAGAGAGACTGTAGCACAAACCTATAGGAGTTCTGTGGCCCAATAAGCTAAACGCACTAGCTTTGTGTGGCTCACCTGGTAAAGCAGGGGTGGGTAAACCGATTTCAGCCACAGGGCCACATTGCCCTCTGGGCAGCCTTACAGGGGCCACATGCCAGGTCCAAGGGCAAAAGTGGGTGAATTGTATCTTTGTACAGGAGGCGAGTTTCTACGCAAAGTCACATGCCCCTCGGCACAGTGGGTCAGTACATCTTGCTGTTAACCAGAAGGTTGGTGGTTCAAGCCCAACCAGGGATGCCTGTGGGCAGGATTCCTGCATTGCAGGGGGTTGGTCTAGATGACCCCTGAGGTACCTCCCAACCCTACAGTTCCTCTGTGATTCTAAGTCATATTCTGTCTGTAGAATTTCAGAGGATGAGCTTCACTTGTGCAGACCGGTTACGTGTGATGTGTTCAGAATCCTGTGCAAAAACGTTCTTTGGTAAACACTCAGAACAGGCTATAATAAAGATATCTCAAAGAAAGGAGACTGCGTGCCGCCTTGTCTAACATGCAGTCAACAGGAATTGCATGTAAGCTTGCCAGTAGCCAAGCCTTTCGCCTCAGTTCTTTGTCGGTTGTTTGTTTCACTTGAATTGAAAGTTGGGGGCAGCATAGGATGCCTCAAAGTGTTCAGCCAGCTTCAATCCACCAGGGTCATGTTGGGACCGTGAGAATGAACGTGAATTCCTTGTCACTGATGTTGGAACTAAACATTTATCCCCCACTCCCCTCCCCAATTGGAGAACAGGCCAGTCCTCATGAATACAGTGGTTGTGAATTCAGGCAATGTGAACTCAATGAGTGGGAGAGCTGTTGTCCATTTACTGGAAAAAATAGAAGCTGTGATTTTATTTTATTTTGAAGAATGGAACTAGGAATATCTCCTAAGGAATTGCCTTCGCAGAGCTGTAGTTCCTGGCCAGTTCAGATGGCAACACCTGAAAGTTGGCCGTTCAGTGTTTGGATATGAGATGATATGGCCAATTTACATGGTAATTTACCTGAGTGGGTGGCATCTGAAGCCGCTGTCACAACTTTGGCTACCCTGGCCCCGAGGCAACATGCAGACCTTTAAATATAGTACAGTGGTACCTTGGGTTAAGTACTTAATTCGTTCCGGAGGTCTGTACTTAACCTGAAACTGTTATTAACCTGAAGCATCACTTTAGCTAATGAGGCCTCCTGCTGCCGCCACGCTGCCGGAGCACGATTTCTGTTCTCATCCTGAAGCAAAGTTCTTAATCAGAGATACTATTTCTGGGTTAGTGGAGTCTGTAACCTGAAGCGTATGTAACCCGAGGTATCACTGTATACAGTTCTCCTATCTGAATCAGTGCATATAGGGTGAAGGCAAGAAGATAACTGTCAGGGCAGGACGAGCACGGGTGCAGGAGAGAGAGGTGTAATCCCAGGACAGCAGGAGAGATGACAATGCAAAGATGAGTCTAGCGACAGAGGATTCCAGAGGCCGTGTCAGGCCCCAGGGACGTGTCAGCAGGGCAGGTCCAAAGGCTGGGCTCGAGCCCGCAGGGGTGTGCGCGAGAGGACCGAGGAGGGGTTAAGGAGTTGGTGGGCGGTCAAATGTGGCGGAGGGCCGAGAGGGCCAGTCCGCCCGCAGGGCAGTCTGTTCCAAGTCAGGAGGGGCGAACCAGCGGGCAGAAAGACCCAGGAAAAAAAAAGGGGACAGCAAGCCTATGAATTCAGAGGGGATGTCCTGCAGGCGGGGGATGAGAATGACAAACCTTATATGAGAGACAGGCGTTGGTCTTTTGTGAGCTGAGACTTGAGGCAGCCCTGACAATAACATTCCAAAATAATGAGTTCTATAGAATCTTCATGAATAACACATATATTGCAATTTTCCTGTCATAGCTTAAACACTCATGTGTCATCGTCCCCTGCCCTCAATGGATCTTGTCTGTTTTTATGAATTACAGTCATACCTTGGATCCCGAACGCCTTGCGAGTCAAACGTTTTGACTCCCGAACGCCGCAAACCTGGAAGTGAGTGTTCCAGTTTGCGAACATTCTTTGGAAGTCGAATGTCTGACGCAGCTTCCGATTGGCTTCAGGAGCTTCCTGCAGCCAATTGGAAGCTGCGCCTTGGTTTCCGAACATTTTGGAAGTCAAACGGACTTCCGGAACGGATTCTGTTCGACTTCCGAGGTACCACTGTACTTTGATTAGACTCTAAACTTACATGTTTTTGATCTGTTATCATTGAGATATTTATACATGAACAGCTGTTTTCTGGTGATTGCAATTCTCAAAAGTACGTTTGGTAGGGAAGATACCAGATAGTATTTGTCTAGTACCTTTCCTAGGCATGGAGAACCTTAACACTGATTCAGATGTTGATTATTGACGAAGTAAGAATCCCCTTGGCAGTGAACCAAGTCAGTTAATAATGTTTGTGGGAGAGCATATTTGAATGCATCTTCATGAATGGGTGACGTTAGCACATCAAAGGAGAAAGCTGGACCGAAAGCTTTTCTACTTTGATGGCCCAAGTTCATACACACAAAGAGATTTTAATGTGCAGTGCCTTCACACTTGCAATCCTAACATGCGTGTTGGAGATGGTGAAGTCCGATGCCCATGTTTTATTGCTCGCTCCCTGGAACCGGCTGTTGCTTAAAACCTTCCCTGCAAAAAGACCATTGCACTTTTCTTAAATGCAGTGTTACTACATTGCCTAATTGGAAGGATGAAATATGGAGTCTCAGTCAGAAACTCTAACCCTGGGACGTCCCAAAATCGAAAAATCTAGAATTGTAAGTCAAATAGAAAGGCTAGCTCATCGTTGCTGAGTTGTGGTATGCGGCACTGGAGAATAGGTAAATAATGGATTTGAGGTTAGACGTAGCCGAAAGGAAGCCAGTAATAAAACAGTCTAATTGGTAACACATGGTACCCACATACTTGAGAGTTTTCCAGTTCTGATGCACAGCTATATTGGACCTATAGTAGATAATTGAGACTCCGTTTTCCTCAGTATGGAAGATCTCTAAGCATTTCGTATGGATCTATTGCGTAGTAAATATATGAAGAATTGCTGTGCCTCAGCCAATATAGCTATTGCGTTGGAAAGACACCAGAGTAAGAGAAACTTCCCGAGCAGCTGAGAAGGATATTCCTGCATGTTAGAAGAGCAAATATTAACACTGAAGTCTTGTTGATAGTTAGCTGCAGCCACTCTTGTTTTAAATGATGAAGTGGAAGTTCTTTATTTTGGGCTTGAAAAAGGATTTGTGAGTAGTGAAGCGTTAGCTAAGATTGGATCTCTGCAACCTGGCATTTGCAGAGGAATTTGTTTTAAAACAGCACTTTCATTCTTTATGTGCTTGTGCTTCGTTTCTTGATTACCTCATGCTTGTCTGGTTTACACCATTTATGGTGACTATTGGAAAGCGGTTGCAAGACTTGTTTGCAGCCTACTGATGGGTGTGTGTGTGTGTGTTTTGCACACAGCTGGTGGGCAGAGACTGTATGCGCTCATCCCTTGTTAGTCTTGCTTTTTCTCTCTTTGCTGCGTCCCTGACTGATGATCTCTGGATTGTAAATTCCTTGGGGCAGGGATCTACCTCCCTCATGTAAGTTGAAAATAGCATTGCCAATGGCCAAATGAATGGGATGTTCCCATACTGCATTCCCAGCTTGTTGGAAGTCAGTTTGGGGAAAGGGGAGAGAAATAGATTCGGCCTTTATGTCTGTAAGACCAGACTTGCCACTTGCTTGCAACAACAGTTTAGCTATACAGTCAGTGGCGTAGCGTGTGTTGTCAGCACCCGGGGCAAGGCAAGTAATTTGCGCCCCCTAACCCGTGGATTTGCGCACCCTAACCCTAACCCCCAGATGTTGCGCCCGGTGCGGCCGGGCCCCCCTGCACCCCCCACGCTACGCCACTGTATACAGTGGTACCTTGGTTTAAGTACTTAATTCGTTCCGGAGGTCCGTTCTTAACCTGAAACTGTTCTTAACCTGAAGCACCACTTTAGCTAATGGGGCCTCCTGCTGCCGCCACGCTGCCAGAGCATGATTTCTGTTCTCATCCTGAAGCAAAGTTCTTAAGCCGAGGTAATATTTCTGCGTTAGCGGAGTCTGTAACCTGAAGCATATGTAACCTGAGGTACGTAACCTGAGGTACCACTGTACGCAGGAATACAATGTTACCTCCATTTTAATTGAATTGTACTTGCACAAGGGTGTTGGGGAGATCAATATATTGTTGTTACCACTCAGAAGATGGATAAACATTGTGGCTGAGAGCTTCCCCTTCGTGTTTGTGGTGCTCTTGGGAACACTTTTGCCATTTACGCAGACACATTACCATACACTTAAAGCTAAGCTGAGATCCGGGAAGAACAGTACTTTGTTCAAGGCTCAAGCTGCATGGTGATGTTTTTCTAAGATGCTTTTAAAATTTTTATTTCTGTTAGGCTTACCCGCGCCCCCCCCCCCCCATGAGCTCTAAAGTTTGTAGAGTATATTGTCAGAAGAGTGCTGAGTACTGTGCTGAGAAAATGTTGCCGAGAAACCTCCTTGTTTAACTCATGTTAAACAGTTTGTGATTTTAGTGCCAATCTGTAGAGTTGGAACAATTCACTCCAGCATATTTGCCTCCTGTATTCAAGATTTAACTGTGTACAGTACTCGGATGCACTTAATCTGTGTTCAGGACCGTCTCCAGGATCCTTTTTACCAGTTTGTTAAGTGAGAAACCTGGTTAGTTTTAACCGGACCACAGCTAATGTAAGAACTGATGTGCTGCCTAACTGTAGCTAAGGCAGAAACAGCGAATTCACTCCAGGAAGGGGACAGACTGTGGGGAGGACACAGACAAATCCAGTGGCTTACTTCCGGTTTCTTATTCAGAATTAAGAGATTAGCCACTGTGTTCCTGTGCTGGCCATTACAGTAATGGATCAATAGGTTGTGGGGTTTTTTTGGTGCTATAGCCTTTTAAGAAAATGCAAATTGTTCTTAAGATATATTGAAAAGCTAGGTAGCCATAAAGAACTTCCTTTTGAAAATTTAACTCGGTGTTCATGAGTCGCTGTGCAAAACTTGTTGCTTTCTAGTCCGCTGCAATTCCTCCTATCGCCCAAACACGCAGCAACAAAACAGGAACTTCTTAGCTGCAGGCCTTGCTCATTTTCAGCTCTTAAACCTCATGCAAATAGTTGATGTGGCAGCATCTCAGCATGGCGTGGCTTGTGACTAATGGGGGCGAGGTGATGGTGGACCTCTTGCAGACTTCCTTTTGGAAGTAGATATGTCATCTGCTAGGGTGGTGCTAGTTGCTATGGGTCTTCAGTGTTTTTATGTTTTAAAAGGGGAAGTACAAGAAACATTCTCTGCCCTAGAACCCATTAGTGCAGGAATGAGTTATGCTTACTTAGTGATAAGAGATACCTTCTGCACTCACAGAGGCAATATCTTTTTGTTATTGCTTAACCTGTTTCACAGCCGAAGTGGTAGCCCTTTGTCAAGACTATACCACTTCAGCCTGCTTGAATGCTTCTCCGTGTAACAAGAATTGCACACAGCGAAAGCTAAGCTAGAGCTCTTCTTCCTGACACCTAGTTTTCTCTGGAAGATTTTCCATTTTTGAATGTGCGCTCAGTCAATGTGAACTCTTGCCTGAAGTGGTATGTCCCAGATACATCTTCACCTTGATGAAAACCAAGCTGGAGAGGGGTTTGTGGAATATGCCTAGGCTTAAGAACTACAGTGGTACCTCGGGTTACATACACTTCAGGTTACAGACTCCGCTAACCCAGAAATAGTACCTTGGGTTAAGAACTTTGCTTCAGGATGAGAACAGAAATCGTGCTCCAGCGGCGCGGTGGCAGCAGAAGGCCCCATTAGCTAAAGTGGTGTTTCAGGTTAAGAACAGTTTCAGGTTAAGAACTGACCTCCAGAACGAATTAAGTACTTAACCCGAGGTACCACTGTACAGAGTTTGCAGCACAAGGAGCTGGAAACTGTATTTTTTGATCTCCTGATCTCCAAAATGGTTTTTGCCACCGGTGTGGTATCAGTTGCTGCTTAACTCTACTTTTATTGGAGACATTCTGTCTTCTGACTCTGTGAGTAAAGCTGTTTCATATTTAAATATAAGGATTCTAAGAACATGTTGTCTTTCTCCACCCTCTTCATTCAAGAATTCCTTCCATTGCTACTGTCCAGGGGCTGTTGCTAATACAATGCCAAAAAGAAGGGAGCAACAAAATAGGACCACGCCTTCCTTTTTCTGTTGGTTGTTCTTAAGTATTCCTCTTCAGCAAATTCCAGAGTGGGTGTTCCCTTCAGGAATGGGATTTTTTTCTTCCAGTACTAGAAGCGATTTTTACACAGTGCCAACAGCCCTGGCTGCCTTCTGAAACAGATTGCTGTCCTGAAAGTGATCATGGGCTACGCTAGTAGGAGCAAACAGACTCATGGCTGACTGGCTTTAATTTCCAAATTCCAGACTATGTGATAATGATAGAAACAGATTTTGTTTGCTGCTGCTATTCGGCGTCAGGTGTGGGTGTCAGGTGCTTCTCTTTTAAAACAAATAAATCACATGAAGCCATCTGGCATTGTAGTTTTTGCACAAGGCTCCCCAGAATGAATTGCTGTGAAAATTCTAATTCTTGGCCTTTTGTGACAGCATCATTCCACAGAAAGTGGACCTCTCAGGAGCTTTTGGGATGAAGCTCAGAGTTGCTAGTAAGCTTAGCCTCATTGCATGCACACCCTGCAAGCAGACAAGATACCCTCACGCATCTGAGCAAAGAGCCTAACACTCATGTTCTCATCTTGCATTGTTGCAGGACAGTGGGGTTTCAATGAACCTAAGTTTTCATTTCATCCATTTATCTTGGGCCTGCACAATGTACCAGCCCTCCAGCAAAATATGGCAGCCCACCAGGGTCTTTCCTGTTCATACTGTCTGCCTAGGGCTGCAAAGAGCAGCTGGTATAATATCATAATACTCTAGTGGTTTGCATTTGACTTGGCAGGTTGCAAGTCTGCAGGCCTGATTTATCTGTCTGCAGCTCATCTTAAGGATTATCTCTTTGGAAAACACTTTGCAATTCTTCCAGATGTCTTCATAGCCCTTCTCCATTGCCCAGAGGTGCCACGTCACTTTGAAACAAGTCATCTTTTGATTTTGACAAAAAGAATGTTAGTTTGCATGACGAAGCTGGGAAAGGTAGTTTTGGCTTAAGTATCCCTTCAGGGATGCGGGTGGCGCTGTGGGTTAAAACACAGAGCCTAGGACTTGCCGACCAGAAGGTCGGTGGTTCGAATCCCTGCGATGAGTGAGCTCCTGTTGCTCGGTCCCTGCTTCTGCCAACCTAGCAGTTCGAAAGCACATCAAAGTGCAAGTAGATAAATAGGTAGCACTCCGGCGGGAAGGTAAACTGCGTTTCTGTATGCTGCTCTGGTTTGCCAGAAGTTGCTTAGTCATGCTGGCTACATGACCCAGAAGCTGTACGCCAACTCCCTCGGCCAATAAAGCGAGATGAGCACCGCAACCCCAGAGTCGGCCACGACTGGACCTAATGGTCAGGACTCCCTTTACCTTTACCTTAACCTTTATCCCTTCATCACTCCCCTTTTTTAGAAACAGATGCTGACAGCTCCTTCTCTTCATCTCCCAACCAGGAAAGTTGCTATGCAGAGCGTCAGACTACTTTACTGCTTTTAGGCGAATGTGCACTGTCAGTTAGATAGAATTTGAAAGAAATCCAAGCTACCAAATTGCTGTTTGGGTTACTGCCATGTTTTTTTTAATCTCTACCTGCCTATCTTGGAAGTACAAAGACAAACTGACCGCAAAAGAGGTGGTATCTGCTTAGGAGGTTAACCACTGTAAAACATTTCTTGCATTTTTGTAGCAGCTGCTGAAGATGTCTCCTGCATCTATGCCCATTTCAAATCTGTTTGGTAATTCCCTTCCTTTTCAAGCTTTATCCTGTTCTCTTTCTTTTGATCGGTTGCTTTGTTGTTCATATTTTTGCTACTTGGTGGCAGTGCAGGCCTCAGCTTTGGAAAGCTTTCGTGATTTCTCTTGCTGGAGCTCATGGCTGAAGAGTGCAGAAGGAATTGGTCCTCTACATTGATATTTGCAGTGTTGTGTAATGCAGCATTATAAAGGATATTCTTTCCAAAACCATATTTTAATGGAGACACAGTAGGTAGGAACTTGAATGGTTTTAGGGTTTTCTTGAAAGGTTGATTAAGGTTACAGAACGATCTAGTGGATGCTGCAAAGACACCATGAGAGACCTTGCCTTTTGTACATGGTGTTTTCATATATTAAATATTTAAAATCTATAACTGTACGACTTGTATAACAGGTGTGTGGGGTGTGTGTGGAGAAGTGGCCTAGGAGGAAATGTGGCCTCCAAAGCTAATTCCCTACCCAAACTTCTTTTAAATTGTGACTGATCTTGAGCTGGGGGATTGGGCCAGTGTTCCCCAAGCTTGGGTTTCCAGCTGTTTTCAGACTACAATTCCCATCATCCCTGACCACTGGTCTTGCTAGCTAGGGATGATGGGGGTTGTAGTCCAAAAATAGCTGGAGACCCAAGTTAGGGAAACACTACTCTAGACCCAGTTTTGATTCTCAAGGACCCAACGTTGAAGGGAAACAAGGGGCAAATGTTTTGCTTTTCTTTAGCCTCCCAGCCCTAGTAAACGCCCCCGTATATCCTGCAACCTGCCCTCCTTGCAATTTGAGGCTCTACACCTAACACACCCATTTTACGATCAGAAGAAGTGATGTACTACCAGATGTCATTGCAGGTAGTGTAATCATATTGCATCTTTAAAAAAAAATTAACATTGTTGTCCATGTGCTTTCATAGGAGCAATGCTGCTTCCTTTCCACTGACATGATCACACTCTACTGCTATAACACGGTTCTGTCCACCAACTAGTTAACAAATAACACAGCGCTAGGTTGTATGTAGGCATTTCAACAGTGTGTATGAGACTCTGGTGACATACCATTGACCTTATAGCTTCCTAGGCACCCTGTGTGATGCTGGGGCAAGACATTTCTTCCAACTTAATCTTCCTCTCTTGGGTACTTATGCAACTCCAGCTCAAGTCAATACTTCTTGCATAAGATTTCGTATTTCTGAAATCACTGCATTTCTCATCATTTGGGTTTCTTCTCTGTACATTATAAACACAATTCATTCCAAACCCTGAAATAGTCTAGCATGTAATCTTGATTAATTAATTTTATCTACGTAAAACTGAATATCCTGTCCTTTCTGTTGCCTGCATACTGCTCAGTGCTAACAACCATTGAAATTAGCTATAACATACATACAGTACAGTGTGATACAGGAGTGTGGAGCAGATTGAAAACATTGGATAAAAACCTATAAATCTATTAAAACAATCACCTGCCCAAACAGGAAGGGTCTTGCCATTCTACAACACACCATAAAAGAGGAAGCCAACTTGACTTCCCAGGGTAGAGTCCCACAATTTAGGTGCAGCTACAGGGGCAACTTTTCTCTGTTCCCTGGCAACTGAGCCTTTACCATCGATGAGAAACAGAGAAAGTCTTCTCCAGATATGGACAGGTGGTGGTCCCTAAACTATCCTGAACCTAAGGCTTTTAGGCCTTGAAAAGGTCTTCATCAACACCTTCAATGATGCCCAGAAGCAAGTTGGTACCAGTGTAACCCTTGCAGGACAGATGTGATATGATTTCATTAGTCTTGCTCCTGCGTTCTGGATTAGTTGTGCTTTCTGAAGTCTCTTCAAAGGTGCTGTGTTACTCTGGGGATTTCACAGTGGCTTAAATGATGCTCCCAAGTACTCTCCCAGCCGGACTGACATCAGCTTAGCTATAACAGCATTGTGTGCACTTGGAGCCATTTAGGATTTTTCATCATGGGCATCTCAATAGCTCAGAAGCAGGATTGCAAGTTGTAACAAATGGAGAGTGGCAGGATCTGCACAGAGAACGCTCTCTTTAAAAGCCTTTGCCCCACCTTCTTTGTGCTTAGGGAGTTTTTCTGCCAAGCTGGCATGTTGCTGGCATGGCTGTTCTGCTGTTATGATACCACACTGCTACTTGGGTGGGAACTTCAGGGAAATTGCATGTTTGGCTCAAGAAAACCACCAGCCTGTCATTGCCTTCCTATGCGCCTGGAGTCCCAAAAACACTCTTATGCATTTTGTGGATTGGAGTAAATGTGGTTGTATTTTCTGCTTGGATTTATGATTGCATAAAGAGTCAGAAGTGTGCAAATAAAACCTTTCTCCCATGCTTTTATTTTTTATTTTTTGGTAGTATTGGTAGTTAAATGCTATGTTCACAGAGAGAGAAATGCTTTGCGGATTATCTTTCCTGTAGTAATTAACTTTGCTTTCCTATTTGCAATTAGCTTTCAGTGCACAGGAAACGGCTTCCCATAAAGGGATAAAAAGGGGGGGGAAACTGATGTGGAAATGCATTTGTTAGGAATATTAGAATAAATGGGTGTGATTAAGGATGAAATATGTTATAGCCCAAAGGAACGGCATGACTAAGAGAGCATTTACTCATATTAAAGAACTAAATCTATTTTGTTTTGACATTGTAAAGTGAGAAAGGTTTGGGTAGCAGCAGTATAATAGAAGCAAGTTTTCAAGAATAATTGAGTCATACTGTGAAGTTATAGTTGCTCATTCCAAATCTGTTATGGGCAGACGGCTTTGGATTCGTCTCTTTTCCATAGAAAATAACCCTTTACCAGCACGGTGGCGTTTTAAAAAGGAGATTACTAAGGTTTACAGCCCGCAAAAGAACTCTTCATTTCTAAGTTAAAACCAATTGATTGATTGATTAAATCTCACATAACACTTTTGTCCTACAAAATAGTTCTGCACAAATGGTTATTTGGGAGAGAATTTCTGGCTTTATAGGGATGCGGGCTGCGCTGTGGATTAAACCACTGAGCCTCTTGGGCTTGCCGATCAGAAGGTCAGCAGTTCGAATCCCCGTGACGGGGTGAGCTCCCGTTGCTCGGTCCCTGCTCCTGCCAACCTAAGCAGTTCAAAAGCACGTCAAAGTGCAAGTAGATAAATAGGTACCACTCTGGCGGCATTTCTGTGCGCTGCTCTGGTTCGCCAGAAAGTGGATTAGTCATGCTGGCCACATGACCCAGAAGCTGTCTGCGGACAAACACCGGCTCCTATAGAGTGAGATGAGCGCCGCAACCCCAGAGTCGTCCACGACTGGATCTAACGGTCAGGGGTCCCTTTACCTTTTCCTTTTCTGACTTTATAGATGTATAAGGCAAGGAAAGTGTTCCTTGTTTCCTTTTTTTGGTGGTATATTGTATGAAGCCACTTCTTCTGTAAATACTAGGCAGGTAAACAGAGTGAAGACTGACTCTTGATAACAAAATATTGTTATGCACAGGATGCAATCAGGGTAACTTTGTCAGAGCTACAGGTATAACTTTGCACAGAAAAAAGGCTGACTCCTGGGCTACATCATTTGACACCTCAATGTCTACCATATACCTTACCTGATGGCAGTGGTGGACAGTTGAGAAGCTGCCAAATCCTAAGACTGGACCTTCAGAGACCGCATCTCTTGAGTTCTAGGCTCTCGCAAATCCTTTTAACTGCAATATCCCCATAGGAAACGGGGCAGTCCTAAAATCACAGAATTGCAAAGTTGGATGGGGTCCTGAAGGTCATCTAGTCCAATTTCCTGCAATGCAGGAATCTCACCTAAAGCATCCATGACAGATGACCATCCAGCCTCCACTTAAAAACCATCTTCCAAGGGAGGCCATTCCACTGCTGAACAGCTCTTGCCACCAGAAAGTCCTTGCTGATGTTTAGAAGGAGGCTGGGCGTCCAACTGAGTGCAGTGTGGCTTCAGCGGCCAGCTCCTCCTGAGTGCAAGAGAGGAGGAGCCGCCAGACATGCTGGGCCCTATGCTCAGCCTCTTCCTGATGACACACATGTGCTGCATGCATGACATCCCATGCGTTTGACAGCTGCATGATGTCACGCGCATGTCACACATGTCAAACCGCACTAACTGCCAGAAAGCTCTCCCTGATGTTTAGCGGCTCCCCGTTTGTGGAATACTCTCCTAGGGAGCTTCCCTTGGTGCCTTCATTATATATACAGTGGTACCTCAGGTTAAGTTCCGGAGGTCCGTTCTTAACCTGAAACTGTTCTTAACCTGAAGCACCATTTTAGCTAATGGGGCCTCCTGCTGCCGCCGCGCCGCTGGAGCACGATTTCTATTCTCATCCTGAAGCAAAGTTCTTCACCTGAAGCACTATTTCTGGGTTAGCGGAGTCTGTAACCTGAAGTGTATATAACCCAAGGTACCACTGTATTTTAGGTGCCAGGCGAAAATGTTCCTCTTCCACTAGGCCTTGGGCTGATTCATATCCTATAGCTTTTCAATCATGTCTGTGAGTGAGGTGTGGGGGTGTGTTATTGTTTCGTTGTTTTGATTTAACGATTTGCTTGTGTTTTATTCTGCGAACCACCCTGCGAGGAAGGGAAGAATATAAAATAAATAAATGCTCAGAATCTCCTTTCTTGTTCTAAGTTTGTGAGAATGGAGAGCATCCCATGCTATACCTCAGCTGTAAGGTCTCTCCCCTACCCTGACAGAGGCTGCGAGAGGCTTTGATGGCCCAGATATTAGCCAGAGCTGCAGTGAAGCAGCTTCAGGAGCAGTAGTCGGGAGATAAAGAAATGGGAAAAGTGTAGGCTGCCAAGCTAGTGGGAAGAGCGTTGGACTAGGAGGCTGTGTCTCTGGGCTCTGGGAGTCCAGCCAGGAAGCCTTTGGGCACAAGGAAGGAAAGCCTCTAGTGAACCAACTAATCTGCTCTTGGCATGACAGTAAGGAAAAGGGGCAAAGAGGATTATTATTGTCTTCCATAAGGTGAAGCTTTTTAAGGTTTAATGTTTTTATAAATGCTGGAAGCCGCCCAGAGTGGCTGGGGCAACCCAGCCGGATAGGCAGGGTACAGATAATAAATTGTTGTTGTTGCTGCTGCTGCTGTTGTTATTATATAATCTTGGATGGGGAAGAATTAGGACTAGGAGAGAGGGAGCACTTTGCCAATGCTGCAAACCCATCTGTGGGGGACAAAGTATTCCAGTGAAGTTAACCCCTCCCCTCCCCTGCTGTTGCCCTGACAAAAATCACCCTCCTGCAGCTGCTGTTGGCCCTGGGAGGGAAACCCCCATTTGTGCCAGTGGACACTTCCATTAGCAGGGAGGTTGGGATCTGTGGTTTTGGTCATGTCTGTGGTGGAGGAGGAAGGGGTTAACTTGTTGTATTGGGTCCCTTCATTCCCCCTTTAACTGGGTAAATAAATGCCCTCATTTCTGTCATTAGGAAAAGTAGGGATTCTGCAAAGTGTTGTTCTAATGAGAGGCTTCCTTTTTATTTAGAAAGAGAAACTGCGCAAAATTGAGAGGGGGTAGGTGAGTGTGGGTCTCTTCTTTCCAAAAACGCCACCACTCTAGAGAACAGAAAAGGAAACACTCATTTTGTACTCCACAAATGAATTGTTTCTTATTATGAAATCTTAAAAGTGGCAAAATGGGTATGACAGAGCTGGGGAGAAGGAGTTTAACATCAAACTATATAAACCACACACTATATAAAGCTCCCAGTTTTTGTATCTTAAATAAAACTTGCTAGAAAATTCAGTGCATTTTAAACTTCCTATTGAATGCTGAAAAGAAGTGATGCTGTCTGTGGTGGGATAATGCCAGTAATCCTAGACTGGCAACACTTTGCATTTCTGCTATGATTCTGTCAGTGACTTCAATGGTTTTCTTAAAAAATTGCTTCTGGAAAGATGATGGTGACGTAATTTAATTTTGCTTTGTTATATAGGTGTCTAGACTTCCAGTTGAGTATGTGTCTGTTGAGCAAACGTGCTTTGCCTTAAGGCATGCACGTATTATTGTTCTTAAAATAGGTTGATCAGCTGGGAAAAAAATATGACAAGCTACATCTGCTGAAATCCCCTTTCTCCCCATGTTGGAGCTCTTGCGTAATTTGGCCACACTACCTTAAAGAAGGGACGCGGGTGGCGCTGTGGGTTAAACCATAGAGCCTAGGGCTTGCCGATCGGAAGGTCGGAGGTTCGAATCCCCATGACGGGATGAGTTTCTGTTGCTCAGTCCCAGCTCCTGTCAACCTAGCAGTTCGAAAGCACGTCAAGTGCAAGTTGATAAATAGGTACCGCTCCAGCAGGAAGATAAACGGCGTTTCCATGCGCTGCTCTGGTTTGCCAGAAGCGGCTTAATCATGCTGGCTACATGACCCGGAAGCTGTACACCGCCTCCCTCGGCCAATAAAGTGAGATGAGCTCCTCAACCCCAGAGTCGGTCACGACTGGACCTAATGGTCAGGGGTCCCTTTACCTTTACATTTACCTTAAAGAACTGCAAGGCAAAAATAAAAAAGGGACCCAGATTTGAGAATCAGATTATTAGATAGCATGATCTTAAGCATGTAAATTTAGAAGTAAGCCCCATTCAGTGAGATTTACACCCAGGCAAGTGTGTTTAAGATTGCAAACTAAATTTCTGAAATAGTATAAAGGCAACAGATATTATAGACCTCTGGTTCCATCTGCTGGAGAGAGAAGTGCTAGCAAGAAGTAATAGGTTTTCCTTGTTTTGATGTAGAGATCTGCTGCCCCGTTTGACCCCAGAGAAGCTCATTTCTACTCACACATAACAATTTCCTACACAGATACCATTCCCAAGAAAGCCAAGTGTAACCCCAGGCCCAGCATCAGAATTTGGCACCGCTGGGCAGCTGGTTATGGCTTGAACATGTTCTGAATAAGTCATGAGCGATACCTTATTTCTGACCTGAACAAAATAGGATTCAGCAAAAGAATGGAACATACAAACTGCCTGGAAATTGCCACTTTCCAGGGATGGCAATTAAAAAGGGGAAATTGAGCCTGACCAGACTTTAGCAATGAGGCAAATATGATATGCATTCTTCACAACAGACTCTTTGTAACAGACAGATTCTGCAACCTTTCGAATTGTTAAGGCAGAACAGGAAGATGGTTTCAGGTGCCGCTCATCATTACGGAATATACAATGTATATCTGTTATGATATGCATTTAGCGTTTACGACACACATGTTATACTTATTGACAGATATTACAAACTAGCATGACAGATCACTATTCATTATGCTTCCTTCCCATTTAGCAAGGTTATAATCTTAAAATTCCCAGGCCTATAGAAGAAATGCTAATTCTGAGCCACATGCAGAGCTTGGCTATTCAACAAATGCGTATACAGTGGTACCTCAGGTTAAGTACTTAATTCGTTCCGGAGGTCTGTTCTTAACATGAAACTGTTCTTAACCTGAAGCATCACTTTAGCTAATGGGGCCTCCTGCTGCTGCCGCTGCGCGATTTATGTTCTCATCCTGAAGCAAAGTTCTTAACCCGAGGTAATATTTCTGGGTTAGCAGAGTCTGTAACCTGAAGCATATGTAACCTGAGGTACCACTGTAGTTGCAGTCAATGCAGGTAGTGTCTTAATCAATTAGCATTTAATTCATTCTATACAGTTTGAAATAGGGACGCGGGTGGCGCTGTGGGTAAAACCTCAGCGCCTAGGACTTGCCGATCGCATGGTCGGCGGTTCGAATCCCAGCGGCGGGGCGAGCTCCCGTCATTCGGTCCCAGCTCCTGCCCGCCTAGCAGTTCGAAAGCACAATTAAGTGCAAGTAGATAAATAGGTACCACTTTCTAGCGGGAAGGTAAACGGCGTTCCGTGTGCTGCTCGGGTGCCGGTTCGCCGGAGCAGCTTCGTCACGCTAGCCACGTGACCCGGAAGTGTCTGCAGACAGCGCTGGCTCCCGGCCTCTAGAGCGAGATGAGCGCACAACCCTAGAGTCTGTCAAGACTGGCCTGTACGGGCAGGGGTACCTTTATCTTTACCTTTATACAGTTTGATGTCTAGATTCTTGTAAGAACTTACAAAGCTGAGGCTATTATTTATCTCATTGCTCTTTGTATTTTGTAAGGCTAGTCAGCTTTAATTTACATTTGCATCTTTTGAAAGCATTAATAGTATTTTCCCTTTAGACTAGAACTAAAAGGTGATACAGGAAGTATGTCTCCGAACATAATGCTTTTTGAATGTATGAGTCCTTTGTTCTATCCTCTACATTTGCAAAACTGCAAATAAGCGATCTAGAGCTTTGTGCCTCATAACACAGTTTCAAAGGGAATTTAGACATATACGCTGGAAGTAGGTAAGATTTCTAAGTTCTTGTAGACTTCAGCCATGTTTCTGAATGCAGCTGGTTCATTACGAAATACCAAGGCTTTAATCTGCCTCAGAGAGCTTTTGTTGATATATGATGAACAGATAGCATTCGTGTGGCATGGAGTTAACTAGGCCATGATCTGAGGAACACATATTATGCTTGTTGATTCACCAGACCTTAGGATGCCATCAGAGACCTGTGACATTCTCAGTCAGGTCTGTTTCCGTTGCATTCCTTTTCATAGCTTCTGCTGTGATGGCACCCAGTGGTAGGATTGTGGAAGCTACAGTAAAAGTAGATCTATCTGGCATCACAGATTATTTTACCTGTACCTGTGGAAAGACAGCGTTGTTGCAGCAATGCCTTACCATACCTCCAGGGTGATTCTCACTTTCCCTTTCATTCTTGGGTGTGCGTACCTCGGTAGTACAAAATATTCAAATATATTGGGAGGGGAAATCTGTGTTAGAATTGGTCACGGATCTCTTTTAGAAACTCAGGAGTAACATCTGAGAAAGGATCGGGCCATTGCTTCCAAGGGAAGCTTTTAAAAGGGAGGGGTGCCTTTCACATCATCAGGGATGCCTGAATTTTATTTTTTACGTAAAGTAAGAATTGGCCCTTGCCTATCTTGCCAGACATGTGGCTTTCTCCCAAGGTTCTGCTTATTCAATAGTACAAATCTTTTTCCTGTTGACCTCTGAGCCCTATCTGCTCATCATCTGCATGTGTTTATGGGCTGTAAAAGATGCTATATTTCATAACAAAGAGGCAGTTCTCTAGTAGGGCAATCCTTATAACCTACATACTCAGAGCTCTTCAGCAAATGTGCAGAAGATAGCACAGACTGAAATTCCTCAGGCTGAAATGTACAGTGGTACCTCGGGTTAAGTACTTAATTCATTCCGGAGGTCTGTTCTTAACCTGACACTGTTCTTAACCTGAAGCACCACTTTAGCTAATGGGGCCTCCCGCTACTGCCGCGCCGCCGGAGCACGATTTCTGTTCTCATCCTGAAGCAAAGTTCTTAACCCGAGGTACTATTTCTGGCTTAGCGGAGTCTGTAACCTGAAGCGTATGTAACCCGAGGTACCACTGTATATTGTAGTGGTAGTAGCGGAGCTTTGCCAAGCATCCCCCGCCAGGCACATCATGGCACCCAAATGAGACACACGATGTCAGGAGTGCGTGCAGGAGCCAGGCCATGTGACCAGTAGGGCTTCGCAGGACTGGGGCCTTCCTGAGTTTGTTCTGGGGAGGCAAGGCACGGCCGCACTGGTGAGGCCGCACGGTAACTCACTGCACCTGCTGGCAAGAGCCAGGAAGGGATATAAAGTCAGCATTTCCTTTCGGCTCTTCGTCACAGCAACTTGTTTCCTGCCTTGCTGCATTTGGCTTCTTGCGTCCTGATCCTCGGACCTCGGGTTCTTGACTCCTTGCTTCTCAGGACCCTTGACTTCGTGACTCCCTGCTTCCTGACCCTCAGGCCCCTGGCTTCTGGACTCTCGTTCCTGCTCCCACCCCACCATCTTGCCCCCGGTCCCGACTTCCTCAGCCGGGACTTCGACCTCCTGTAAACCAGAATGTGACACATGAACTTGCCACATCCTTTGTGTGTCTAAAACTCCACCGCCACACCAGTTTGCATCTTCAGCACAGCTCTTGCAAATGCCACTGTGAATGGCTTAAAAGTGTTTCAGCAGTACAGCGCTCCAAAAGAGTGTTAAAATTAAGCAAATAATTTTGATTCAAGTGGTGGCTAACTATGTGGCCTCACCCTTCTCTGGGTGATAAGGACAGGAATTCATGTCCTTAAGGCAAAGAAAATTTCCTGCATAGGTTGAGTAAGAGGACTATGCCTTTACCGACAAGAAATATGCTAGCGCAGCCAAGCATATAATTGAGGGATGGTGTTGCGAAATACGGCTCTTTCCAGTTCTCAGAACAATGTTTTGACAGACTCCTGTTATAAGGAAAAGAGACACGAGTGAGAGCCCATGTTTCGCTGCATAAGGCCCCGCTGCAGAAGAAACAAGCTGCTTTTTCATTTGAGTGGTGGCTTGTCTCTTCAGCAGAGGGAACTCCTGAGGTGAAAACCACAAGTTGCTAGAGTTCTCCTTTGGGTTCTGCTTCAGGCTATGCTGTGTTCTGGTCTGATGCTGGAACTCCCAAGGTTGGACCTCTGGCATCTCTTGAGTGAGCAAGTAGCTTAAACAAAAGCAGGCACAGCTGTTTAATGCATCTGTGTCCAAGGTAATGCCTCCAGGTCCCTCTCCTTTGAGAAAACTTGGGGAGTTCTTTTCCAACCACCGCAGGCGAAGTGGGCCTGGGCCCCACAGTCCACTCCTTGGCCCAGACCCAATTCCTTTGCAGCCTCCGATTCTGTATCCAGATCCCTGCTGGATTCAGGCGTCATGACAGGCTGTGGATTATGGGAATTGTAGTTCAGCAACATCTGCAGGGCTAAAGGTTTCCCACACCTGCCTTAAGCCAACATAGCAATGCCAATATGCCCTGTGCAAGCTGCTTGATTCATGCATTTTTGGCAAAGAGATATTCTGAGGCAGAGTTGAGGCAGCCGGACTTTGTACTGTCTTACCAGGCTAAATATTTGCCCTTTTCTGTCTCATACCGCAAAACCAGTCTCGGAAAGCTTGACTTTGTTAGTCTACATAATCAGCACTGTGATCCTTGAACTTCTTACCGTTTATTCCACTGGCTTTAAGGGTGACTCCAAAGCAAATGGCTTGAAGGCTTCCACCTATGAAGCTTTGCAGAACTTGCTCCAGACAGGGTGGGTAAAAATTAGTAATAAATAAGATTTAACGGCACTGGTGCCATAGTTGCCTTGCAGTGTAAGTTTATCTTCATTTTCCTTGAAACCACAAAGTTTTTTAGTGTCATTGTGAAGCAACATCCTGTCTTTCCTGCCTGCTTCTGTTGAAACAATTAGAATGGGGCTGGCTTATGAAGTTTAGGCACAACAGAACTTTGTATTTTAAAGGAATAGGCTTCTTTTAATAGGCAGCATGTTCGTAAAATTGCGTCTTATGAATTATGTGGGGAATGCAACCAAAGTAAGGCTGCTTTTAGTCTTGCTGATATCAAAAGTGAAAAGCATATCCCATGAAAACTAATAGGATTATATGATTTTTTTTAAAGCTGCATCATGCCCAAAGATTTTAAAAGTAGTGAGTGTTTTCATTGAGGGACTGTTCAAGTCCCTATTTAATTTATATTCAGTTAACTTTGTTATTCTGCGTGTAGAAGAGCAATGCAATTCAAAAAGCAAGCTTTTTAACTAATTTAACAAATAAACACATTCCCTCTTCCTCCACCTAAAAAAAACCCCAAACCCTTTAAAGCACCTCATAATCTTAAATTTTAAAAATGACATTTCTGCTGTGAAATCCAGCAGAAGCATTATCTATGAAGGACCTTACAGAGGAGTGTCACTATAATTGTTGTGTTTTGGTGTTGCCAACATGGTCCTATGCTTGCAGTAGTGCCTATGGGGACTTTCCCTGATGCCTCAAGTGCTTCCCAGCCATTGCTGCCTTTTTCATGACTGTTGCTACCCTCTCTCCCCCTCTCCTTGAAAAGAACACAGAGCTGGAAGAGGAAGTGGGAAGACTGTTGCTCTTTTCCATATCCTCTTTCAGCTCTGTGGTTTTCAAGACTCATATCTGCACCTGAGCAGAAAGCAGAATAACCAAGAGTGGAGAAAAGGAGGGAGGGAGAGAGGGAGACTAAAGGAAGGAAAACAGAGTCACTGGGGAGAGAGAGATAAGAGGGGAAGAAACTGATGGATCCTTCTGAATTGTCATAATTCTTACAAGGGATCCCTTCAAAACCACCATCAAACTACAGTGGTACCTTGGGTTACATACACTTCAGGTTACATACACTTCAGGTTACAGACTCCGCTAACCCAGAAATATTACCTCGGGTTAAGAACTTTGCTTCAGGATGAGAACAGAAATCGTGCTCTGGCGGCGCAGCAGCAGCAGGAGGCCCCATTAGCTAAAGTGGTGCTTCAGGTTAAGAACAGTTTCAGGTTAAGAACGGACCTCCAGAACGAATTAAGTACTTAACCCGAGGTACCACTGTATAGGTCATATATTTGATGCATAACCACCAGCTCTCACCTGTAGAAAGTTGTCTTTGGGATCTTCTCATAATGAAATATCTGATAGAAAATAGCCTTGTGGATGTTGGTTTCCTCCACTTGGTCAGTTTCAAGAATTAGGCTTGATGGGATATTCTGAGGAGTGGACTAAAAAAAAAGAAGAATGCTGCCTCACTCAGCTGCAATGCATAGTCAAAGGAAATGTGCCCCCTTCACTGCAGAAGATGTAGGGGACTTAAGATATGAGAACATCCACCGAGACCTACGTTTGGGGCTTCTGGGTCACATGTGGCTTCAGTGGAGCTGACCTTGGCTCCCCCTGCCTTTGGGGCTTTGGTTCCTTCTGCCATATTACAGAAGCCTCCACCACTTCAGGTCCAGGGGGACCTTTTGTCACTGTTCATTTCACGGAACAACATCTATATCCTTCAAGGAACTTAGGGTGGCTGCTGTACATGAAGTTCTTATGTACAAGATGTGGATCTCCAAGCAAGACTATGAAGAAGGAGGCAAACGTTTCCGAGCACAATTCACAGTGTTGGCGCTGACCTTTAAAGCCCTAAACAGCCTCGGCCCAGTATACCCGAAGGAGCGTTTCCACCCCCATCGTTCAGCCCAGATGCTGAGGTCCAGTGCCAAGGGCCTTCTGGTGGTTCCCTCCCTGCGAGAAGTGAGGTTAAAGGGAACCAGGCAAAGGGCCTTCTCAGTAGTGGCGCCCACCCTGTGGAACACACTCCCATCAGATGTCAAGGAAATAAACAACTATCTGACTTTTAGCAGACATCTGAAGGCAGCCCTGTTTAATGTTTTTAATGGTTGATGGTTTATCGTGTTTTTAATATTCTGTTGGGAGCCACCCAGAGTGGCTGGGGAAACCCAGTCAGATGGGTGGGATATAATAAATTTTATTATTATTATTATTATTATTATTATTATTATTATTGAAAGGAAATGCCCATAAAACCCTGTGATAAAAAAATATTGCTGCCTTCCCCAGCACTTCTAATAATTGGATAGCTTTGGCACCAAAAGTTTTGTGTTGCTTTTGTAGGAAATGAAGACATTTTTGTGCATTCTGCAATTTCCATTTGGTGTCTTTTAAAATATAATTTTGGTTGGTGGGGGAGGTTTTTTAGTGTGTAGAGAGAAAGAAAAGGCCCATTTTTGTGGAGGAGAAGGCTTTCCTTTGTTCTGGACACAGGGTTTGAAACTAAAGTTTGAAACGTTTCCAATACTACAATAGACGTATTTTGCATCTTTCTTTTAAGTAAAGAAGCTTTCGATGCATATCCACGTTAAAAAAATAATAGGAAGTGGTTTGTCAAGTCATGCTGCCTTTTATCACCACTGCCAGTAATGACCACAGAGAAGCTGTGGAACACAGAATATTCGGCACAAAACTATATGTGGCATTGGTCCAGTTGACAGGTCTTGTGCTGCTGGCAGAGCGACAGCGTGAGTATTGTCGCATTTTATTTCTTTCTTTTCATTCAGGGGTGCCATCAGTTTGCGTGCAAACTCTGTACTTGTAAGCTAAATCTTCTTTCAGTTTGCATGCCTGGCGTGTCGTTTAATAATTTCAGAAATAACCGTCAATGAGGCTACACAGGCACACAGTTCTAGACAGAAGTGAGACTAGTTGAATAATGTCCCATTTGAGAGACTTGCTGCCGTTAAGCCCTTTGGGGACTGGAAAGGGAGCTGTTCAACTGCTTTTGTTGGATCTTGTGTCGCTTAGGAATATTATTCAGTTTGCAGGATAGCTTGGGGGGTTGGGATTACTTGGGCTGCCCATAGGCCATCACTTCTGAAAAGCAATGGTATTTACATCCCCTTCCACACCATGCTGGCCATGGGCTTCCATTCAGCCAGTGGTGTGTTGATAACTACAAATGCAGTTGGGAGGTAGAGGAACAGAGGATGCTGTTAGGGTAGCATTAATTCTTGCGTACAGTGGTACCTCAGGTTAAGAACTTAATTCGTTCTGGAGGTCCGTTCTTAACCTTAAACTGTTCTTAACCTGAGGTATCACTTTAGCTAATGGGGTCTCCCGCTGCCGACGCGCGGTTTCTGTTCTCATCCTGAGGTAAAGTTCTTAACCTGAGGTACTATTTCTGGGTTAGCAGAGTCTGTAACATGAAGTCTCTGTAACCTGAAGCGTCTGTAACCCGAGGTCCCACTGTACAGCCCTTTCTAGTCCCGCACAAGTTTATTCAGTTTCAATAACAAGGGAAACTAAAACTGGCTGTTTTTCACAGAGCGGGGATTGGGGAAGTATCTATGCACTTCTTTTCGGTGTAGTTCCTTTTTTTTAAGGGCTCCATGCACAGATATATGGACACATGCTTTTCTCCCCCATGTACTTCTGAAGTTTTTTTAATTATTATTTTTTTAAAACCATATTCAAAACTACACCAGGCATTGGGGATGTGCTACCTACCCTGGGCATGTGAGTCATTGTCCACTCTAGGCCTCTGAATCATGCCATATATGCATGATTATTTCAGCAGCGTGGTTTGTTTCTTTTAGGAAGCCAGTTTTGGCTTTTCTCTAGTACTGCTTGAAATAATCTTGTGCCCACAGATATGTGTGTTTAAGTCACTGTAACTTCGGTGGAACTTTTAGTGTAAGTTTAGTGTAATTTCCTTGTGACTTTGAGGACACAGCAGATTCAGGTTAGTAGGGACTTGCCGCTAAGATAAATTCTCACAGGCAGCAGCTTGTGAAGCAAAAGAAAGTCCTTTCCCAGAGCAATTGCAAAAGGGCATAAATTAAACCGGTTTGGCTTTTCCATGCTGTTGAAAATAACTTTCTTCCACCCTTGCCTCTGTGTTACCATTTTAATCCTTTTTCGCTAGGCAGTTGTTGCTTACAGTGACTTTTTCAAACAAACCACACGTCTACATTTTTCATCTATTGCAAGAATGGTGTTGTCCTTGCTTGTGAATATTTTATAAAACTTGTTTTAGGTCTTGTCCTAAGTTGATTAGTAAGGAACAGAGCCCTACCAAACAGACAATTTTGGGTTTCCAAGGGCTCCTCCACTGCTGCCCTCTACTTTGGATTTACAGCTGAGTCCTTTTGACTTTCCTGCTATAATAATAATAATATAATAATAATAATTTATTATTTGTACCCCGCCCATCTGGCTGGGCTTCCCCAGCCACTCTGGGCGGCTTCCCAAAAAAATATTAAAATACTGTAATGCATCAAACGTTAAAAGCTTCCCTAAACAGGGCTGCCTTCAGATGTCTTCTAAAGGTCTGGTAGTTGTTGTTCTCTTTGACATCTGGTGGGAGGGCATTCCACAGGGAGGGTGCCACTACCGAGAAGGCCCTCTGCCTGGTTCCCTGTAACTTGGCTTCTCACAGTGAGGGAAATGCCAGAAGGCCCACGGTGCTGGACCTCAGTGTCCGGGTAGAACGATGGGGGTGGAGACGCTCCTTCAGATATACTGGACTGAGGCCGTTTAGGGCTTTAAAGGTCAGCACCAACACTTTGAATTGTGCTCGGAAACATACTGGGAGCCAGTGTAGGTCTTTCAAGACCGGTGTTAATGGTCTCGGCAGCCGCTCCCAGTCACCAGTCTAGCTGCCACATTCTGGATTAGTTGTAGTTTCCGGGTCACCTTCAAAGGTAGCCCCACGTAGAGCGCATAACCTTCCCAGGCCTCTCATCTGTCCTAGGAAGAATCGCTCCCCGTTTCACCCCAAACTTACCCCAAGGGGGGGCAGAATATTGTTCACATTAAACAAAATAGACCAGTCTTTCCCTCAAATTTACTCTTGGGGAGATGAGTAAACGTAGACCAACAAAGCAGCCTCTCTTCCCCTCCGTACTGCAAACTTAAATAATTAGAACAATGCAAAAAGTCTCCCTTTGTTAGTGCAGGAGCATTTTGGATCAGGGATGAGAACCTGTGGCCACCTAGAAAATGTGGCGGGACTGCAACTCCCCCCAGCATGCCCAATGGTCAAGGATGATGGGAGATTAATTTGTTTCATCTCTACTGTGTTGTTCTTGCTTGTATATGTTAAACTTGTTTTTTTATAATTGTATATAAACTCTTTTTCTTGTTTTTATTTTGTTTATGCAAATATTTATAAACTACTTTCATTAAAAAAAATACAGCAAGGAGGTGTGTACTTCACATAAAATTGCACTAAGTGCAATAAAAATGGTCTGGTTATATTGCTGCCACCCTTCCTGGGACCTTAAAGTGGGCAAGATATCTTATAGATAGCTATTAATTTATAAATGTATCTTATCTGTCCCTGGCAAGGCTTGCATGCAGATCTATGCTAGAAAGAAAGCAAGTTTTAATGGGAGGAGGGAAATGGCAAGCTTACATCTTCCCTCATTCCCTGGTACAGTGGTACCTTGGGTTAAGTACTTAATTTGTTCCGAGGTCCGTACTTAACCTGAAACTGTTCTTAACCTGAAGCACCACTTTAGCTAATGGGGCCTCCTGCTGCTGCTGCGCCGCCGGAGCACGATTTCTGTTCTCATCCTGAAGCAAAGTTCTTAATCAGAGATACTATTTCTGGGTTAGTGGAGTCTGTAACCTGAAGCGTATGTAACCCGAGGTACCACTGTATACAGAAATAGTAGTTCTGTGAGCGAGTGAATCTCTTAGTCTGTATTCCTACCTCCTCAACCTGTCAGAGTTAAAATTAAGGTTGTCTAATACTAAACAACGTTATATTTATAAAAATAGCAGTAGAAATAGGGAAGGCCTCTGCTGGCCAGTTCCTAAATATACACATGGAATAAACCTGTATTCAGAGATGACCAACATTCAAGGTTTTATACAGGCTGGTGAGAATAAGAAAGGAAGCAAATCAGACTAATGTGTTGAATAACCAGAGGATACAGCATATACAACGTTGACACAGAAAGACAGCACATTAGGCACTCTATCAGCAGAGGGAGATGTTGCAAAACCAATTGCCTGATAGGTAACAGTATGAGCTTTTATTGCAAGTAAAAAAAACACACAAAACCTGGATGGGCTGGTGTCAGCATCTGTGTCCAGCCTTTATGCCAGGGGTCAGCAAAGCTTTTCAGCAGGGGGCTGATCCACTGTCCCTCAGACCTTTTTTGGGGGGGGCGGACTATATTGGGGGGGGGAATGAACGAATTCCTATGCCCCACAAATAACCCAGAGATGCATTTTAAATAAAAGGACACATTCTACTCATGTAAAAACACGCTGATTCCCGGACCCAAGGCGATTGGGCCAGATCCGGCCCCTGGGCCTTCGTTTGCCTACCCATGCTTTATGCAGTGGTAAAATCCTATTCAGTTATAGTTCTAGCATAGAAGTCACATGGGAGAATTTATGTGCACTGCTTTATAAGGGAAGTAGAATTTCCAGTAGTCTTTTGGCAAACATGGGTTTTTGAACCACGCATGGGAGAGGAAGTCATATGAGAGGATGATTTGGGGTGGGGAAATGGTTCCATTTCACCACACCCTACAGACATCTCTGCTCTAAATTCCCCTCTCTCACCACGCCCTGCTCTATATTTCTCTTTCCAAAAGAGACTGGGTTAAATAAAAGAAAACACCACACACACTATGCCAGGGCATTATAACATATGTTAGAGTATAACATGCAGTTAGTCTGTTAGTCTACAACTGTAAGGAAGAAATACAGCAGCTTGAAATGAGAAATCTCCAATATGAGAACCAAATTTAGCTAATCTTTGTTTTAAAACCTTTTGCTGATTGTGTTTTGTGTTTTATTAGTAATTATCTATACTTGTGTTTGGACCATTCTGTGTATTTTTGCTTTTTAAAAAATTGATAATGATATTGTGTATGCTGCTTGGAGAGTTTTATTATTAAGCAGTCTATAAATCTTTTTAAAAATAAATTCCTACGTTACGTGGAGGGAAAGTCCCTGTTTACAGCCAGGATAGTGTCCTAATACAGCAGTTGACATGCAAGGGTGGAAATATATCTCTATTGTGTATTCTCTAACTGTCCTGAATATGAGAGCCAGATAAGGACAAAAGCTTGGGTCTTTCAGATTAGGCTACGCTGGAACATACAGTCGTACCTTGGTTGTCAAACACCCTGGAACTCAGACGTCTTGGCTCCCGAACGATCGAAAACTGGAAGTGACTGTTCCGGTTTTCAAACGTTCTTTTGGAAGCCGAACGTCTGACGGGGCTTCTGCAGCTTCCAGGAAGCTCCTGCAGCCAATCAGAAGCTTCGATTCGGAAGTCTAATGCTTTGTAAGTCGAATGGACTTCCGGAACGGATTCTGTTTGACTTCCAAAGTACAATGAAAACAATGATAGGGTATTCTATAGTTACTGTTTTCACCCTGGGTGTTTTTTTGTTTCGTTTTTTTGTTTGTTTGTTTGTTTTGCCACACACCAATGCTGTCATCTCTAGAGATTTGGCTAATGGTAGTACAGTGGTACCTCAGGTTAAGAACTTAATTCGTTCTGGAGCTCCGCTCTTAACCTGAAACTGTTCTTAACCTGAGGTACCACTTTAGCTAATGGGGCCTCCTGCCACCGCACAATTTCTGTTCTCATCCTGAAGCAAAGTTCTTAACCTGAGGTACTCTTTCTGGGTTAGCGGAGTCTGAAACCTGAAGCGTCTGTAACCTGAGGTACCACTGTAAAATAATTTCAACGGGACACATTTCTTCCTTCCCATACCCACCACATTTGACATATCTGAGCCCTTCCCAATGGTGATTTAATTTGGGTCAAATGTGAGATCGGACAATAGATGGAAGTTATTAGAGGCCTCTGGGCCAATCTTGGCCCCTGAGTTCTTTACCCAAGGTAACAAGAGGAGAGAAGGTGGACTAAGGTCTGTGTCAACTGGTCTTTCCAGTAGGCCACTTGGAGATGTAATCCTTGCCAGGTGTGGCACAAGAGGAGGACAGAGTGGCAGTGGCACTTCAGTGGTGGTGGGGTGAAGCTGGGGGAGCCCTGGGTTGGTGGCTGCAGCCCCTCAGGATGCCACTGCCAACCTGTTCCTTCTCCAATCTCATCCTAGCAAACATGGTACTGCCAGGAGGGTGCTGTTGCTATTCTACTTCTCCCCTGCTTCTGCTTCTCCTTGCCTTGCTTTCTTAAAATGTATTCTAAGTTGTTGGGGGTTTTTTTGGGGGGGGGTTCTTTTAAGTAATTTGACAATTCTGTTTCAGATTCATCCAGTATGAATCAACGAGCACCTATTTTACTACTGCAATTTCTTGTTTACATATGTATTATTTGTATATTTATAGTACCCCCCCCCCATAGAAGGATTGTTCTAAAATGTGTCAGGCCTGAAATAAATCTTTGTTCAAGCACTGGGAGTTTCCTTCTCTTTTTTCCCTCCTACCTGCTTTCCTAGCTTTGTGGTAAAAAAAAAAAAAATTATTGACCACTGCATCCTGCCAGTGCCTTTTATTAAAATTATATGCTGACGTGTGATCATACAATGTTTTCTATAAATAGGGAAGTAGCCTACACTGACTAGAATTTGTTTGCTGAATCACTATTTCCTTGGGCACAGCCAGGTGGTACAAGTTGTGTGCTTTGTTTTGTTTGTTTGTTTTGGCTTTCAGAGGGAGAGAAGTAACTCTGTTTTCTAGGTAAAATCTCTTGATCTTTGTTATAACAAATGAGTATTCGTTCCCACCTCTTCCCTGTATGGTAAACAAGCTGAAAGGCATGTTCTTCTTAAATTCATTAACTGCCTACCAACTCTTCCCATGTCACTCCCTTCTGCAGCTTAAGAGATGCAGAAATTACTCTGAGGATAAAGGTAAAGGTACCCCTGACCGTTAGGTCCAGTTGTGGACGACTCTGGGGTTGAGGAGCTCATCTTGCTTTACTGGCCGAGGGAACCGGCGTACAGCTTCCAGGTCATGTGGCCAGTATGACTAAGCCGCTTCTGGCAAACCAGAACAGCGCACGGAAACGCCGCTTACCTTCCCACCAGAGCTGTACCTATTTATCTACTTGCACTTTGATGTGCTTTCAGACTGCTAGGTGGGCAGGAGCAGGGACCGAGCAACGGGAGCGCACCCCGTCACGGGGATTCAAACCCCTAGGTTTTGTGGTTTAACCCTGTTGTAAGCACAACCCACAGCGCCACTCGCGTCCCTATACTCTGAGGATAGGGAAGTATTATTAGGAAGCCTTCTAGTTTGGCCAGAAACAGACCCAATTTGAACCATAATTTTGTGTACAGGAGGGAAATTCCTCGGACTTGCCTTGTTCTCTTTTTGGTGATGGAGTAGGTAGCATCATAGTTGAGACAGAGTGACTTAAAAGGGGGAGGGGAATGAAGATTCTGCTTTAACTACAGGAACATTTTGTATCAAAAGGGGAGACCACATGATGCACAGACTACCATTTTCACTTTGTTTTTGTTTACAAGAATTATGTTTAAGATCTCCAAAGCGAGTCTTCACTTTTGTTGAATGGCTCTGTCACTGGATGCTGAGAAGCTTTTGCTTAGCTCCACAACGGATTCTAGCTACTTAAACATACAATTTGAATGCATAGAAAAAGTGAATGGTAGTTTGAAAAGCCACCTTTTTATTTATTCCAGCTTGAAGAGCCTCTTTCTGCTTGGATGTCAAGAAAGTAACTGGGTGTTGTCAGTGGAGATTCTACTTAGTCCCCATTCATGAGTCAACCTAAAAGCAGAAGGACAAGTGTTTGGGTCACCTGGAGAAATTTCTAAGATGGTGACAGGGAGGGGCATTATGTTTAGCAAAGGTGCTAGTGCATTATGAATGCTGGCTAAGCCAGGGTCATGCCCCAGTGTCTCATAACAAGAACCCAGCTGCTTTCATATCTGATTTGGTAGTTGACGCTAAGCTAGCAAGTCTTTCCCTGAAGCCAAGGAAAGCAGTCTGTTCTGGATTATATTTCCTTCTGTTGAACATTGCCCTTCTCACCTGGATGCTAAACTTGCTGGCTGTTGCATCCTGTACACACCAGGATGGCTGTAAAAAACATTTGGGCTGGCTCTGAAAAGTTCTAGCTATACTTCTGTGTAGTGATTGAAATGCGCAGACGCGGATAATATGTTATCCATGTCTATACATTTCAGGCACTAGGTGGAAGTTCATTGAAAGCTGACTAGGGAAAGGACAAGTTACATACTACTGCCATATAAGTGTTTCCTGATGCCCAGAATTTCTCACAAATCGAGCAAGCGTTGACGATTTTCATCCAGGGCGAAGGAATCTTGATCTGTTCATCATGTTTATTTTGAAACTGCTTGACAAAGTGGCCAGTCATTTTAGTGATTGTTTTGTATTGCTTTTAAATGTTTTTTGTTGGTGTGCATTCCCCTGATGTTTTGCGAGAGGGTGGTATATACTTTTATAAACAAAATAAGGTGGCTGAACCACTACAAGTCTGCTAAAGATGGTTTGTACAAAATGCTCATTTACACAACCAGTAATTTTTATAATAACACCCTCACTTCAGTCTCTGACTTGTTTACACACTTAAGAGGTGGTGAATCCCGAGGCTGAAGTGAAATGAAAGTCAGCAAATCTCCCCCTATGTAATTAAGCGGCTATGGATCATTTCTCTATCATTTCAGAATAAATGGCCATTTAAACAATAGCACAATCATCATCTTCTGGATATGCAGAGGTGGGCACAAGCAAAGAACTAGCTGGGACTATGCGCAAGAGAGCTTAAAAATAATGAGATTTCCTGTCTGTGTTTACAAGGATTGTTGGCTCAGAGAACAACCCTGACTAAATAGCCTCAGGTCCCTAGTTTATATAAACAAACCAAGGGTTAAGAGGCTTATTCACCTACAGTTAGGTGTTACAGGAAAGGAGAAGAAAACCTTTTGCAGAGAATTACAAAGCTGCAGAATTTAGACGTAAAGAGCAACCTATTTATTCAGGGTTCTAAACTGAAGAACTTACCTTGGAAGTAACTAAATCTTCCGTAAAGAGTGGTGATCCCTCTCCGCCTGCCGGCTCCTCAAGTGTGCATTTATGGCGTACATTATTTCATTGTTTTAGTTTTCCAAACCAGTCTTGCTGTATGATAAATAAATCTCCCATCAGTTGTAACTTCTGCCTGTGACTAGCTGACCTGCCCCACAGGTGAGAGACAGTCTTATGGTTTTCTGGCTGCTATTGAGATGCTACAGAAGAGAAGAGCCTATGAGACGAGAAATTAAAGAGCAGGGGCCTAGAAAAGAAATAGGCTGGGGCCTGAGGAGGCAGCAGGCTAAGGCAGTGGCTTTCCACCAGTGTGCTATGGCACCCTGGGGAACCTTGAATGATGGCCAGGTGTGCAACACTGGCCTCTGTCCCTCTTTCCTTACCTCCCTCCTCTGATGCCCTCTTGCGTCTCTGCTTCCCGAAGGCTTGCATAGCTGTTCGTTGCAGCAGCCCCGGCTATAAGCTCCGCAGGCCAATGGTACCTCTGGGAAGCACCTCTCTTTGGGGCGAGGGTGGTGTGCAGCTCAGAGACCAGGGGCGGAAGCAGCAGCTGCCCGGAGGACCCCCATGGGGAGTGGAAAGAAGAGGAGAGGAGGCGGAGGGAACACTCCACAAGGGAGGGTGTTCGAAAAAGGGTGAGAAGCCATGACTGCATATTGAATTTGTGGGGCGGGAACCCAAGATGCGTGTAACTCAGCAATATTACTGCTACTGGTAGCGTGATACTATAGTACATATATACTAAGGAGTAAGTCCAGTTGATTTCACTGAGGCGTACTATCAGAAGAGTACAGTGGTACCTCAGGTTACATACGCTTCAGGTTACAGACTCCGCTAACCCAGAAATAGTACCTCGGGTTAAGAACTTTGTTTCAGGATGAGAACAGAAATTGTGCCCCGGCAGCGCGGCAGCAGTGGGAGGCCCCATTAGCTAAAGTGGTGCTTCAGGTTAAGAACAGTTTCAGGTTAAGAACGGACCTCTGGAATGAATTAAGTGCTTAACCCAAGGTACCATGTATAGGATTGCACCCTAAGTCTGTGTGTGTGTGTGTGTGTGTGTGTGTGAGAGAGAGAGAGAGAGAGAGAGAGAGAGAGAGAGAGATACATAGAATAGGAACTCCCCCCCCCCCCCCGGCAAGAAAAGCTACTAGCATTTCACTTATCTCTGATTGGGAAATCCTTTCCCAGTTCCATTTAAGACTTTGTAAATTTAGTTGTTAAAATAAAAAATGGGTGGAATGGCTTTAGGAACCGTACAAAATGTGTGGTGTTGTGGCAAAATGAGATTGTGCCATGTTGATTGTCATCCGGAGATTAGGCTTCAAAGAAGTTCATGCCTGGATCTGTTTGTGAATTCTTCTACAAGTGCATTGCAACCAGGATTTTGACCTTGGAAGAAGCCGTGCTAGATTGGGGCAGATATGGCTACACAAACATCTGCTGACCTCCCTTTGGCAGCCATTCATGCAAACAAGCTGTAGGTTCACATCATGTACTTTGGAGCTAGCAAAATACGCTCTCATTTGCAGCAGAAAGGGTGTGTGGTAGCATTTCTCTTCTTTGGATTTTGTCTTATTAGTTTTAAATAGCAAACATGAACCACAAACGACTCTTATTTGAGCAAAACCTCTCTATTTCTCCCCTTACACCCACAACTTTCAAATGTTGCCCTAGTTTTCTCTTTAATAGATATCTCCTGTGCGTTCATTTTCTTCCTATGACAGAAATGGCAATGCTGGCACGTGTACCGATTATGTTCTTGTAAGAGTTACTCCTGCTGATTTCTTTAAGAACAAAACAAAACCCAACAGCCCTGCCACATGAATTGTTAACTGCGAGAGAGTACTAATTGCCTCTTAAAGACCGCTAATGAAAGATTTTAGGAAGCTGTTGCTTACTTATTTTTCACCTGCTGCATGTTGAGAGAGTTAGCTGAAGCTCTCCCACTTGAAAAATGGAATGTTGCATGTTTAGGCAAATATCAGGATCTTCCTCTCCCCCCCCCCCCAAATTTCTTATTCTCCAGATGTGCATTCTAAGTGAGGGCTGATTTGGAATTTGTCTCTACTTCTTAAAGTGGGTGTGAACATAATCCTGCCCCTTCCAAGCAGGTGTGCAAGGACACACTGTGTAGAAAATTGGTTCCTCAAGCACAGTGGGAGCCATGCTTGGGCAATACGTGGGTTTGTCAGCACACAGCAACTGGACGCAGGACAAGCACCTCTCCACATGTTCAGTGAATCAGCTCCACCACATGCAATGTTCTTAGCAGAAGCGGATTCTTCATGGCTGGGTTCAAGAAGTCATAACCTACTTACTGGAGACTGAGAAAAGGGAAGGGTTGGGTGGTTTGAAGAGGCCCTTACAATGAATAGTGTATTGGTTGCTGGTTATAGTGCAGGCTGCTATGTTCCACCTTTGGGTAAGCACACAAGGCCTCCTGTTTAACAAAGACAGTAGAGACCAGCAGTGATGCACTCCCAGTAGCTGTGAACTTGACCTCGTAATGAAAGGATCCAACAAAAAGACCGTGCCTCATCTCTTTGCAAATTGTATAAAATATGATTCTTAAATGCATGTTTGTATCATGGGGTTGCATTCAATCTTCCATGAGCTCAAAGATTTCTGCTTGTGCAATGGAACATAGGGGAGGAGACGGGGGAATTCCCATCATGCAAGCATTTACCAAGAATAAGGCTGCAATCATAGCCCCACTTACCTGGGATTTAGGTAAAGGTAAAGGGACCCCTGACCATTAGGTCCAGTCGTGGCCGACTCTGGGGTTGCGGCGCTCATCTCACTTTATTGGCTGAGGGAGCCGGCGTACATGTGGCCAGCATGACTAAGCCACTTCTGGCGGACCAGAGCAGTGCAAGGAAACACCGTTTACCTTCCCGCTGGAGCGGTACCTATTTATCTACTTGCACTTTGACGTGCTTTCGAACTGCTAGGTTGGCAGGAGCAGGGACCGAGCAATGGGAGCTCACCCTGTTGCAGGGATTCGAACCTCTGGCCTTCGGCAAGCCCTAGGCTCTGTGGTTTAACCCACAGCGCCACCCGCGTCCCTTACCTGGGATTTACTCTTATTTAATTCAGTAGGATTTCTAAATAGGCATAGTTGGAATTATTCTGGATCAATTCCTGTTAACCTGGAATTAAACCTCCATGTTCAGCCACTGTGTATCTCTTGCGTACCAGTTGGGTAGCTATTGGTGATGGCTACTAGCAGTTATGGTGGCTACGCTCTGCCTCTGTGGTGGGAGGCAGTAGTACTTCTCAGCACCCACTGCTGGAAACTGCAAGAGGGGAGAATGCTCTTGTGTCTTGATTCTGCTCGTTCGTTTCCCCTAGGCATCTTGGTTGGCTACTGTGAGAACAGAATGCAGGACTAGATGGGCCAGTGGTCAGTTCCAGCAGACTCTTGTGTTCATGTGAAAAAGTGGAGAGAGCAGTTGCTGTTGTGCCTTGTCCGTGGGCTTCCTAGAAACAGCTAGCTGGCCACTGGAAGGAAACCTGATCCCGAATTAGACAGAACTTTGCTTTGATTCCACAGGACTACTGTTCTGTTCTTAATGCTATTCTTAATGGGATGTTCTTCACAAAGCATATGAGCATTACGGATACAGTTGTCATTTAGTACAATTACAGTGGTACCTGTAGTTAAGAACTTAATTCGTTCCGAAGGTCCGTTCTTAACCTGAAACTGTTCTTAACCTGAAGCACCACTTTAGCTAATGGGGCCTGCTGCGCCACCAGAGCACGATTTCTGTTCTCATCCTGAAGCAAAGTTCTTAACCCGAGGTAATATTTCTGGGTTAGCGGAGTCTGTAACCTGAAGCGTCTGTAACCCGAGGTACCACTGGAGCTCAAGGTGGTTACCACAGTTTTATCTTCACAACAACCTGTGAGGTCGGTTAGGTGGAGAAAGAGAGAAAGCTACTGGCCCAAGATCACCCAGTTGAGCTTCATAGCGAGTGGGGTCTTGAACTCTGGTCTCCCAAGTGCTAGTGCAACAGCCTTCCCACTACATCACACCGGCTCTCAACTAAGATGCTTTTAAACAAAAACCTCCAGTCAACATAAATGTAAAAGATCAACCATCACAGACACATTTCTTTGTGTTATATATGTGTTCATTTTGTTGTTTCTTCTCCTCATTTTAATGCCTGTGGGTGGTATGATACGTGATCGTTTTTTCGGTTATAATGCGAATCATTTTATTATGCCTAATGCAACTCACACTAGGCTTTTATCACAAGGTTAAATGAGGCATGCATGACTTAGAAATCTCCGGTTTGCCAGCTTCCTCTTTTGCAGGAAAGCCTTTTATATACCCTCCTTGTTTCCCTAGTTTCCAGTGGACCTTGTCCCAAAGCACATTGGAAGGGCGATGAGTGATGAATGACGTAGCCTTTGGTGCTTGCAACCTGGACAGAAAAATACTCACAATTTTGGACTTTTCTATTTTTGCTCGTGAACTTAAGTCCTCCTACAGCATTGTTTTTCAAAGTTAAGGAAAACTTTCGTGTATTTTTCCTGTCTTACTGTCTTTCACTACTTTTATTTTTTTAGATATATATATATAACCACCTTAAACACCAAATTAATTCTCAGGTAGAAAGCCACAGGCCTTCCTTCCCTCATCAACGAAGTGCTGATAGGTTTTGCTTTTGTTAGACTTCATGGTGGTGTAACCGTTTAGTTGGTCCTTAGCTGAAGATTTTCAGCTTCTTGAAACTGGCAGGAAGAGGTTTCTTCTTGTTGTTTGTGGCAGTTTTGTTGCACAGTGAGTGGTTCCATTTGCTTCTGGGTGCAGAAACAGCTGAAGCCCTGTCTTCTCACCGAAGCATCCCTTAGGTAGGAGGCTTAACTCGCTAAAGGAAACACAGTGCCGTCCGTTCTGGAGGGTGTGTACCTATCTGAAACAGGAAGCAGAGCAGCAAACTGCCTGTGAGGAGAGAGACTTGCAATTCTGAGCAGCGCAGGTGTGCAGTCTCTGTGAGAGACGTCTTCCCTCCGAGCATCTTGGCAGTTGTGCTGTTCAACAGGAGCTCTTGTGTGCTCTGGGAGGGGAGCAACCGTTGTGGGTAGAGCAAAAATGACTGCGTTACAGCTGAAAGAATTATCGCACTCAGGTCTGTACAGGAGGCGACGGGACCGTCCAGATAGCCTGGGTCTTCAAGGGTTACCTGAGCAGAAGCTGAGGTGAGTGGTGGTGAGGAAATTAATGGTTAACTTGAGACAGCTCTGGGTGTCTTTTGAGTTTAAGGCTGACGCCTGACAGAATCAGTTGCAGAAACAGAATGCAGGGTGGTGGAATTGTAATAACGCTAATTATAAAATGTGCCCAATTGGAAATAGTCCAGAGTTGCCAGGATAATCTAGGAGGAGTTGAGAGGAAGCAGCTGTTTTCCATTTACTTCATTTCTCAGTTTGACTTACTATCCTAAATGCTGTAGTAGCACAAAGAGTGACTGTAAGAAGTGTCAATAATTCCCCTTCCCCAATATTTTTGATCACTGCTTAATTTCCCCCAGAACTAATCAATCTCCAGATTACATATTAAAAATAAGTTTTCGTTTCCAGCACCCTTGCATTCAGAGAGAACCCCATTGCCTTATAGGAGTCCTGGGCTGTTCTATTGGGTTTTTCTTTTCATTTTTTTTTTAAGTTGTGATGTGAGACTTGTCAGATCTTGATTTACTCCCCACCCCCCATAGATTTCTACTTATTATTATTGAAATGCCTTGCAACAAAAGAATGCAGTAGAACCACTTTATATGACCTTATGAAGGGAAAGTAACCAAAGAAAAATCTTAAACATTAATGACACTGGTTAGTTTCCAAAAGTTGAGCTCCTTTTAAAATATTGATTTTATAAAAGTGCAGGTCAGTAGAAGATTTCGTGTTGCTTTTCAAAAAAAGGAACTCAGCTTTTTGAAACAGAATGGTAGAATGATAATAGTGGTTAATGTAGATCTGGTAACGAATAACTTGCTGTGAAAAATTGCATTTTTGTACGGAACTGTTAAAAAAAAAAATCCCTGAGCAAATGTCAAAAGTGTTAGTGAAGGGGAAGAGTTTCCTGTCATGCTATGACTAGTGAATGACTAGCTGTTTTAACATAACAATGTAAACCTCCTGTGGAACTCTGGGCTGCTTGCTAGCTGGTGCTACTGGATAAGAATCTCAGAAATAAGAGAGCAGAAATAAGCATGAGCTTCTGCCTGCCCCTGGGCAACTGGATCTCTGGGCAGATCTTTGGATAATCTGTAGTAGATGGGCAAGGACTTCTCAATTGTTTAACAATAGCACCAGCAAAATGTCTCTTCTCCCTGAAAGTGGGGTAGTAGTAAGCCAGGAGCATATTTTTGTTTGTAAGGACTGTGAGCTGTGTTCAGTTCTGATTTTCAGAAACTTGATTCCTGGCTCAGAATACTTAAAATTCATAAGTGTGTATCTTTTTGGCAGCAGAGTCTGGCTTTCAGTTAAAAAAGAAACCAAGGAGAAATCTTGCAAGCCTGCCCACCTCTGCTCTGGAACAGTCAACACCCTTTGAAAACAAAGCATACTCTCTATGAAAAAAGGGCCCCTGCCAATTCAGATAAAGGGTAGAAAAGAACAGTTTGCTACCAGTGAAGTCTTGCTCTGTATTCTTCATAATTCCTGGTTTTCTCAAGAAGTGGGCAATAGTCATTTCCTTTGTTAAAGCAGTGGACCTCACCTGTTAACTTAATGGTCCAATGGCCCAGTGTTGTTGCTAAAATTTTGCTAAACAGTGACCAAAATCCCTGATCCCTTCAAGCTTTTATAGCTAACCTCTAAAGAAATCACCATGAGACTGCTTTGCTTTCCCATTCCTGATAATACCATCCTGATGTCATGCCGGAACGCGGGTGGCACTGTGGGTTAAACCACAGAGCCTAGGACTTGCCGATCAGAAGTCGGCGGTTCGAATTCCCGCAACAGGGTGAGCTCCTGTTGCTCAGTCCCTGCTCCTGCCAACCTAGCAGTTCCAAAGCGTGTCAAAGTGCAAGTAGATCAATAGGTACCGCTCCGGCGGGAAGGTAAACAGTGTTTCCGTGCGCTGCTCTGGTTCGCCAGAAGCGGCTTAGTCATGCTGGCCACATGACCCGGAAGCTGTACGCCGGCTCCCTCGGCCAATAAAGCAAGATGAGTGCCACAACCCCAGAGTTGGTCACGACTGGACCTAATGGTCAGGGGTCCCCTTTAATGTCATGCCATCCTATGGAGGGGGAGAGAATGCAGCTCAGGACTTTTATATGTTTACAGCCAGCATAATGCAGTTGTCCAGAGTGCTGCACCAACCAGAATTCAAATTGCCACTCAGCTGTGAAGCTCACAAAGTGACTTTGAGGCTATCACTCCTTTTCAGCCTACCCAACCTACCCTTGCTTTAGGAGTATTAGGATAAAACTGTGTGGCCCCAAGTTCTTTAGTGGGACATGGGATAAAATAAAATACTAACTACTTAAATCTGGGGCCGCCAAGACATGGCACCCCCAAGGTATGGCTGCGCCCACAGAAGCTTTCCCCTGGTGCACGCAGGTTCCCGGACTGTCCGCGGGCCGGATTGAGAAGGCGATTGGGCCGCATCCGGCCCCCGGGCCTTAGGTTGCCTACCCCTGATTTAGAAGGAAGAGCTTCAAGGGATGGATTTGGGGCATCATTATAGGAATGCCACTTATTTAATTTAGGCTACTTTTTTAAAAAAAAAAGCTGTTGGAGGTGGCATTGACATGAGGCAACTATCTCTCTTATGCTAAGAGATCTTCAAGATGATGCTTCATAGATGACAGCTGTCAAAATGCCCCCACCCATCTCCGGCCAACATACATTCTGCAGTCATTCTGGCTTTGTCCAGAAACTTTTTGAGCAGCTGTGCATTGCAGTGAGTCTATGTAGCTCAGTAGTGCCAACAGGGACAGCTGCTTTGGTGCATCATCCCATGCCTTGTTTCTGCACTTCCAGGCAGCGCTTGGAAGTCACCATCTCTGCACCCTAGGCGTTTTGAAGTAACAGTTTCTAAAATGGATCTGTTGGTGCATCGTCCTCCAACGCTTCAGTTTCAAAGTAGTCTCACTAATGATTTTGGGCCTGGATTTCAGTAAATCGCTGGTTTTATTTTTTAAGAAAGCTTTAATGAGATCTTTAATATTACATATTTCCTCTTATCTCATAAGAAGAACTCCTGTACCTCCCCTTCTGACATACATTTATGGCACAACATGAAGGCATTAGATCTCATTTCCCGCCCCCCTCAATAATGTTGTTGCGCTGCAAATTGAATGATCCCTTTTTGAAGTTCCAATACGAGTTGCCACTAGCTCTGGAGTTCAAAGTTAAGACAGTTTTAATGTAGCTTCACCCTGTTATTATTCTTTGAATTATAGCAGTGCCTTCGGGGCCTCAGCCAAGGCGCCTCCATTTTAGATTGTATATGTTCGAAAAAGTTTCTGCGTAGATAGTTACTACTGTTGTGGATTTTTCTTCCTCTCCATTGGGGGGGGGGCGGCGAGAAATAATTGCCACTTCTTATTTTATTAGGAAACTATTACTCACATTTTGTCAAACTGTGATATTGCATAAGATGTGGGATATTTCCATTGCTCAAAGCTTTAAATATCTTCAGCACGACACACCCTGCTTCTCTATCCCATTGCCCTCGCCTTTACCCTTAACGCTTTTTTTTGGCATGCGTGTTGCTTAATCATCCTTCAAGAAATGCCTTTTGATTTACTCACTAGCCCTAGAGTGCAGAATTACTGGATGGGAATGTGCAACAGGCATTGCAAACTCTGGCTACGGGCGCTGCTGTGTACCGGCAACAGATTCTCTGGCTTGTGTTTTGTTTGGCCACGCTTAATGGGGGAAAGTAAGCAGGCAATAACTCACTTTTTTTTATTGCAGATGTGAGAGCATATAAGTAAATGTGTGGCAATAACCATTTGATTGGAACCTGCTTATCTCTTCTGTTACATCTGGGTAGTACATTCCATGCGGAGAGCAAAGAGTGACAGGTAGATCTAGCCAAAGACAACTTTTCAGTACAGGGTAGGAATAAGTACATACATACCTGCCTGGCAACTACTTACATAATTGTTCGAGTATTGCCCCCCATAGAAGCAACTCTGTGCCAGATTCTGGTTTTGAGTTCTATATATCACAGACAACATCTCACTGGCAGGAGCTCAACATATTTAGACCAGCACTGCTATTTTTTTTAAGAAAGGAAATAAGGGCTTGCCTATTAACATCTCTCTGCATCTTTATCTTGTCCCCATCCCTCCCAGAGAACAAGTCTCTTGCTGTTCCCACTGTCCTTGAAAGAGTTTAACCTGTTATCTGTCATCTGTATCTGATAAGAATAGTTCTCAACCAGCCTTTTTACATCTTGTTCCTGTAAACAGTTGAGTTTCCCCATTTATTTCAGCCTGATCAATGGGGCATCTCCGCTCTCATTTCAACAGTTGACATGATGTTAAAAGTACAATGCAAATTCTTTAGTCATTTTTTCAAGTGCAGAGGCTGACCTTTTAGGTTACAATCCTAATCCCATTTACCTGCGAGTAAGCTACATTGTGTTCTGCGGAATTTACCTCTGGCTAGACATGGTTCGGATTGCAGCCTTAGTCTGTCATGATGAAGAATACATGGTTCATTGAAATAACAACTACTACTAAATTCTGTTATTGGGTGAATGTATTTCAATGTCTTCATTTTGAAATTTTGTTCTAGCAGTACAAGGATAGACCTGCAGCTGGTGATCATGGTTCAGCAGATTTCCAGTATTGTGTGTGAGTGGGGCTGACATTTTAAAAATGCTTACATTTAAAAAAAATATATATCTCTGCAAACAGTAATTTAGCACATCAAGAGTAAGATGAAGCCTTTGATCTGTTTGTTTTCTACATAGGGGATGTTTTTACATACTGAACATTTATACATTCATAAATGGAATGCAACCCGTAAACTGAAATCTGGTGATTTTGTAAATTAGCTGTAGATTTGACTGGAGTTGATAAATGAACCTCCTCAGGGTTTATCTTTCTACTGGGGCAATGGCTAAAGGGACTGTCCCATCCATACTGAATGCAGAAAGAAGCTGCATCACATGGCACCTCTGAAACGGAAAAGGTGCATACATAGCATTCAGGTACAGGGACCAAGCACTTGTGCACAGTCACCCTTGCTACTCATATATATAAAGTGTTTTTCATCTTGAATTTTGGTGCAGAGATTAAAAATCCGGTGATGTGCTGCCCAATCCCAGATATTCCAGTTGGATTCAAGTTCCTTAGACTTCAGTAAGGTTTGCTCTCTTGTAAGAACATAAAGAATGGCAGCTGTGCAGTGCACTCCTATGCATGTCTACTCGGAAGTAAGCGCTGCTGCGTTCAGTGGGGGCTTATGCCCTAGTGAATATTTAGGATTGCACACTTAGTGTATCTTTGAACACACTAAAATAGGTGACAGTTGGCCCTAACTTCCAGAGTGTTTCTCAACAAAACAACAAAAGTCTTGCAGTGCAATACATGCTAACTGGTTTGTTTTGGCACAAATTCCTGCATTTATCTGATGCAGTGGATTAGTTGTCAGGAGTTTATGCTATAATGCATTTGTTGGACTTTATAAAATGCTACAAAACTCTTAACATGGGCACTGTGTCTCAGAAAAGAGTCTTCAACTGTCCATTCTCCTAAGACTACTATTTAATGATGAAGCCTTTCAAATCTAATTTTACCAGCAAGGTTGTGCAATTTTTATTTTTTGAAGAAGGGAAAAGTCTAAAATTGCAATAAGATGGAAGTGGTGTTCTGCTCCCTGTCTCCGTGTCATTAAAAATGTGCTAAATTCAGATAAATCGCAGTCTTTAATCCTGTTAATATAAATGTGAACCTCTTTGTTTACAGAGAATGGAACTGTGTGGGACTGACATGCTGCCTAGCACAGAAATCCACACCAGTTCCGCCACCTTAGCTGAAGGTCAGTCTTCAGCGTGGTATCTATGATGGAGTCGTTACTATAATAAGAATGTAGTTTCGAGCCAGAAAGTCTGCTGTTGACAGTTACCCTAACCGTATAAGGAACTTCATGAACATACGAGAAGTCTTTCGTGGCAGTCTGGATGTTTGGTTTGGTCTGGTCAGGGTATTAATTATAGCTACTGCTCGGCTCATTGTCTTAACGTAATAATGAAAAGTTAATATAGTCAGCTGAAGCAGAGTCACTTCTACAGTTTCTTCATGTTTATGAACAAACCGTTATTACAGCAAGCGTGGGAAGTATATTTAGATGTGAGGAACGTTCGGCCCTCTAGTTATGGCTGAACTACATGTTCCCTGGCCATTGGCCATACTGGCTGGGGCTGATGGGATTTATAGTTCAGCAACATCTGGATGGCCATCTGATTTAGTGTGAGGGTCCCAGTAATCTCTCTTTGAGACTTCTTCTACCTTATAAAGCTTCAGCAGTGCTGCAATATTGAACCTCCCAAGACCTTTCAGTGGACTCACAAAGTTCATGACTGAACTGCATATTATGTTAGCTACTTAACAATATGATTAGGGCCTGCTACTTACCTTAAGAAGTGAGAGCGGGACCATAAAGAAGGCTGATCGCCGAAGTATTGATGCTTTTGAATTATGGTGTTGGAGGAGACTCTTGAGAGTCCCAAGAAGATCAAACCTATCCATTCTGAAGGAAATCAGCCCTGAGTGCTCACTGGAAGGACAGATTGTGAAGCTGAGGCTCCAATACTTTGGCCACCTCATGAGAAGAGAAGACTCCCTGGAAAAGACCCTAATGTTGGGAAAGATGGAGGGCACAAGGAGAAGGGGACGACAGAGGACGAGATGACTGGACAGTGTTCTCGAAGCTACCAGCATGAGTTTGACCAAACTGCGGCAGGCAGTGGAAGACAGGAGTGCCTGGCGTGCTCTGGTCCATGGGGTCATGAAGAGTCGGACACGACTAAAGGACTAAACAACAACAACAACTTACCTTAACAAAAGCAAAAGAGGGGAAGAGCCTGATTGGGATAGAAGGAAGGGAATTAACCCTCTCCACGTCCCCAATGTCTTTTTTCCTGCTGACAATCACCTTGAAAATGCAGTGTCCCCCTGTCAATAGTGTTATTGCATACAGTATTTGCCCCATCGCTTTCTACAGAACGTATCAAAGCAACTTACAGAATATTTTAAAATATGATACAACATATCAGATATTTATAATCCAAAATGCCATGGAATACACACACCATGTAAACACGTTAAAAGTGTTCACCTACCAACAAGAATGAAAAGGGTGAACTCTGCCCCCAAGTCCACTAAAAAATGAACACTGAAACAAACTATAACTCATACCACACTGTAATCTACACTAAGATGAAAAGCCTGAGTAAACAGAAATGTGTTCGCTTGGCACCTGAAAGTTGATCGTGTTGGCACCAGGCAAGTTTCCCTCAGCAGGGAGTTCCACAATTAGGAAGTCGCCACTGAAAAGTATGTGTTTCTCTGCCTTTCTCCCCGCTTCCTTCAGAGAAGGGAGAAAGGGCTTTTGATGATAATTGTAGGGTGTGGGTAGGTTCATAGGGGTAGAGGCAGTCCCTGATATAGTTGAGTCCCAAGCCGTGTAAAGCTGTCTAGATCAAAACGAACACTTTGAATTGAGCCTGGAACACTTTGAATTGAGTCTGCGGCCAACGTGGTTGGGGATTTTCAGGGAATGGGGAAAAGGTTCCAGGGAATGGGTTTAATTGACTCACTCTTGCACCACAATCCTAATTCAGATTCCTCCCACAGTGTGGCTGCTTTTGCTTAAACGTGGAGAACCCAAATCACGTTTTCCACTAGCGTGCTTATTAACATCATGTGTTGCTTGGCCCACAGTGTAGCAGATGTAAAAATAAATGCATAAACCCCTGTTTGGGCTTTCAGCCAAATGTGTGAGTGAGTGCACAAATTGTGTTTGGGAACATGGTACCACACATGCTGGCTCATGCCACCCCCTCCACTGTGCCAACTTTCATGCATTTAGAGTGAAGGTCTAGCAGCGGTTCTCAACCTGTGGGTCCCCAGATGTTGTTGGACTACAACTCCCATCATCCCTGAGCTCTGGCCTTGCTAGCTAGGGGTGATGGGAGTTTTAGTTCAACAACATCTGGGGACCCACAGGTTGAGAAAGGCTGGTCTAAGGGATCGTCTAAGCAATCTCTGCACATGCTCCCCTTGGGCGTTCACACTGAAGTTCAGGAGTGGAGAAGCAAAGTGCCATGGTGTGGTGGTGGTGGTGACACCCAGTGCCCCGTCCACAATTTGTGCCACTAGGCATTCGTCTGAATAAATAACTATTGCAAGCAGGGCCGTCTTAAGCATATCCGGCACCGTGGTGCAAAGCTTTCCGGTGGCGGCGTGTCCCCCCCCTCAATTTGCCAGAGTTTTTTAGGGAGGCCGGAGGGTCTGGAGGAGGCGGGCAGCGGCTGGAGGGCGGTTCCTCCAGCGGGGAAGAGGTGGAGGCTGGAGGAGGCGCCTCCCAGCTCAGCTGGCCACTTCGTGCCACAGTAGCCACGGCAGACAGAGGCTCTGGGCACAGCGCAGCGCTGCTTCGGCACAGCATGGTGAAGGTGGGCGAGAGCGGCGAGCTGATGCCGAGAGGCCTCCAGCCTCCGACTCTTCCCTGGTGCCCTCCACAACTTGGCGCCTTACGCCACTAGCCTCTATGAGTAAGACACCCCTGATTGCAAGCAAAGCTTAAATATGGGACGTGGATCAAGGCAGTGGAGTACATTTTGTGCTTGCCGATGAAAAGAAACATCTGTCAACATCATCTAGTCACATCTCTCTTTTCAAGTCTTGGAATATCCCTGGCACAAACAACCATGCCAGCTTTGCTTTATCTGTGGAAAGATACCTTTGTGCTAGGAACAGTGTGTTGAGAAGGCACTTCCTATGCGGACATATGCATGAGAAGGGGCTCAGATTCCCATTCTTTGGACAACAGCAAATAGATTTTTTTAAATAAAAACAAATCCAGGATTTTAACATGTTGTTTGCCTTTCATCTGGTTGATGTGATTTTCACCTCATATCTAAATGTATTGGCCTCAATCCATGTGAGTGTGCATCTAGTGTTCCCTATGGGAAGAAAACACTGTCAGGATTAGGGAATGCATTGTCCATATTGGTTTGCAGCCTAGTGCTGGGATTTGCTGTGAGTTTCCTTCCTCCTAGGACCTTTCACAAGCTGCCGGTAGATGTGGACGTGCCTTGAGAGCAAAGCAAGATGTTCCACTGAAAATGATTCACTTGAATACGTGTAATTGAATTCCATAGCATAGTTTCAAACAGCAGCTCCTTCTGTATAAGGAGATTTTAAGAAGCCTGCAGAGCTCCTTTGGGAGCAAGAGCCTTCTCTATTCCCCAGAGTCTGGGGGACGGTGTATAAGAAGCTGTAGATTATGTGAAGTACCATGTAGACATTTGAATTTGGGTGAGGATTTGGATTGCTCTAGAGCCCTATTTGGGCACCCAATTACCAGGCACACAAAAGGGAGAGAGACCTTAATCCTGCTGGCCCTTTTATCCCAGCTGTGGTGCCCCTCTCCACTGTACAGAGGACATCTGTAGAGAGGGAGCTGCTTTATGTACATATGCTCCCTGCCCCCATTGCACCAGTGTTCAACATTTGCCAGGCACATTTTGCCTCTGGTAGGGACGCGAGTGGCGCTGTGTTCTAAACCACAGAGCCTCAGACTTGCTGATCAGAAGGTCAGCGGTTCGAATCCCCGCGACGGGATGAGCTCCTGTTGTTTGGTCCCATCCCCTGCCAACTTAGCAGTTCGAAAGCACATCAAAGTGCAAGTAGATAAATAGGCACCACTCAGGCTGGAAGGTAAACGGCGTTTCCGTGCGCTGCTCTGGTTCGCCAGAAGCGGCTTAGTCATGCTGGCCACATGACCTGGAAGCTGTACGCCGGCTCCCTCGGCCAGTAAAGCAAGATGAGCACCGCAACCCAGAGTCCGCGACTGGGCCTAAAGGTCAGGGGTCCCTTTTCCTTTACCTTTATAGGCCACTTGCGACCAAGTGAAGATGACGTGTCCACCATCTGGAGGTACATGCCTGAGGATTGGGACTGTTTTCACACATTTAGCAACACACCCTTTAGAATTTGATCCGTTATATTTTATCCGCACAATCAGAATGAATTCCAGGAACCAAAAAGTCACATCGGGAAAATACGACTTTTGAGCTGCCTGTCCCAAAAATGGCAACTTAAGGCATTCTGCTGTGCTGACTGGTTTTGCCAAGCAGAACAGCCTAGTCAGCTATGGAAGTGTCCATTCTTGAGTGTGTATGTGCGCACATCAGCCGCTCCAAATTCCATGACATAGGAAACAAATTGGGAGCATTATTTGTAAAAGGGCATTCTTACTATTTTTACAGTTTGGGTTTTTGTGTGAACAAGATGTTCCTAACAGGGTATTTCCTTGTTATCTTTGCAAAGGCGTTAACGTGTTGTTTTACACATACACACACAGACACACACACACACACACACGGCACAGTAAATTTTTCCATATTAAATCCCTTGTGACATCTAGCCTGCCCTAGCTTACATTTATCTAAGAGAACACGGCTTCAGTGGAACTCTTGCTAAGGACAGCAGATAGCAGAGATCGCATGTTCCACCCAAGTTGGCGTTACCACCTTGCTGTGGAATGTGTTGCTTTGCTTCCAGTGAATCTCTCCCAGCCTCGCTCTGACATTCAAGCTGCTCTGTGGCTGACGCTTTTAAACTTGGAAGCTCTTTGCCCAGCGCACAGCTAAAGTCCTGCGGATTGTTTTTTCTCTCCTTACTGCTACTCCCTGGAGCGTTCTGTTGCTGCTGCTGGGTTGTTGTGTTCATATATATATATATATATATATATATATATATATAATGGAATTCCAAAGCAGGGGGCACTCCTATGCCATTCCAGAGAATGAAGAAATCTCGCACACCCATCAGAACGTGCACAACGACCACGAAAATGAAGGCGAGAGAGCCGTGTCAAAATTGCAACGCAGGCACAGTGACGTTAAAGTATACAAAGAAATATGTGACTTTTATGCAAGATTGTAAGTTCACTCCGCCGGAGTCGGTTTGTTACTTGGTCTGCTTACTCTAACACGATCTTGCCTGCTGTTCTCATGACTGGGGACCCCGCAATTTATTATGATCTGCACAATAACAGGATGCTTTGTAGTTAACTGCATTTTAATCATGGAATGTGTGCATGTGTTAGTTAATGTATGCATTAGCTTCTGGTTCTAGAGCACAATAAATGCTTTGCGGGATTTCTGACTGTGAATTCCACATTCTTCAAATACTTTGCGGTACCTAAGTATAAAAGGCAACACCTCTGTTTCACATATTGACATGAAATGCTTGTTTGCCATGCAGAAGACATTTAAAAATTACTTTTCTTAAGTTCCATCAATATAAGCTTGGATACATTTTTCATTTTATTAGCTGATATCTCAGCTGGAATTCTGATGTAGGCAGCCACACATCCATATTTGCCCAGACATAAGTCCCAAAGATTTCAGTTGGGCTTACTTCCAAGTAATTGTACATAGGCTTGCATCCCAACAGCATTATCCTGTACATAGCTATTACAAAAAAAAAGTCATGTTTAATTCAGTAAGACTTCCAAGTGTGTGTGTATATATATATATATATATATATATACACACACCTATAGCTTTAAACTGCAATCTTGAACACATTTAACACAGTGGGACTTACTTGAGTAAAAATAGATAGGATTGCTCTTTTGAGTGCTGTCATTTGCAGATAATATATTTGGGGACGTGCACACCAATAGAGCGTTCAGAGCTTGATTCTAAGACTTTTCAGTTGCAATAACAAGTGCCTTGGTTGCAGGGTGCATCTTGGTGGTTGTTGGCACATTTCTTTGGATTTGCAGTAGTGGCCGGTGAAAGAGACCTGGCTCCTTCCTTTGTAGTATCATGGCGGCAATCCCTTACTTCGCTTGTAAGATACCTTTCATGGGTTTGCAGCTGCTCAGAAGAGCGTAGCCTGAGGGGAGTGGATGTCCATGTCCCATTGCAGAATGTAGTCTGTGGCTGTGTTCGTCTTGCAAGCAGAACTGTTACTTTGGATTGAGGCCCATGTGAACAGAACAAGATTAAAAAGGAAGGTCACTTGAACTGTCCTGCCTTGTACGCTTTGTATGAGCGGGTGGAAACTGGTGAGGCAGAGGATTCTGCCTCTTCATTCTGAACTGCTAAGAGATACTCATGCAATTGTCTCCTGGGGGGACCGGAGTTATATTGGGAGCTATTTTGGGAGCTACTCACCACAATCCAAAGCAAATGAGGAGCTGCTTCATACGAGACACTGAAATTGAATCTGACAACACGTACTCTAACCCATGAAAGCTTATGCTCAAATAAATGTGTTAGGCTTCAAAGTGACATAGGATTGCTGTTGCAATGGACTGATGTGGCTTTCCCTCTCTAAAATGCCTAGAATTAAAGGAGACTTTGGGCTACTTCAAATTTGACACTCCTCTTACCGTTTTTTGGCTGATTCATATACAGTGATACCTGGGGTTAAGTACTTAATTCGTTCTGGAGGTCCGTTCTTAACCTGAAACTGTTCTTAACTTGAGGTACCACTTTAGCTAATGGGGCCTCCTGCTGCCGCTGCGCCGCAGCCACGCGATTTCTGTTCTCATCCTGAAGTAAAGTTCTTAACCCGAGGTACTCTTTCTGGGTTAGCGGAGTCTGTAACCTGAAGCGTCTGTAACCCAACATACCACTGTACTCTGCGGAAGTCTGGGTCCTACATATAATGGAGTGTGAGAGTGTTTCAGGCTCGTGCGTGCACTTCTACACCCCCACCAAACGTACAAAAGTTGTAGGTGTCCGGGTCCTAAATGCAGCCCTGTTTTCACCCCAGAAGAGATCAGCTGCTCTCTTGCCAGGTATACTGTGATGTTCCATAAGAGGAAAAGGGGCATGTGATCACATGACCTCCCAGCATTCTGTTGCATCCTCCTGCCTGCAGAGTCTTACATGTTGTGGGATGATGTGAACCAGGCCAGCGTCTCACACGCCACACTGAAATAAATGCATCTGGGATGGGGAACCCATGGCCTTCCAAATGTTGTTGCTCCAGCTCCCATCAGCCTCAGCCACCATGACCCATGGAGTTGGAAGTCCAGCAATACCTGGAAGGCTCCACAAAGATGGAGGGTGCCCAATAGCAGAGTGGACAGAGGTGCTTTGGGTGGTCCCACCTGAGAGTGTGGGGGCAGAGACATTTGCCTGGACCCTGAGGCGAGAGTAGCATCCTCGCTGGCTTCCCCTCTGCCTCCCCCAAGCTACTCATAAAGAAAAACTAGGAAGTTGGGTCACCTGCAATAAACCACAAAGCCCCCAAGAGTCTCTTTAGAGAAGGGGAAGCTTCCCTTCAGCCAGAGTCCCTTACTGGAGGCAAAGTATCTCTTCACCTGCTTGGAAGATGGTTGTGGCAAATCTTGTCCACTGCTGCCACTGCTATTCCTTTCACTTTTCCTCTTCCACCTCATCCCAGAAACTTCCCACAATAGGAAACAGGCTTGATTGACAGGGGTGATATTTCCTGCCTCTCTTTCTCAATCTAACCCACCTCACAGGGTTGTTGTGAGGATAAAATGAAAGTGGGGGGGAGGGCAAGCGTGTACACTGCTATGAGCTCCTTGGAAGAAAGATGTGATATAAATTAAATAAATAACAGCATTCCAGAAGTGGGAGCTGCATTTGCCACTGGTTCCTGAACAGGAGGGCCAGGAAGGCAGTAAAGTAAGTAGGAAAAAGTTGTATGTTTTCCTGCTGAATTGGAACAGCTGCCTATTGAAAAAGAAGCATGGTCAGCAAAGCTACCTTATTTGTGTGCTTAACCCCTTTGCTCTATGTTATCCTTACAGCAACATGGCCAACGCTCTGGCCAACGCCATGTGTGAGCGCTGCCGGGGAGGTTTTGCACCTGCGGAGAAGATTGTGAACAGCAATGGCGAGCTGTATCACGAACAGTGTTTCGTGTGTGCCCAGTGCTTCCAGCAGTTCCCCGAAGGGCTTTTTTATGAGGTTGGTTCCCCATGGTCTTTTCACTTTTATATTAACTATTCCCAAACCTGTACTGCGCCAGGTTGTGTATGTTGGTCAAGGACTTGCCACAGATATTGCTTCCTTTCCTGCAGTGTCGTTTGGGAGGCAGTTAACCCAGGGTCATTTTTCTTTACGACTGATTCCAGGCCACTGGCATGCTTGAATTGGGATCAACTTCTCTCCTTTAACCTGTTTTTTAAGTGCCAGGACCTACCTCCAGCACATTTGAAATGAAAATGCAGAAGATAGCATATTTTGAGCACCCGCAGAGTTCAGCATAACTACAGACTCCACAGTAGTGTGGGGGACCTTTGGCCCTAGCCATCGGCCACGCTTGCTGAGGCTGATGGGAGCTGTAGTTCCTCAACATCTGGAGGGCCACAGCTGCCCTACAGCATAACCACAAGCTGATCCAATACAGCAGTTATTAGGAAACAAAGCTTTTCAATCAGCCCTAACATACATGTTTAGACATTAAGCACCAGGCAACAGAATTCAACTTTAAAAAGCAGCAGTGTGTCGGGTAAATAAAGATGTCCATCTGTGGAGTGATGACTTACCTATCTATGGTTTTAACTTTCTGTTTTATTTATGAACGAGAGTTTTGCCCTATGCTTTCTCCAGGGAGCTAAATGTTGCCTCTCTGTTTAACCTTGTTAGCAACCCTTTGAGTTCAATTAGACCGAGAGATTGTGACTGACTCGGTGAGGGTTTGTGGCTGATTAGGCACCAGAACTCATGATCTACAAGGCCCATGTTTGGCAATCTTATCTGCTTGGGCTTAGAACTCAGTCACCTGTAGCTTCCAGCTGTTTGCCATAGCGTGCTGCAACACAGAGAGTTAGCAACACTCGTAAGAGCTTGCTAAAATTAGGAGTGCCAGTGCCAAGATGTCCAGAGGAGAAATGAAACCAAATACGTATTTGCTAGATGTAAATGAGGAAGTCCACAGAAATGTTGGCACATGTTTAAGAGATGCCCGTCATCACGATTAGATTTAAGGCAGGGAGCTGACCACACTGGTCAAATATAGTTTGTGATGGGCTTTACTACCAGAGGTGCTGCATAGTTAAATGATCAGAAAACTTTAGCCTGCAAGAGAACAGTGAGGTGATGATGGGTGAAGTTAGCAATCTGGAAGGCGTATGCAGGACAGTAGATATTTTTAATAAGGGGGCACACTTTTAAAAAAAGTGTATCAACTTTGCATGCATCTGTTCTCTATGAAGTCATTGCTTTAGTGGTGCATTCACAAAGTACCTGCTTTGCACATAACTCCGTTCGGGCACCTCTCAGGTGGGCGCCACTGCCATTATAGGAGAACAAGGAGAGTTCTAGCACCTCTTTTTCTAGAAAAATAGCACAGATCACAACTTTCCTTAAAGCAGTGTTCTGGGACCCTCCAGAGGTTGTTGGTTTTCTAACTCCCATCAGCCCCAGTCAGCACAGTTGGGAATGATGGGAGTTGTAGTTCATGAGCATCTGTAGGGCACCATATTGGCTACCTCCATTGTGGGTTCAATCCTTGGGGATTTTACAGCTCATTTTTCTAAGGCTGAGGCAATGATTTTGAATCTGGGTTTGGTTGAATGGCATCTTTCTTTTGACTTAGTCCTCCTCAGCCCTTAAGTATCATTACTATCTTATGTTGATACCCCAACACATTACAATTTCAAAGGCTGCTTTTTTCACTGTGAAAAACTCCTTGTCCAATTATTGGTCCATCTAGCTTAGTACTCTCTACACAGAGGCAGCGGCTCTCCAAGGAGACCCCGTGATTTAACCTGGAAGTTTCTACATTCAAACCAGGTGCTCTGTTACATTTTCGATGAATGCCATTATCTGTCGTTTTGTACTATTTTGATCTCCTTTCTCATCCATGAGAGTGAAGAACCAAGAGAGCTCGCTTTATGCCAGAACCCATATTTATTTTGTGTTCAACTTTAGCAAACCAAGATCTCAATCCTAAACACTCTTACCAGGAAGTAAATTCCGCTAAAATCCATTGGACTTGCTTCTGAGCAAATCTTGGTAGGGTGTAATTATTTGCTGCTTCTGTGAATACTGTCAGTGTATTTGTTTTATCTGTTGGAATAAAAGTCCCCAAGATGCCCCCAAGGAATCGTTCAACACATTCAGCTGGGGAGGGTGGGAATTTCCAAAAAGTTAGCGAAATGCATAGAGATTAGCAACTAGCTTATGGGCCACTTGAGACAAAATTCCCCCCTGGAAGCCTTTAATACTAGGAACTTAGGCATACGTCACCGTCAAACAAACTTCACTTCAAAGTATGGATTTGTTACAGGTCTTTGAAGCTTTCACCGATAGATCAAGAGGAAGATGAAAGTAGACTTGGCCAGAAAATCAGGCATAATGAGCCAGAAAAACTAGAATGTAATTACAAAAGTTATTGAGAATAACTGGGCTCTATTTGCCATTGAGCAGCTGGATGAACGTGTTCAGTATATGCCTTGCGTCACACAGTGCCATGGACCTGCAGGGCACAGCATAATATTTAGACCCCAATTGGAGGAACTCCTGTGATCCCAGACTAGATTAATAGTATATGGCAGGCATGGAGAATTTCAGCCTGTGGGCCAAATTAAGCAAACCAGGGGTCCCTGTTCATTTGGGCAATCCACACTCACTTGCCTTACACTTGGTGTTATGGTATTGGTCAGCTGAAGACACCTTTGGGCCTCATGGAGTTTGCATATGGAGCTATGTGAGTCCATTGATCAGCTGATTGCCCTTGCAAACAAAAGGAGGTCACCTGACCTTTAAAGCCCTAAACGGCCTCGGTCCAGTATACCTGAAGGAGCGTCTCCACCCCTATTGTTCTGCCCAGACGCTGAGGTCCAGCGCAGAGGGCCTTCTGGCGGTTCCCTCACTGTGAGAAGCAAAGCTACAGGGAACCAGGCAGAGGGTCTTCTCGGTAGTGGTGCGTGCCCTGTGGAACGCCCTCCCATCAGATGTCAAAGAAATAAACAACTACCTGGCATTTAGAAGACATCTGAAGGCTGCTAGATGGGTGGGGTACAAATTTATTATTATTATTATTATTATTATTATTATTTGTTGTTGTTGTTGTTGTTGTTGTGACACCAGGGGGTTGGCTGCGACCACCTGGCAAACTTTGCCCGCACTCACTTCTGCATCCCCTAAAACATTTTTACCATCTCCTTTCTTAATCCTGCCACCTTTCCAGGTCCACCTGGGTCTACAGTACTAAGTTGTTCAGTGCTTTAACCTTCTCTTTTTCTGGGAGCAGGATCCAGATCCACCCGGGGTCCTGATCTGGCTGTGGTTTTGTCACAGAGAGAAACCTGAAATATTTAAATTTCTGTAATAAACGTTGCAGTCTGCCTCATGGGTGCCTGCCCCCCCACGCACATACCGTATTTTTCGCCCTATAGGACGCACCGGCCCATAGGACGCACCTAATTTGGGGGGGGGGAATAAAGAAAAAAAAATGTATTCCCCCCCCCAGCCGCGGGGGAAGCCCGAGCTTTTAAAAACGCACCTACCGTAGTTTTTAGAGGAGAAAAGGATATCTTCCCGAAGCACGGGGTGCTCTGCTTCAGAGCGCCCCACGCTCCGGGTGGCAGGCTACTATCTGCAGCCTAGGGAGCCCTGCGGGAACTCCCACGGGCTCCCCAGGCTTGCTGATAGCTTCCTGAAGCCTGGAGAGCGAGAGGGGTCCGTGCGCACCGACCCCTCTCGCTCTCCAAGCTTCAGCGAAAGCCTGCATTTGCCCCATAGGATGCACACAGATTTCCCCTTCATTTTTGGAGGGGAAAAAGTGCGTCCTATAGGGCGAAAAATGCGGTACTTGGAAGTTAATCTGATTGACATAATAAGTACATTGTCGCATATCCTGAAGTGGGGGTTGCAGTCTGTGGAATAATGATTTGTATGCCCATTTATAGAGATGGTGGGTATGAATATTCTCGTCTTTCCAGACGTGTTTCCTGCAATACAGTAGAGTGCGGTTTCAGGAAACGTAGAGGACAGAAAGGATCTAATGAGCCAGCAGAAAATGCTTCCTGTTCTGAATACCAGCACAGGTGTTTATTATTTTGATCCAGTAAAGCAAATGTGACTACGAGCTGATTCCGTGCCCAGTTTTTTTTTAGCATCCTGTCAGAATCCAGCCATCTAACATAAACTCCACCGCAGCCTGCCAGATTTCTTGTGCAAATCATTCCCTGTGGCATAATAATATACAAGCAGAACTTGTTAAACAATCCGATGGATTAGCAGAGCTTCAGTTCCTTTCTGCCATAAAATCAGGCTGGATCCTGATTGAAAGAACCCGGAAATTGTACGACCATTTATATGTATGAAACATGAAGTGATGAAGTGCTATACTTTTCCGTATTCCTCTAAATTCCTCTATGTCTTACTTTTTCTAGTTTGAAGGAAGGAAATATTGCGAACATGACTTTCAGATGCTTTTTGCTCCTTGCTGCCATCAGTGTGGTAAGTTCTAGAAAATATATATATCTATAAATTTTTAGAATATTTTATAAAGATAATGTGGACATCCAAATGTGGGAGGAGAGGCACATATGCTGTTTAAAGAAAACAAAGCAGGTCTGGAACACAAGGAAGATTTTGTTATGTATCTGCCACAATGATGACTGTCTACGCCAGATGGTATTCATCTGAACATCAGCCTGCTTTGGGCATTTGTTTGTTTCTCCCCGCAATTAACACAGAGAAGGAAGCATGGGCAAAGGCGCTTGTTCTCCACCATCCTCCATGAGTCGGGAGGCGAAAGTTTGTAGTGGAAAGACTGCTCTACTGCTGTAGGGCTCAGTGTCTGATTTAGAAGCTACCACGTACCTCAGTGGTAGTGTGTTTGTTTTGAGTGCAGAAGGTCCCAGAGTCAATCCCTAGCACAGGCATCCCCAACCTTCGGCCCTCCAGATGTTTTGGACTACAATTCCCACCATCCCTGACCACTGGTCCTGTTAGCTAGGGATCATGGGAGTTGTAGGCCCAAACATCTGGAGGGCCGCAGGTTGGGGATGCCTGCCCTAGCATCTCAAGTAGGGTTGACTCAAATCCTAGAGAGACACAGACAGTGAGTGCAAATAATCCTGAGCTAGATAGACTAATGGTCTGACTTAAGACAGATTCCTGTTATGTGTATAAATAAAATTTTGATGATATGCAAAGGAGCAGAGTAGCTCACAGCTAGGAAGCTAAATAACTCTTCTAGGTGATTGATAGCTTCTTTGTAAAGACTATACAGTCGTACCTTGGATTTCGAACGCCTTGGCTCCCGAACAAATCGACTCCCGAATGATCGAAACTGAGAAGTGAGTGTTCCGGTTTTTGAACATTCTTTTGGAAGCTGAACATCCGACGGGGCTTACGAGGCTTCCGATTGGCTGCAGGAGCTTCCTGCAGCCAATCAGAAGCCGCGCTTTGGTTTCAAAACATTTTGGAAGTCGAATGGACTTCTGGAACGGATTCTGTTAGACTTCAAATGTACAACTGTACAGACTTCATATTCAAAAGAACTTCACTTTCATAAACATATAACTGAGAAGAATATATTTACAGTCTCATGCTTATTCAAACATGGGTATGTTCTCACTTGAGTTGTAGATTGAAGTCTTTTTACTTAGACTTATAAACAAAACTGTTGAGAATTGCACCAGAGTTTTACCTCACTCAGGCCTTACAGTTTCTTATGAAGGGTTTGGGGTTGTTATTTTTACTTTCGCTTTCAGCAGTATTCTCTTTGCTCCTTTCAGAGAGTTTCTGCACAGGTTTCTCCCTATTAACATTTAGGGATCTTCCTCTGTCTGTTTCACTTCAGACAGATCACACTGACACAACACTGTCCTCAGCAGTATCCTGAAAAACCTCTCTCAGCAGCCATTCTCCTTACACAGAGAAAGATAAGCAGCAGAAAGCAGTTAAAAACAACAGTTACTGGAATAACAGTCACAACAGAAGTGGAATACCTCTCTTGCGTGACTCACAATCAGCCAATCACAAGAGAGCTACTGTCGGGCGGGGGGGGGACCCATGTTAAAAGTACACAGTAATTTAACACAAGTAAACATTCCCATTTCAGGAAATTGCATTGTTATCCTTAACACTTCCTTAGTTCCTAAACACTTTTCAAATCTACAGCCTATTGAATACAAAAAAAAAAAATGCTTTTAACTGTGGTATTTTTTGTGGCATCTGTGCCTGAGAGCCTCCCTACTATTCCACAGACAATTAAGGCCCCATGGGAGGCTAAACTGGGTCTCTAGATTGTGGCATGTACCGAATCCCACTTAAGCCTCCCTAAGTTTGTTTCACTTAAAAGTAAAGTGAAGGTTATTAAATAGGAATTCCAACCTTCAAAAGTAACCAGACTAAAATATCTTGTTTCCCCCACTTGCTGTGCCCTTTGGCAAGAGACTCAGGTCAAATAACTTAATTAGAATGAGATAATATTCTGTTTATCAGGCACAGGAATGCTATTTCTGGATCTAACTGGGAGATTCCTGAAGTAACCTATCTTAAAAAAAAAAAAAGGTCAGCAGAAAGAAACCGAGAGTTGTCTCGGTAATGCTGTAGACAGAATTGAGTAGGATTTTTCCAGGAGTGTCAGAGCTCTGCCTTAATGTGAGGGGTGGAATTAGATAGGAATCAGGAGTTTAGATCTTGCTTTCCATACAGCACCGAGGCAGCTGCATGTTCCAAGTGGATCTTGGTTCTTGCCCATTTTGGAAGGAGAAAGTGTTCCATATACTCACAGGTCTCTATCTTCCACACCCAATAAAGTCCCCTGGATTATGGCAATTGTGTTTAGATGTCTAGAAGGAGGAATCTCCAGGTCAGTTCACCCCTAGGGAGAAACCTGATATGAATTGCCTGCAGGCAGCAGTGAAATCTGCAAAGGTAAAAGGAAGTTTTGTGTCAGAGCTGGAAAAGGAGAGGTGACTCCCAAACTGAGGGAAATTGCAGCATCTTAAAAATATATGAGAACTATAGTTCTAAGATACTTTATTTATTTTTATTATTATTTTGTTATCCATTACAATCCCGTCCTTTCTGCACATGTCCATTATCATCTTGTTGTCAGCCCTCTTAATGGCTTTATTGGCATCCTGTTTTTGAGTGGAAGGAGCATTAAATTATTGGAAGCCCAAATTACAAGACACTGTAGTTAGACACAGTTTTCCACAGTACTTCGATTTCCAGATTAAGAGCTTCTTTAGCAGTCATTGACTAATCTCCAGTGTTAGCCACATTTGGAAAAGACACATTGAAATTAATGAGCTGAAGTCTACTTTTAAGTATGACAGACACTCATTGTATTTCTGTGTTTCATTTTTGCTTTGTATTGTATTACTTCAGGAACTCAGCTTGACCAAAATTTCATTGGGTAACATAAATTTCACTGGGTAAAATTATCTGAATTTGCTCGTTGAGGTTGAAACATGGTAGAAGACAGGGATATAAAAATATTGTTGCTATTTTGCTTTGTTTACTTCCGGGAAGACACAGATATTTTGGGAGGAATTCAGCAAAGCGCTAAGCAGATCCTGGTGGAACGATCTGCCCTCTCATTAGTTATATCCCACACCATATTATTATCTTCAGCACCTTAGCATTTAAAATTAAATCTCTCTTTTTTTAACATCCTGGTATGTTATTGACTTGCAGGGGAATTCATTATTGGTCGTGTTATTAAAGCTATGAACAACAGCTGGCACCCAGAATGTTTCTGCTGTGATATCTGCCAACAGGTATTGGCAGACATTGGGTTTGTGAAGAATGCTGGCAGGTATTGTTCAACTTCTTTTGTCTTGACTCTTGACACTGAGCATTGTAAATTGATGGCAAGGTCATAACGATTTCAGGGACCCATGTTATCAAAAATAACGCAGTAGCTTATAAAATGGTGGCCAACCTTTGGCATTCTGGAAGCATAGCATTAAACATATTTCAAAACTAACCAAGACATCAGTTGCAAACGGGTTTCATAAAATCATGGCTGTTGTAGTTGCATTCAACTTTCTGGAGACGAAAAATGCTAGACTCCCCACTGGCCCTACCACCTTTCATTGAGGGAGTGGCTGTCAATGAGTGACATTTGTATCCTGGAAGTACAGGGCTGGAACCAAAGAACCGTGCATGGAAGGATAATTGCCACGGTTGCTCTGCAAATTTTTGCAGTGCTATAAGTAAGTCCCATGCTTCTGTGTGTGCAAGAGGTTGCGCAAGCAGAACATTGTCCTTGGATTTAGTTTTTCTTTTCTTAAGCAATAGTTTTGCTTGAGATATGAAACAGCTCTCGGGTAAGAAGATCACTTTGGCATGTGGAAGAGCAGAACCCAGCTTTTATGCTGCCTCCAATCTAAAGGTTCTGCAACCAGCAGACCTAAGGAGATGCTCACATAATATCCAAGAGCTACAATATACTTTTATGGTATGCGGGTGGCGCTGTGGGTTAAACCACAGAGCCTAGGGCTTGCCAATCAGAAGGTCACCGATTCGAATCTCCGCGACAGGGTGAGCTCCTGTTGCTCAGTCCCTGCTCCTTCCAACCTAGCAGTTCGAAATCACAAAGTGCAAGTAGATAAATAGGTACCACTCAGGCGGGAAGGAAAATGGCGTTTCCGTGCACTGCTCTGGTTCGCCAGAAGCGGCTTAGTCATGCTGGCCACATGACCCGGAAGCTGTACGCCAGCTCCCTCGGCCAGTAAAGCAAGATGAGTGCCGCAACCCCAGAGTCGTCCACGACTGGACCTAATGGTCAGGGGTCCCTTTAACTTTACCTTACAATATACTTTTAATATATTTAATCTGATCATGATATTAGAAGATCCTAACTCACTGCAGGCTATAAGCCTTATTGACCTTCTGCTCTATAATGGCATTCTGAGACAATTTTCATAGGCTATAATACTGGGTCAGCGCCTACATCATTGTTCTGCACCAAAATATAGTTTTAGAGCAGTTTTTTATTGGCAAAATTTATGCTTGCACATGTTATATTTGAGAAATTTAAAGGCAGAGAATGACTTTCTGTAGGAAGACCAGTAAAATAACTGTTTTATGTTAAGGCTTTGTGTGTGTGTTTTGTTATGGATTATTGCTAGTTTCTTTTCTACAAAGCTGAAGCAAAAGCCCTTGTTACATTTTTGTGGGTTAAAAATAAAATACAACCCAGTTATAGGAACCTGGTTCCTTTTCATTGCTGTTTCTTCTTTGCTCTCTCTTAGACACCTTTGCCGTCCTTGCCACAATCGGGAGAAAGCCAGGGGCATGGGCAAATACATTTGCCAAAAGTGCCATGCTATCATCGAAGAACAACCCCTCATCTTCAAGAATGACCCTTACCACCCCGATCACTTCAACTGTGCCAATTGCGGGTAACAGGAACTGGGTGTTTTTGTTTTTTAAATCTTTAGAATGGAAACTTTAGTATAACAGTAGTTGATAATTAAGCGTGAATGCAAATACACAATACTACCACACATTTACCAGTGAATAAGATATTTATAAACCTCTTGAAGCCTGGTCCCAAATAATTTCCATTGTGTTCAGTTGGGGTGAGTGTGTGTAGGACCCATTCTGCACATACTTTTGCAGACGTAAGTCCCAGGTCATATGTGTGCGTATGATCACTTTACTTTCCTCAGCAAGACCTTTTTAGCTGGGAAGAATTTGGTCTAGCTGAGGCTCTGGCTAGTATAAACTATTCAGGTTTTTACACTCAACTTGTAAAATAGCCTACTGAGATGAGAGGAATTTGGCTGAGGCACATGGGCCCTGCTTCTTTAATTCTCTAAGCAGGATGTTAATTTTACTTTTGAGAAGGGTTGTATTCATTTTGCCCCAGATGTATTTTACCTCAGCAGGAGTTCCGTGATATCACTTTGAACAGCCTGCCTTCTGCTGAGTGGACCGTCTACAGATTTTCACTGGTGCACCAAGCATTATTCGCCATCCCTTTTTGGCGATTCTCATTTTGTGCAACAGGAATCCCCACTTGAAATGGATGCCATGGGGTTTAAATCTGAAAAATGGTTTGTTTTCCCAAGGATCATTTCATATGGCAGCTTTCATGCTGTTGTATTTGATTTTCAGCTGCTGGCTCAACAGTTCCCAAATATTTTGCTGCAGGTATTCATTCTAGTTTGTAACCAAATCTATAATAATAATAAGAAGAAGAAAATCATGTTTTCTTTTGCCACTGTATCCACCAGCTGGAATGTATGCCTGTGTTTTCCTTCGCTGTGTCTTCACATTTCTTTTGGTACCTCCTGAACAGAAAGGAACTTACTGCTGATGCCCGAGAACTGAAGGGGGAGCTGTACTGCTTGCCTTGCCATGACAAAATGGGCGTCCCCATCTGTGGAGCATGCAGGAGGCCAATTGAAGGACGAGTGGTGAATGCTATGGGCAAACAGTGGCATGTGGAGGTGAGCCTTGCGTGTTGCTTGCTGCTGTAAGGATGGGTGCAACAACCTAGATAATAATAGGTCAGAGAAAGGAGACCTCAAAATAGGGAATTCTGTGTAATTTCGTAGGTTGTGGTAGTTTACTTTTAAAAACATTCTTTAAGGAGCACAAAAGGGACGTGGGTGGCGCTGTGGGTTAAACCACAGAGCCTAGGACTTGCCGATCAGAAGGTTGGCGGTTCGAATCCCCGCAACGGGGTGAACTCCCGTTGCTCGGCCCTGCTCCTGCCAACCTAGCAGTTCGAAAGCACGTCAAAGTGCAAGTAGATAAATAGGTACCACTCTGGCGGTAAGGTAAACGGCGTTTCCGTGCGCTGCTCTGGTTCACCAGAAGTGGCTTAGCCATGCTGGCCACATGACCCGGAAGCTGTACGCCAGCTCCCTCAACCAATAAAGAGAGATGAGCGCCTCAACCCCAGAGTCGGCCACGACTGGACCTAATGGTCAGGGGTCCCTTTACCTTAAGGAGCACAAAAGAGAACAACAAAAAAGGAAGTACAAAGGAAAATACCAGAATAACCCTCATCTAACCATTTTAAGAGTTTTACTTAAGGTTTTATCCAGAGTTTTGCTTTGTGCAATGTGACTCTCCTTCCTTTCATTTCCTCACATGCCCTCAGAATTAGCTGCAATGTTCTGGAGCAAACACTTAACTTGCTCCAGTACAGTGAGTTAAGAAGCAAAAATTAAATTATTTGCTCAAGATCACATAGGGATGAATGCAGGTGAATTATCACTACATAAAACTGAAGGTAACCCATACTTCTTCCCGCCCCCCTTGCAGCATTTTGTTTGTGCGAAGTGTGAGAAGCCATTCCTAGGCCACCGTCACTATGAGAGGAAGGGGCTGGCGTACTGTGAGACCCATTACAACCAGGTATGGCTGCGTCTTGCATTTTGTACATTCGGCCAGAGATGTTTAGTATGTTAACTCTGAAACTTCCCTTTGTCTACATTTGTTGTCTCGTAGCAAGTGCTGGTATGTGTCAAACCATGTAGATTTGACATTCAATGGATATACAGCATTTTATGAGGTAAAAAAAAAAAATTTTGAACAACAATTTGCTTGTAAAGCTTCTAATTCCATGATAGCCTACCTTTAATAGGCAAACTTTTAGATTGGAATATCTCCCCCCCCCCTTTTTTTTTTTATTGGTTCTTCACCTCAGAAACATATTTGGAGACCTGGTTTAAATTTGAAGCTGGAAAACTATATTGCACATTTGCAATATTTTGCACTGTGGCAATCCAATCTGTGAATTCAAATGCATGTGTGTGTTTGTGTTTATTTCAGCTTTCGTTACACATAGAAATCATTTTTTTTCTGGTTAATTACCGTATTAGAATTATCATATAAAATATAGACTAAAATATTCAGAATGCAGTCATTTTTTTATTTCAGCTTGTTTAAAACTTTCCCATCTGAGGTTTGTGTGTGTGTGTGTGTGTGTGTGTGTGTGTTTATCGTGTTCATAGGTCCTATTGATCCTTTCACATTTCCAGTGATCTTTAATAAATTATTACTGAGTCGTTGAAGTTTAAAGACTCCTTTCCCTATTAATAGCTTTTTGTGTGTGCGCTTGTTTTTAACAGCTGCCATCGTAAAGATGTAGAGTACTGCATGAGAACCTATTGTGAAATCCTAGACTGTGCATTGTGCTCACTTTAAACTGGGCACTGTTTAAGAGTGCACCGCCAAGTGGTCACTTGGGGTTATAGCTCAGACCACACACTACACGCAGAAGGTGCCAGGTCCAACCTTTGGCGTCTCCAAATCAGGCTCGGAAAGACATCTGTCTTGTTGGAGAGCCAGTGGCAGTCAGTATAGCAGACAGCACTGAGCTAGAGGTCTGACTTGGTGTAAAACAGCTTCTTGTATTCCTAGCTCAGTTGGTAGAGCAGGAGATTCTTAATCTCAAGGTCATGGGTTCAAGCCCCATGATGGTCAAAAGATCATGCATTGCAGGGGGTTTGACCGGATGACCCTTGTGGTTGCTTCCAACTCTACAATTCTATTTCTATATCTGAATGTGTTGGCTCCAGTTCCTGGCCCCCTTCTTCCCCAGCTCCCCTGGGGGTTGAGGGATCCTGCTGAATGGGGCAGGCCATGACACAAGGGTCCAAGAGGAGCCCCGAATATCTGGTAGAGGGGGAAATGGGGATTTCACCTTAGCCTCCTGTACCACGGCCCACTTCACTCATCAGGGTCCCTCAAGGGAGCATTTTGGGGGGGGGCTGCAGGAGGGAGGAGGAAAGTCAGCTTCCACAAACACCATTGAAGGCATATTTCTCTCAATCCAAACTAGTGTGTGTAGCTTCTTTTTTAAACAAATCAACTTATAATTACTTAAGAGATTTCCCCTCCCCCTACTTAATCTGTTCTGCTAATGAGAAAACATATGTTTTTAATATGTCCCAACTGCTGATTTTCATTTTCTAAAGTTTTATGAATACTTGCATGACTATGGAATATTTCCCCCATTTCCGCAGCTCTTTGGTGATGTTTGCTTCCACTGTAATCGTGTGATTGAAGGAGATGGTGAGTCTCTGTGCAGATGCACTTGTGTCTTCATTTCAGGGTTTTTTAAAAAATAATAATAATAATAAACCCACTTAATACAAGTGATTTAAGAAAGGAGAAGCACACTGCAGGATAACAGTTGAAGTTGAGTTCAAAATAAAATACTCAAAATGAAATACTCATGATGCTAAGCATGAGCCTGAAATATTATTTCACGAAACTGTTTAGGCATTGATAGAAGAAGAAGAAGAGGAGTTTGGATTTGATATCCCACCTTTCACTCCCCTTCAGGAGTCTCAAAGCGGCTAACATTTTCCTTTCCCTTCCTCCCCCACAACAAACACTCTGTGAGGTGAGTGGGGCTGAGAGACTTCAGAGAAGTGTGACTGGCCCAAGGTCACCCAGCAGCTGCAGGTGGAGGAGCAGGGAATCAAACCCAGAGTTCACCAGATTAGGAGACTACCGCTCTTAACCACTACACCACACTGGCTCCCTGCAGGATAACAGGGTTTCCAAGTCAGCTTATAGTCAGAAAACAGCAATCACAAAATATAGTGAGGCAAATGAAAGTGGACTTGATTTGAAAGTTCTCAGATAGATAGATAGATAGATAGATAGATAGATAGATAGATAGACTGATTTAATTTCTTATACTGTCCTTCATCCAAAGCTCACGGGTGGTTTACAATTTAGCAACACAAAACTACATACCATAATAACAAACAAAAACACAATTTGTGGTTTAGACCACAGAGCCACCCGCGTCCCTATTGTGTAAATAATATGCAGTTTCAAACAACATAATAGTGATTTCAAAGACATTGCTGTGGAACATGGGTGGCTCTGACCACTGAGCCTCTTGGGCTTGCCGGTCGGAAGGTCGGTGGTTCGAATCCGCGTGGCGGGGTGAGCTCCCGTTGCTCAGTCCCAGCTCCTGCCAACCTAGCAGTTTGAAAGCACACCAATAGGTACCATTGCGGCAGGAAGGTAAACTTGTGTTTCCATGCACTCTGGTTTCCATCACAGTATCCCATTGTGCCAGAAGCAGTTTAGTCATGCTGGCCACATGACCCAGAAAACTGTCTGTGGACAAACGCTGACTCCCTTGGCCTGAAAGCGAAACGAGTGCCGCAACCCCATAGTCGCCTTTGACTGGACTTAACCGTCCAGGGGTCCTTTACCTTTTTTACCTTACCTGCCATGGAATTCCGATAAATATCATCTACTCTGTCGCTGGTAAACAGACGGCTAATCCTGTCATTTCTCCTCTTTCTCAGTTGTGTCGGCATTGAACAAGGCATGGTGCGTGAACTGCTTCGCGTGCTCTACTTGCAACACTAAGTTAACACTCAAGTAAGTTTATCAGATGTTCATGATAATACATGAAGCGGTGATGTGGCCATGTTTGTACATGATGTCAAACCATGGTTGGTTTAGCGCCGCAGCGTGGCTTGTTTCTGCAGGTTAACACGCCCTGGATAACCATTGTTTGTTTGCTGCCGGCGATGTTGCTGAACTCCCATCATCCCTGAACACTGGCTATGTTAGCTGGGCCTGATGGGAATTGGAGCACAGGGTTCCTTCATTGTAGTAGTGTGCTTTTTGTCTTTTGTGAGTCGCCCTTAGAGACTTCGGCTATGTGTGGAAATGGGGAAGCCCTTGATGGTGTCTCACACCTGCATTGATGAAGCCATTAACGATGCAGCCTCTGCCAAGTGACAGGGACACCTTTTCCTATTAGTACATTTACTACTTTAACTCTGTTTCTGTTTCCTGCTGAATTCTCCTTGGTTTTGCTTCACCTGTATCTTGATTCTATCCTGTTCTCTCCTCCGTTCCTTCTTTTCCCCACCCGTGAAGGGACAAGTTTGTTGAAATCGATCTCAAACCTGTCTGCAAACACTGTTACGAGAGAATGCCGGAAGAATTTAAGAGGAGGCTCGCCAAACGGGAGCGAGAAGCAAAGGATAAAGACAAACACAAAAAGAAAAAGCCTGTCTGCCTGTAAACATGCTCTCTTCCTACCTCCCAGCAACTGCGCTCCTTCCTTTCTTCCTTTCGGTCAGTTTTAGGGAGTTCTCTTCTTTTTAGCTTTCAGGGGCAAGAAACCTTTTGCTGCCCCTTGCCTTCTGGGCAGTTTTCCAAGGGGCACATATCAGTGGTGGGTGGCCCAAGAGGCAAAAGTAGGTGGGACTATGAATGTCTACTTTACTTTTATACAGCAGGCGTGGTCCTCCAATGAACACCACACAAAAGGGCAACTTCATTCTGAGTAACTGGACTAATTTTAATAATAATAATAATAATAATAATAATAATAATAAATTTTGTTTATACCCTGCCCTCCCCAGCCAAGACTGGGCTCAGGGCAGCTAACAACCAATCATAAAAACAAGTTGATTGAAATACAACTTAAAAAACAAGATTAAAATACAACATTAAAACATTAGGATGCAGTCTCTTCACAGGAGAAAGGAAAAAGAAAGAGGGGGAGGGAATCAAACTGATTCTAAGCCAAAGGCCAGGTGGCTTACAGGCCCTGCAGAAAGAAATCAGATCCTGCAGAGCCCTGGTCTCATGAGGCAGGGCGTTCCACCAGGCCGGAGCCAGTGTTGAAAAGGCCCTGGCTCTGGTTGAGGCTAATCTAACTTCCTTAGGGCCCGGGACCTCTAGGGTGTTGCTATTTATGGACCTTAAGGTCCTCCGTGGGGCATACCGGGAGAGACGTTCCCGTAGGTACGAGGGTCCTAGGCCGTGAAGGGCTTTAAAGGTCAAAACCAGCACCTTAAATCTGACCCTGTACTCCACCGGGAGCCAGTGCAGCTGGAAAAGCACTGGGTGAATGTGGTCCCATGGCAGAGACCCCGTGAGGAGCCTCGATGCAGCATTCTGCACCCGCTGGAGTTTCTGGGACATGCAAGTCCTTTGTCCCCAAAACACATATGGAGCTCTCTAGGTGACATACTCTTCTAGCGCTGATGTTTGTTTTGTATTTGTGTCTATTAGAACATAGCTATTGAGGCTGAGGTGACAGGCAACTTGAACATATCTATCCCAAGGCATTTGAAAATATTTATCCCAAGGAAGTTCCCTGGGAACAAAGATAGTGGGTGGTAGTCAACAAAGTTTTACTTAGACTAGACCTCTGGAAAGTAATGGACCTAACTCAGTCATATTCCTTAATTCCAGTGAGCCTGCTCTGAGTAAAATTGAGTTGAATACCACCCTGTGCACCCACAGAGCAAAGTTTTGCCACCCCTTTCATAGGATACTGTTAGACCAGGGAACTTCTTGCAGAAGCACCTCTACAGTTTGTACACCAAGACAGGAAAAGTGTCTTCCATCATTGTGACCACCTCTGAACCTGATAAGAAATAATGGCAATCTGTGGATTCAAGATTTCCCCAACAACATTTTAAATGGATTCATAATAATGATTTTATTTTTTTTAAAAAAAAACATGGTTCATCCTTAAGAGTGACTTTAGGTGTGCATTTTGGGGAGTCAGAGCCATAGCTTTTACAAGCAACATAACATGTCTGACTTTTTTTTATTAAAAAAATCACTTTTTAAAGACACCATCTGTGTGAATGCTGCAGAGCACTATTCTGTGCTGCACAGAATATAATTATAAGTGAGGTGGCAATCACTATTTTTGCCTGCACTTCTTTCTTTATGCGGGGAGGGGAGCGAGCAAGACGCCCAGAAGCATAAACTAATACAGTGGTACCTCTGGATGCAAACAGGATCTGTTCCGGAGCCCCGTTCGCATCCTGAAGCGAACGCAACCCGCGTCTGCGCCTGACGTCATTTTGAGCACATGTGCGAGCGGCAAAACCTGGAAGTAACACATTCTGTTACTTCTGGGTCGCCGCAGAGCGTAACCTGAAAACGCTCAACCTGAAGCATATTTAACCCGAGGTATGACTGTAAAGATATGTGTGAAACCGCCCTAAGACACCCACTTTCCCCTCAGATGTGGGAATTTAAATTATGATTCCTTAGAGGACTAGTACAAATCCTTGTCTTTATAAAAAAATTTCCAAAAGTAAAAATAGTGTAACCTACACTCAGTTTGGGGTGGTGGTAATTTATATATAAAATTAGTTTCCAGCAAAACCTATGAAAAGATTATTATTTGCGTTAAGACTTTGTTCTTTCCCCACTACCCCCCCTTTTTTGTTCATTTTAGAAACAAGTTTGTGGAATTTGATATGAAGCCTGTCTGCAAGAAGTGCTATGAGAAGTTCCCACTGGAGCTCAAGAAGCGACTGAAGAAATTGGCTGAGACGTTGGGAAGAAAGTGAGGTCCTCCTCTCCAGATCTCATCTTGCTGTGCAAAGTTTAGGAAGTGATATTACAGACTTATTTTTGTTGAGTCTATGAAACCTAAGTGCAAAAAAAGGAGAGTATTCCTCTGCATGACTAGCTTCATATTAAAATGTTTGCCTCGCTACCTTGACAGTATACCTCTAAAAACCTCTTTACATGTTATGTAACCTCATATCCAACCATTTAAATTCTGAATTTTACACGTATCTAAATTTGTAGATATATACATTGTATATTTGCTTAGTAAGGGGCAACTGATAAAGGTCCCAGTTGGTGCTGAATAGCCTAATAATTTAACATATCTAGCAGATCGCCTCACCAAATAGACCAAACCTCATTTTACACTAAACTCCGGCATAGTATGTTTTGCCATGCAAGCGAAGCACATGGTTCAAGCAAATACCCTGAGGCTGAAATTCTGTACAGACTTACCCAGGAGTATGTACCATTGAATTATGTGGGACTTCTGAGTAGACATATGTAGGATTGCACAGCTAAACCCAACAAGAGTGTTTGGCTGGATCGTGGTAGTAGAATTGAATTGCTTCCGACACACAGACATTCTTGGACTTGAGTTGAATGTCTTCTACTAGTGTTCTTGTGGCATAAGTGAGGGATTAGAGGATTCTAGCTGATGAAGTACCTTTTCCTTTGCTGTGAGCCCTCATATACACTAAAAATTATGAGTCTAATGCACACACTTCATGTTTTTGAGGCAAGGAGTTATTGTTGCTTGAAGTCTGTTTGTGAACTAATGAGAAATGACATTCACATTTTTTAAGCCCTGAGGAAAGCTTTAAAAAACAAAACGAACTAGCATTCTCAGCATTAGAAGTCCATATTCTGCCAGGAAGCCTTGTTGATCATGCCTGCTAACTTACCAGAAAGAACTCTAAATATCCAAGACTGCAGTCTTAGATCCACTCATCTGGAAGTAAGCCCTAGTGAACTGAGTGGGTCTTACTTTTGAGTAGACGCATCTAGAATTGCATTGTAAATTACAGAGATTCCATTCTTCACAGCTCCTTGGATGTGAACCATAACGAAGCCTATACAACAAATGCTTTGTTCGGAGATTAATAGCGTTTGTAATTAATTGGTGTGAGCAGAGTCTTGGCTGTAGTTCTCAAAGAACTACAGAAAGACAACTCTGGAATGCATCATTTGAAGACTGCAGCTCAGAGCTGGAAACAGCAGCATAATAGTTCTATATCGCGAGAAATATGTCTACGCAGAGCTACTTGAATTTTGTGGAATCCTTCTATGTAACAGAAATATTCCTCTGTGCTTTTGTATTTCATTTCCTTCTTGTGCCTTATTCTGCCATACTTAAGCAATATTAGTCAAATATGTACCCTTTGTATACTGTTATTTTGTATTTTTATGCAGAAAATATATGCCCAGTATTTGAAAAGGTTAAGCATTTTTAAGATTTGGTTTTTTTCTAATGATGGAAGATGCTTGAGTTTTTCAAAAACACTTTTTCCGACTCAGCTTAGTTATTTTAAAATAGTATCTGAAATAGAAATCTGAAAGCATCCCGGTTCCAACTGAATGCCTGTTGTGCCACTAGGTCAATAAAATACACTGTTAACTACTTGCAATTTCTAGCCTCTATGGTATGCTGTGCCTCTGGCACACCTCCCTGCATCCCATTGCCATGGTGTCCATTAGCCCCAGCAGCATAAACAGCTGCAACTGCACACCTGCCGGAGCCCAGGTATCCTTACCAGCACTGGTTAGGAGGAGCAAAGCCTATATAAAGAAAAGGAAGGTCAAGTTCACAGCTCCTGAGGATTGCAGCCTTCTTGGAACAAAGGTTTGAGGTCCCCCTTAGGAGAAAAGGATTCCATCCGTGTGGGGCAGCCTGTGAGCATTTTGGTGCCACAGTCCCAGGGATACTGGAGTATGTCTGCTATTTTTCTGCTTTTTTGTTTGTAAGCTTATCTTCTTCCCTCCTGGGCTAAGTAAACATTGGAAACTGTTCCATGGGCATGGGCTCTGAGACAACACTCCCACCCCCATTTCCTGGGTAGGATTGCCCTGCCTGTTAGAAAAATCATATTTAGTAGAGAAAAGTACATTGTCAATAAACTAGGTCACGCATGCTGTGGAATTAACAGGTTTGGTGATACCCTGGTTTTGACCCATTTACAAAAAAGACACCTTTTTAAAAAAACTTCATCATATTCTCTTATCTCACACCCCATTCCTATTGGTAACAGATGTGACCAGGTCTTTTTGTCACCTTGTAGCTCAGCCTGAAAATGGACCCTAGAACTTCACCCTTCTATACATGCCCCCAACTCTTCCTGGAATAAGGAGAGAACTGACTTCCCTCAAATCCGTCTTTGCCTTCCAGTAACGTAGTCACATTTCTTATCGGCATACTTTCAAAAACAACCAAAGTATGTTACTGTTTCACTATCTGCTGTGTTGCCTGGTTATTGTTCTTCTCCGATTAGGGCTGTTTTTGTCATCCTTATCGTCAGTCCAGCTGCCAAGGTCTCACACCAGCTGCCCCTTTACTTCTGTGAGAGATGAAATCTGCTTGCACAAAGCTGGACCTTTTCATTGCTGTCATCTATTTTATTATATCACGGCTGTTCTAGTTGCTGAATTCAGTGGTCCTTAGTCCCATTTTATTCATTCAAATATTTTAAAAAACACACTTCCGTATAAAATACCACAAGGCAGCACACAACCTAAAAACAGTGTTACAGCAAAAACAATAGAAATGTCAAACACATCAGTAAAAGCTGGTTGGCAAAGAATCTCGGGTTTGAAAGAGAAGAATAACAGTTTTTAGAAGACATCTAAAAACCAGCAGGGGTGACTCCTGCTGAACCACTATTGGCCAGCAGGGCCTGCCACACTAAAAGCTCAGTCCCTGGTAATGGCCAGCTGAACCCCGGGGGCATGTGGAAGCACTAAAGGGCCTCATCAGAAGGTATCGGTGATTGTGGCAGAGCATATGGAATAAGGCAGTCCGTAAGTTACTTCAGCTCCAGATTTTTTAGGGCTCTCTGAATTTACACAAGAACCATGAACCTGGCTGGATAGCAAATTGGTAACAAATGCGGCTCTCCCAGCGGCACAGTAATGTACTAAGAGCTTGCTCCTGTGAACAGTCTAGCTGCTACGTTACATGCTAGTTGCACCTTCTGGACCAGATGCAAGGAAGGCCCCACATAAAACGTGTTAAGAGTCATCGGGTCTTGAGGTTGCCAGTGTGGTCAGGCTCTCCTGGCCCAGGAATGTTCGCAGCTGGTTTACCAGCTAAAGCTGATAGAAGGCGCTCCTAGCCAGAGAGGTCACTTAGGCCTCTTAGCGACAAAGATGGATGGAGTACCCCCCAGCTGTGAAGCTCTTTCTGCAGAGGGAATGCGATCCTGTCGAGAACAGGCAGCAGACGCTGGAATCGCCCACCCACAAGGCCTCCATCTTTCTAGGATTCAAGGTCAGCTGGTTGGCTAGCACCTGGTCCAGTAGCCTAGGGCTTGGACAGCCACTCCTGACTCTCATGTGGTAGAGATATGGAAGAGAACATCACAAGCAATCTCATGACACTTTGTAGTGGAACTCCTCATGACGGGTGAGCCTCTCTCATGGTCTATATGGAACAGGGGGTATGGGATGGATTCCGTACGTGTTGGAACCAGGATTCACAACAGATGTAAGAGAAGAGGTGTGTGAGCCATTCCTCGCCTGGGGAGAGTGTGCAGTGCCAGATTTACGTATAAGCTAAACAAGCTATAGCTTAGGGCCCCACTCTCTTGGGGGGCCCAAAAAAATTAAAGGAAAAAAATCTGGATGTACATTTCCAAAATATAAGATAAAAAACCAATAAAATAAAACCTACATGCAGCAACAGTGTTTTGTGTTGTGTAGGTTCCTATGATGTAAGTCATGGGCCCCGCCTGCTAGCCTGCTCCCTAAAATATCACTGGTTTGCTCATTTTTATATATAGGGTGCCTACATTCTGCATGGACTGGTTGCACGGCAACATATAGCATGCAGCTGCCAGTGCAGCACAGCTGAAGTAGGTCAAGCTGTTGTACCTGTTATCTAATATTAAAGAGTGCTTGCAGACTGATGATCAGGCAGCATAGACTAAGGGCATGAGCATCTATTCAACACAAAAAACCGACAATTTGTTGTTGACAAAGGACAGCTGGACATATAAAGGGCCCCATTACCTTCAGTAGCTTAGGGCCTCATCAAACCTAAATCCGGCCCTGGCTGTGTGCACAGGCGGAGCTTGTCTTTCTCCATGCATCTTAGAATCATAGCACTGTAGAGCTGGAAGGGACCCCGAGGGTCATCTAGCCCAACCCCCTGCAACGCAGGAAAATCTGCTAAAGGTGGCCATCCAACCTCTCTTTAAAAAATCTCCAGTGAAGGAGAGTCCGCCTCTTTTTGTTGCAGCTCGTTTTCACGAAGATTCCCACTGGTTGCCCTGCATTTAGCCCCTCTCATCTATTAGTAGCTCTCTGTCTATAGCGGCGGAATGGGGGGGGGGAGATATTCCGCCCGCCACGCGCTGAGGTGGTATCACTCTCTCACTTTTCGTATCTCTACGAAGCGAAGCTGAGCTTTCATTCCCCGGTGCGCAGCTCTAGGGTTGACAGGACGTCACTTCCGATCTCTCCCTTTCCCCCCCCCCTCGCTATTTCCGTCGCAAGGCCGCCGACGCCACAGCGGCGGCTGTTCCCTCTGCGCGAGCCGGCGCGTCGGCTAGCACGTCATTTCTCCTCGAGCGGCGTCGCCTCCTCGGACCGGCGCAGGCTTTGGGCTCCGCGCTCTCGTCCTCCCTCTTCGAGCCCGGGGAAGGAGCCTGAGGGGCCCGTTGGCAGCGGGCCCTCCTTCGCCCGCCACCATGTTGAGGCGCAGCAGGGCGGAAGTGGACCGTTATGTCTCCTCGCTGCAGGCCTCGGCCTCTTCGCCCAGGGAGGTGAGGCGCCTTCGTTTCGTTTCCCTTCCTTCCCCTTCCCCCCTCAAACCGATTTTGAGGGGAGTTCCGAGGCGACCCGCCATTGGTCCCCTTGGCTGTTTGTTTTGAGACTCTCCTCCAATGACTGGACGTGAGCCGGCGTCGGTTAAGGAGGGGAGGGAGTTAGTTTGGATTGGCAGCCGCCTCTCGCGCGTGAGGGACACGCGCCTCTCGGGGTTCGGGGGGGGGGGGGGGCTGGCCGGCTGGGATTAGGGCAGCGCCTGCTCGCGCGTTGGGCCTCCTGTTCCTTGGCTCCAGTGTAACAGAGGAGCATGTGGGATTGTGCCATGATGATTCTAAGGGGGCGGGGCTGTGCTAGGTGATGCAGCTTCACGAGTGGGGGGCTGGGGGGGGGAACCACCTTCCAGCCAAAGGGTCTTTCCTTCAAAGCCAGGGTCTGGTGGGGCCAGATGCAAAAGTGGGCAGTGCATCTTCTGTCTGGGCGTAGTCAAAGGGGGCGTGTTCAGCTCAAATCAAGTATGAATCGAAAGCGAAGGCAATAGTACCGTTCCCTGTTTATTTGTTTGCTTTGTAACACAAAACCCCCCAATAAGAACTATTTTTTTAAAAAGTAAATCAATAAAAATACTTAACTGAGGTACTTCCCCCTGGCAACATAAATGCTGCCCCTTGTAACATAAATCCTGGCTATGTCCATGTTCTAACTAAGTTACATCCCAGTCATGCAACCCCCCAGTAAGGGGTTTCTGTACCCTGCTAAACACACAAATATACACTCAGCCCTCCTAGGCAAGCAAAATGTAAGAGCAGAGTTGAAGGGCCTATTCCTGCCAGGTGAAAGCACTCAAGTGGCTTGGGAAGCGGTGTGGCCTGGGATGGTCCTGAGTGCCTGGAAGCGTTTCATGCCTGCACAAATTCTGGAATTCACTCTACGCGGGGCTGCCCTTAAAGCTGTCCCAGAAACTCCAGCGGGTGCAGAATGCTGCAGCAAGGCTCCTCAGAGGGTCTCTGCCATGGGAGCATATTCACCCAGTGCTTTTCCAGCTGCAGTGGCTCCTGGTGGAGTACAGGGTCAGATTTAAGGTGCTGGTTTTGACCTTTAAAGCCCTTCACGGCCTAGGACCCTCATACCTATGGGACCGTCTCTCCCGGTATGCTCCACGGAGGACCTTAAGGTCCATAAATAGCAACACTCTAGAGGTCCCAGGCTCTAAGGAAGTCAGATTAGCCTCAACCAGAGCCAGGGCCTTCTCAACACTCGCTCTGGCCTGGTGGAATGCTCTGTCTCATGAGACCAGGGCTTTGCGGGATCTGATTTCTTTCTGCAGGGCCTGTAAGACAAGAGTTGTTCCACCTGGCCTTTGGCTTAGAATCAGTTTGATTCCCTCCCCCTCTTTCTTTTTCCTTTCTCCCCCTGGGAAGAGGCTGCATCCTAATGTTTTAATGTTGTATTGTAATCTTGTTTTTTAAATTGTATTTTAATCAACTTGTTTTTATTATTGGTTGTTAGCCGCCCTGAGCCCGGTCTTGGCTGGGGAGGGCGGGGTATAAATAAAATTTATTATGATGATGATGATGAAGAAGAAGAAGAAAAGCCAGTGTCTAATGCAAATTCTTCTGCTTTTTCTATTCGTAAAAAGACAGGCGCCATCTCCAGGCTTGTGCTTGGTAATCTTAATGTATGGTGGCTTTTCCATCTGACTTTCCTCCAGCTAATATATTGTGAACTTTCCAATGTAAACAGGCAGTTGTGGTTCATGATCTGTCTGTGAACCAATATCTTAGGTGGAACCTCCTTCTGAGAAGACATATATAGGACTGCCCTCTTAACCCTGTAATCTTTTCACTGTGGCATCATATAGCACTCTTGCCAGCTGCCTCTGGGTGTGGTATAAACTTTATAAATGCTGGTTTAAAAATAGTTGGCATAAGGTTGCTCAACTTACCTTCTTAATATTTTTTGCTTTAAAAATCCATTCACAATTACAGTGGCCAGTGGTTATTGTCCTCATTAAAAACAATGTTTTTTCTTCCAACATATTTCATGTGAAGTAGCATTTGGTAATTGAACACTTAACCATGTGTTTGTGTATTTTAAAAATATTTCCTGCAGTTTTCTAGGTGCTACATCATGGATAATTTGATATTCCTATACTGAACTGTATAGTTTTTTTCCTCTCCCCCTCAAAAAAAAAACCCTAATGTTGCTTTGGTTAAGTTTCACTTCCCATTCTTCTTAGCAGTTGTGAGTTATGTCCTGGCAGGAATTGGAAGTTGTCCTTCCTAAATTCTAATTAAAAATCATTGCCTTTTCTTACTTGAGGTTTGTGGGATTATTATGGCAAAAAGCTTGAGATAGTCTAGTTTGTTTTTGTATTCTTTGATCTCTTGTCTCTCTGATAAAAGTACCGTATTTTTTGCTCTATAAGACTCACTTTTTCTCTCCTAAAAAGTAAGGGGAAATGTGTGTGCGTCTTATGGAGCGGATGCAGGCTGCGCAGCTATCCCAGAAGCCAGGAACAGCAAAAGGGATCGCTGCTTTCGCTGCGCAGTGATCCCTCTTGCTGTTCTGGCTTCTGGGATTCAGAATATTTTTTTTCTTATTTTCCTTCCCCAAAAACTAGGTGCGTCTTATGGTCTGGTGCGTCTTATAGAGCAAAAAATACAGTATTTCTGCCTGAGATGGACATAAAACTAATTAATTTAGGACAAGGCACAGAAATAACTTTCTTTCATCAGGCAAATGGGGTATTCCCCTGACGGTACATATAAATGACAAGTTGCAGAAACTATTGAGCAGTTCTTCATATAGGTAGGCAATGCTATGGACAATTCAACTAAAGGGAATAAAAAAGAATCCCTGACCTAACATGAAAGTTGCATTTTGTTGTCTTGACTGTCTTAATGAAAGCATAGTTTCTGAGTATAGGAAGCTGCCATACATTTTGCTGTCACTCCCTTCTCTGAAACACCAAATTGACAGTTGTTACTTGTCAGCTTTGAATAATTCACATGGTGGTATCTATATGATAGATTTTATGCTTATACAGAAAAAGGCTGTTACTGGGTCTTAGCAGATAGTGGGTGCACTCTGCACTTAAAAGTATTGAGCATGCTGCAGGAAGAAAATACAGGGTGACATTAGATGATCTCTTTTTCCTCCCCTGTGTACCCCCAAAATCTCCAGATGGTCCACTAATCCCTAGAGCAGATTTTGAGGGCCAACAGAGAGCATAACCCTTGTTACATAAGTGGATACCCAGCATGGTTTTGACTCCAGGGTTCTGTTGCATTTGGCACAAAGCGTTAAGTTTTGCTCTAAATGCAAATTGCAGGAGGGACTACATTTCTGCCCTGGGTCCTGGCAGTTTGCAGCTCTGCTGGTTAGTGCTGCAAAGTTCACAATTTCTGCAAAGCCTAGTGTTTGTCACTGGTGCCATTAGCTGAAAGTTTCTATCAATATGAGGACCTCTTTCTTTGCCTTCCACTATAAATAGCCACCATTGAAAACAGCAACAAGTAGATACTCAGAATTAACAAGAGGTAAGGAGGCAAATGAACACCTCAGTCTTAGTCATTGATTAGGCCTTGGCATCTACATATGGTGCTATTGAATAGGCCTTTGTCCTCAAAAGGCAATCAGTATGACTTATACTTGGCTTATAGTTGCAAAACTTTTTTTTTTAATAACCATTATTTAAGCATAGATTAGGTTAATTTGATTAGGCTGGTGATGGAGATGTAGTTGGCACATAACTTCCATCTTGGATCAGTGAATGTTCTTTGTCAGAGGACATCCAACCACCCAGGCCTTGACTGGTGAGGGTGGCAGTTTCAGGAACCCTCTTTGAACTTATTTTTTAAGAAATACTTTAGCATCTAGCTCAGCTCATTACAGTTGTTAAACAGCAGGTAGAACAATCATTATTACATGGTCTTCAAGATCCTCAGCAATTTTCAAGTGGTCTGAGGGGTAGGAGTTTGGGAATCACTGATCTAGAGGCTTGCTGTGGTTCATTCCTGTCACTGGACAATAACTTATTGTGATGAATTAAATGCTTAGAAAGAGGCTTGGAAACAGCTCTTTCTCACTCTAGCATTGTAAATACTTAGGATAGAGTTATGCAGATAAAATTCTGGCTCTTCAATGACCAAACTGTAAGTGAATTACTATCAGCATTAACAAAAGTATTTTTCTCTCTAGAAATCCATGAAAGGATTCTTTTTTGCTAAGCTGTATTATGAAACAAAGGAATATGAATTGGCCAAAAGGTAATACAAAATATTATTCTTTAATTATTCCAATGATTTATTTTACTCTGATTCAGAATAACTTGTGTTTGGTTAATTGTTTGAGAGAACTCTGCATGATGAGTGTTGATAGGCTTATACCAACCATCCCCAACTTGCTGTTCTCCAGATGTTTTGGCTGCAGCTGATAAGGCTGAAAATCAAAACATCCAGAAGGCACCAGGTTGGAGAACGCTGGCTTTTACTAATCATATATAATTATTTTCAGGTTTTATATTGTTCCATGTAGAACTAACACTGGCAGTTGCTTCATAACCAAGTACTGTGGTTTTTCCATTGTTAAATTAAATATGCCAATCTTGGGGCTCCTAATTCACATTTATAGCATGACTATCCAATGCATTGACATCACCTACGTCTATTCTGGAGTGATATCATTAGTCATTGATGGCTGCTATGTTAACTTGCTGTGCTGTTTTTTAAAGGTACATATCTACATATCTCAGTGTCCAAGAAAGAGATCCCAAGGCACACAAATTCTTGGGACAACTCTATGAAGCTGAAGAAAACATAGAGAAAGCTGTAGGTTGTTACAAGGTAAAAAAAAAGCTTCTACATTTTGCCTACATTATTGTTTCTAGAGGCTGTTGTATATGAAATATTTACTCAGATATATTTTATTTTGCTAGAGCATATTTTGGAATGCTATGAAATATTTTTAAAGTGTTGCTGCCTTGGCTATAATTAAACAATAGAATTACCAAATGTCAGTCCCACAAAAACTTCTGTTGCCTCCCAAAAAGTATTTGTTTTGAGCATGGGTAAAGCATGGTTGTAGAGCAGCCACCAAGACTGCCCCTTACAAGATGTAATTCTATAGTATTCCATGTGGGGGGGGGGGAAGGGTTCCTAGGGTAACAATATTCCCACCTCAGATTGCCACACAGAGAGTTGGCAAAATAATTTGAGTGATTCTGAAACACTTAACAGGTCATTTAGGTTGCTACATTATGTTCAGTGGTACCGAAAGATAGTCCAGTTGGGTCTGTCAGGTCAATATAGTGAGGGGAACATCCTGTTGATTCCTGAAGCATGAAATGTTGACCAGATGACTGTTGGTTATAATGCTGAGCTCTTTGTTCTTGATTGATAATTCTGGTATCTTTTAAATAGACCTTAGAGTTTCATAAACTTTCTCTTTTCTGGAAAGCACAGAACCAAAAAGAAATATTTTACACACACACACACACACACACACACTTGGCATATCATCTGAGCTGGGCTGTCAAGCAGCAGGAAGTTATAGCAATCAACTTCTCATGTAAGTTTCAGGGAATATTAGCTCTTCCATAATCTGAGCTAGGATCTCAACCTGATTTTTTCCTATCCCACCTTGGCACATAGGCTACTACGCCTTACTATGTGTTATAAGCTTAATAAAAATTCTACTTTAATAATGAAGTTTGGAGTAGGTGACAGGAATCCTGCTCAGCTGGCCTTTTGTGATGGGTTCCCCTATAGCTTTCAGAACTAATGAAAGGAATTCAGTGCTGTCTTCTAAGTGATAGAATCACAGTTTGGAATTTAGCCACATCTTGACTTGTCAGCTTGGGAAATGCTCAGACTGTGTTGTGGTACAGGGCAACTTGGCAAGGAAAAACAACACTTCTGTGAATCATGTTTCTGTTCTGTACAAATACTGAATGCTCTTGTGATATTTCATAAGCATAGCATCATTCTCTAATGCTAAAGCATGCCACACCTGTCTAGAAGGCTTTCCCTTTCTTGGTCCGTTGTGAATGCTGTGTTTATGAAGTGGGGAAGGCTGCACTAATCTACAGAAGTGTGGTAACAAAGTAGTCACCTGCATCTCTTCCATCATTCTTCTGCACCTGAGTAGCATTGCAAATAAGGCAATGAAGTGATCTTCTTAAACAGCTGTATAAGCCTCTTTAACTTGGTTTATGTGTTCTGGTAGTCTATATTGCAACATTTTGTGTCACAGAAAAACAGAATTAAACTATATATACGGTACTTCTTCCTTTCAATTGTGGCTTTAGCGTTCAGTGGAGTTGAATCCAACACAGAAAGACCTTGTATTGAAGATTGCAGAGCTGCTGTGCAGTAATGATATTACCGATGGAAGAGCAAAATACTGGGTTGACAGAGCAGCCAAGCTTTTTCCTGGAAGCCCTTCAGTTTTTCGACTAAAGGTAACCTTCACCTCTCCCTCCCCACCTTGAGTTGTCACAGCTTACAGAATAAACCTGGGCACAATTTGGACACAATCTTTACATGAAATTGCCAGTATGAAAAGTTTGGCAATAACTTAGTAGTTGTAACTTTGTTAATACCTGCTGCTTTCTGAGGCTTCTCAAAAAAAGTAGAAACCTGATAACATGTAACACTTCCTTTCATAGTTAAGAAACTCCTGATTATTATTTTTAAAGCCCCCCTCAAAGAAACTGCAATGCATTTCCAGATATGTAGTGGATTCAGATGTTTATTGCTATATTGTCTCAAAACTAGCTTGCTTATGCAGTGCAGTTTTATATAAAGAAGCAATAAGAATGATGTTATTCCTTGAGAATGATTGAAAGCCTTCTGTTTAAATAAATAAATATAAAATGTCAACCCTTTTATCTTTACTGTAGGAGAGTCTGGTGGATTGCAAGAGTGAGACTGGGTGGAACCAGCTTCTTGATTTGATCCAGTCAGAATTGTGTGCCAGACCTGATGATGTTTATGTTAACATTCGATTAGTGAAGCTGTACTTATCAAACAAAAACCTTGCAGCTGCTGTGGCACACTGTCAGGAAGCAGAGAAAAAAATACCATTGCAGTCAAGCTTGGAATGGTGTTCGTGTGTTGTACATACACTTAAGGTTTGTTTAATTATATTTGTCTTGTAAAAATACTTATTTTTGTAATTTCCTATAGAAACTACTATAGTAACTTCAAGTGAAGACTAAACTTGCTTTGTTAATTGGAACCAGTTGCATGACAGAACTTACTTTTGATCAGAGTTTGAGCAAGCAAATAACATTATAACAAGCAGGTCTACAAAGGCCTACAATATGCTTTTACTGGGTTTTATCTACAAATGCCCCTCGTGTGTAAGGTGTCTTCAGCCCCTAGAAAAGCCATTTCACATTTGACTAAGCATTTATAAGAAACATTGAGACAAAGTCAAAAGCTGTTCTTTCAAGTGCACAACCTTGTGAGAAGCCTGAGAACTACACTAGAATCTACCTATGGTAGGACTGCATGAACTCATGCAAGTACCTGTGGAACAGCCCTAAAAAAGCTTCCTTCTGCTCCTGATTTTGCCTTGCTAAAATATAGTGGGTCACCCCAGTGATCTAGAACATGGACAACACATGGAGGTGTTGAGGGCCTTCTGCAGTGCATGAAGCAGACTGGCATATTTTTGTCCTGCCACTCAACCTCACTCTTCAGAGGGCATGTGCAAAATCCTGAAAAGTTTTTCCTTCTCAGTGTTTTGCACAGACCCTCAGCTCTTTCATTGCTACTTTTGGAGTCCACTGAAGTAATGATGCTCAGTTGGTGTCTTAAAAGATAGCTTAAAATATCACTGATAAAGCTGCTAAAAATAAAATCCTCACAGTCTACACGGAATAAGATTTTTGCTTTATATAATTTTGGGCTGCTGAATTTCAGTAGAGAATGAGTTAACAAAGTAGGGTCTGATCTTGCTTAATAAAACACATTAGAGATCTGGTGGCTGACTAAACAAAATATTTTTTTTAATTTTAATTTTTTCCCTAGGAATATCTTGACTCTCCACAGGAGTTGGAATCCAATAAAGCTTACGAGCAAAGGACTAGATCCCGTCGGGATCTTTTGTTGGCTTATTCAAATCTGGTCGTAATGACACTTTCAAACAGAGGTGTAGAAGAAAGCAGAGAATCCCTCCAAAGGTATCTTGATTTGTTCAATTCAGAATGCTTCTAAATGATAGCCTCTTGATGAAATGCCCCCATTTTTGTATTGTGAAATGTCCTTGCTTTTGTATTGTGTCCGCACGAAAGCCCCTTATTTCAGTTGAATGTTTTATTAGTTGCTTTCATGTGCTGCTTTTTGCACATTTGCAGTGTATATATGTGTCATGTATGGCAGAGGAATAATAAGCAGGAGCCACTAGTAAAGAAACCAGTCAAAAGTATTTACTGGTGTTTCTGTTTCTGTAACAGTACTTTGTTGAGCCATGAAACTACTGTTATTAATGAACACTTGTCTTGTAGCTTTGATCATGCACTCCATTCAGTGAAACCTCATGCAGCTGGAGGTGATGAACTTTCTGTAACTTTCCTGGAAATGAAAGGCCACTTCTACATGCATGCTGGAACTCTGCTGTTGAAAATGGCCCAGGAAAGTGAAATGCAGTGGAGAGCTGTTTCGGAATTGGCAGCTTTATGTTACCTTCTAGCTTTTCAGGTAAGTTCTTCTCAAGTAACATGTTGCCCTCAATCATTTATAGTATTTGTGCTGTAGATTTCAGTGTTAGAGGGGCCAAGGTGTATTTGTATATGCATGATACTGCAGGGGGGTGAAATTTGTTCTGTTCGTGCTTTTTAATTATTATTTTTTAAAGTACAAAATCAAAATGGAATGCTTTTCAGTAGAATTGCATATCTAGAGGTAAAAGGAAATAAGTATGTGTGAAATCAGGAGGAATCTGCTGTCTACAGATAATTTAGCCCAGCAAATTAATTTTGCTGTGCACCTTTGGCTTTCGTGAGAAGCCAACACATTGTATCCCAGTATACCATACTATTGCCTAATTCTTGTTTGGAGAATAGTGTGGTTCAATGTGGCTGCTGCCTGGATGTACACACATCCTCTTCTGGCCCCTTTACTAAACTAGCTGCATTGTGTGCCATTATGGCAATGCCCTAATGGAAGTTTTAAATGTTTGATATTTTATTCTGTTTAATATTCTGTTGGGAGCCACCCAGAGTGGCTGGGGAAACCCAGCCAGATGGGCGCTGTATAAATAATAAATAATTATTTATTATTATTTTTTATTTATACATACAAATATATATCTGTGATAATTAGGATGCTTTTCATTGCTTTGACAGATTCTATCATCCTCTTATGCTAGTTTTCTCTCGAGCCAAAGGGTAGAGTCCCTAGCCCTGCCTTCCCAAATCTGGTGCCCATCAGATTTTTTATTTTATTACAATTTGCATCATCTGTGATCACTGGCCATGTCTAGGACTGATAGGAATTGTAGTCCAAAACATTTGGAGGCCAACAGATTGGGTGAGGCTACTCTGGACTCTCTAAAATTTAGCTCTATCAAATAATTACTATTGGATTGTTCTTAAATGACCTTCCACCACCATATTTTGATGAGTAAAAGCAAGACTTGCAGTTCAAAATACTGTTCCTTTCCCTTCATTTCTTGAGAAAGAAGCAATAAGTCTGTATTCATTCAACTTGTCCTTGGCATAGAGCAATATAGAGTCAAAAAATGTTCAGCTTGGCACTTTGGACAGAAATGTAATGTAAAATTTATGATTGTATTAGACATGATTTCTACACTTCACAGAAATGGATTTTATTCTTAAGCTTAGTATTGTTATAATATATTTCACTGCAGAGCGAATTCTTTACACTTGTCTAATCTCTACCAGGTTCCTAGACCAAAGTCAAAACTAATAAAAGGCGATCAAGCTGAACAAGAGAAGTTGGAAATGTTAGCCTGTGATCGACAGAGCCAGTCTGGTAATAATATTAAAAATCAGATTTCATTTTAAAATCAAAGCTGTGGACATCTAGTAGCAATTCTAAAGCAGCGTGTAAAGACTTCACTCAGTTGAAATTAAAAGTAACAAACCTTTAACAGGCAATGCTAAGAATTCAAAGCATAATGTGGGTTTGTAAAGAATGGCAGCGCTAGAGGCCTCAGCATAACTTTTCATTTTGTCCTCTTGACTAAGATTCATTTTCTGCCTTCTGAGTCTTCAAACCTACAGTTATTTCCCCTTTGAGCAGAATGTTTTAAATTTAAGAACTTAACTCTTTGGGTGGTATTCAACAAAGTACTTTCACTAGCACAAGGATTTCTGCTTGTACTGTACAACGCAACTTCCCCTCTTTCTCCCCCCATATGCCTCACACCCTCCCCAGATCTGCCCTAGAATGTTGAAGGAATCCCAGAACAGATTTAGCAGGGCATGGAAGGGAAGTTCTGTTGTGTGGCCAAAGTTCTTGTACCAGTGGAACTACTTCATTCAATACTGCCCTCTGAACTCAAGTTATGGACTTGACAAATTTATTCAAGGGGTTGTATCTTCCAAAGTATTTTCATTTGCACAAGGACTTTCATTTGCTCAGTGGAGTGTTGCCGCCTCCTCCTCCTCTCCCTAGATGCTCCCCAAATTTGTTCTGGGGGTTCCTACAACACTCTAGAGCAGATTTTATGTGGGGGGGGGTGTCCCGGGGGGTGACTTTCATTGTGCAGGCTGAAGTCCTTGCATAAATTGAACAACTTCATTGGATACATGATATTTGGTGTATATTTGCCAAATAGAAACTTGACTTTTGGTTAATCGTGTGTCTTTTACCTTTTCAGGACATATGCTGCTAAACCTAAGCCGTAGGAAGCAGGATTTTTTCAAGGAGATTGTTGAATCATTTGCAAACAAGAGTGGACAGTCTGCCTTAATTGATGCACTATTTGGGAGTGGTTCTTCTACAGAGAATTCCTTTCTTGGCACAGATGATATCAGAAATGTTGGTGTGCAAGTACCAGAATATGGAGAACTAGCTAGATACGATATTGGTAAGAAGATTGGTTTATTACTTTGTTTTATGTTATAAATTCATTGCATATTATGAAATAGATACACATACAGCATGATACTTCAAGATTAAAAACACTGGAAGAAGCAGGTGAATTTAAATACTAGCTCATGAAAAGATATTAAAGTGGACTGGGGAACATTTTTTGCACCAGTGACCATATCTTAATCTGCCCCCCAACAGACCAAATTTGACAGGAGGAGAAGTATTCTACCTGCCAGTAATGGGGTGGGTGGGTCACATGATTGGCAGATAAGTTGCCCTGGCCATATGTCTAAATTCCTTGCAGTCTCTGCTGTCCTGTTTGAGCATGGGAGAGCAGGAAATTCATTTGGAAGCAAGTGCCTATTTCTTTGTTGTGTGATCAAGAGGTCTGTCCAAGCCAGTGTCTATAAAGCAGGCATTAGCTCTAACAGGGATTGCTGCATTGTGCAGCAACAAAGAAAAAAGCAGGGTATTCTAGCTTTTGCTGCTCCACACAAAAGCAAGGAGACTTGTTTGTTTGTTTGTTTGTTTGTTTGTTTGTTTGTTTGTTTTGGAAAGCCCAGGTCATGATGATGCTTTTTGGAGGTTGAAGAGATCAGTGCAGTTTGGGTTTTCCAAGAGGGTCTCACCCATCAGTTTATATCACCAGTTATGTCAGCTGATTGATGGATGAGCACGGTTTGGAAAGATGACCTCGCAAATGGAACCCCCTGATGGGTCCAGATTGACTCATGGACTGGAGTTCCCCCACCCCTCATTTAAACGAACTCACTTTTTCAAGTGTACCATTTTACATATAAGGGTATGCTTTGATTATCAAAGCAGTTTGCATAACTTAAGATGCTAAATACTCTGACTAGTTGTATTTAGAAGCGGTAATGAACAATGGCTTATGTACCACAGTAGATGGTGTTTATGTTTCTGTCATTCTAAACAGAGAATACTTGTAGACAGGTCTGTAGAAATCTAAATAGCCAGTGGAGCCTCAGTAACTGGCGAAACTGCATCGGAAACTGCTACTGAGCTATGTTTTGAACACCTGCTTTGTACAGGATGTGAGCCTTCGTACAGGATTGATTCACATTTTTAACTGTTTTGGAATTAACATGAGATGATATTAGCATGAGATGATAGCTTGCTTACTGTCTTCTGCTGTCATACCACATAGTTGCATCTTTAGAAATGAACCAGCACTTTCTTGTTGTTAGGTGCCATTAGAGCCCACAGTGGTAGTCTCCAACACCTCATATGGCTTGGTCTGCAGTGGAAATCCATATCACCCCAGCAAACCTTTCGCAAATGGTTGAAGCAACTTTTCCACTTGCCTCAGGAAACATCCAGACTTGAGACCAATGCTCCTGAATCGATTTGCATGTTGGACCTTGAAGTAAGGAAATGCTTCCAGCATTAATTTCTACCACAATTTGAGTTAATAAAACAATTTATTGTATAACTTAAAATATGTGTGTTTGCAAAACAGGTATTTCTGCTTGGGGTGATATTTACCTGTCATTTGCAATTGGAAGAGAAATTTAATACCAAATACGCTGTGCACCAGCCTCAATTCCTACCACTACCAGTATGCAAGCAACTTTGTACCGAGAGGCAGAGGGCCTGGTGGGATGCTGTTTATGCTCTTGTTCACAAACAAGCTGTGTAAGTATGACTTTTTTTGGTTATGGTAGTCATCCTTACAATAGACATGTGGCTGTCGACTACATATAGCAGCTTTTAATGCCCCTTTCTCATGCTGAAGGATTATATATATGACAGTTTGTGTGAAATGACTGGCTTTTATATATCTACAAGAAAACTTTTTTGATTCTTTGTCTTTTGGGTTAAGAATGTACTTTATAACTTTTAGTCTATAGATAATCAAGCAGAAACTGGTAATTAAGAACTACATTATGCAGCTGACACATTTCTGTTGCACACGTTACTTTTCAGGTCCGGGACAGCAGCAAAAGTGAGGCTTCTAGTCCAACATGAAATAAGCATCCTCAGAGCCTTAGGTAAACATGGTCTTCAGCCAGCTCTGATCGTGCACTGGGCAAAAAGTCTCCTTAAAACAGTAAGTAAGAAGATGCCATTTTCAATAAATTTAAAGCTATAAAGTTAATTTCTTAACCTTGTATGATCCATGCAGCCTATTGCAGGTATTTAGATTATATGTGGGGAGAGAAGTCTGGAATGTAGTTGCCACCACCTTTTAAAACACCAGTGGAAAACCTCTGGCCCTGCCTAAATGACTTAAGCTCCAGATATCTGAAAGACCATCTCCATCTCTACTAACTTTCTCTGGTCTCCAGAGGAGAATCTCTTGGTAACTGGTAATTGCTTCCAATTGCTGCCCAAGAGAGGGCTTTCTCTGTGGCAGTCCCTAAATTATGGGACTTCCTCCCCATCATTGTGTTTAGCATCTGCATTGTATAGTTCTTGCTGTATGCTGAAGTTACAGCTCTTTACCCTGGCCTTTGACAGTTAAGGTATTTTGTTTTGTAAATTATTCAATAATTGTGACTGTTTTACCAGCTTTTATAATTGTATATTCTGTTGTCATAATCCACCCTATAACCTTCCAGTGATGGGTGGGTATGAAATCTAATAAATCATAAATAAATACAACACTTGCATGTACAACTGGAATTCTGAACGTTAATAGAGAAATGTGAAATAGTGTCATCAGGGCTATCATTGATATATACAAATGATTTACTGAGTTTAACATTAAAAATAACTCAAATTATGTTACTTCACAGGGTTGCAGTCTTAATTCTTTCTATGACCAAAGAGATTACATTGGACGAAGTGTTTATTACTGGAAGAAAGTTTTGCCAATGCTTGAGACAATCAAGAAGAAGAGAAGTATTCCTGAACCAATTAACCCATTGTTCAATCACTTTCATAGTGAAGATATTCAGGTAATAAGGCAGCTCAAATCTTCCTATGGTAGTCCTTATATTTCTAAATGCTTTTGGGGTCTTATCTGCAGTTTCTCACTTTGATGTATAATTCTTGTTGCCACTTCTCTATCTCAACCCCACCTCCATAAGCGGTTACTGTTTACATTCCAGCTCTGGCAACGACAAAAAAGCTACTTGCCTACTCTTGAACCATCAGCAGATTTGTCTGCTTCCACCATTAGCGTACTTTGAGACCCACACATTTGGAATTGGTCCAGTCTTTCTTCATAAGCCACAAATGTTAATTATGTGCTGGTAGCATAATTTGTCTGCTAGCTAGGTGTTGCTCAAAATTTTATTTTATTTTATTTGGAAAGTGGAACTTAACTGATCTCACTATTTGACTTGGATGTCATGCAGTCATCAAACACAGCTCATGATGGGTCTTAACATAATGATATATGAGAGGTTACTGAGGTATGGATCATAGCAGCTAATTCTCCAGAAGAGTGTGGAAACACCTAGGTCACAGTTGCTATCTGAACCTACAAGAAGAACATAATAGTCCTGCTGAATCAGACCAAAGACCCATCTTATCCAACATCCTGTTTTCACAGTGGCCAACTAGAGTGCCTATGGGAAGCATGCAAGCAGTGCCTGTGTGTAACATCACTCACTCCATTTATGATACCCAGCCGCTGATATTCAGGGACATACCGTCTCCAGCAGTGGTGGTAGAACATCTCCATTGTGGTAGATGGTGTCCAGGAACTGAGCCCTTGGCTGGAAACATGATTATTCAGAGAAATTTTGACTCCATTCAGAATGAGCAGAATCTTCGTTCCCAGGTCCAGAGTTGCCTCTCTTGTTGTCTGAATTCAACTTAAATTTCTTAGTGCTTCCAGGCACTGATGTACAGATTTTCTACCAATCCTGGGTTAATTTTTCTAAGTTGAGTTACTGGCATATTGATAGCACTGCTTTGAACTGTGGCTTTGTATAGGCATGTGTGACAAGAAAAAACTTGTTGAGGACATTAACTCTTTAAGGAAATAAACAGTTAATTCTACTACATGCTTTTCCAGTGTTTTCATTAGGGCTATATCAAATAGCATCAAGATTTTTGCTGCTAATCATGAGAAGGTGGAAGACCTATGCAAGTTGCTGAAGCATCTCCTTTCCCCATGAAAAACTTAACCCAGCACACACTAAGCCAACTGGGGGCAGGGGGCAAATGTTTGTAATGCTTATTTTAAAAATTTTACAGAGTGGGAAACTGCAGGCCTTTTGGGTGGGACTATAAGGGACTCTCAACACTTCCTTTGCATATGTGAAAATAACTTCCCCTTACAGTGGTGCCTCGCAAGACGAAAAAAATTCGTTCCACGAGTCTTTTCGCCTTGCGATGTTTTTCGTCTTGCGAAGCACGGTCCGTCGCAACTGCGCCTCTTCAAGCGGCTTTTTAAAAAAAGCGCAAGACGTTTTCGTCTTGCGAAGCAAGCCCATAGGGAAATTCGTCTAGCGAAGCAACGCAAAAACGGAAAACCCTTTCGTCTAGCGAGTTTTTCGTCTTGCGAGGCATTCGTCTTGCGGGGCACCACTGTACATGCATGGTTGAAAATGCTGATTGAAAAATAGACCATGACTATGAATTGCCTTATCTAGCTAGACACATAAACTTAATCTGTTAAGAAGTATTTGAACATATCATACGTGTATCTACATGCATGCTATTATTATAAATATAAAAGCATGTGTGTATTGTAGAAACACGCTTGCAGAAACAGTTTGTCAAATATTACATATGTGTTCCATACACACGTTTCAGTATGTTTTCTGCAAATGTATTTCTGTCACTGGAATCGTATAACTTGAAAATCTGGTTATCATCTTGGACAAAGTAAGTAGTAGTTCCTCCCTTGAAAAGAGCAAAACTTACACACAATTGTAAATCATTAAACTGTGTAAAATATTTTGTACCAAAACATTTCCTTATATAAAACTAATTAATAAACCTTCTTTTTAAGGTTTCCCAGGTTGGTGTATATCAAGAAGAGGCACATATAGCATTTGCTATTTTGGATTCTGTGGATGGAAAAACAGACGATGCTATGCAAGCATTTGAAGCTATTAAAAATGTTGTCTCATATTGGAATCTTGCTCTGGTAAGTGTTACATTCCTTCAGGGGATTCCCCTGCCCTAACTGCATGCACACTTAATAAGCTGAATTCTCAACTGACTCTTTCTTTTCTTGGATAGATTTTCCAGAGGAAAGCTGAAGAGATAGAGAATGATGGTCTGTCATTAGAAGAACAAGAAGAATACAGAAATCTTCTGAAAAAGAGTAGAGACTACCTCATAAAAATTATAGATGAAAGCAGCAGCGATGCTTCAGTCACTGAAAAGGTTTAAAATGTTTTTTTTAAAAAACTGCTAGGAAAATTCATCTATATAGAAAAAAAGCATTTGTCAGATTATATGTCTAGATATATAATACTTGGTTTAATAGTAAATCTACTAGAAATGTAGTAGAATTTAGTGGCGCTAAAGCAAACATGCTCTAAAGTATGGGTAGCTAAGAATTAAAACTTGTTCAGATGCAAAAATTCTATGCAAACTTTTTGGTGCTAGTGACCATTTTCTGGTTAATTAGTGAAATACAGAGTGTTGTATCCAGTGTTGCTTGAGCAGAGTTTTACTTGCACACCAGAACTTTGTCCTGTCACAAAAATTTGCTCTGGAGGGAGAGGTAGAACTCTGCCGAAAGAGCAGAATAGCAGCGCTAGATGCAACCCAGACTTCTGAAGCCAATAATTTGTAAACCTCGGAAGAATATGCAGTTCATTAATGTAACCATGTATATATTTAAACTCGCCCTAAATTCGCATACTCTTTAATTTTCGTCCTAGTTACCTGTATCCATAGAGACAGTTAAGGAGATGCTGGAAAGTATAATGCAAGAACTTGGAATCAACGGTGAAGAAAGGAGTCTTATCCTAAACAATGATTTGAGCCAACCAGTGGAGACGGAAATTAAACATTCTACCCCATCACCCACAAAATTCTCTCTGTCTCCAAGTAAAAGCTACAAGGTATAGCAAACAAATGTTTTTGTTTTTAAAATCTCTATTGTGTTTCAGTTGGTCTAATCACCTAACTATTGTTATTTCAGTTCTCGCCCAAAACTCCTCCTCGCTGGGCAGAGGATCAAAAATCACTACTTAAGATGATCTGTCAGCAAGTAGAATCCATAAAGGTAAATAAGAGCACTATTGTGTATATTCTGTACTCCACTCTGGGGATAGATGTGATTTATTCAGCTTAGATAATCGAAGTCAGGATGGATAAGTCAAGTGTTCAAGAAGATCCTATCCAAATAATTATACTTCCAGAGTAATCATGCTTATGAGCAGTATGATTAATTTAAGACAAAGTGCTGATTTTAACGTTGGCAATCTAGACTGTCTTTTACTTTTGAGTTATTCAGCAGGGTGCAAACAAATGCATTCATAGAAGTAGTCATTCTTGCATAGGCAGGTTTAATTTCTATTGCTGAAAATACAATTAATATAAAAATGACTGATGTATGATTATTTTCAGAAAGGTGGTATATGCAAGTTCAAAAATAAAAAATAAAACTTAACGGCAATTTACAGATATATGAAATGATATCAGGATTTCCCTTCTCCTACTCTGTGACCCACCCCCTAAAAATCTTCTTTGGTGGGTTGGGGGGACCCTCTGAAGTAGCCTGAGAGGAGTTCAGGGGCTGCAAGGGGAAGGGAAGAAGGGGAAATTCCATTGTGTCTGCTGGCACGACTTTTTCTCGTGTGCATGTATCAGAACAGAATTAACCCTAACACTAAAGCAAAGTAAATTGTAGTAGAAACAACGTAATAAGCTTATAGCAGCAGCAGACTAGAAAGGTCTTGCTAGTTTGATTCAAGTTAGCTGAAGTACAGTTGTGGAATCTTGTTGCAAAGCAGCCTATTGTGACATCAGTAAGTTTCCTCTACTAGAGAGGGGGAAAGGCTCCTGGCCATTTTTGATTGAAAGAGAAAAGACTGATAATTTGTACAAATTTTCATTAACATTAAAATACTAAACTCATTTAGGAATAAAAACATGGTTATGTGTGTGCTGTAAGAAATAAGTAATAGCAAAGACTATACTTCATGGCTTTTTATACTCCAAAAGGTTTTAAGACTAAAAGAGCAATAAAATCAAAATTTGGGCTGTTCAGAATATATTTGATTTCTGTAACTGCTTTACTTTGCACACAACTGTGCCTTGCTTAGTTAACCTTTCAACAGTAGTCAGTTCATGGTTCATTTTCAGTCATTGCCATCATCACTGCTACTAACTCAGAACTCATTCCCCAAATGCTAATAACACCATCCTCACACAAGAGGGAGGTACTGGCGTACTTGCAGAAGTGCAAAAAATCTTTAGGGGGGAAATCCTAAAGGGATTATTGAGCATGCTTAGTAGCCAGAGAATATTGAATCATTGCAGGGACGGGAAATAGAGGAGGGGGCTGAGACTGACCTCACTGGCAGTGAAGGTGTGTGTTGCTGTGGTGGCCCTAGAGGTATCAAAACACTGTTGATCAGTGGATAAGACAGGCTAACAGAAAAGCAAAGGACAAAGAGCTGGTAAGGAGGAAAGTGAAAAGGTTGGCTGTGTTTTTTCTTCCCTTAATAGTGTCATAGCTTGGAAGTCGAATGGCTTAATTCCTGAACGTTTTGGCTCCCTAACATCGCAAACCTGGAAGTGACTGTTCCGGTTTGCAAACTATTTTTAGACGCCGAATGTCTGACGGGGCTTCTGCAGCTTAGCAATTGGCTGCAGGAGCTTCCTGAAACCAATCAGAAGCCGTGCTTTGGTTTCCAAACGTTTTGGAAGTCGAATGGACTTCCGGAATGGATTCCATTTGACTTCCAAGGTACAACTGTACTTTGATCCTTCATCTTGAAGAAACAAGCAAAGCATACAGAAAGATATAAAGAGGTTGGAGGGAACTATCTTTTATTGCCTGGATTGGTCACTTTCTGGCTCACACTGAGTAACTGTTCTTAAATGCCTTCATGATGGAAGTCCATAAAAATAATAATTGAGAAATCGAAGGTTTCAATGTAGCCAGGACTTAATACAAGCATATTCATCCCAAACTGTTTTACATTCTTTTCCTCTTCAGTTCTGTAGATGCAAAAGAAACAGCATGGGGGTGGCACAAAAGTTTTTAATGACCATGCTTGTCTTTTTGATAGAATGAGATGCAAGAGATGAAACTTAACAATTCTAATACAACCATGTCTCAGCGGTGGCCTGCCGAAAGCTATGCAGCAGATACCATGCCAGATGGCTATCAAGGCACACAGAGCTTTCATGGAGCACCGTTAACTGGTAACTACATGCGCAGGTGGAGAATCCTAGAAAAATTTAAGTGCAGTTTCTGATGCGACGTCTGATTATAATTAAAAAGCATTGAATGGATCACAAGCTGCCTTTAGGAGGATGTTATTAAAAAGATATAAAGTATCTTTGTTTACTCGCTTCATAATCTTAAGGCTTTATTTAAAACTTGCCATGAGTGCTAAGGGGAGGGTGCGTTTTCACACTTTTTAAATGATTGCTTTTATTTGATTTTGATAATGACCGTACATTTTTTAAAACTACACGAGAATACTCCACAAAAAACACATGATATCCTTATACAATGAAGTAAATCACTAAAGCTGTATCTTCACACTTGCATATAAAATGATGGAATACTAGAAGTGGGGGGAAGCCTGAGTGTTTAGATGGTTATATATGGGATTGTGTGTTGGATAAACCACCTTGAGAGGTCTTGTTTTTAAAGGCAGCATATACATATTTAAGATAAAGATTTAGGGTTCTTGTCAATTTCAAGACTCTCACTGTTTTTATCTCTTGTGTGTCCAGTTGCTACAACAGGTCCATCTGTCTACTATAACCCATCACCAGCTTACAATTCCCAATATCTCCTACGGACAGCAGCCACGAACGTGACCCCCACAAAGGTAATTATTTGCTGTTTCTCTGATACAACTCATAACTCGTAGAGAGATGGAAAACTGAGAACTGTGTTGCTTTCTGTTAAATATTCAAAAGGCAGGTTTCTTGTCACATAGTGGGAACCAGCAGTTGTTTTTGAATGCAGTTTAAGCAATTATTGGAAATTTAAATTTATAACCTATGTTCAATTACTAAGGCTTTAAAACTAAGTTTGATCATTTTTGTATTTATAGGCTCCTGTCTATGCCATGAACAGGCTTACTCCTCAGCAGCACATATATACATATCAACAGCCAATGCACACTCCTCCACTGCAGAACACTTCTGCTTGCATGTTTTCACAAGAAATGTATGGTACTCCCCTGCGTTTTGATTCTCCGGCAACCGGAATGTTGTCTCCCCGTGGCAATGAGGACTACTACAACTACAGCGTTCCACCAACAACTACAAATCCGCCACTTCCCGAGCCAGGCTATTTTACAAAACCTTCTGCAGCACCCCCGGTCTCCCGGTCTGCCGAATCAAAAGTGATAGAATTTGGGAAGCCTACCTTTGGGCAGTCTGTACCACCAGCAGAGGGAGCAAAACCTTCCTTGATAACTTCTGCTCAGTTGACACAGCCAACCACTTTCAAATTTAATTCCAATTTCAAATCTAATGATGGAGATTTTACTTTTTCATCACCTCAGGTTGCAGCACAGCCACATAGTACCCCCTATAGTAACAGCGACAGTCTTTTGGGCCTTCTGACATCCGACAAGCCTATCAAAGAGAACCGATACGCTGGACAAAAGCCGCTTACTGAATATCCCACTGGACAGCGAAACATCTTCAGTTTTGGTGGCAAGAATGCATCAGGCATTGCATTTACTGATAAAATGGTACAAAATCAACCCAGGCCCTCTGGTTTTAGTAAGGGTGATGCGTTCGGCTTTCAGGATCCTGGCAAGCCTGTATTTGGTACTCCACCTTCAGATGTAGCAAACAGAAGTCACGAAACAGATGGAGGAAGTGTCCATGGTGGTGGTGAAGAAGAAGATGATGGCCCTCATTTCGAACCTGTTGTGCCACTACCTGACAAAATTGAAGTAAAAACAGGTGAAGAAGATGAAGAGGAGATGTTTTGCAATAGAGCAAAACTTTTCCGCTTTGATGCTGAACACAAAGAATGGAAAGAGAGAGGTGTTGGTAATGTGAAAATTCTGAGGCATAAAATAACTGGCAAAATCAGACTACTTATGAGACGGGAGCAAGTGCTGAAAATTTGTGCAAATCACTATATAAATCCTGATATGACTCTGAACCCAAATGCTGGATCAGACAAATCTTTTGTGTGGCATGCCTTGGACTATGCAGATGAATCGGCAAAACCTGAGCAACTTGCAATCAGGTTTAAAACTCCAGAGGAAGCGAAGCTTTTCAAGCGGAAATTTGAAGAGGCACAAAATATTTTGAGAGTATCTGGATCAAGTGATAGTCAGCAGGCTTCTCAGGGTATTGTGTCATCAAGAGAAGCTACTGCTCAAGATGCAAAAGATTCTGGTAAATCTGACTCAGGACTCATGAGCTCTGGATTTAACTTCAAGAGTGGGACATCATCTGTCAGTGGTAGCTATCAGGTTCCTGTTCCCGATGTGAGCAGTTCAGCTAAAAACACTAATGCCAAAAGTACTTTTACGATTGCATCCAGTGCAGCTACACCTGCATCCTTCTCTTTTGCTAAAGAAGGGTTGGGAGCAAATGCTACGTACGGATTTGGTGAACAGTTCATGTTAAAGAAAGATCAGTGGGAGTGCAACACATGCCTTGTTCGAAATAAAGTAACTGCACAGAGTTGTGTAGCATGCCAGACTCCAAATCCAGCTAATCGGGAAGCGCAGGCTGTGCTTCCTCCGACAGAATCGACTATACCTTTCAAACCCAACACTGAAGGTGCACATTCTACATTTGGACCAATTCCTCCAAAAAAGGAAAACCAGTGGGAATGCAGGACCTGTCTTGTGAGAAACGAAGCCAGCGCATCCCATTGTATTAGCTGCAAGAATCCCAGCGGTACAAATTTACCAGTGTTTGGTTCCCAAACCACATTCAAATTTGGTCATGCAGAGTCTCCAAAAGTGCCCCAAAGTGGTTTTGGGGCTGCTTTTCAGAAAAAGGAGGGCCAGTGGGATTGCAGCATATGCTTAGTAAGAAATGAAGGCTCCTCACGAACTTGTGCTGCTTGTCAGGCTGCAAACCCATCTAGCGATTCCCAAACCACATTCAAATTTGGTCATGCAGAGGCTCCAAAAGTGCCCCAAAGTGGCTTTGGGGCTGCTTTTCAGAAAAAGGAGGGCCAGTGGGATTGCAGCATATGCTTAGTAAGAAATGAAGGCTCCTCACGAACTTGTGCTGCTTGTCAGGCTGCAAACCCATCTAGTGATTCCCAAACCACATTCAAATTTGGTCATGCAGAGGCTCCAAAAGTGCCCCAAAGTGGCTTTGGGGCTGCTTTTCAGAAAAAGGAGGGCCAGTGGGATTGCAGCATATGCTTAGTAAGAAATGAGGGCTCTTCACGAACTTGTGCTGCTTGTCAGGCTGCAAACCCATCTAGCAATGCTCCAGCTTTACCAGCTAGTGATGCTCAACTGCCTGTGTTTGGCTTCAAAAGCAAGTTATCCGAACCCACTGGAGGACCACAGGGGACGGGTTTTAAATGTGACATAACAGAGAAGGGTTTTAAATTTGGCCTTTCTACAGATCAAGGGAAGTCTTCTTCCTTCACATTTCAGGTTCCTGCTAGCAGTGAAACTAAGCCTATGAAAGGAGGGTTTAATTTTTCAATGCCGGTACCTCCAGGTGAATTTAAATTTGGTATACAAGAGCCTAGCAAAGATGTTGCAAACGACCAACAGAATAAAGAAGGTGGTACTGATGAAAAAGAGGAGGTGTCGGAGGAAGAAACTGCAATGAAATCTCATGATAGATCTAGCAAGCAAAGCGGTGATTTGGTATTTGGTCAACACAGCAGCACATTCACTTTTGCTGACCTTGCAAAAACAACTGCAGGTGAAGGATTTCAGTTTGGTCGGAAAGATCCAAATTTCAAGGGCTTTACAGGTGCAGGTGAAAAGCTATTTTCTTCTCAGGCTGCTAAATCTTCATTCAAAGGAAATACTTCTGCTGATCTTGAGAAGGAAGATGAGTCCTATAAAACAGAAGACAACGATGATATTCATTTTGACCCTGTTGTCCAGATGCCCGAGAAAGTCGAACTGGTGACTGGCGAAGAAGATGATATAGTGTTGTATTCCCAAAGAGTAAAACTGTTCAGGTTTGATGCAGAAACAAGCCAGTGGAAAGAACGTGGTGTGGGCAACTTGAAAATCCTTAAGAATGAAGTTAATGGCAAGCCACGAATCATCATGCGACGTGAGCAGGTATTTAAGGTTTGTGCAAACCACTGGATCACAACTACCATGAACTTGAAGCCCCTCTCTGGCTCAGACAAAGCATGGATGTGGTTAGCCAACGACTTCTCTGATGGTGATGCAAAGCTGGAGCAATTGGCAGTTAAATTCAAAAGTCCAGAGCAAGCTGAGGAATTTAAATTGAAATTCGAAGAATGTCAAAGGCTATTGCTGGATATACCACTCCAGACCCCACATAAACTAATAGATTCTGGGAAAACAGCTGAGCTGATACAAAAAGCAGAAGAAATGAAAAGTGGTTTGAAAGATCTCAAAACCTTCCTGACAGACGATAAAACTAAACTTGCAGATGAAGAGAGTAAAACCTCTGTATCTGCTACAAAGGCCTCTGATTTGGTTATTAAGCCACACGCTGAAAGCACTGGACCTACATTAGAGTGGGACAACTATGACTTGCGTGGGGAAGCACTGGATGATAGTACAGACAGTTCTGTGTATGCTTTGCCTCGGGCCAGTAGCCCTGTGAGGAAAAATCTATTTAGGTTTGGAGAGTCCACCACAGGGTTTAACTTCAGCTTCAAATCTGCATTAAGTCCCTCTAAGTCTCCTTCCAAACAGAACCAAAGTAGGGCTTCTGTAGGCACAGATGAGGAATCTGATGTTACACAAGAAGATGAAAGAGATGGTCAGTATTTTGAACCAGTAGTACCTTTACCTGACCTCGTAGAAATAACAAGTGGTGAAGAAAATGAGCAGGTTGTCTTCAGCCATCGTGCTAAACTTTATAGATATGATAAAGATGCTAATCAGTGGAAGGAGAGGGGTATCGGAGACATAAAGATCTTGCAAAACTATGACACTAAACAAGTTCGTGTAGTCATGCGAAGGGACCAGGTATTAAAGCTTTGTGCCAATCACAGAATAACCTCCGATATGAACATCCAGCCAATGAAAGGCACAGAGCGAGCATGGGTATGGACCGCATGTGACTTTGCCGAAGGGGAACGGAAAGTAGAGCACTTGGCTGTGCGATTTAAGCTGCAAGATGTTGCTGACTCCTTTAAGCAGATATTTGAGGAAGCAAAACATGCTCAAGAAAAAGACACCTTAATCACACCACTCTCTTCGCGGGCAAATACTCCGAAGGAATCGCCATGTGGAAAGATTGCTGTTGCAGTACTTGAAGAAACCACCAGGGAGAGAACTGATTTAAAGCAGGATGAAGAAACAGTTACACAAACTGCAGAGACTTCACCAACGGCGGGCACTTCTGAGACGCCAACGAAAGCAGTGGTTTCACCACCCAAATTTGTCTTTGGCTCAGAATCTGTCAAAAGTATTTTTAGCAATGAAAAATCAAAGCCTTTCACATTTGGAAACACATCAGCAACAGGATCTCTCTTTGGCTTCAGCTTTAACGCTTCTCCCAAGAGCAAAAGCGATAGCTCAGTGTGTCATAGCACAAAACAGCGAGAACCAGATGGCACATATGATGCCTGCAAAGGTGCTGAGCATCAGGAAAGTGATGCTACTGTTTGGAAACACTCCGATGGCAAAGGAGAAAGTCAAGTGGCTACCTCCAAGGCAGAAGGACTTCCTAATTTTTCATTTAAAACACTAGAAAAAGGTGAGCATTTACATAATTTTTACTTAATAAATTCAAGTTGTTATAAATGTACTTAGGTTCCACCTTGTCCATCTTCGTGAGTTTAAGTTGCCTACTGATGTATAGTTTCAAAATCTATAATGCTTAACTCTAGGTGAGAAGAAAAAATGAGACTGAAAAATCTTTAAATGAATGTATCCTGGGTTATCATAAACGTTCTTGAGGAAGATTATATAAAAAAAATCCGGTATGCAGGACCCAAGCTATTTAGCACTTTAGAGATCAAAAGTATCTCTTTGAATTACAGATAAATACATAACAGGTAGGTAGCACAGTTACTGAGAAGTTGTTCTAAGTTCTGACTTTGCCCATTCAGAAGTGGGCAATAGCACACTGCAGTTCAACTAGCAGCCCCATGCAGGCCAAGTTGCTGGAGTCTGCCAAAATGTCGTGGAGGATGAAAATTTGAGGGGAACTTGATCAGAATAAATATTGGCACTAATAGGTCAATAAAAGGAAAACGTGGTTCATGTTTTGTTTCCTTCTCTTTAAAACTTCGAAATGTAAAATCTTGAGTTAGAAGAGAATCTTAGCAGTTATTTGCCAGATTGACTCCCTATGTTCAGAGATTGTATTTCTGAATACCAGTTGTCGCAACAGAGTGAGGGAAATTCTTGCCTTCGTGTCCTGCTTGTGTTTCTTAGAAACTGGTTGGCCACTTTGAAAAATGGGGCAATGAACCTTTGTTCTAATCCAGCAGGGGTGGTTTTTTTTGTTTTTGTTTTTAGGTATCTTGCATTGAACGCCTAGCCATGTCAGCTAAGAAGTAGGCTCTACAGTGGTACCTCGGGTTACAAACACTTTGGGTTACAGACTCCGCTAACCCGGAAGTAGTACCTCGGGTTACAAACTTTGCCCCAGGATGAGAACAGAAATCACGCGGCAGCGGGAGGCCCCTTTAGCTAAAGTGGTACCTCAGGTTAAGAACGGTTTCGGGTTAAGAACGGACCTCTGGAACGAATTAAGTTCATAACCCGAGGTACCACTGTATTGAAACCAATGGGCTTACTCCCAAAAGAGTAGGGTTAGGATTGCAACATTACTTTCTGTACTGGTAAAATTGTTTTGCTAGTTGAAAGCTAACGTCTTAATTCTTGCAGCTAGAAAGATCACTGTTCCAGATTACATTAGTATAAGAAGTTATGTAAAATCATAGACAAGTCTGTGACTGTGTGTCTGTGACTGTGTGTGTGTTTGGCAGCGCCCCTTGACCCTTTAATGAAGTTAATTAAATACTTAAATCCACACACTTTATTTTCTAGGATTTAATTTTAGCCTTTTTAAATCTAACCCAATGGCCTTTTGGACCAGCGCATCTCCCCCTCAACCCAATAGTAAAGGTATTTACATACTGCACTGAATGTTGTGTTGTATCACTTTTGGGAAGACACTGACAGCTCCCCAACTTTAGCAGGCTATTGACTAATGGAATTATAGAAAAATTAACATGCATGTTAAAAGAGAATAGTAATGACTGAATTTGCTTTACAGCTGTTGTGGTAAGAGACTGGTTATTGAAACCTTGGATGTGATTGCCTGATTCCTATGTTTTCTGAGTCCCCAGCTATTGACTTTTTAAAATTTTGCTTGATGGATGGTAGGTAGGCTAGGACAAATGGATAGACATGGAATAAGTATGTTTCCGGTGTCCTTATTGTCCCCCAGTCTCAATATTAGGATTTTTGTTTTTGAGCCATCCTTCAAGACAAAATATTTTTCTTGGAAGGGAGAGGTTTATGCTAATTCATGTAACGTTTTCTGAACTACTCTCCAGCCTCATATTTTTTGCTTTTGTTTCACTTCATAATCAGTGTCCCTCCATCTGATTAGTTTTTTTAAATGTTTTTAAAGAACCTAGGAACATCCTGGGGAAAGACCATTTTTCATTAAGAGAAAATGGCTGCAGATGTTGGGTTCTATCTAGAGAAGTTTTCCCACTAGTGCAAGGGCTTCTGCATGCGCCATGGGACTTTCACACTTCCTCTTCCTCCCATGCACCCATCCCCCAACCCTCTGAAGCAGATTGGAAGAGGTGCATAAGGAAATGAGAAATTCCAAGGCTTGTGTTTTACTAAAGCTGAACCTAACACAACTATCCGTGGTGGTGGTTTTTCTAAATTGTGCATTCTGAAGGAGACTAGAAGTCTGGAACATTTAATTTTAACTGTTTAGGATATGGCTTGCATTCTTGTGCGAGACAGTGCACACTGATAATAAGCATGCATGAAAATGTTTTGTGTACTTGGCATGTATTCTTTTAATATGTATTTGTCAATTGACATACAGACTTTGCCTTGGAGATGATTGTCTGAGCTTCAGACGTAGCTTCACAAATAGTTTTTTTAGTCAAATAGTAAGGTGTTATAGGATGACGCTTTTGAGGAGCAGTTTAACCATTGTGGTGTTGGCGCTTAAAGGAATACAATTCTTTTTAAGTGGTCTGAAACTATTTGATTTTGTTGCATCTGTACTTCATACTTAGATCTCCCAATTTGTGACTTTAATAATTGATTCCTACTTCTGGGAATCTGGAAATTCCTACTTCTGGGACTGATATTTGCTTTTCTTTATGAATTCACATGAGTAGGTTTTATGTTCTGATCACATTCTAAGTGTTATACAGGGCTAACTGCTGTATTGAGATAGATTTAGCAAACGATAATCAGCTAGACAAAATCAGATTGCTTCTGATTTTGAACGCCTCATGTTGAAACACCTGAACACCTCATGATGAAAAGAATAGTGGCAAATTGCTAGGACTTAGTGAGCTCTTTCTACTCTGCTTCTTTTCCAGTACTGTGTAAGCAGAATAGTTAACTCGGTATTGATGAACCTATTTAAAAATACACCTTGGAAAGAGAACTTCAGCACAGCAAAAGTAATCCTAACAATGATAAATGAAATAGCTGAAGCCATTATTATGGCTAAATAAAAATTGATGGCAGTGGTATACAGTGTTACTATTGATGCTTACTATCTAGTCATCTACCTTGTGCTACCTTGTGCAATACACATTGTGTCTCATTCAGTGAGAAGAACTTAATGCCATGTGCTCAACTCTCACTGAAATCACGTTTTAGCTTTGTCAAAATCTTGTGATTCAAAGTCCGAGTTTGGGGCCATGCACACTTGCCAAGCTCCTGCTTGATATATATAATTTGAATAATTTGAAAGAGCCTGACTTTATTGTTATTACAACTGTTTAAAGTAAAACTGAATTCTCAGCTTCCAAATGAATAAAAACGGATCTGTTTCACAACCTATCAATTTATTCCCACTGCTAAGCCACCTTAACAAAAGATACATTCATATTTTAATATATCAATAAAACCCAACCTAAATCAGGTCTAAGATAAAATGGAATTAAAGTGCTATCCAAAGTATATTTTCTTCTGCTTTACAAGTTTTTAACTTAAAATGTTTCTATGCCATTTCACTGAACATCCCAGAAGTATCTTTTTTCTAAACACAATACATGCACAGTGTAAGTTCTACTTAAAAGACAATAGATGGATGGAAGATTTGTTGTGTCTGGAAGCAGCTGTCTTAGGAGAAGCATGGCATGAGTTTGACTTTATGGAAAGGAAACCCATCTCATAGTGGCTAAACTCTTCTTAAATTGGTTTGACTTTAAATCTTGCTTGTTTTCTGGTTGAAAGTATTTCTTGCCTGCTTTGTGAATGTGTTAGTATTCAAGTGCAGCTGCTGCTTTCAGACTTGCTCAGACAATTCACTTCTTTCCCCAGCAGTTGAGATTAAGAAGGAGCCAGATGATGCTGCCACTTCAGACGATGTTTTGATTGTATATGAGTTAACACCCACGCCTGAGCAAAGAGCTCTTGCAGACTCCCTTAAGTTACCTCCAACATTCTTCTGCTACCAGAATGAACCTGGGTATCTGAGTGAAGATGTTGATGATGATGGTAAGAAGCATTCCTTGAAAATTCTTCTTCTTTAAGTTACAGAACACTATTAAGGAATGAAGGAAGCATTGGTCCAGTCCAGAAGAACAGCATTTCTGGAAATGTATTTGTCTTCATGAATTAAGAGCGGTTTGGGAGGGGGGGAGTATCTCGTGCACAGTGCAGTAGATCATTTCTCAGGGATCACAAAGCCTCCTGTTTCTGGCCCTAGTCAGTTATATAGAGCAGGATGAAACTTAATAGCACTCTTCAGCTAAGCAGCACTGACTTCCCCCTGCATCAGCTGATGCAATGGGAGATCAGGCCAGCTTGATTTGGATGCACATGAGAGCCCCCGCACACTCAGATGTGGTGCTGTTTAGCTGAACTTCAAAGTCCTGGTGTCAGGACTTCAAAATACCTTGCAGGCTTTTTTTTTGCTGCTAAAAAAAGGAAGGCGAAAACGTTGCTTTCAGCAATGTGTTGCTGCCTGCAAAGTTCTTTGATGTCCCAACACCTGATGTCATTTGTGACCTGCAAGACAGATCCTGATATGAATTTGGCTTGTGGAACCAAAAAGGTTCCCCACCCTATTCTGTGATACTCCCTCACTTGGGACACTTGCCTGGCACTCACTTTATCAGAATATTCATACCAGGCAAATATACTCAAAATATTCATACCAGGCAAAACCCAGGTATTTTCAAGCTCCATAGTTGTCTAAGTGCTGCATTTTACTGTTTAAGCTATTTTGCATCTTTTGCATTTTGTCCATGCTTAAGGTTGTTACTCCCTTTAAGGTATAGCAGGGCATACAAACCCAAATACTTACTAGCTAGTGGCATAACAGATATGCAGTGTAAACAAACTTTCATTTTCATATTTCAGATGAGGACTATGAAACAGCCGTGAAGAAGCTCAATGGAAAGTTGTATCCTGATAAACCTAAAAAACATGCACAACTGAAAGAAACTGATACAAGTAAATTTTCTTGGGAAGAAGATTGTAACTTAGCAAGCACAGGGCTATAAATTTGAATTTGGGAGGAATGAAAATACATTCTGACTCACAATTGTTTGCCATGCCATTTATTACATGGTTCCATAACTTGAAAAACATCATAAAAGAATGGGGAACTGTGTAGGGAAATGATAATTTCAAGTTTTTAATGAATTTGCTTCCTATAATGAGATAAAAGCTGAAATAATTAAAGTGTTCCCTGTAGTACTAAACACTATTAGAAGAAGAATAGATTTAAATAAGAATGTGTTACAATCCCATGCATATGGGGTGAAATCCCCTCAAATGCACTATGAGATACCTTGCTAGAAACTTGGCAATTCTAGCTTCAGTTTTAGAATTAAAGGCAGAGAAAACAAGTGAAAATACCAAGTGGTGGTATAATGAGAAATTTATTACAGCAAAACGTTGAGATTTCTAAAGATGCAGAAACCAGCAGAGCTCCTCTGCTCCTTCTCTTTTACTAAAACCTAGATTCAGGTAGGTAGCCGTGTTGGTCTGACGCAGTCGAAATAAAAAATTTAAAAAATGTCCAGTAGCACCTTAGAGACCAACTAAGTTTGTTCTGGGTATAAGCTTTCGTGTGCATGCACACATTCTCAGATACCTATTTGAAGAAGTCTGCATGCACACGAAAGCTTATACTTAGTTGGTCTCTAAGGTGCTACTGGACAATTTTTTATTTTTTACTAAAACCTCTTATCCCTAGGCTTCATTATTTGAGATTTTAAGTTTAACATTGGAATATTTTGAGGTTTTACTTTATTCTAGTTTTTTTCAATAAAATCTTAAAATGTTCTCTGTTTAGCTGTTGAAGGAGAAAATGAAGCAGAATGTGGGAGCGAGTGTGTTATTGTGGGGGAGAAGAAACCAACTCCTGAAGAAAAGGCTAAAGCAGAAACCCTGAAGCTTCCTCCAACCTTTCTGTGTGGTATTGGCAGTGACACTGATGAAGACAATAACTTAGAAGACTTTCAAACAGAACTTAGAAAAGTCCAAGAAACGAATGTAAGTAACAAAAGAATGGGACTTTAAGCACCAATTCAGCTGGACTTGCTATGGTCCAAACATGTGATTCTTGAAAATTGGCCTAACAGGAAGACTTCCTTCTTCCTGACATGCTATATTTCCAAGTGCAGAGATGCTGTTCCTTTTTGTTTGTTATTGGAGCGGAGAGTAGGGTGGGGTATATTCCACATTGTCTGCACCCTAGTGCCATTTTGTTACTAGAAGTTCATGGAAGAGATCTAGAACACAATATACACCAGGAAGCTTAGTTTGGTCAGAATCGAGTATACACTTCCAGAGTTAACACTAAATACATTACTTCTGGTAAATGAGCCACCATAGCTGCTGGAGGGCCATGAAAATTTGTGTCCTGGGCTTTTTAGACTCTTCTACCCATGTACTAAGAAGAGTCTAAAAAGCCCAGGACACAAATTTTCATGGCCCTCTAGCAGCTACCCATGTACTAGGGGACGCTGGTGGCGCTGTGGGTAAAACCTCAGCGCCTAGGGCTTGCCGATGGCATGGTCGGCGGTTCGAATCCCCGCGGCGGGGTGAGCTCCCATCTTTCGGTCCCAGCTCCTGCCCACCTAGCAGTTCGAAAGCACCCCTAAGTGCAAGTAGATAAATAGGTACCGCTTTATAGCGGGAAGGTAAACGGCGTTTCCGTGTGCTGCGCTGGTGCTGGCTCGCCAGAGAAGCTTTGTCACGCTAGCCACGTGACCCGGAAGCTTCTCCGGACAGCGCTGGCCCCCGGCCTCTTAAGTGAGATGGGCGCACAACCCTAGAGTCGGACACGACTGGCCCGTACGGGCAGAGGTACCTTTACCTTTACCTTTACCCTTACCCATGTACTATCTAAAACCATAGTGGTACATTGGTTGCCAGAAGTGAAATAGATTGGCATTATTTTCAGCTCTCCTACCCCACTTTAGCTTCATAAATTTTGAGGGCTGAGGTATTCTGTCTACCTCCTTTATTCCAATAGGATCTTTATAAGAGACTTCATGGACAGTGGGTTGGATAACATAGACTTCTGGTTCCTTTTAATTCCCAGTTCTAAAACAAGCATTTGATAGTACAGTGGTACCTCGGGTTAAGTACTTAATTCGTTCCGGAGGTCCGTACTTAACCTGAAACTGTTCTTATCCTGAAGCACCACTTTAGCTAATGGGGCCTCCTGCTGCTGCCGCGCCTCCGGAGCACAATTTCTGTTCTCATCCTGAAGCAAAGTTATTAATCTGAAGCACTATTTCTGGGTTAGCGGAGTCTGTAACCTGAAGCGTATGTAACCTGAAGCATATGTAACCCGAGGTACCACTGTATGATGTGAAACCATTTTGAAAGTGCAGAGGTGCTTGGCACTTTTAGTTTCCTCCACTTTCCCTGCCAGGAAGATACCTGTTCTAGAGATCAGCTAGTTCTGTTTTCAGATACTGTCCGCTACTTTACATATGCATTTACATAAAGAGCCTATGAAGACTTGGCACCAGTTTAAAAAATAACTCAGTTAGTTTCTTTTCAGGAAGCTCAAGTAGAAGAAGTAACCAGTTCAACTGATGATGTGTGCTCCATTAAGGAGAAACAGCCTGCTGAAGCAGTCAGTAGAGCTGAAGAACCAGATTCTACCACTGAACCTATATACACTATACAGACGTTATTAGCAGCAGATGACAAACCTGTTGACTTGTCAACGAAAAAAGAAAGCGATGCCAGTTCTACAAACCAAGGTATACACATTTGATGTGTGAAAGACACGTATACTAGGGAAACTAACATTGCAAAGTCTAATAATGCATACAGAGAATCTCCAGCTAATTAAAACTTCTATTCCTCTGGACATGTATTTTAAGTACACTTAATTAGTATTTTGATTGTTAAACCCCATATCGATCGTTTTATTGTTCATGTAGGGAATTATGCAGAAATTCTGCTTTAATATGCTGGCTGTTTGCCGTAATAAACATTCACTGACTGACTGATTGTATAGAATACGAAGGGTTGAGAGTTTAACAGAAAGGGGCCTTGACTAGTGGGCAACACTTATTGTATCTCCAGTGGACTGACTAATGCCTTGCTAGTGTCCTTTCAGAGGTTACACCAGACTTGTTCACTTTCTCCTTCTACCTGTGCTTGTGTCTGGAGCTATGATAGTGGGGGAATGTGACCTATTATGCAATGTAAAATGGACCACAGAATGATATGAACACTTTTCCTCCCTTTATATAGAAAGCAAACCTTTCTCATTTGCCCTTGGCAACATACCTGGCTTGTCTTTTGCTGATCTGGCTTCAAATAATTCTGGAGATTTTGCTTTTGGTTCTAAAGGTAAGATGCACATATTGTCTAATTTCTGGTTTGTGACCATAATAAATCCATTCATTCATTCAAATATTATCTACTTAACTATTTATAGAAACTGCTTGCTGCTAAGAGAGTTATTGTGTGTGAAATCACATTGTTTTTATGTGAGGGTGGGATAAGAAAATGTAATCTCAGAAATATTTTTCTATAGTATTAAGATTCTGTCTTCCCATCTAAGCAGACAAAAACTTCAAGTGGGCAAATACAGGAGCAACTGTGTTTGGCGGACAAGTGGCCACTAAAGGTGACAATGAAGATGATGGAAGTGATGAAGAAGTTGTACATAGCGATGATATTCATTTTGAACCAATTGTATCACTGCCTGAGGTAAGATATGAATCTGTTAAATAAAATAAGAGTTGGTTCTTTCCTCTAACACATGTGAGGACAGTGAGCTGCACAATTTCTCTTGTGTGCAAATTAGGGTTGTTGTTTTTACTTACTCTAAAATGGAAGAAGTATGCAGGTCATTTATTTTTTTAAAAAAGCTCCCATAATTCAAGAATGTACTACTTTAAGAATGTGATCCTTTGCACACTAGCCTGAGATTAAGCCCTACTGTACACAGTGGAATTTACTTCTTTGTAAACATACATAGAATTTATAATACCTCAGGAGTAGTGATCTGAGTAAATATGACTACTTATCCCTGCTAGGTTGAGGTGAAGTCAGGAGAAGAAGATGAAGAAATTCTATTCAAAGAGAGGGCAAAACTCTACAGATGGGACAGAGAAGTCAATCAGTGGAAAGAACGTGGTGTGGGAGAAATAAAGATCCTCTACCATACACAGAATAAATGGTATAGAATCTTAATGAGAAGGGACCAAGTTTTCAAAGTCTGTGCAAATCATATGATTACAAAAATGATGGATCTAAAGCCCTTGAATACTTCAAACAATGCTATGGTTTGGACTGCAACAGATTATGCCGGTGAGTATTTGTAAAGATATTCTATAACTTTATTTCCCTTCCATTGTACATGACATATTCCCTTCCTAACCCTTTGTGGTTGTGCTGGTTCCCATAATGCTGCAAGGAGTGGGACTTCACCAAGTAGCTATGCCCCTGATGCTCCATTGGGCCCTTTTCCTGGCTGCTGCAGAAAGCAGGCATTAGCGTGAAGGTTTCCACAGAATCTGAAACCTTTCTGCATACAGCAAGTAAATGAAGAACCCCCTCAGTACAGATCCTTGCACAAATGTTGGGAGAAGAGCTGAATGAAGTTTGTTATGTCTGGGGGAGGGCTGCTCAGCACAACCCCACTCGTAGCTTCCATATTGCTGTACACAGGATCAAATGTTGAAAGAAGGCTGCATTCTGATCATCACATCATGAATAACACTTGCAATCTTAATTTCAGATGGTGAAGCTAAGATAGAACAGCTTGCTGTCAGATTTAAAAGCCAAGAGCTGGCTGATTCCTTCAAGAGGAAATTTGAAGAATGTCAACAAAGCTTGTCAGAGTTACAGAAGGGTCACGTTTCTCTGGCAGCAGAATTGTCAAAGGAATCTAACCCTATAGTATATCTTGAAGTTTCAGCTGATGACGAACCTCTAGGTCATGTAACCATAGAATTGTTTTCGAATATTGTTCCGCGAACTGCTGAGAACTTCAGGGCATTATGCACAGGAGAAAAAGGATTTGGATTCCGAAATTCCATATTTCATAGAATAATTCCAGATTTTATCTGTCAAGTAAGTGAAAATGCTAAGATTGAACATACATTTCATACTACACATTGATTAACAGGAATATATTTTAAGGCTCAGTAGAAAAGTTCTCGTTTGCAAGCAAATTAGTAGAAACATGAAACATGATATGAGCTTTTCATATCATGAAAGTCTGGAAGTTAATCTGGGGCCTTGCTTCTCAATTTATATTCCATTACTTCTGTAGTTTCTCTAGTGCCGAGTTAGCTTCTCATTTTCTCTTACCTACTTCAGTTGCATCCAATAGATGTATACCTACACAGAGAATGTAAATGGACACTAAATCCTGGGGTGGCAAATGTTTTTGCCCAGCTAGCTAGGCTAAATATGGGGATCATATTTGACATGTAGACAGAGCTGCACTTCTGTGAAACACCTAATGTCATAATGACATCAGCTTTCCTGTTTTGCTTGTGGGGTGTTCAGATGCCCCTTTGAAAGCAAAGCACCTTTTTTACTGAGTCAGGTGGGCACTGCAGGTGAAATTGGGAGCTCTGGCAGGACCAGTTAGGCCCCACAGTCTGGAGGTACCCCACCCCTGCCTTAGAACAATCAGAAACCATTTCTAGGCTCACTGTTCCCCCCTCATTAATTCTGATCGGTGACAGGATGAAGGAACAAGTGTAGTTATGCTAGCCTCTGAAGCTAGTGGGACATAACATCTTACAGTCTTATATATGAAAACGAAAGGCAAATGTAAGTGAAAACCATGACTGCATTCAAACCTGACAAACCATGGTTTGTTATTAACGTGTGTGAGTGGTGGTGAGCTTTGGGCTCCAATGACATTTACCTGAGACTTGCTGCTGCTTGTGTACATAATATAATGACTCACCATGGTTTGCTGCAATAGCTGAACACAGGAGCTGAATGAAACCACTATTGATTTAACAGTTGAGAACACCAGATGGGACACCACATTGTGCTGGTAAAATGTATTTCTACACACATTTCAGATGTTTCAACATGTACTATAACCAAGTGAATTTTCTCTATTTGTTTACATTCTAGGGAGGTGATATCACCAGACAAGATGGTACAGGTGGCCAGTCCATTTATGGAGAAGCATTTGAGGATGAAAACTTTGAAATAAAACACACTGGCCCTGGCTTACTGTCGATGGCAAATCGTGGCAGAGACACCAATAATTCCCAATTCTTTATCACTCTCAAAAAAGCAGAGCACTTGGACTTTAAGCATGTTGTTTTTGGGTTTGTAAAGGATGGGATGGATGTCGTGAAAAAAATAGAATCTTTTGGCTCACCTAAAGGAGTAGTGTCAAAAAGAATTTCGATTACAGACTGTGGTCAAATATAAAATCATTGCTATTACCTGTATGTGGATTAAAATAAATGTTCAGATTTAGACAAAATTATGTTCAGCTTCTTTTAAAATGAACATTTCTGATGTATAAATGTAAAGTTACAGCTTATAGCTGAGTCCTTTTTTAGTGTTTAAATTGACTGCATGTTGTGAAATAAAGGTTCAAACACTGGTAAATTTTAGGTGTATTTTTGTTTCATCCCCATTTTTGTATTAAATGATTTAAAATTAAATACGAGTCTGAAGTTCTATTACTCTGATTTGTGCAATTTCCCAGTTTAACTGAATGGTTTAAATAAAATTACAAACTAGTGTGTGGTTACTACTTTCCTCTCTTGACTTCCTTGAACAACAGACAACCCCAAAACATTTATGTTGACTTGCCTGCCTGCATGTGTAAATTTAAGTGTGTGGCTTTGAGCAGTCTGTAGTGGTTCATTCACATGAGCCATAATTGTATATTAGTGAACAAATCATAGAATTGGAATCTGCTATCTCTATTCAGTACTTTTGGACACCATTTATTTATTTTATTATCTATGTCATAAAATTTATACACCACTTGATTGTAACAAAACAAAACAAAACCCCCAAAGCGATTTACAAGAGGATAAAATAAAATTGAGAAAGAATTGCAACCATACTTTAAAACAGATTAAAATTGTCTCAACTTTCTAGCATCTGGATAAGATTGTCTAAACAATGTATTAGCAGGTGTTAAAAAGAGCACAAGGAAGGCACACCTACTTGATCTCAATAGGCAAGGGGTTCCAAAGTGCAGGTACTGCCACACTATACAATGCAGTTCTTACAAATGCAAAATGGGTAGTCTGTTAATTCTGCCAGTTGAATGGACATGGGGTAAAGTGATCTTGTAGGTAAACGGGTCCCAAGTTGCTACTTGAACTTGGCCCAGTAGCAAATTAGCAACCAGTGCAGATCTCTGAGCAGATGTTATATGCTGAAACGGCCTGCCTCCTGGATCAAGTGAAAGGGAAGCCCCACATAGAGTGCATTGCACCAAACCTATCTTGGAAGTAATCTGTGCATGAGCTACTGTTCATGGTCCTGAAATAGCTGTAGCTGTCAAACCAACCAGAGTTGGTAAGAGAGCCACTTGAGCCACCAGTGACAGAGCTGGACCCAGAAACCCCCACAAACTTACACTCGCTGTGAAGGCAGCTCTTGAAGGTTAACTCCATCTTGGGTAGGTAACTGATCAATTTCTTGGGCGCTGAAACTGCTTGCCCACAGTGCCTCCATCTTGCCAGGATTCAAACTCAGCTTGTTTTTCCTCATCCATCTCACCACTGTCCAGGCAATGGCACAGGGACTGCATAGCCTCTCCTGATTCATTTGAGCAGGAGAAATAGAGCTGAGTGCCATCAGCATACTGATGGCACCTCACCCTGAAATGCCTAATGACCGCTCCCAACGGCTTCATGTAGATATTAAATACCACTAGAGACAAGATAGTCCCCATAACATAAGGCACTCTCCCAATGCTCTCTGGACTTGAGCCTGAAGGTAGGATCAGAACCACTGTAATAATACTGTGGGAGGAGCACAAGGAGCAGCTACTCTTAATTTTGTGTTATAACCACACAGTCCAAAAAGCGTTGGCAACCCCTAAGACAGAGGAGGCAGCTGATGGAATTACAATTTATGTCTCTTAATTACATCAAACAATTTCATTTTATTTTCTAACCAACCCAAGGATTGCCACGCGGCAAAAGGTGGATTAAAAATGATATAAATGCATATAAGTAAATACTGTCATGGTGATCATTCTTTGCTAATTGTGGTGGTGGTACCTCATGACCTGGTCTTGCTATGGAGAATTTTGAAGGAGAAATACTGTATTTTTTGCTCTATAAGACTCACCTTTTCCCTCCTAAAAAGGGGAAATGTGTGTGCGTCTTATGGAGCGAATGCAGGCTGCACAGCTATCCCAGAAGCCAGAACAGGAAGTGGGATTGCTGCTTTCACTGTGCAGATATCCCTCTTGCTGTTCTGGCTTCTGAGATTCAGAATATTTTTTTTTCTTGTTTTCCTCCTCCAAAAACTAGGTGCGTCTTGTGGTCTGGTGTGTCTTATAGAGTGAAAAATACGGTAGATCTTGCTGTTATCCTGGCCCCTGCTCCTATGCACTGAACTGAAAAAGCCCCGTGCATTTGCTTGGAAGCGACTCCCAAGGAGTTCACTGGCATGCAAGTAGGCACCAACAGCATTGCATTGCTGAAAGCTGCAAACATGGAGACTTATGGTTAACATTGACTGCGAGTTTTTATAGCATCACCAGCCAGCAAGAGCCAAGTATGGAATTTACAAAAGGTTTGCTGGTGGCTTTTTGCATTCCGAACGGTTGAAGCGCCATTTCACCGTGTTGGGTGCACACAGCGAATAATAGGATCTTGAAAAGAGTTGGACTACTTATTTATTTTTTAAAATAATTTTAATGGAATGATTTTATGTTACAAAAAACAATACAGCCACACTACCACTAAATATAATTAATATTTAGTTTGTTATTTGTTATTTACCATCTTATTTCCCCCCAAACATTCCATACAAAAACACACATATGTGCAAACACCCACACCCGCACACAAAATGATAATAATGAAAGTAAATATTTTCCCCCTTTTATCTTCCAAAAATCTTTTCTTCAACTTTGACTTCCTGTCAAGTCCCTTTGCATATATTTTATCTTACAATCGAATGTACACAAAACAATAAACCTTTCTACATAAATTTTCCAATACATTCTGAAAACATAATAAATCCTTAATTGTTGTCTACCTCCTTTTAGTTCCTTTATCACTCAAATGCTAGCACGGAGTCAAAACTATTATTGTATTTTTTAACATATCTTCTATAACCATCCCATTTTCCCGCAAATTTTTGCTTTGAGTTCCCTCTGAGTTTACTAGTCAGTTGAGCCATCGCCACCAATTCCTGTAATTTGATTTGCCAATCTGTTATTTTTGGAGCCTCATGATCTTTCCATCCCTTGGTCACAAGTATATGAGCGGCTGCGGTTGCATACAAGAATACCTCTTAGATTTTTGGGGATCTCTTTATCTAAAATACTTCCGGTTTTTTAGTAAAAGTTATTTGAAAAAAGTTGGACTAGATGACCCCTCCCCCCCCCAGGGTCCTCTAACCCCCTGCAATGCCATCTCAGCCAAAAAGCATACAAAGCAAATAGCCATGCAACATATGCTCAAAAAACTTCCAGGTCATGGAGAAGTAGTTCTGCCATGTATGACCTAGTGGAGAATCCTGCTGCGTGGCGGGGGTTGGGATAGATGACCTCGGGGGGTGCCTTGCAACTATACAATCCCAAGGCAGGCAGCTCCTCTCTTGTACATAGAAATGGGACTACCCTCCGGGGAGTTCCCTCCCCTTCCTGCGGCGTCAAAGAGAAACTAGCTGATTCCCCCTCCCGCGGAGGCGGGTGAGGAAAGGAGGGTCTTAGGTCGAGCGCGGCCTTCGAAACAGGCCGCGCCGCCTCCCGCTCCTCGTTGTCCGTGGCAACCGCGGTAATAAGCGTCTTCGCGCAGGCGCCCTTCGGCCTCTCCTCGGGCCGTTGCTGTGAGTGGCGGAGGCGGCCGCGGGCTGCTTGACTGTCTCTGCCCTTCCTCCAATGGCGGCTTCCGCCGAGCTGAGCCCCTCAGTCGAGCGCTGGAGGAGACGCTACCTGGCCGGACAGGTGGGGCCCCTGCGGGCGGGAATGCGTGAGGGAGGGTGGGCCGGCTTGCGTGTGTGTGTGGAACAGCTGCCTGGACAGGAGGGCAAACTGCAAATGCGAGTTCTTCCATTCACACGAGACGCGGGGTGGGACAGGAATGCTGCCGGCTTCGCCCCCACCGTTCTCGTGTAGCACTTTAATTCCGGCCGCTCACCTGTTCGGTTCTTCAGGTGCTGGGGGCTCCCGTCCCCCGGAAAAGCCTTCAGCCTGCAGACCTAAATGTACAACGATGAGTTGCTGTTTGCCCTGGGTTGGGAAGCCACTCTGCACATGCCCAGAGGCATACTCAGGCCCAGAGGGGGGCCCTGGCTATTTCCAGCTGTTGAGGGGCCCCTGTCATTAAACAAGCAAACAAAAAGATGCACAAAACACTTAAACAGTGAGACTTAATTCGATTTCTTTGTTTGTTTGACAAAGGCTTTCCTAGCCTTTTTCTGTGCGCATACACAAACTGGCAGCTCTAAACTGAGTGTGTGTGTTAAACATTTGGTCCGATAAAAACAAGTTGTGGAACTTTCTGACAGATACTTGCCCCTTTGTATGAAGACCAGTATTTGAAATGTCTGTCTGTATTTACTCCCCCTTCTTAGTGTTCTCTTACTATTGTGTGTGTGTGTGTACACACACAAACACACCGTTGGCTAAATATTTTGTTCAAGGGCTGGCTTAAGGAAAACACTTCTGATTTCTTGTAAAGTTTTAATGGAAAACCCTTTCCTGTTTAAAGGTGAAATGTCACTTCAAAACAATCAAATAAACAAACATTGTGTAACAGGCCAGCATATTTTTGATGTTAGTAATTATAGAACAAAATTCTTCTTTTAGAATAATTCTCTGGATGGAGCACAGGCCAAATGCAAAAGTAGAAGGTCCCTAATATCTACAGGTAAGGCATTTTAAAAGGTGTTTGATCTATTTGTTTAAAAGAATTCTTATTTTTTTATATGAAAAGGTTAGGAAAATAGAATGGGGATACAGTCTCTTACTGCAAGGACGCATTTCTTTTCTTTGGCCTTTTCTGTCTGACCTTCCTATGCCTTTTAATCTCTTATTCTCTCCTAATTCTTTAGTTTCCAGCCTGCAGACAAGTACCCATGCTACTGAACCTAGGAGTTTTAGGTGAAGCAGAAAGTTAATAATTTGGGAGTTTTAGACTGGAAGTAAGTCCCACTGAGAAGATATGGTTAGGATTGTGGGCCAGTGCTCCCATGCTAACAAACCTGGGAATACCTTTAAGAGCAGGTGGTCTCGATGTTTAAGTCAGAGAGTAGCTGTTCTATTGTGTCAAAGTCTTGCGTTCCCAGTCATTGCGCACATCCCTTCCGGGGCTGAAATTGGTGCGTGTTTCAGCGGTCGCCCATCAGTTGGATGCTTGCAAAATGGTCACCGCCTGTATACAAAATAAGAGCTGCTGATAAGCATTTCTCAAACTCATTCACTCTGCTGCATTTCCTATAGCAAGTGCTTCTGTGCAACATGCTCAACACAAAAACTCTTCTCTCCAATTCTCTATGAATTGTGGAGGTTGGGGGTATTTTTTCCTGGCAGCAAGGTGTCTTTTTTGAAGTGGGGAGTGGACAGGTTGCTAATCATTATAATGGCTACATATTAAACCAGTTGCCAATGCTGAAGACTTCCTAGGATTTGCTCCTTCACCCAGAGTTCGCTCTCCCTAGTCCCAGATTTGTGGAGACTAGCTCTTGCGATTAGATGCATGTTTTAAGGTATTAGCAGGGTTTTCAGGTACTCGTGCTGGGTACATTAGCAGGGTGGCTCTGTTTTTCTAATTAGCACAATCCTATGTTGTTTCCTTGCAGAGAAAATGGACAGCTCACTTGATGATACAATTGCATCGTTACTCAAATGCTCCTCAGAGTTAGAATATACTGGCAATAGAAGAAAGCAAAATACAAAGCGTTTTTCAGACACTTCAAAGAATGTTAAAAACTTAAGTCGGTAAGAAAACCATTTTACTCTTTGAGCCAGTCTTTTCTTTTTGCTGTAAAGCATACCGCTGAGTCTCATCATTGTACTTTGGAATAATATATTTTAAGATCTGAAAGTTTTATTGGATATCCTTCCCACTGTACAAGGAATGTGAACGAACATTGTTTTATACAGTGTGTAGCTTAATGCAATCATTTTGTGTCTATTAGGCAGGGTGATGAGTTGGATTCTTTATATGGCTCAAGTCAGCGTGACATACAGCCTGAGTTCATTGGAGATTTTCCCAGAGACACATATTCAGAATCAGGTAATCACATTCTTATGAATTCTAATACAGCTCAAAGGAAATCTCATTTGATAGCCCATTCGCAGCTTGAAATTAAATGAAATATGTAACTGGCAGCTCAGCTGACATACTGCATGATTTTTTTCTAGCACGTTTACTTCAGGATTGGTAGTGACATCTTATACGAGGTAGTAAGTTACAGTTCAGACTATGCCTATGCCCCCTCTCTTAAATCACATCTTCACAGGTGAAGTTTTGTGTTAAATTAGTTGGAAAGCATGGTGGGTAATTTACCCTCTCCCCTCCCCCCCCCCATTACATGGATGCAACAGTGGCAATGATTGCTGTGCCAACGGGGGAAGCATCTCTTCCGAATTCCAGACAGGTGGGTGAGTATCCCTTTGTTCTACTATTGGAAGTATCTTGCCTGGCTGGCCTGTGTTCTTCTACACATGGGCAGCGGAACATAACCCTGTGTTGCTAGCTACATAACGGCTCTTTATATGCAACAAAGCAATGTATTGGAAGCATTTCTAGTTAACTGCATTTTTTTATGTCCAAAATTTACAACAGTAAGCATTGCTCTCAGAGGAAGCTTTTTCCCCATTTGAGATGAACCAAAGTATACCTCTAGACTGGAGATCCACTTAGACTTCTGTTCTGACCAAGGCAGAATAGTGCAGGACTATTACTTCTCTTGACTGGGACACTATACATCTGTTGATGCAGCCTAGATTAACATTAGCTTTTTTTGTTGCTTCATCACACTGTTGACTCGTGATAAGCTTGTAGTCTACTGTGACCCCAATATGCTTTTTGCATGTACTGCTGGCAAGCCAGATGTTCCCCACCTTATATTTGTGCTGCTGGTTGTTCCTGCTTAAGTGTAGAGCCTTACATTTGTCCCTATTTAAAGTCATTTTGTTAGTTTGGGCCCAGTTCTCCAATCTGTTGAGGTCGTCTTGAATCCCATTTCTGACATTTGCTACCCCTCCCAGTGTGGTGTCATCTGCAAATGTGATGAGCAGCCCTCAATACCTTCATCCAAGACAGAACCTTGCGGCACCCCTCTTGTCACTTTTTTCTAGGATAAAGAGGAACCATTATTGAGCACTCTTTGGGTTCGGTCAGTCAACCAGCTACAAATCCAGCTACACCAATACGAAACAAAAACCTAAAAAACAGCATAGAGCACACAATTCCAATAATCAACTGCAGTCTAAAATGCCTTTGCATAGTAGCTGTGACAGCTTTTCAGAGTCTAAAGTGGTAGCCAGACATCTGTCTGCCAAGTAATAAGACATTACAGCTTCAGGATGAGATTACATTGAATATCATGACTTCTCATTCTGGACTTCTCAACAACATTCAGTAGCTATGGTATCCTGGGCAGGTTCTGACACCCAACTACAGTTCCCCATTACATCTGATTTAAATGAGGCAGAGAACATACTAAATTGGTGTGTGGGATTAGAAGCACTAATGAGAACCAAGAAACTGAAGCTCAGGCTAGGCAAGGTGGATGATTTGATGGTGGGTGCATCGGTCAACTTCGGGGGGGGGGTCATCCTTTTCTAGGACAGATTCACAGTTTTCAGAGTGCTCCTAGATATGGCTAGGTAAACCTATAGATGAGTGCTTTGAAGGTCACTTCAGACTGGTTCACACATTATGTTGAGTACTTGATGTATTCTCAACAGAAGTAGAATTGTAAAATGGTCGAGTTGGAAAGGACCACGAGGGTCATCTGGTCCAGCCGCTCTGCAATGCAGGAATCGTTTGCCCAACGCAGGGCTCAAATCCATGACCCCGAGATTAGCAGTCTCATGCTCTAAACAGAGGAATGGTACACTGAGCTTCTGAGTATGTCTGTGTCTGTTTTCACCCATTAGACATTACTCTGCCATCCAGTTTGACAGTGACCACATCTTGTGATTACGATAGTGGTGGTGAACCAGCAAGAGAGAGAGTGAGAATTCTTGAAACCCAAGAACTAAATGGGAAAAACTTGATACCATCTCATTTCAGTCAAATCTATCGCGAATTATCTATCATACATCAAAAGCTGCAGGTAAAAATCAATAATGATCTATCAGTAGGTTTTTAAAAAAAATTAAAAGTAGAAATTTTAATTTAGTGTACATCATGTATGTTTTCTTACTGTTTTCTGTCCTGCAGTGGCATGACCTTATTTTTAATACTATGTTTCTGCTTTTCTAATCAACAAATTTTCCTGAATTATTTGATTGTTTAGATGTTGCAGTGCTATAAACATCAGTTTTAACCAACGTTTCCAGTTTTTTATTATTGAATTTTACATCTGTATTAAATTCCATCTATAATGTGAATATTAAAGTATGTAAAATACTATTTCAAACTGAGGAAATTCAATTTTTTTACCAATGTTTGATCTAGGCTGTCATATAAAAATGAGTAACCTTCAGTACCATATGCAGCTAATGTGGTTATGACTGAGTTACTTTAATTGCTTACTTCAGCCTTCTTTGCTATATACGAGCTTATTAAAACAACCTTTATTGTTACCAGTGATCGGAAAAGATTCAGCTCTGCCCTTTCAGGCCAAAGGTACGTTAAGGAAGGAAGGCAGACTAGCGCATCTTTTGTGGAGTAGTCATTTCTTCTGACACTTAATTGCAGGGATGACTTACATTTAAAAAGAAAATGCTGGATTTTATGAAAATTTACTCACAGTACCACAGTTTGTGCTCCTCTTCTGTTCTGATGCAGCAAGAAAAATTAGCCCAGGAGGAATATGCTTTAAAACTTGAAAGACGTGAGCACTGTTTGGCGGAACGAGAGACCCTGCTTTGTAGACATGAAGCTGCTTTGACCAAGATAAGAAGCGTTGAGGAGGAAGTTCATACAAAATTTCAAATTATGAAAGAGGTATGGTTACTTCTAAAAATGCTTCTTTACCAGGGGAAAACGTTTCTGGCTAAAATATTCACAAAGGTGGGAATTATTCTCACATCTCAGCTAAGAAACTCTCATTACTTGATACATAGAATTGTAGAGATGGAAGAGACCCCAAGGGGCTTCTGGTCCAACTTCCTGCAATGCAGGAATCTCCACCAAAACATACATAAGCCTTGCTCTAGAGACTGATGTATATTTTGCTCTAGGAGGCTTAGTTTGGTCAGAATCAAATATACACTTCCAGAGTTAATGCTAAATACATTACTTTGGGTAAATGAGCCACCATGGCCATGGGGGTGTGTGTGTGTGCAAATTTGTGTTCCAGGCTTTTTGGACTTTTCTACCTATGTACTATCTGAAACCAAAGGGACACATTGGTTGCCAGATGTGTGTTGTTCTTTTTTTTTTTTTAGCTCTCCTACCCCACTAACAGTGCACCAGAGGAAAATACTCCTTTTTAGATTACCGCTCTGTCATATTCTGTATGCTGTAGTGCCGCAAGTACAATTTCCCCCAGATAATTTATGCGATCATACAAGTTTATACTAAAGAAACAATCTAAATTAAAATAATTGCGCTCCTTTATCGCTTACAAGCCACATTCAATCATATCACAGGGTTATAAGTCAAGATATGAACAAGCTTGGTGCACCCACAAGCAGTCACTTTCATCCTCTTATTCTTGTCAGGCAGAAGACAAGCCCCCCCCCCCCCCCAGCTCTTGTGTAAAGTGTAAAGTGACTGGTTATAGGGTCAGGAAGCTCATACAATCATCCAGATGTAGCCATAGCAGCTAATTATGAAAAGGCATAAGGAAGAGAACTGGGAAACATAACAAGTAGCATTTTGGATGATCAAGAGACATAACATCTGGCTATTTAGGAGGGTGTTCTGAGGAGGGTGACTAGAAAGACAGAAGAATGAGATGGATTGTATGGCCAAAGCTTAGTCACTGGTAGTATGGTGTATAGACATTATCCAAAGAACCGGGCAGGAGGTAACTGAAGTGCTTATATCAGAATTTGGACATTCAATATATATAAGGTGTCAGGGAACTGCCATCGGTAGGAAGGGAGGTGAAAGGACTCAGACAGGTTGGAAGAGACTTAGCAGCTGAAGAGGAAACCAGCAGGGGGAGAGAAGCTGAACTGAGGGAGGTGAAAGGGCTCAGACAGGTTGGAAGAGACTTAGCAGCTGAAGAGGAAACCAGCATGGGGAGAGTAGCTGACCTGAGGGACAGGGAGCTGGGGGGATGGCTCAGAGATACTTCCAGCGAAAACAGTGGTGAGGTTTCCGGACCTCCTGTAGCGACACCCACTCCTCGCCGGAAACTGTCACGCAGAGAGTCCAGAAGACGTGTTTCCGTTAAGGAGCTTTTATGTTGGAAGCGATCACGAAAGCAACCACTGTCGGAATCTTCTAGTGACTAAGAGGAGCCATGTCAGAGGGGCTCAGTCACAGACAGAGGTTTGTGGACTTGAACAAACTCTGAGGGAATACGATTTTACGCACAAGCAGCTCATAATCCCATCACAGCATTCCGACAGTCTTTGAACGCAGCTTGTGCAGGAGAAGGCATAATGAGCAACCCAGCAGGAACCGGAGAAGCAGGGGCTGGAGCGGGTCCAAGCCTGGAAGAAAGGTACCGAGTGTTGGAGGTCCAGCTGGCGCTGCAGACGGCGAGGCTGGAGGAGAGGAGGGCTCAAGATGCAGACAAAAGGGAGAAAGCCACCCAGCTCGCCAGAAAGGTACCAGGATTGGTGCGCAGACAGTTAATGGCTTGCAAACAGGGGAGCCGATCTGTACGTGAGTACTGGACTGAGTTCACCATGCTGATACACAGATTGGGGTGGGACTTATCGGCGGAACCCATTCAAATGCTCTTTGAAGAAGGGCTTTCTTCGGCTGTGAAAGATGAACTTTCCCGGGCGCCCAGGGCGGAGTCTATGGACCAGCTGACCAAATCAGCGCTGGCCATAGGAGCGCGCCAGGAGGCGAGAGCATTGGAGAGGCGGGAAGGGAAAGGGGAACGTTGGAAGGAGTTCCGCATTCCAGAAATTCCAGAGCCAACTGTCCCGCCGGCAGAGCCGATGGAAATCGGAACAGCGCGCGCGCGCAGTTTCAAAGCCCAGTGAGGGGGAAAGAAGGATGGAAAAGGCGCCCGGAAATGCTATCTCTGCCAACAGCCAGGGCACTTTGCCAGAGTCTGCCCCCAGAGGAAGGAATGGCAAGGGATGGTGGGAGCTGTGGAGGGAAGAGAGGAAAAATACCGGAGCAACTAAAGCCAACGCCTGGCTGCCATTGTCGGGGCACAGCAGCCAGGCCAAAGAGCAGTGAAAGTGCCCACTCCAGAACCTCCTAAACCCGCCCTAGTGATAGAAGTGACACTAGAGCTCCCAAACGGACACCCTCTAAAGATAAAGGCGCTGTTGGACTCAGGCAGCTCCTGCAATTTCATGAGCAAAGAGTTTGCAGCTGAACACCAGATACAGACGCTCCCTTAAGCAACCCCCTGCAGGTAACCACGATCGATGGCAGGGAGCTGTTGGGAGGAGAAGTCAGCTTGCAGACCGTCCCAATGATAATGAAGGTGGCAAGGCACACTGAACTGATAGCTTTTAATGTGGCCACCTTGGGAGGAGCTCCCATTATATTGGGGATGAGCTGGCTAGCGTTACATGATCCGCTGGTGGGCTGGCATCAGAGAGTGGTTTCTTTTGGGTCAGCACATTGCTTAGAACATTGCAAAGAGGGAAAGGTTTTGGCAGGGGCCCAAGCCACCCTAGCAGGGACTGAAGTGAAGGAGAACGTGAAGGTACCACGACAATACGCAGATCTCCGCGACGTCTTCAGCGAAAGGGAAGCTGACCAACTACCACCGCATAGAGCCTTTGACTGTCAAATCAATTTGCTCCCTGGGGCACAGCTCCCTGTGGGCAAGCTGTACGCCATGTCAGACAGAGAGATGCAGGAGCTAAGAGAGTTCATTGACAAGAACCTGAAGAGAGGGTTCATCAGAGAGTCCAGGGCGGTGGGGGCAGCCCAGTGTTTTTGTGGACAAAAAAACACGAACAAGCCGAGACTGGTGTGTGACTTCAGGGCCTTAAATGCAGTGTCAGAACCAGTGGCCTTCCCGATGCCCAGGATTGACGACATTTTGACAAGGGTGCGAAAGGGAAAGATTTTCACCAAGCTGGATCTAAGGGGGCGTACAACCTGATACGAATAAGGAAGGGGGATGAATGGAAAACCACCATGTTCACCCCTTTAGGGGCATTTGAATACTTAGTTATGCCCTTCGGTCTACAAGCAGGCTCCGCAACATTTCAATCGTTTATGAACCACGTCCTGGGGCCGTTGCTTTACAAGAATTGTGTGGCCTTCTTAGACGACGTGTTGGTGTATTCTGAGAATGAGGAGCAGCATGTGAGAGACGTCAGAGAAGTGTTGAGCAGGCTGCAAGCCAACCAGCTGTGGGTGAAACTGGAGAAGTGTCAGTTTCATACCAAGGAGGTGGAATTCCTGGGGTATCGCCTGTCTGACAAGGGGTTGGCCATGGATCCCGGCAAGGTCCAGGCGGTACTGGAATGGAAAACACCCAAAACAAGGAAGGATGTGCAGAGGTTTTTAGGGTTTGGGAACTTCTATCGTAAGTTCATCCCAAACTTTGCCCACCTGACGGCGCCCATTACGGACTGTCTCAGCAGTAAGAAGAAGTTCGTTTGGACGGAGGAGGCGGAGCAAGCATTTGAGGAACTAAAAGGGCCTTCGCCTCGGAACAACAGCTCCTGCATGTGGATTTACAAAAACCGATGAGAGTGGAAACTGATGCATCAGACAGAGCGGTTGGGGCGGTGCTTCTCCAGCCAGGGAAGGAGGAGTCAGAGTGGAGACCGTGTGCATAAATTTAGCGAAAGCTGAACAAATCCGAGAGGAACTACACGGTGTATGACCGAGAACTACTAGCCATTCATGAGGCGTTCCGGAGATGGAGGCACCTGCTAATTGGCGCACAACATAAGGTGCAAGTGTGCACTGACCACAAGAACCTAGAGTATTGGAGGACGGCACGAGTGCTCAACCAACGGCAAGTGAGATGGGCTCAGGAATTCTCCAAATTTAACTTTGAGATTTGTTACGTGCCAGGCCCAGAGAATATTAGGGCGGACGCTCTCTCACGCAAACCTGAATATTTGGAGGGGAGGGAGCACCCGAAGAGAGACATGTCATTCCAGAGGACCGCTGGGTGTGTGGGGCGGCATTGGTGGGACAAAGAGAACTGGTAGAAGAAACAGAGAATGATGAATACGCCCAGAATAAGCTTAGAGGTCTTAGGGATGAGGGAGAGGAATCAAGGGGTTTCGAGGAAAGAAATGGAGCTTTGTATTACAAAGGGGCACTGTATATCCCTGAAGGAGACTTAAGGTGGAGGGTACTCAAGCAGTTGCATGACAGCCCCACGGCGGGCATTTTGGGCAACACAAAACCATGTGGTTGGTCACCAGGGAATTTTGGTGGCCTAAGGTGAGGGAGGATGTACGTGAGTATGTAAGAGGGTGCGAGCAGTGCCAGCGAGCCAAAGGGGAAAGGCGGGCGCCGGCGGGGCTGTTAGAACCCTTACCAACACCAGAACGACCTTGGGAGGCAGTGTCGATAGATTTTATGACTGATCTGCCGAAGTCCAAAGGGAAAACAGCCATCATGGTGGTGGTAGACCTACTAACAAAGATGTGCCACTTTGTAGCTTGCTCGCATGCAGTCACGGCGGAAGAGACAGCAAAGTTATTTGTAGAACACATTTTTAGGTTGCACGGGGTGCCATTGAGGGTGGTCTCAGACCGAGGAAAACAATTTACTTCCAGGTTCTGGAGGAAGCTCATGAGCTTACTGCAGGTGGAGGTCAACTTTCGACTGCCCGGCACCCTGAAACCAACGGGCAGGCGGAAAGAGCAAACGGTGTCCTCCAGCAATACCTGAGGTGTTATGTCAATGACAGAGAGAATGACTGGGTAGAAAAGTTGGCGCTGGCGGAATTTGCCTACAACAATGCCGAGAATGTGTCCACAGGGATGAGCCCCTTCTTGGCTAATTATGGGTGTCATCCCAGGGCTTTCCCAGGGGGGGAAGGGGAGAGATGGAGCGTACCGGCAGCCGAGCATTTTGTAGAAGAAATGGAAGCAATCCACCGTCAGCTCCAACTCAACTTAGAAAGGGCGAAGGAAGAATACAAGAGGCAGGCAGACAAGAACCGAAGGGAAGGTGAAACCATAAGGGTTGGAGAGAGGGTGTGGCTGTCAACCCGAGGGTTGCCGTTCAAAGGAGGTTGTAAGAAATTAAGACCCAGGAGGTTGGGTCCCTTTGAGGTCATTCAACAGGTCAACCCAGTGGCTTTCAGGCTCCGGTTACCCAACCACATGAAACTGCACCCAGTATTTCACAGGTCGTTACTGTCACCGTACGAGGGGACGAGAAGGGATGGCCACTCGGGGACCGGTCATAGAAGAAAGAGAATGCAGCAGTCATGTGGCAGAAATCCTTGATGCCAGGTGGAAGGGGAATCAGGTGGAGTATTTGGTAGCGTGGGAAGGAGAACCGGAGTCAGAAAACACGTGGGTAATGGCCAAAGATATCAATGACGAGGTATTGATAGAAATGTTCCATCAAAGGTTCCCGCGGAAACCTCAGCCTGTGGAGAGGTTCCGGAGGGAATACTTTGGGACCACTGAGGAGGAGGAGGAGTTGGAAGGATTCCCAGAATCGGAAGGGGAGGGGAGATGGACTCGGAGGAGGAGGAGTGCTTCGAGACCAGGAACCGCAACAGGTGGAGAGAAGTGTTCGAGACATCGGAAGATGAAGGAAGTTCATTCCGGGGTTTTGCCTCCTCACCGCCCGTAGAGGAGGGGCGAGAGGGGGTGAAGGGGGCCCTGGAGGGGAGGTGGATGTCAGGGAACTGCCATCGGTAGGAAGGGAGGTGAAAGGACTCAGACAGGTTGGAAGAGACTTAGCAGCTGAAGAGGAAACCAGCAGGGGGAGAGAAGCTGAACTGAGGGAGGTGAAAGGGCTCAGACAGGTTGGAAGAGACTTAGCAGCTGAAGAGGAAACCAGCAGGGGGGAGAGAAGCTGAACTGAGGGACAGGGAGCTGGGGGGATGGCTCAGAGATACTTCCAGCGAAAACAGTGGTGAGGTTTCCGGACCTCCTGTAGCGACACCCACTCCTCGCCGGAAACTGTCACGCAGAGAGTCCAGAAGACGTGTTTCCGTTAAGGAGCTTTTATGTTGGAAGCGATTACGAAAGCAACCACTGTCGGAATCTTCTAGTGACTAAGAGGAGCCATGTCAGAGGGGCTCAGTCACAGACAGAGGTTTGTGGACTTGAACAAACTCTGAGGGAATACGATTTTACGCACAAGCAGCTCATAATCCCATCACATAAGGTAAAGGTAAAGGGACCCCTGACCATTAGGTCCAGTCATGACCGATTCTGGGGTTGCGGCGCTCATCTCGCTTTACTGGCTGAGGGAGCCGGCGTACAACTTCCAGGTCATGTGGCCAACATGACTAAGCCGCTTCTGGCGAACCAGAGCAGCGCACAGAAACACCATTTACCTTCCCGCCGGAGTGGTACCTATTTATCTACTTGCACTTTGATGTGCTTTCAAACTGCTAGGTTGGCAGGAGCAGGGACCAAGCAACGGGAGCTCACCCCGTCGCGGGGATTCGAACCTTTATATTTCACTTGGCATTCCTAAGTCTGAATCTGTACCTGTCTCCTAAGTCTGGCCTGTACCACTGAGCAGGGTACTTATGTGAGCAGCACAATGACAGATAAGTTCCAGTTTTATCTTCTTTTAGATTTTTCTTTTCTTTTCCACCTTACTCATCTTAAGAGTCTTGGATTCACATTATGTCAAGAATGTTGACAGGGTGACTCATAGTTTCAATGTGATTTTGGACACTTTAAATGCTTTCAAAAACACAAAACTGCTAATCCTTTTCTTCACAAGTTCTTCATTTTATTTCTAGCAACATGAAGCTGAAATTCAGCAGTTGTCTGAAGCTTTGAAAGAAAAAGCAAAGGAAAACAAAAGGCTTAAATCATCATTCGAAACTTTGAAGGAACTGAATGATGCTTTAAGACAACAGGCAAGTGTTTTTTATATTGTATTTTTATGTTGTGAACAGCTCTGAGATCTACAGATGAAGGGCGGTAAGCAAATTTAATAAATAATAATATACACACAAATCAGGCATTTTAAATGTTATAAACAGAATTTTTTTTGTGAAGTGTTCTAATACTAAATGGTTATTACAGTTTCTGTTAGCTTTATGGTGTATGGGTGATGCTGGGTAAGAAATATAGTCACCAGAATAGTTAAACGTAATTCACACGTTACCTTACACTAGCCCAGTGTAATACTATCTTCTTGAAGAAGTCTTGCAATTATTTTAAAAGCATAGCTTCTGCACCAGAATGTTTGCACCTAATGTTGTAGTTGCTTTGATTTTGAGTTCAAGTGCTTCTCTCTCTGTCAGCTGTGCATTTCAACACTTGTGGGTCTCTTAGAGCTTCAACAAACTATGGGGTAACCTTCTTTCTACTGCAGGTTGGCTACATCTGTTCTGTTTCAGGAGCGTTTGTCTGACTGGGGGAGCCTTGGCCCATTGTGGCTCTTACAAATATTGACCACAGTTTAAAAAAACCCAAAAACGTACTAGTACCTGTCAGGCACCCAGAATTTTTAAGGATGTGAAGTTGAGGACTCCAAACCAGAAAGGGCAGGACTCACGGGGGAGCCCCAAATGTGCTTCCATCAGATGAGCCTGTGGCACTGCTGTCCTCAAATTCTGAGACCCAGTGAGACCAGATGCTCTCCAATTCTTATCGCAGTAGGAGTCTACTGCTGCAGGATGGACCTCTAAGCACCTTCCAGTGCAAGCAGGGCTGACAATTGGAAGGCAGCTGTTGCCACTCTATAGTTCCCAGTCTCATTTTTGTTGCTGAAGTTCTGCATTCCGGTAGCACAGCCTGAGCCTTGTACCCAGCTGGAATTTTGCCTCGCCTCACCACGGAGCAGGACATTGCTTTTCAAAAATGCCACAGGATGCAGGATGCAGTCACTCTGAAGTGATTCGTCACTAAAAAAATGACGAGAAAGCATGTTCCTTGGTTTCAGCAAAACTGACTTCTCCATAAATGTGTTTAGAATTGCAGCTGCAAACTCTTGGCAGCTTGTTCTTTGCATATGTAAAGGAGGATAAAGGGGTGACTCTAGTTCTCTTCATTCTAACAAGCCGTGAAGGGTGGGGAGGACTTACCCAGACAGTTTTATGAGCAAGAGAGGAGATATTTGTGAACCGCCACTACATAACAGAAAAGTTTTATCTATAAGGCTTGGCTCAACGTCTTCCACTTCTTTTTTAGCTAAATGACGTAAGTGAGCAAAACAAGAAGTTGGAAGGCCAGTCTCGAAAGGTGCAAGCTCGTTTAGAGAATTTGCAGGTAATAGTTCAATATGCTTTGTATTGTTTGTCAGCTTTGCAGGGAAAGAAGTCTAATGTAATTTCTTTTCATTCTGTCCCGTTACAGCGGAAGCATGAATTTTTATCCATACAAAAATCTAAAGACGCTTTCCACACAGCCCAGGAGCGAAAGGTTATCAAGCCAGAAAAAACAATAACATCAAAAAGTTACAAAGTAAGCTGTACACTATAGGGGGAAAGGGGAATTCTGTATATCTATATTGATAAATGTATCTATATTTATTGATATTTGTCCAAAGATATACAAAAGTTCATAATCAATACAAAGTATCTTTTTATAATACACTGAATTAAAAGAAATGCTTAATCTATAATGGAATGGAGGCAGAAAGAAGGAAAAGGGGAAATAAAGGAAGGAAGGAAAAGCGAAAGGAGAGAGAAAGAGAAAAAATGAATAATAATAATAATAATAATAATAATAATAATAATAAACTTTTATTTGTATCCCGCCCTCCCCGGCCAACACCAGGCTCAGGGTGGCTAACATCAAATATAAACATTGATATAAAATCAAAGAATAAGTAAATCACCTCTTAAAACAAGTCAGGATTAAATTAAAATCTGAATTAGATGGCTTTCTGCAGGATTTGGGTTGGGAACAGTAAATGCTCATCAGGCCCAACTGTGTATGCTGATCTTATATGGGCCTGTGAGAATGCTGCGAGGCCTCGTTCATACTAATTCTTATATACAAAAAGGGAAGGGGAGTCAGGCTGAGCCCTGACCAAAGATAAAAAGACTTCTGGTTCTCTGTCCTGCACCTTTGATGTTTTATAGTGCTTTTAATTCTGTTGGGAGCTGCCCAGAGTGACTGGGAAAACCCAGCCAGATGCATGGAGTATAAATAATAAATTATCATCGTCTTCATCATCATCTAATTATAGAATTCACTCATCAACACCCAACCATTTTATTTTCTGTAAGTCTGAAAGTCAATATTTTTTCAGTATTCAGTTCCAGATTTTACAAGTTCATTTTCTCTTTCTCTTTCATGCACAAGGACATGTTGGTTTGGAACTGCTATATTTTATTGAGAGGGGAGTTGTAGGGTAAATAGTACAGTGGTACCTCGGGTTACATACACTTCAGGCTGCAGACACTTCAGGTTACAGACTCCGCTAACCCAGAAATAGTGCCTCGGGTTAAGAACTTTGCTTCAGGATGAGAACAGAAATCGTGCTCTAGCGGCACTGCAGCAGCGGGAGGCCCCATTAGCTAAAGTGGTGCTTCAGGTTAAGAACAGTTTCAGGTTAAGAACGGACCTCCGGAACAAATTAAGTTCTTAACCTGAGGTACGACTATACTCTTGAAAATATTATTTCCAAATATGTCTCCCATTTCAATAAGCTTGGGTTATATTTAGTTTCTGAGAAGACACTGGCTGGTGTTAATTGAAACTGAAAAGGCAAAAAATTGTTTTCTGAAAACAAGGAACTTGTAATGAGAAGAATCCCCCCTCCCCAAAAAAGAATAATGACATACCTCAACAGAGGAAGGTAGTGGAAATGTGTTTAGAAATGTCATAAAAAAATAAAAAATACTTGTCCTCCCAGTGTCAATCCTGCAGGAATTCTCATCCATATATATGATGCTGAGATGGAGTAACTTCCCTCTTCTTCAAACCAGTACATCCCCATTATCCCCAGGCAGATTTGTATATGCTCTCAGTGCCCTTGATGCAAGTCAGATGTGTGTTGCAGTGCAGATGGCACAAGTCAATGCACGCTTTAGATAGTTATCTCATGGTAAAGAACTTCTTCAAATTGTGCCCTAAGAGATTCACTTTTATGTTTGCAGATGCCAATTAATTCACACATATATGACCTTTTAACGGTGTTAATGGACTGGATCTCAGATCAGCACCTGAGCAAATTGGTAGCAGAGGAAGAGAAAGCTTCTGAATGTCTTCTGACAGGCGTGCTTGCTTCCAGCAGAAACTACACACAGGAGAAGTGTATCAGGGTAGGGTTCCTCCTTCCTACATCTTGTTTTACAGTAAAACTGCTTGTATTCTATTTGGATGTGTGTCTAACAACGCTGTAGGCTCCAGAATTCGTGTTCATTTTCATAATACTGAGCCATGTGCTCTCCAAACCTGAGCTATTCAGGTTCTCAGGGTGCAGTCTGTGATATAACCTTATGTATGATTGCAGCATTTCCATATATACAAACGTTGCTCATCTTGATTTGGATGCTATCCAGGCCACTCTGATTAATGATTTCATATCACTGTATAAAGGTTGTATCCAAAGTTAGTCATGCTAAGAGTAGTTAGTCACACACATTAATTGCAGGGGGCCTTTAGTGAGTATGGCTAATGTTGAATATAATACTTTTTTTCCAAGTAGAAGGTAATATAAAATTACAAAAGAAAGGTATTTTGTGTATCTTTAAGCTCCAATCCTAAACACTTACCTAGAGTTAGCCTTAATGGACGTAGTGTGACTGACATCTAACGTAGGATTTCCCTGTTAATTCTGTACACATGTGGGACATGTGTTCTATCTACCAGGTTTCATACAGAAACTATTTAAAGCCTATTAATGTCGAAACAACTTCAGACATACTGTTTGTCAGAGGAACACATTTGTGAGCATGTGGAATGTTGGGGCCTTCCGTTGTAGTTGGAAAAATCTTAACTGCAATAAATACTTCATTAACTGGATTTTGCAATCTCCATTATAATAAACATTAGCATCTGATCCAGCAATCTGTTCCAGATACAGTAGTTCAAATGCATGCATAGAGATCTGCTGCCCAGAATAGAATCCCAATTCCCTGCATTAGTGTTACTCTATCAATCACTTCCTATAATCCCAGATTAATTAGATTTCTATACCACCCTTCATCCGAGGATCACAGGGCAGTTTACAACATACAGTAAAAACACAAAAATACCTACCATAGTAACAAACAGAAGCACCCCACCCCAAACACAGTTTAAAAGGTTATAGGCCTTTTAAATTAGCCAGTGGCCTGGGAGAAGAGGAATGCCTTTGCCTGGCGCCTAAAGGTATAATGAAGGCACCAGGCGAGCCTCCCTGGGGAGAGCATTCCACATATGGGGAGCCACCACAGAAAAGGACCACTCTTGTGTTGCCATCCTCTGGACCTTGTGGAGAAGGCACACAAAGAAGGGCCTCCAGTAGTTGTTGCTGTTATTGTTATTGTTGATTGAATTTATAATAAAGGGCCTCCAGTTATTATTATTATTATTATTTATTGAATTTATATACCGCCCTATACCTGGAGGTTATGATTGCATGGTCCAGGTGGGTTCATATGGGGAGAGGCACTCCTGATCTGTTAAAGGCTTTATAGGTCAAATCCAGCTCTTTGAATTGGGCTTGGAAACTAATTGGCAGCCAGTGCATTCGGGCCGGAATTGGCATTATTATATACTTAAACTGTCTTGCCCTGGTGAGCAACTTGGCCACTGAATTCTGCACCAGCTGAAGCTTCTGAACTGTCTTCAGAGGTAGCCCCATGTATAACGCATTGCCGTAATCTAACCTAGAGGTTAGAATATCCCCTCGATGGGCTATTAAAAAGCAATCCAAGCACACGTGTTATGATTTATTTTGGCAAAGTAGTGATTAGATGTGGCATGAATACACCTACGATGTAGTGTGTGATCCTAGAATTCTGTCTGAAGTAGCTGTTGTTGAACTTGTTCCTACTTGCTTTGGGTAGGTGCCTACAAGGCTCCTATTCCAACAGCTGTTGGCTGACATGTTGTTCCTTGTTCACACCTCGGCATGGAGAAAACACCTGGAGTCAGTAGCACCCACACTCTGGAACTGGCGGTGCTTTTTCTTCCCTAGTTGTGCTTTGGAAACATCACCTAAGGTAACAGAGTTGCTCAATTGCTCTCAGTTGTTGCCCTTGCTGGTGGTGGCTAACAGAAGCCCATAAGAGCTGTCCTTGAGCTCTCATGTAAATAAATGCTGCCTACAAGAGTCTCTGTATGCTTCTGTTGCTCACTGGGCCCCTCCCAGATGGCACTCTCCAACCACATTGTGTAGTGTGTTGCCACAATAGCCTATACATGTCATTTGACTACACAATCTCCTTCAACCTGTGGAGCATTCCCTTACATTGCTAATGTACTCAAAAGCCTTACATTGTGATATTAATGATAGCTAACTGATACGTCTGTGTTCAGAGGCATGTAAGATGCTGGGGACAAACAGCAGCTGCTGCTTGCATGCCTTGTTTGTGCACTCCGAGGAGTATAGAGAGAGGACAGGACTGGGGTTTTTTCCCCCACTAGTAGAAAAATGGGAAGTTTCTGCAAAAAAAAATATTTTATATAGTATTGTCTCTTTCAGAATTCCAGAATTTAAAGGTAGCAGTATTAGCATTGACAATAGCATTGAATTTGTCTGAATTACTAAGCAAGGCACGATCTTGGAAGTAAAGAAACATTCATGGTGCTCATCAGCCAACCGTGTTGCTGGTTTTGTCTTTTTTTGCTTAGGTAATTTTCATGTGAAATTACAAAGCATCACAGGAAAAATATCCACTGGAAGTAGCTTGCAAATAGGATCTATCAGTAGGACCCAAATTTTGGAAAGAGAAAAAAAGACAGTAATGATATATTTGTGTTTTCCAGTTTTTGCCTCTAGTTGCTGAACAGTTTCAGTGGATGCCCTTTGTGAATCCTGACTTGCACATGCATGTGGTTAAATTCATTTACTGGGCAATCAGGCAGTTAGATGGAGGCACACAGGTAAGAAGTATTCATGCAAAGTAGTTCATTTGCATTTAACTCTGCTTCTCTGCGGAAGGTTCCATGTTTTACTTGATCTGAATTTGACCCGGAGTTGTTATTTATTATCATTTATATGTTGGGTAAATTGCTTCCAATACTAATGTACTTGCGTTTGCAATCCTTTTGCTAGGTAGAAGATAGTTATTTTATTGTGAATAGGGTGCCCAAATCAAGAATTTGATATTGCAGGAAAAGCTAGAATTCTAGATTTAACCACATAACCTTTTCCAGGTTTTAATGTACCTTACTTCCGTGAAATGCATTCATGGCCAGGATAAAGCTACATTCCACTGAAGTCAGTTATAACATGTTATTAATTCTTTTATATAGTAGGCTTTTTTATACACCTATTTCAATTTTTGTTGGAGTCTCAAAAGTGCTGCTTTATAGATCATCTGCGAGTGTTCTTCTCTTGGTGCTCTTGCTATCTGAAGTGAGTGTCAGTCAGGACGAGACAGCCTTCTGCATAGTGGCTTATAATATGGTGCTCACAGATTGCTTGGTGTACTTTGATATTCCTTTTTCCATCTGGACAATACGTCTCAAATGTAAAGCATTTGAAACATGAATAATGTTGATGAGACTTGTTCAGAGTAAATTAAATGACGTTTGCATTTATCTAGTGGAATGCTATGTTCACTTCATAGTTTTATTGCTTGTATAACAGTATGCAACAATGACATCAACAATGAGAAGACTGGGTGAAGACCTGTTTAAAGGTGTTGTGCCGAAGGGATGTCAATATATTTCTCCTGAACATACTACCGATCCCAAGCCAAAGTCCGCAGCATTCTTTAAAAGCTCCAATTTGCCTTTAAGACTTGTATCAACCTTAATTATAATCAAAACAGTGACGCAAGGTAAGTTCTACCAATACTTTTGAAGTCTGCATGCAGCATATGGTATCTCCAACCATACTTAAACAGCAAACTACAGAAAGATACTTGTTCCGACTGACTGACCCGTGAAGTAAATTTGATTTATTTATGAAGATATATTTCTGTACCACCCTCCATCAACTTGGTTACAGGGCTGTTTATGTCAGAATAAGGCGGTTCAAAACATCAAAGCCATTCTCACAAACATATGGCCTAACCAGCAGTGTCAAAACTCAGAAATCACTTCACCCATCATTCTTTAAAAGCCTGGCAAAAAAAGGTAGGTTAAAGAAACTTGATTTTTAAAAATGGGGTGGGGGCTAAAGTATTTCAGTATGTATTTTAAGGGGTAATGGCTGCAGAACTTCTAGATTTTTGCATGTTTGGCAGCCCAAGAGGGCCACAAACATAAACATACAGTATAAGGGCAGTTCTGCTAGATCAGGCCAAAGGTCATTTAGTCCAGAATCTGGTTTTCCACCATATGCTTCTGGGGAGGCCTCCAAGTGGAGCTTGAACAGTAAAAGCTGTTGTTTCCCAGCAAGCGACATTTAGCAAGATAGTGCCTCTGAACAGGGAAGATCTGATGAATATTCATTGTTAGATCTGTTCTCCAAGAGTTTATTTTATCCCCCATTTTTTAAAGCCATTGGCTAACATCCCATCTTGCCGCAGTCAAAGCCATTGTGTTTGTGCAAATTGGTACTGTATGTAAAAGGTAAAGGGACCCCTGACAATTAAGTCCAGTCGTGAATGACTCTGGGGTTGTCGCACTCATCTCGCTTTACAGGCCAAGGGAGCCGGTGTTTGTCCGCTTCCGCAGACAGTTTTTCCGGGTCATGTGGCCAGCATGACTAAGCCGCTTCTGGCGAAACCAGAGCAGCGCATGAAAACACCGTTTACCTTCCCACCAGAGTGGTACCTATTTATCTACTTGCACTGCGTGCTTTCGAACTGCTAAGTTAGCAGAAGCTGGGGCCGAACAACAGGAGCTCACCCCGTTACAGGGATTCGAACCGCCGACCTTTTGATCGGCAAGCCCAAGCGGCACAGTGGTTTAACCCACAGCGCCACTGTATGCAGGCGTGATTAAATTTCAATGATCACCCATCACATTAGTATTAAATAGAATTTGGATTTTAAAAAAAGTTTTGGAAGAAGCAAGCAAATGATGGGTGGGAGGGAGATCGGGGTAAGATAGTGGATAAGCAGTTGGCGCAAGTGATCTTGGAGATGTGGTTAGAGGCACTGAGTGGTGCTTCTGTATGGAATGGAGAAGCTTCATCCTGTGAATACTGGAATATTTTGGTAGTCACTGTCTGCATGTGTTTGAACTTACTTCCATAACCAGGAAACGATAGAACAGGAGTGGGGAAGCTCTGGCCTTTGTGCCTAATTAGATCTGGCATAGGTCCCCGTTTGGCCTGAGAGGTCATTTTCCCCAGACCATTGCCCACCTGCTCCACACCTGACATCAGATGGGGACATGGCTGCCGGTGCCCCGCTGGGAGCCTTCAAGTGCATTCCTGATTAGGCAGAAAGCCTCTCCTGCCAATGCACCATCTACTGATAGGCCAATCCTAGTTGACTTGCCCTCTCCACCAATCACCTGATAGGAACTCAGTTTAAATGCCCTGGGATTGACCACACAATTGAGTTTCCCCATGTGGAACTCCATAGCCAGCTGGTCCGTGAAAGGGCTTACAAAGAACTGAGCAGCACTGCACTGCTCTTTGAAGCGCCAATAACCAGCTGATCAGCAGCGCTTCAAAGCACCACACAGGGGTCCTTGAAAGGGCCCTCTTTCAAATTTGGTCTGTGGGGTAGGGCCGGATCCATCTCTCCACCCCCTGTGCTAGATCCTTAGGGCATGGGAAGTTAACAGTCCCCACACCTAGAATCTGTAAATATCGTTCAGTTTGGCTTGCCATTCTGAAGCCACTGAAAACTATTTGTCACAAACATATTACTGATAACGTACCGGTGATCTGTAGGTCATTGATTTTTCCCTAGGTATACTCAAGACAAGGGATGGCGAACCTGTAGCTTTCCAGGCAGTGTTGGACTACAACTCCCATAAGCCCTGGCCAATGGCTAGCTGGGACTGATGGGAATTGGGTGTTGAACAACATATGGTGGGCTACAGATTCTGCACTCCTGCTCAAGGACAAAATGACGTTTTGGCCATGAATACTCCCACACCTCTTCACCTTTCTACAAAAATAAAACTTGGTTTCTAAGATGGTTATAGTTACACCTAAAATATTTAATATACAGGAACAATTCTCTGCCATCCTACTTTAGTGTAGAATCTGTAGATAAAGTAAGAATGAATATACAATATAAAAATGCCAGCATAGATTGGTACATAATTCTAGATGGTTTGTAAGTAATGTTTTGCTTTAAAGTCACAATGCAGTAGGGGGCATCCTAATTAAGGTTTTGTAAGTTCAGGCATGATTCAGTTTATGTAATCCTTTAACGCAGTAGAATAAGTGTTACTGTGGTTTATTATCATTACCTGAAATCTCCGATATTTACTTTTGATGGAATGCCAACATACCAAAAATAGCAAAGGAAACCTTTTCTCAGTCAAATCTTTGGGAAATTAAAGGGGGCTTAAAATGTTTTTAAACTCAGTCAGTAGTGTTTGAACATGAATGCAATAATTGATTACCAAAAGAAAAATGTGGTTGGGATTTATATAGCTAGTTAGTAAATGCATCTTTGTTTTTGTTTCGCTAAAATTGGGGGACCATCCAGCACAAAGCAATGCTATTCCTTGAATTGTTGAATAAAAGCTGCACAGCAGCAGGTATTCAGAGGAAATTAATGCCACTAACACCTTGTTTATAACTGAATGTTACTAAAGTTAGCATTTAACCTTTAAATTTGGAGAAATCATTTCTTTGTGTAGGTTTAGGTTCCAAGCATAGTGAGAAGCGTTCAGCCCTGTGAATGCTAGGCAATGTCAAGGCTTTATGAACTTTGGCTTCATAAACAACAACAACTCGGCTTCTGTTACATAAATCTAAATAGGTAAATCCAAAAAGGGCATGAAATGGGTGCTATAGGACCTTCTGGCTTCACTGACAACAATTGTTTCCTGTATGTGCTGCTATTGTTTTCTATCAGAGTAGATAGAAACCGATTTTATTTTTGAAACCTAGGGGTGGTTTGGTTTTTTTAATTGGATTCTTAAAATTTATAGAATGTTTTTTCTTAATAACCTGGTTAAAATTAAATCTGAATACAAACCATGTTACAAGATCTCTGGGCCCTAGGTTGTGTCTAAAACGGTCAAGAGGGATAGTCAGGAATGAGCAAAATTTTTGATTCTAATGATTCCCCCCCACCCCTCTTTTTCTCTATGTTTTTATTTTATTTAGATTAAGGTTGGATTTAAAAAAAAGATATTTGGCATTAAGTTTTGAATCTCTTTTTATAAACTAATAACATTTATTTAAAATAATAATAAACATTGTAAGGACAGCAAATGTGAAAAATGGAACATTTTATGGTTATTTGATTTAATAAAATATGAGTTGTAAATATGATTTCCTTCTAGTAAAAAAAAAAGAATGAACGAGGCTAGGCCTTAAATAAGCAACGCACTATAAAGACATTTTGTTTTTGATATCTCGTTATATCAGTATTGTATAGCATCCTCTTTTGCCTTGCTTGTTTGACAAGTGACCCAAAATAGTGGTGCGGTTTTACTGTTTAAAATTCTAATGCATATTCTAGCTGATTACCTGGCTCAAGCCTTTGATTCCCTTTGCGTGGATCTGAAGACGGATGAAGGGAAGGCCTTGTTTTTGGACTACCAAGCTGTGCCTATTATCTTGAGTCATATAAGAATATCGAGTAAAGGTGTTCTTTCCAACGCCGTTGACAGCTTGCTTCAGATGACAACGCAATCCAGTAAGTGTGCTAAGTGATGATCAACATTTTCATACTGCTTTGCTCAGCTTTTCTAAATTGCAGGTTTCCTTTGAATTGGCCATTTGCTTGGTCATCTTATTTCAAGAATCGCTTCCAAGTAAAACAGGCTTTACACCCCCCCCCAAAAAAAAGTGTCTTATTTTAATGCTTTCATTAATGTTTGGTGCAGGCAAGCTAGTAAAAGGGGGGGAAATTATTTTCTGTAGATTTAATGCTTAGCTTTCTACTTTTCACACTGAGAGAGAAATCAAAGCGATGAAGAAACCAGTAAGTAGACTTCTCTTTAAAATGCAACAATCCCCTGACTTTTACTTAGCCTGTTTGGTAAAACATGACATGAGTAGGGTAAAGCCCATTCTTCTCCTTTCCCAGAAGACATCTGTCCAACGTGCACAGTAACTTGCCGTAGGAAACGGTCTAGAAAAATAACTGCAAATGATTCACCCATGAATTTAGTGGGAGGATACAATGTTTTATCTTCTTCCTCTTGAAACATCTGTGACTGTACAAAAGGAGTGTATACCGGCCTGAATAACTGTCAGCATCGCCCTTGAGCCAGTGTCACCAACTGGACTCATCCACTTCAGCCCCGACTGGGCTAGGCGAGCTGGGTAGCACTTCCAGAGACCACCTTCTGCACAGGAACAGGTCAAAGTGCTGTGGACTCACAGCTTAGAGTCGTGAGCACCGGATTCACTCCAATAAGAAGACAGTCGTCGCACAGCAGAGTCTAGCAGAGTATAAATGACTCGGAGAGCAGCTCTGTAGAATATCTTCTTTTATTCTATCTACAACTATACAAACTATATACAGAGCTAAATGAAAAAGCTGAACTGCACTGAGTGTCTGCAGCTGCTCTTAGCAGCAACCTTATCTATACACACAATCTCTAACACTCAGTCTCTCTCTCTCCGACACACTGACTGACTGACTGATGTTAGGCTGGAGCGGAATAAGTAGAGAGCAGAACACCGCCCCTCCTCTCTGGAAAATCACCAGACTCATCAGCAGATTCTTGGATATGGGAGGGGTGAAATCTCCTCAATAACATCTTTGAGATGCCTGATATAAACCCTATGTGTGTTTCTAACGATTTGTGAGGGAGAGGAGTAATCAAGATTTCACTTGCTGTCCCCAACATCTACCATGCTTCCATGTCCATGCGTTGGATATCATGTTTGAATAGGGATTGTGCATTGCGCTAGTCTCCAATTGCATAGTTTCCACTGGGGTGGCCCTATTCAGTGCTTTTCTAAAAGAAAAAAATGGTGTTAGTACTCACCATGAAGTTGTTACAGTAAAGGCCACACTTTTAAACCTTGAGTACTCTGTAAATTCTTCATTATGTGAGGAGGTTAGACATGCATATACCGTATTTTTCGCTCTATAGGACGCGCCAGACCATAAGACGCACCTAGTTTTTGGAGAAGAAAAACAAGGAAAAAAATATTCTGAATCCCTGAAGCCAGAACAGCGAGAGGGATCGCTGCGCAGCGATCCCTCTCGCTGTTCTGGCTTCTGGGATAGCTATGCAGCCTGCATTCGCTCCATAAGACACACAGACATCTCCCCTTACTTTTTAGGAGGGAAAAATGGCATCTTATAGAGCGAAAAATACGGTATCTGCATGGAGGAGTGTTTTGTATACAAGATTACTTTGTACAGCATATCTCATATAACTGTCTTAATATGTGAGATATTTCCATTGTTACCTGAAAGAATGGGCTATATGATATCCTTCAATTTTAAGTGGCACCTAACTTTGAAACTGTTGCCTTGAGTCTATTGGAATGCAGTCGTTTCAGTCTCTCGAACTGCCTGCTCCTGGATAGACTCTTGCACAGAACTAAGTCAGATCCCCAGATGTGCCTCCAACCACATAGAATAATCCTTCTGCATTAAAGACCTGCAGCTAGTTGAGCTAAGAAATGGAGAGCTCTTATGCATTCCTATGCAAACCAGCCTGCTTGATCTTCCACTCAGATAAATCACAGCTTAGGACTCATCCCACGCTTTCTGCCTAGGGTGATTATGCTGTTTTATCTTAACCAGGAAGTATTACTCCTTTTTATCTTCAGCCCCCTACAAACTAATGTCAGGAGAGCAATTTTTGTGCACGTTATATGTTGTTGGGTGTGCTTTCCTTTTATTTCAATCGCACAAAATGCCCAGAAGGCATGATAGCTTAGGACCTTTGGTGAAATACAGCCCAGAAGCAAGTCTCCTCGCAGGTAACCAGGACTTCTGACATCACCCATTACCTGGTTTTGTACTGAGTGTTCACTTGATAGGGGGTGGAAGTGAATCCCCCCCACTATCTCTAACGAATGTGCCCCTATGATGCTTGTGGTTGTTAACCCTGACAGTTTTTAACATTACAGTGGTACCTCGGGTTAAGTACTTAATTCGTTCCGGAGGTCCGTTCTTAACCTGAAACTGTTCTTAACCTGAAGCACCACTTTAGCTAATGGGGCTTCCTGCTGCTGCCGCCGGGCCGCCGGAGCATGATTTCTGTTCTCATCCTGAAGCAAAGTTCTTAACCCAAGGTACTATTTCTGGGTTAGTGGAGTCTGTAACCTGAAGCATACGTAATCCAAGGTACCACTGTATTTTAATGGTTTATTTAGTGTTCTGATGGTCGAACGTGAACTGATGCATTGCAAGCTGTCCTGGTGTTTTAATGCATAATTAAATAAATAAATGGTTTTATACTTTGCAGTTTTAAGTGCACACTCGAAACCTCTTGCACGCACACCGAAAACATAGAATGTGGCTTATAGCAAAAATAAAGATCATTAGTGAATGAGTGTGGCGTTCGCCCTGCATTTTGTAGCAACGTGTGAGTGTTACACATTCAGTAACAAAAACCTGCCATAGCTTTTATTGTTTCCCATGGCTTGAAAACAGCTTGGAGAGCTGCAGAGAGGAGCAGAGTCATGCAGAGAGAACTAGATTGGAAAGTGGAGAGACCGGGTGGGCTGTGGAGGATGGAGCTGTCGGAATTTAAGAAACATAAGGCGAACTCCACCAACCATGGCTTCTGGGGCAAGCAGTGTGAGAGACAGTAAAGAAAGGCTATTGCAGAAACTATGAAAGGGGAGCGGGGCAACAGCCACATGACCAGGATCAGTGAGGTTGAAGAATCATGGAAGGTAGATGGCTGCTGTCTGGGGGAGAGAATGGCAGATGGAACAGGAGAGACAGTCAATGGCCCTGGGAGAGAGGAAACCAGAGGGTGCTCTAAAGCCACAAGCCACCAATGGGATGCTGAGGACAATGTAGGGGTCAGTAGACTGGACTCTTCAAGGAATAACAAGGGGCTCTGAGAAACAGAGGACTTGACCTTGGCAGAGCAAGGCCTGAGGTGCTGTGCAGTCAAGCTCGTGGAGCATTAGGCTTCTTATTTCTTGCAGAAGGGCATCAATGAGGACATTTAAAGGAGCTACCTAGCTAGATGGAACTACACAGCATCATCTACAAATTAAATCCCACCTTCTTCTTAATTTTTATTTTTATTATGTATTTTGTGTTTTTATATTGTGATTTCATCTTGCAAACCCCCCTGAAACCTGCGGGTATAGGGTAGTATACAAACTTAATAATAATAATAATAATAATAATAATAATAATAATAATTCTTAATGCCTTCCCACCGCAGAGCTCCAGATCCAAAAAGGTCACAAACAGCTGAGACCCTTTGGTGTCATCCGTCAAGGTCCCTGGATATAGTCAGGAAGGTGGTTTTGTGCCGGGAAGACTCCTCAACTAAATGTAGCAGATGGAAAGGCCTATATACCTATTTTGGAGAGTCCTTTATTGGACCTGCTGTGTGCTAATGCAGCTGCCCTCACCCCACCCTTTTACTTGCAGCCCCGCAATGCAGTGTGGAATTTCCGGGTTGTTTCTTAAGGCTCTAAAATATATCCCTTTTTCATACAGTCGAAACACCCTCTATTTTTTAGAAGAGTACTATTGTGTCAAAAGTTCTCCCAACAGCCAGAGCCACTAGAGGGAGTGTGCTTGTTTTGAAGCTGCTCATGGCCGGAGTTATTGGCTTCTTCAGCTTTTAAAGATGTACTCCACCTGTTGGCAGTTCTTTGTACTCTAAATCCCAGTAAAAGGGCTTCTTGGTGGAGGATAGCAAGAAAATCAGGGCAATGCTTTGCCTTGGGCTTGTTGTGCACACTCCCCCTGCTTCAAGAAGAACACAGTGCAAGGCTCATTCTTCAGGCTGTTTAAAAACATGCACCTGCACAGGGCTTTAGCTGTTTCAAGTTGCCGCACATGTGAGCGATTGAGCACATTACACATTGACTGCTGCCTTTTATTTGGCATGGCTCTTGCACCAGACTCTTGTTAAAAGGTTATAAAGGGCTCAGATCTGTGTAATGGTCCACTAGAACCAAGCGTTGCTTTCCCTGCGCAGAACATGGGTGCTAGTCAAGCTTGTTCTGGAATATTGAGCTTCTGGCATTTTTAAAGAACAGTTACCGCTTTTGTTTGTACGATAAAGTGGAAACATGCCTGTTCTTAGCCAGATATTTTTCTTCCAAAAGGGTCACATTTTTATTCTGGACTTTGCCAAGGTTGTAGGCAGACGGCTTCTGCTTAGACCATCTTCTGCGTAGCGTGAACTTTGTTTCAAGAGTATAAATGACAGTACAGGCAGCGCTGCGAGGGTTAATCCATCACATCCTTTACTCTTCTAAAGGGCAGGTGCGAATTTATCTTGAAGAGAAACATTTGAAGCAGGAGCAGAAGAAATAATTTATAGCTTATGTGGGATAAGCAGTGAAACATCTCTTTAAAGGATTCCCTTCCTTTCCCATCCTGTCTCCCTTTGTAGTCTTCCTTCTGATTATTCGTCTAGCATTCTCATTCTCTTCTAGAAGCCGAGCTCGGCATTCAGCCAATGCGGTGCTGCTCTGTGTAGTGCAAGGCATTGCTGAGCTGTCTGAACTCATGGCTGAGGGTTTTCATCTGTCTTGGAGCCTTAAAGAGCTGTTTTCTTTGAATAAAATCTCTCTTCCATGAGAAGCCTGTTTAGTATCTACCATCCTTTTTGTTGTTGTTAATGGCCTTCAATTACTGATACTGCTTCTTCCTGCTTTACTGTGCTGCTTTAGATTTTGCTGTCTTTATTAGGATTTGCATTCCTATGGCATTAAAAAAACAAAGATCATGGCCACTGGGCCCATCACCTCCTGGCAAATAGAAGGGGAAGAAATGGAGGCAGTGGGAGATTTTACTTTCTTAGGCTCCATGATCACTGCAGATGGTGACAGCAGTCACGAAATTAAAAGACGCCTGCTTCTTGGGAAGAAAGCAATGACAAACCTAGACAGCATCTTAGAAAGCAGAGACATCACCTTGCCGACAAAGGTCCATATAGTTAAAGTTATGGTTTTCCCAGTAGTGATGTATGGAAGTGAGAGCTGGACCATAAAGAAGGCTGATCGCTGAAGAATTGATGCTTTTGAATTATGGTGCTGGAGGAGACTCTTGAGAGTCCCATGGACTGCAAGAAGATCAAACCTATCCATTCTGAAGGAAATCAGCCCTGAGTGCTCCCTGGAAGGACAGATTGTGAAGCTGAGGCTCCAATACTTTGGCCACCTCATGAAAAGAGAAGACTCCCTGGAAAAGACCCTGATGTTGGGTGTGATGAGGGTACAAGGAGAAGGGGGCAACAGAGGACGAGATGGTTGGACAGTGTTCTCGAAGCTACCAGCATGAGTTTGACCAAACTGCCGGAGGCAGTGGAAGATAGGAGTGCCTGGCATGAACTGGTCCATGGGGTCACGAAGAGTCGGACACAACTAAACGACTAAACAACAACAGCTGCTAAAATTCCTTGCACCAAGACTTTTGTTTTGCCCAGATTTGTTATCCCAAGGTTGCTCTACCATGAAAACCCTGACCTTTGAGTAAGCTATCCTGGCTACAGCCAATTTTACCCTTCGCCACTGCAATTTGAACATCAAATGCTGCATTGTAGGTGGAGCTGGGTGGGTCAAGAAGGTAGCAGGACATCTTCCAATAACAAGCTTTGAAGCAGACCACCCCTCTAGAGAGGAAGACGGCTCAAACCATGTCAAGATGTCAACTGATCTCAGCTAAACTGAAGTTCAGGGTTTCCATGGTAGAATACCTTGCCACATGTCTGGAAAGTAGACTGGCTGTTCTTCTGGTGGTAAAATTAAAGCATTTGGGCCAAAATAATTTCCAAAAGAGGCTTGAGTAGTTGTGCTGGCCTATTCACAAGACTGGCCAAGAGCATTTAGAATCCAGTTCCTACACTTTCAAACTAAGGAAAATTTACTTTGTTGCACTAGAGAAAGAAGAACTTATGTAGACGCTTGTTCAGGCTGTTTCCTAACCAAACCTAGAAAATAATCAACCAGAGGTATAGCTTAACAGTGCCAAGCATCAGTCCAGAAACAAGAAAACCCATTTTCACAGCTATTACCCAGCAATCTTTGCTGCTAGATACTAGTGAATCAACCAATCTTTCAGAGAAACGAGTGAGATGGTACATTTTGAAGAAGCCAGTAAGGGCACTACAGATGTACAGTGGTGCCCCGCAAGACGAATGCCTCGCAAGACGGAAAACCTGCTAGACAAAAGGGTTTTCCGTTTTTCAATGCGCTTCGCAGGACGAATTTTCCTATGGGCTTGCTTCACAAGACGAAAATGTCTTGCGAGTCTTGAGATTTTTTTTCCGCTCCCCCCCCTTTTTCTAAGCCGCTAAGCCTTTAATAGCCTTTTAGCAGCTAAGCCGCTAAGCCTTTAATAGCCGCTAAACCGCTAATAGCGCTAATCCGCTAAGCCGCTAATAGCCGTGCTTCGCAAGACGAAAAAACCGCTAGATGAAGATACTCGCGGAACGGATTAATTTCGTCTTGCGAGGCACCACTGTAGAATAATTCTACACCTGTCTACACACATTATAATTGATTCTATAATGATTATCGAATCAGTTCATTTTTTCAGCTCCCTCTTCTATGCCAGGATATGTGATGTTCTCATGTTCTGTACTTAAGGGCTGCAGGGTGCCTGTGCTTGAATCTGAATTTAAGAGTATTCTTCTAAAGTTGGAAACTGTGCAATATGCTTTACGTGACTAGTTTTATTAATTTGTTTTAAAAACCTTTTTCTTCCTTTTTTCAACTAATTATAATTATTGGTCACTGTATTCTACAGGGTTTTTGCATCCGTTTCTGGAAGCTTGCAGTAATGAGACCTTTTTTCGCACTTGTTCACTGTTGCTTCGAAACCCTAAGCTAGATACACAGATACTGGAAAAACTTAGTATTCTGCTGCAAAAGCTCTCAAAAATTAAGTAAGTCTTGTCAACTTTTTCTTATTATCCAGTTTTATTAGCCTCTCTTTGTCATCTTTTTCAACCCATTGTCAGGTTCTTGCATTGTGTAATAGGCACATTAACTTTATTTCCCCCTCAGCATCATACTAATATTTAAGAGGAAATGATGACAAATGAATTGTGATCTCCACTTGAAAATAATAACTGTAGGTAAAAAGTGAGTGGGGTAGGGGAAAGTTCCCAAACTTTCAAATGTAAGCCTTAAAAATATTTGTTTAAGCTAAAGAAATATTTTTAATTATGGTTTCTGAGACAGTATTACCTTAACCACAATTCCACAGTTCATGCTTTGTTAAAATATAATAATCGGTAAACATTTTTGTTAGTTTCAACAACCTGCCTTCAGAAACTATGGTCTGAAGTTGGCTTTTCTTAAGTGAGCCATAGTTAGTATTAACCATAATTACTGTTAATCACAGACAAAGCCACAGACTGACTGATCAAAGAGCTAAAAGCTTCTAAACTCTTCCTGGCTGTGTGTGTAGGCAGAGCATATGAGCAATGGTTTACACATGTTTCACTAAACCAGTGATTGGTAATCCTTGCACCTAGGGGCCAAATGTAGTCCTCTATTCCCCTCTGTCTGGCCCTTAGGATTCTCCTCAGACCATGGCCCATTCCTCAGGCCACGTCCCTCACTTCCCTTGATGCCCTCGAGTGCTTTTCCCTCACTGCAATGTGTCTTTGAACTATGATAACATCTGTTGTTTGTGTGGATGGGAGGGTGTGTGTGAGGATAAACCTCTAGCCTTTCTGTGACTGGAATTTAGCCTACAGTACAACTGTTGCTCCACCCACATTTGCCTCTGGCCACGCCCACTTTTTGCCTCTTACCCTGCTCGCTACTGGCATGTGGCCCTCAGAAGTTTGGCTATGAGGAAATACAGGCCTCACATTTAAAGTTTCCTCAACCCCTACTCTAAACCATGATCTAGCACGATGTGCAAATTTGGCTGCTGTTGTCAGATGCCATTGTGGGATAATTTGTAGACACCTTTATTTAACAAAAAGTTTTCTGTGGCTTTACACTGCTGTTAAGTCCCTTTATCTTACAAAGCTTCATAACGAAAACCAAACACATCTCAAATCTACTACAGTATCTGTTAATACTAAGAAAGGCATTTATTTTTACTTCAAACATTTTTCAGATGCTATGTAACTTGTAGTGTTCAGATATAATTGAAATTCTTCCCGTCCTTCAGAGTGATCAAAATGATGTTCCTTCACTGCATAACATTCTTGGAAAATAATCTTACAGGGGCAATAAGAAGATGTTTGAGCTGTTCACGATTCACCTGATGATTCAAGAGCTACAGAGGACAACGCATCCAGATCATGCTTTCTTATGTATTAACCTCAACTCAATTCTCTTCAATTTGGGACTGACAAAAAGCAACCCCAAAAGCAATAGTCTAAATGGGAGCCAGTAACAGATTGCATTTTATTAAGATGTTTTCTGAAGCGTGTTGATTTTAAATGAATAAATGAAGGGGGAAATGTCACAATGGACATAATCTTTTATGCCAATATGCTCCTCAAAATAGGCCAAGGACAGTTTGCCATTTTATTGAATACTTGATTTACCCACCCCCTTTAAATATTGTAAGTTTTACAGTGGCCATGATCCAGAGGGATGTGCACTTTCCCCCTTGCAATAGGTAATCTGTGCTGCCAAAGCTGACAGTGATCTTTGTGTGCAGCCCTAACTCTCATGATATGCAGCCCCTTTTGGAAGCAGTTCCTCGTCCATCAATGGCCAAATTATTTAACCTGGGGGGGGGTCAAATCCTCCCAGGCCATAAAGTTGTTCCTCCCTCCCCACCCCCGTTGAAAAATGTTTGCTGCCAAATGTGAGGGTCACCAACTCCTGACCCTCATCCCAGCAGCATAGTGAGAAGATATCCCAGAGATATCTTTTGATGTTGCAGAGGCCTCTAGGATTCTTCTCATTGAGGGAGGATGGTTGCCAGTAGAGAGAAAGAGAGCCTTTGAGTGGTGTCAGTTAATCAAGAAGCATCTTTGGTCTCTGGCCTACTTTGCAGCTGCCTGACACTTCTTTCAGTAAACTGGGATGGGGAGGTTGATGGAAGTTGGGAGTCCCAACATCATTTGGAGGACCACAAGTTCCCCACCCTTAAGACAGAACTTCATAACCACACAGAACTCAGACATGGCTGACTGGTGCACCGCCTGCTGTAGTAAAAAAGGCTCTGATCCCATCCTCAAAGTCACACCAGTGAGTTATCCTCTTGTAGAAATATAGTTCCTTTTGTACAGGAATTTTTAAAATGTTGATTTGCTAATTTCTGTATTGGGGGGATTCAGTTACTGAAGTCAAGCTTGGCACTGATTTGAGCTTTGACTGATGCCTGCTATATGTTTGGTAACTCAGAGTTCAAAGGCATACTTGCCTGTCACTTTTATATGTATTTATTGGCTATTACTGTGTCGTAAAGGTAAAGGTACCCCTGCCCGTATGGGCCAGTCATGTCCGACTCTAGGGTTGTGCGCCCATCTCGCTTAAGAGGCCGGGGGCCAGCGCTGTCTGAAGACACTTCCGGGTCATGTGGCCAGCGTGACAAGCTGCATCTGGCGAGCCAGCGCAGCACACGGAAACGCCGTTTACCTTCCCGCTAGTAAGCGGTCCCTATTTATCTACTTGCACCCGGGGGTGCTTTCGAACTGCTAGTTTGGCAGGCGCTGGGACCGAGCAACGGGAGCGCACCCCGCCGCGGGGATTCGAACCGCCGACCTGACGATCGGCAAGTCCTAGGCGCTGAGGTTTTACCCACAGCGCCACACTAATACATGATTATTCTGGAGTGCTCTATTTGTATTCAGCATTTTAAGATTAAAAAGAAGTCCACAAAATTAAACTCCCCCGAGAACCTAATTCTTAAACAAAAAGAAATTGCTTTTCAGTTTTACTTCATACTAAAAATAAGCCATTCCCACCCCCACTTCCCCCTTTGGGTTCATACCTTATTTGACCATGAAGGCTGCAATGCTAAATATGTCTACACAGAAGTAAGTCTTACTTAATTCAGTGGGGAGGATGAAACTCTTGATTAATCTGCTCACACAACCCACTTGTTCGCTATCTCATATAAGAGAGAGAGAGACAGGAAAGACAGGAAAGATTTCACATACACGAGCACTTTTCTTTTTTAAAAAATGTATGCGCTATCCTAACTGGAAATAAGGAAATAAATATTTGAGCACCTGCTTAAATTGTCCATGAAACCTCATAACAAGATTCCTGCCAGGAACAAGATATTAAAAGTCACCCCTCTGTACCCTGTTTCTTTGGCAATGGCTGTGCCAGGAACCTTGACAAAAAAAGAAGTAGAAACCAGCACCTTAGTTTCTCAAAGCAAATTATTATAAGGAAGGTGGGTATACCTTTGTCTCCCTTGGGGCAAAGAAGAGATTACAGGGGAAGATACTGGCTTGGCTAGCAAGGATTAGCCGGCATGTACAGCTTCCTAGTGATTCTGTACGCCAGATGACTTCCCTTTTGCAAGCTGGTGATGCCAGTAAGAGGGTGAGTGGCAGATGGGTAAATATTTTCCTTCTCCAAGAGCTTGCTGCCTGCCCTTGTGTCGCTGGTCAGCTGGTTTCACTCCTGTTGGGCCGTGCTTAGCTGGCAAACTGGTCTGGGGAAATGCAAGGAAGGACCTTTACCCTGGCATGTCACTAAAGCAAGGCTGGATCACTGCCATCTTCCTGTTGCAAAAAAAAGTTGCCATTTGCTACCAACTCAGTAGGTCCAGCCACTCTGCAGAGGCCTTTATGGGATTGTTACCTTTAGGTGGAAAACAAGGAGGCGTTTGCTTATTCAAGTGCTTCGGTTTTCCCCGTTAAGAGCTTGTGGGTAACTTTTGTGGGTAACAATTACTTTGTGTGCTCACAGCTAAATGTTTCCATTCCCTTACATTTTATGAGACTGGTGGCCTTCATTATGAGCACAAGTTAATTACGCCACCCACGGTCTAAAGCAGAGGTGCGCAGGCATGGTTTTCCTATATTGCAAACATACAGCTTGCGACAAAGAGCAACAGTTCCACGCAGTTCTGTGGCTGGAGTTTGACTATATTTGTGTTTAAAATACTTGGTTGAAAAGCTGTAGCACGGGTGGCTTTTTACCACATGTTTATGACTTTGCCTACTGTGCATGCCTATTACATACAATTCTCATTTACATGCACATAAAGGCAAGTTGTAATTTGAAGAAGGGGAACCAAATGTTAGCTTTTATAGAAGCACATGTTAATTTGATAAGCGGGGTAGCGGACTCCCTGCTTCCATTTCCTTCCCTTTCTTTATCCCTAGCTTTCACCCTCTCCATCCCCCTGTTTCTGCCCAGGGAAGAAATACCCACCAATAAACAGTGGTGCTGGTTGGGGAGCACACTTGAGGCCAGCAGTAGCAGGCAAAGGGAGTTATTGAAGCAGGCCAGTAAGCTTTGTAATTTGCATTAATGTACCTCCCACAAACGAAAAGAAGACCACCTATACTGGATTTGTTGAACTCGTGAAACCAACACAAGAAAGAAAAAACATTGTAGGGAAGGGGTGGCAACTCTATCCCCTCTGTAGATCAGGGTTTCCCAAACTTGGGTCTCCAGCTGTTTGTTGGACTACAACTCCCATCATCCCTAGCTAGCAGGACGTGTAGTCAGAGATGATGGGAATTGTAGTCCAAAACCAGCTGTAGACCCAAGTTTGGGAAACACTGGTGTAGATCCTTTACGCTTTCCAGTTCTCTCCAGTATGGTGGAATGCAAGAGAAGTGGATAAATAGTTCTTGTATGTACAGTATATGATGACTAAACTAGACAAGTGCCTGAACAATTTGTCACATGGGGTTGAAAGAGAGAAACTTAAGCTCTGTTCCTTTGCCTCTCAGTTTGAGTGGTGATCGGGAGGTAAGAGGTCCAATCTGGCATCTTCTCTTGGTTCCAGCTCCTCCGTGTCAAATATTGTCCTCTTGCTGCTGACCCATTTCAATACTGCCTTGTTCTGGGCAAAGGTCTTTAAGGTGGCACCATGTCCTAGAACATCCAGTTTGCGTTCTCTATGGTAGTGCCATATTGCCCAGACAACAAAAGGAAAAAATATTTATAGGCCCAGGGTTATCAACCAGTTTATGAACACTTAGCATGCGGCAAATCTGCAGCTGCGTTTTGTAAACCGCATTGAGGTTTTGTTCTTACAATCAAGCAGCAATGTCATGAACTGGCAGGACGATGGAGAGGAGGAAGAGGATCCTGGTGTGGGGTGTAGCTGGGACACACTGGGGCAAGCAGGGGATGGGGAAGGAAATACTCACAGAGTGACAGAGGATGGCAAGGGAGTTGGGAGTGAGTGCACAAGAATCAGAGCAGCAGGACCCAGAGCCAGAGGGACCCCTGTCTCGATAAAAACAGGGGGCTCTGAGGCATAGGGAGGAGTGGTAGGGGAGCTCTAGGAAGCTGAGGCAGACAAGAGCCCACAGCCCAGCTCCTTAGCTGGCCAGGTGGGGCTCGCTAGCTCTGGGAGAAGATTCTTCAGCTGAAGTAGGCTCAGGACAGGTGATGGTCATATACCTCATTAAGCCCAGATACTCCAATCAGCATGCAGAGCACAAAAGGGAAGCAGAGCTGAGGGGCTGTGTCTGCTCAACTGCCCATGTTGATCGACTTTGGCTTGGATAATCCTGAACTTCTATGGGACTGTGCTTTGGGTTTCACTCTGAACTTTATCCTGACTGCCGGACTTCAGACTTTGCTTACTTGGATTGACCCTGGACTTTGAACTTGGGACTTGACTTACTGACTCGCCGCCAGGTAGGCCAGGGGTTCAGGGCAAGTATAAAAGTTCCATGAAATATGAAATAAATTACAGTAGCATTGCATCCATGTTTCGCTTAACATTGCAGGCATTATCCAATGTTTAAGAGTAAGGTGGCAGTCTTTGAAATGCAATTTTCGTCCCTTGCAATTTTGTTTCCTGTTTGAGAGTGGTGGGGCAGGTGAAAACAAGAGTAGATGATGAAAAAAAAAACACACAAAAAGGCTTTTATGTGCTCTTGTTTTCTGGATTGTGTTTCAGTCCTTTAAAGTGCTTGCTGATCATTAATGGCACTGCTTCAAAAGGAGCAGCAAGGGCATCTGATAAGGAACTGGTGTCCTGCTCAGAACAAGTTGCTGCAGGGCCATTTGTGGTTGTGTCCTGAACAGAAGTTTCTTTGATTCCCAAATGAATGGGATGTATTTTTATTTTATTTTTTAAGCAAGCCTGTAACAGTATTTCTAAAACTACAACAAGGGTGGGTGTACAACTCCCTTCAATCCCAGCTAACATGACTAATGGCCCAGCTGTAGTCCAGAAATATCAGGAGGGTCACAGGTTTCACATCCCTGTGGTATAGCATGAGGAGCACCAGAGATTGGCATCATTGGGCACGGGCTGAGGTCCATGCCTCATTATGCAACCCAGTGACAATTCATGGAGCCTCGTGGCCACCTTCCTGTCACTGCATAGCCACCTGCTCTCTTCAAGCAAGGAAGAGAAGAAGAAGAGGAGGAGTTTGGATTTGATATCCTGCTTTATCACTACCCAAAGGAGTCTCAAAGCGGCTAACATTCTCC